AAGCTTCATCTTGTGCCTCAATTGATGCAGTGTCACCTGGTTGGTCTATGCCTATTCGAGCCTGTAAGTGTTGCTGTCCAACAACTGGCTGCTCTCTAAACCACTTTTGCAAACAGCTGCGCGCCAACAGGTAGGTGGGGGCATAACTCCGCAGTGTAGTATAGTAATAATATTAACGGCAATTTGAACTATACCTGGCTGATCCTCTCTACTGTGCTAAAGCCCTTTATCTGTAAATATACAACTTCAAAAATCGTCTGCAGCACACAACTGCAGAGTGTGGACAAGGGTTTAATACAGTACGGATGTACATACTCGCAACTGCTGACCGCACGGACGCAAATCGGCGCTAGAGTGGCGATCAGCCGCTGAATCAGCCACCAAAAGGCCATATTGCGGCTCGGCCACGCCCACACCTCTTGCATCGACAATGTAGAAGAATTCTTAATACTCTGCCATCTGAAGCCCATTCTGAGAAACCGACATTGGATCCGAAATCCCAACATCGCTTGTCAAACCCTCGCCGTTGTATCAATCTCGATGTTGAACCTGCCGTTAGAAGGATGGATGTGATGCTGAGCTGGTAGATGCTCGACTTCCCTCTCTGGCAACTGCGCCTGGCTGGGATTTGCAAACACATGCCTGTCATCGACGATGTTTGCGACACCGGGTCCATTTGTTCGCATAAAAAAGGAAGGTGCCAAGCCCTTTGTTTGAGGTACGTTACCCGATGGACAAATGAGGTTGCGCCGGCATCGGTTTGTCTGACCAGTCTCCATGACGTATGATGCATCAGAAGCGCTGCTCCTGCAAACGACAGCTCATCGCTCACTCCATCTTAGGCACTCTTGAAGAACTAACCCCGCGTTCATACATCACCACAGAGACTCGAGGTTTTCCTCCCACGAGCAGGCTATATTGGGTCTCTATCAGCTCTGCCAAGCTCCAGCCGGTCATGGCAATGCGCCCAACTGACCTCCAATCTGACACACGCCGACAGGGCCTCGTGGAGTGAATCCGCCATAATGCATCGTCTTTTCGCGACTGTAGTAGCCTTTGCTGCTGTGTGGGTCGTCCGTTCGAATGCGCATTGCTTTAAACTGACAAATCTCAGCGCTGCCCCGGCTCTCGGGCAGGGCATCACGTCCGTCTCGATCGCCTCCGTCTCTGGCTGCGCTGCCGTTGCCTCTACCACACACATATGCAACACCTGCTTGACCCTAGCTTGCATCGTTGAGGCCACAATCACAGCTGGTTGCGACGGCTGCCCAGCTCCGCCGCCGACCATTTACCGTTCGTTTCCCTGCGATCAGGGATGCAGTGGCCTGGGAGGGTGCAAGACGGAGTACCGCGTTGTTACGGCCACGGGCAGCGTATGTGACTTGGCATTTCCGACAACGACTTCTTCCTCGCTGCCCCCCCCTACAGCTGGGGAGGGCTCCAGCTCTGGTGCAGACATTGGCGCGGGTGCTGCGAGTCCGACGCGCACCGAGGATGCCGGCGAAGTCAGCGACGGGACGAGAACGGCTACGCAGGCGACTTCAGCCAGCACTGCCGGCGCAGCTCGCCTGATGCCGTTGCGGTTATGGTAGTTGCTAGCATGTTGAATCTTACCCACGAAGTATGGAATGTGATGGTTCTGGTTGTGAAGGCCTCGATGCCTCATCTGTTCGGGACATGCAGGGCTCCATGGCAGCATGCAAGAGCTCGTAATGGAGACCGCGAGGATACCGGTTCAACGCACAACGTACTCGGTCCCCTAGGAAATGGAGATGTTTGCAGGGCAATGGCAGCCGGTAACCAGCGGCCTCTTCCCGGCTCCTGCGCTTCATTCCAGTTGGCTTCACTTGTGCTGTGTCATGCATGAAAGGGGCCTCGCAATTGTCTTAACTTCAATTTCGGATGGGAAGCTGTTGCTGGTGAAAGCTCTTCTGAAAATCCAATGTCAGGCGGACCGCTTTCTGGCACCCATTACCCAGGCACTAACACGGTTTAGGACTAGCTCTGATGCTGACCCGATCCAACTTCCCGTATCAACACAACCTTGGAACTTTTGGAAGCTTCGAGCCTTCGACTGTCTGATGATTTCTTATCTCAACGGCTCAACTCAACCCAACATCATCTAGGTCGACCACGTACGCTTACCCTGCGACAATGTCGCAAAGGCTTGAACTAGGTCTTTCAAAGCCAAAAAGCACGCTTTCGCCGTTCTTTGAGTCCCGTTTGTAATGGCAGCACTGGGCCTTTCTGGCATCCTGATCGAAAAGTGCCGCTCATTCTTATCCTCTTGGCCTCTTGTGTCTTTTTCAACATAGGACTCTCCACGACGGTCGCCCTCGGCGCGTAAAATGATGCCTCTCGTTGCGAGCATCTCGCTCCACCTCTTGGCGATGGTGTCTGCCTTCGGAACAATCAACGAGCCGCTTCTCGTGCGCCAGCACAATGAGCATGAAATCATCACGCGCCTGGCGTTTCAGTGCCCCAGCGCCCGCGGCTCCGACGGGATCTGCTTCGAGCCGCGATCGCTCGACCAGCTTGCTGGGTGGCATGTCAATCTCCTTGGCATCGCGGTGACCGGAGCTGGCTTCAACGGCGCAGTTGGTGCCCCCGACACCCTCGACCCGGTTCCCGAGGGGCCCGAAGCTCACTGCGACGATGCCGACTACCTCGACCTCCCCGGCTATCCCCGTATGTGGATTCTTCGCTCCTCGTATCCCATGCAAGATCAATGACTGACAGTGTTGGACAGAGACCAGGGCTGAGGCAAATGCCAAGCTCCAAGCCTGTCTCAACCATCTGCGAAACCGTTTCCGCCAAGCCATCGTCTCGGGGAGCCGCTTGGTGGATGAGCGCCGCAGAATCCGCCGGGAAATGGTAGACCTCTCCGGAGGAGACTGCGCCTTTGCGTTTCCGGCATGGCAGAGCGATGGCTTCGGCCGGGCCAAGTGCAACGTCATCGAAGGGCTCGGGCGGGCACTGCACGGCATCCAAGATTTCTACTCTCACAGTAATTGGGTCGACAGTGCTGACCCGACCAAGCCCATCGGCGTGTCTAACCCACCTGGCCTGGGCATGAACGGCAGTGCTCCGTTTCTGAACTTACGGGGCAACAGCACCATTCCGCCGGATCTGATACCACACAACCTGACGACCGGTTGCTTTGCTCTGCCTGACAGTCCGGAGGGGTCCGGCGAATGCGAGGGGCGTATTACTCACGGTGCCTTGAGCAAGGACAAGGGAATCATCAATCTGGACGGCACTTTCGGCGACGAAGCGATGGATCCTCGCTCCGAAGCCTCTCCAAACAATTTTCCCCTCGCAGTACAGGCAGCCATCCAGCACTCGCGCGAGACGTGGGCCGATTTTCGAGACGAAATGCTTGACGAGTACGGCACCGTCATTGGCGGGCTCATGCTTTGCGCCCTTGTCCGCGACGACCCGGTCAAGGACTGCCGCAACCGCACCCTGGCTATTGTTGCCGACAATTCGCTGGCGAGTAAGGTCGGCGGCGGGATCTACATGGAAGAAGCACTTTCTGAGCAGGTCAAGTCGAGATTGGGATACCATGGGTTAGATCATTTGGCTGTGATTGCTATCAACGACCTGGATGCTGTTCTTCGCTACCCTATGGGGCGGCCCGTGCACGCAACTTTCGACTTCCCTCAACCAACTGGTGAACTGAGGATTGCGAGCGGCCTCGAAATGGGCATCGACGAAACCATACGCGCTCAGCCAGAGACCTACACCGACCGAGGCGCTATCCTCCTCCTTACAACAAGGGCTGAGCGTCTGGAGTTTAGCACCGACACACTGGCACAGTTACGACGGGCCTCGGATGAGGGCATACGCGTTCACTATGCATGCATCAGCATGCCGACGCACCTGAGCGAACGAGATGCGAACCAGGCCGTCTGGACACCGTGTTCCCCCGGTGACCCGCTCGTGCCAGCTGTCCTCAAAACGGGCGGCATTGCAGCTTTCATCGACAGCCCTGCAGTCAGGATACCTCCGCATTTCGCCAACTTGGTCATGGATCGCGGCCTCACAGCTACCGACGATGATGACACGATAAAGCACACGCGAATTTACGCTGGCATCACTTTGGCCGACTTCCTGAACTCGGATCAGCACACCAAGTCATTTACTTACCCAGTCACGGCCGGGGAGAGTCTCAACTTCACCATAAGCAGCATTGCCCTGAACGAGCAAGGGCCTGAGGCCTGTTTTGCTGTCACTTTGTGGTACAAGTATCTCGACACGGAGATCACCAGGCATACAAGATGCGGTGACTCTTCCCCTTTGCCACTGATCTACCAAGCCACCGAGTCTTTCGACTTGGTCCTTGAGGCCGAGTTCGGAGACACGATGCTGAAGGATGAGCTGCTCCACCGTGAAGAGATATTGTTCATTGTTTCTGTTGAGAGCGACATGCCTGAGAAGGACGAGACGACTGTCAAGAAATCGACGGTCATCTTGAGTTCGAGCACAACAGTGGACATACCGGGGTTCACGGCCGGGGATTTCTTGACGAGCGAGACTGTGGAGGTGATCTCCAGTACTGCCACTATCCACGGGAGCACATCCACATCCGCGGAGTCATACAAAGCTTGTGACCACGGCCAGCGCCCTTTCTGCCGGTCGACGCCGGAGTCAGAACCACACCTCACCTGCGGCATCCCGATTATCACAGCAACACTGCTGGCGAGCAATTTCACTACGCATCTAGAAGGGGACGATATTGCAACATCCTCTCGAGTCATTGGAGTTGGAGGCTGAACACTATGCATAGCCTGGCCAGCCATTCACTATGTCGAGACATAAGGGTGACAGTCCCTCAATATCTGGGATGTGATCCCTCGCGCCGCTTTCTGTCCGGCGACCGCATGTTATCCAAAAATCAGGTGCGGACCACGAGCCGCAGAGCGCGATGGGACGTCAGGGTGCTCAACTTCGGGTACGCACGCGCCGTCTGGACGCAGCTCTCCGGGGTTACTTCAGGTACCGGATCGTGCCAGCAAACCCAGCGTCGGGTCCCGTAGGATTTCCCATCATCGAACGCCGAGACCGATGAGCACATTTATACAGGCTGGGGTCCCTCACAACCTCCGCTTGGTGGCGTTTTAATGTTGTCGAGTGTGCTCCTGCTGCCACCATCGAGCAAAGCCGGTGAATGGAAGCAGAACGGGGCAATTTGACTTCACCTTAACTCGGTGATGTGGCATCGTGATGCTACAAACTATGGGGCAGGTTGGCCCAGGGCTTACCATCCCTTCTATCTTGAATTGAGCTTCGCACTCTCTGAATCTGAGTCTTGGAATAGGTATGATAGAGCCGAGGAGAAGGAGGCATGGTATTTGGACATGAGAATGGGTTGGTCGTCTACTGATTTAGAGTAGAAATAGATCTCGGCTCAAAATTTCACGAATATTGAAGCCGATCCTGATACTCCGTACGCTGGGTGTTCACTTGCTGCGCAGAGTGGGGAGAAACCAAGGCACTAACTGGGTGATGCGCCCAAAACAAAAGTTGAAACAAGGGGTTGCTGGGGGGTGGTGGGCGCGGGGTTTTGGTCCTTTAGCGCCATACCCTAACCCTAGCTAGCTACCCCTGAGTGGGATGGATGACCACGGATGCCGTTCATGGATTACGGTCAGTAGAACTTGAAGGGAGGAAGTTGAAATTCTGCCGCAGATTTTATTATTTCGATGTCCGGTACGAAGCGTGAGGCTTTCCAACGGGTCATTTTCCGTTTGAAATTCAAGATTGAGAGAGTCGTTCTGGCCAAATGGCTTACCAACATAGAGCTAATCCACAAATGATCGGTAACTACTGTAATATGATTCAGCATTATAACCTGCATAGAAGCTTGCCCTTCCTGCAGTGTGAGAAGGCACAGGCTTGAGCACCCCGTAAAGCAGCCTGCTTGCATGAGGGCCCAAGCAGACGCAACCTGTACAGTAAACATACGGTAGCCCCAGTCTGGTTCTGCTGCTGTGTTAGGATCCGCACCACTACCACTTCGAACGTTGATTCAAGCAACCCCGGACATTGGGGCGAACTCGGAGTCAAGATACCAGAGCCTTGTTCCCTCCGACAACCCACAATAGCTGCCGGGTTTTCGTATTCCAGATGTCCATCGATCTCCGAAACGAACCTCAGATCCCGAAGATCGCCGCGCCAGGGGTTATCTGCCTCAGAAAACGGCGACTCGCTGTTCCTTCTTGCTAGTTGATTGGTTTGTTTACTCTGAAACAATGGAGAGCTGAAGCCGCAAAGTTCCAAATGCCGGATTCAGCCAAGGGGTCCTGTCGCCAAGCCCTTGCTGATGTTACATTGATCGCCTGTGCGGAAACACCCACAGATGTCGCCGGCGGTGCGGTCGATCAAAGCTAAGATGCGATTCGACTCCTGTTTCCTTTGCTGGCGGGATTAGAGCCCAGCGGGCTGTCTCGTTTTGTCTTGAGTCATGATGCTGCGCCTCGAGTCTACCGCGCGAATGTGTGTGGCCATACCGCATTCGGGTTGAGCTTGCGACGTTGATGGTTTTGATGGGCCATAATCTTGATGGGCTTCAGCGGAGAGACAGGAGTTGGAACGCTGGACGGGGAGTATAAAGGCTGCGAAGTTTGGACGTGATGTGTTGACGGAGATAATATTCGACAGGCTCAGCTCCCGGTTTCCAGTCCAGTCTCTCACCCACTCCCCCCGCCCTTCTTTCACTTCGATCTAGTACTCTTTCTTTGGCTTCAGCCCTGGCGGCACTGTCTTTAATCAATCATACCAATCCTTTTTTGACTCAAATTGACACATAGAACCTAAGAAAAACCCGCCTCACAGCCACAATGCATCCCTACGAAGTCCTCCTTTTCTCTCTGCTCGCGACCCCTTCCTCGGCCCACGGCGTCGTCACGCTCATCCGCGGTGCCAATGGGGTTGAGATGCCCGGTCTATCCGGTACGTCCACATTGCTTCTCTCTCTTCAAAGCTCAACAGTCTCTTGTCCACCCACCCTCCTTCCCTGTTTTCCCCCTACCGTCAAGTTATGTTAACTAACCTGTACCCCAGTGGCCGACGGCACCCCGCGCGACTGCTCCACCAACCGGTGCGGCTCGCAGGCCGACACGGCCATCATCCGGGACCGCGAGATCCGCTCGGGCACGGTCGGGCCCTTGGGCCGCACGCAGGGCAACGGCCCCATCGACGCGGCGACCATGATCTCGGCCTTCATGGGCACCGGCGACGCCGCGCTGCCCCGCGTCAACGCCGCCAACGCCTCGGTCGGCGTCGAGGATGACTTGAGCGGTTTGACCCAGGGCAGCAGCGGCAGCGGCAGCGGCAGCAGCGGTACTAGTAGGGGAGGAAGACGATTCGGACAGGGTGGGCGCAATAACAACAACAAGAAAAGGAGGGAGGAGGAGGCCTGGCAGGGTGGGAAAGCCGTCAAGGTTGCCAGGCAGTTCTTCCAGGGCCTGTTTGGGGGCGGTGGGACTGACAGTACGGTGGCGACAGAGAGCAATGTCGCTGCTATGGCGGGCACGGGGGCGTCTTCTGGCCTGCCGACGTGTGGGGATGATGGTTCGATTGAGATGGTATTTCACCAGGTAAGTTTTGTTTGCTTTTACACCATTCGTGCGTTGCCAGGTGAAGGAACAGGACTGATGAGTGGTAACCGTCAACATAGATCAACCAGGACGGGGCCGGTCCCCTCCAGGCAGCCATCGACGGCACATCTGGCGGCACGGATCCCGATGCATTTCAAACTGCCCAGGTGACGCAGGACGTGCCCGGCTTTGCGGGCGGGCTGAGCCTGGCGACCAGCAGGGACTTCCCGCTGACGGTGCAGATGCCGGCGGGCATGACCTGTGACGCCACGGTGGCTGGCGTGGACAATGTTTGCATCGTGCGCGTCCGCAACGGGGCGGCTGCTGGGCCCTTTGGTGGCAGTGCCGCCTTCACACAGAGCCCTGCGGCCAGGAAGCGCGCCATTGAGTACCGGCTGAAGAAGAGGGCTCAGGCTTTCAAGGCCTAACATTGGATCATGGAATGGAGTGTTTGAGGTTCTGATAGTTGTCAGAGCGTCACCCGTTTCAGGATGGTGCTCGGGGAGCTTGTTTGCTTCCAGGTTGTCTGGCATGACCGGAGCTAGGGGCAATCATGAAGGTGTACATGTACAATAAGGTACAATATTTTGTGGGTTGTACATAGCCCTGAAGTGTTACGAATCCTATCTTTGCTGTCGGACCGTCGGATCACCTGTCCTGTCCCAGAAATAGCAAGATGATATCATAGGGCAGCAAGCTATCTCAGGGGTTCAAAGTATTATTATTCCTACACCGCTGTGCCATTGGGCGTGCCGGACCTTCAACAACTTACTATACAGGAAAACCGCGCCCTTGTGGGCCGGGTGAAAACCCCGTATCGACAATCAAGGAAACGATCAGTGTGCGATCCTGCAAATACAAAGTGGGAAGGCCTCTTGGCCTTCGAAGGAAGGGGTATTAGACTGCGAGCTCCAGCTCCAGCCTCCTGGCCAGACCGTACATCGGCAGTTTCCCCGAGTCCATCAGCCAGTCCAGGATCCTCCCCGTTAGCCGTGCAGCTTTGGGACTGATTCCCTGTAGGAAAGAATAAAAGTCCCTTCGCGTTCTGATCTCGGCTCTCTCCCATCTTCGAGTCAACGGTGGGGAGGGGTTCAAAGTATGAAATTGCTCCAATGAAGGTTTGGAGGCTAAGGCCTAATTACTGCTGTTCATTGACTTATTCTCCGGGCTGGCCTTGTAAATCATCAAAAGCCAGGCTTTCACAGTCTCACTGAATAAGTACAGCAGAGTACACGCTAGAAATGGAAGACGGCGAGTGCGCCCGGCGGCAAGTATAAGATCCTGGAATGAACATTGAATCCGAGTTGCTCCCTGCTGCATTTGAGTTTATTGTCCCACCTATCTGCTTCGCACTTTGACATTTTGGCGAACGCACTGATGTAGACCCGAAGTGCCATGGCTATAGACATGGATCTGCAGGCAGCGCTCAATCAGTCATGTGATGACCTACTGTGGGAGTTGAGTTTTCCAGCGATACCACAGTACATAGAGAGCCTCGGCTTGTTGCTGCTGAGTATCTTAAGGGATACCCTGCTGGGAATCCCACTGATCAGTAATTCAAGCAGCTTCAGGTAAGGTATATTCAAGTCGCCGTATTGATGAGGCTTGAAGCTGAAGATCACTGTGCAGTGATGACACGAATCCACTAGTCGCCCTCGGAATTCTAATGAACGAAGGCGTAGCGTCTCAAGGCCTGTCACACAGTAATAGATGGCTTAAGAGAGAGAATGGACACTTGGACCGCTAACGCGAACTTGGTCTTGGATGGTAGGAGGAGGTGAGTAACTCAAGAATCTTGAAGTGGGCTCCACGGGCTGTGGAGTCAATAATGAACTACCATTCTTGACCCATGGTACTGAGACAAGTGCAGAGGTAAGCTCTTTTGTCGATGGCGTCCCACTGTGATACGGTATTTCCCCTATTTTATCCAAGGAGATGTATGAAACACATGCTGGACTTGAAGACAATCCGCAACATACAACGTATAACGTGCTTCGTCAACGGGTATTCAACATACTCAGCGAGATAGAGGCAAGGCAGCTGAACTTGGACCTCCTAGGCCTCGGGTTGAAGGAGCTCAGCGCGCGCCCGCCAGTCACAGAAACAGTAAGCTAATTACCCAGTGTTCTGTGTATGCTCAGCCTTTGGAAGCATCTAACAATAAGCAGGAAGCCTAAGAGAACGACGAGAATGTACGGATTTGATTAGGCTGTTAGCCGCGGTCTGCAGTCGATATGTCGAAAAGTTCAGAGAGCAATACGTCTCCGACCTTCTAGTTCACGCGGTTGGAATTGTTCAGAAGTTGACCGTCCTAGATCATGACGAGCTGGATATTGAGATGGTCGAGCTATCAAAGCACACAAGCCAGCTCAATGACTCGCTGCGTAGGGGAGGACAGAGGGTATGGCTATCGGGACCGTTTCGATACTGTTAAGCTAACCTCTGCGACAGGTGATTGACGAACTCAGGCGTGATATCAAGAGGATAGATGACAGGCCCGTAGTCAGGGGCTCTCAACTCAGCCTGAGCCGGGAGGTTTACTCCGTGCTTAGTCTGAATTTAGGATGAGCCTATGAGTTGAGCTTCAAATCTTAGAAGCGTACTCCCCAAAACACCTTGCTTACTTTCCAAAAGTTTCCGCAGCGGGTATCTAGCCTAACATACTGGAAGATTGCAAGCCACATCCTCATCATCATATTCCCCTGAATATCTTGTTCCACCATTTCGACCGATGCCCCTCTCCAGCCTCCCTCCGCTTCGCCTCGTCCAGATCTCTCCGCCTCCCGGACTGCAGATCAATCTCATGAGCCCGCCACAACTTTGTCTTGAAGACAAGCTTGTACACCACATAAATGACGCCAAAAAGCGGCAGCAAAATGTAGGCATCGACAAACAAGCCGGCGTCAAACGGTGCAAACGTCGACCACCCCTGAATAAGCGCCAGGAAGATATTCGCGCCCAAGCCAAAGTAGGCGTTGTACGGATACCACAGCGACACAAACGGCAGCTCGCTCTCGGCATGGCCCTGGGCCTTCCACGCAGACCGGAAGCGGATGTGCGTCAGGCTGATGGCGCCCCAGACGAGGAAGGTGGACACGCCGCTCAGGTTGACAATGTAGCCGTACGCCTTGCTGGCGCCTGTGCTGACATTCATCATGCTGAGGGCGCCGCAGAGATTCGTGAAGAGTATGGCCGGGATCGGCACGCCGCGCTTGTCGGTCCACCCTAGGAACCTCGGCGCCTTGCCGTCTTGGGCCATGTACAGGAGCGTTCGGCTGCCGATGTAGATGGAGCTGTTGACGGCGCTGAGGCAGGTGACGAAGATGAAGGCGTTGATGAGGTGGACTCCGCCCTCCCAACCGGCGTTTTGGATGGCGATGGTCATGGGACTGCGGAGGACGCGGCTCGAGTCCCCGACAAGGCCCTTGGCATTAGCAGGGCAAGTAAGGCCAAAGAAAAAGGCGCTCCCCATGTAGACAACGATGATACGAATGAAGACTTGGCGAATGGCCAGCGGGACGGCGTGGCGGGGATTCCTCGTCTCGGTGGCGGCCACGGCCACGGACTCGACGCCGGCATAGAAGGTGCTGCAGAAGACGAAGACTGAAGCGACGCCCTTGAAGCCGTTTGTAAAGGCCCCGGGGTCGTGCCAATACCGGAAGCCAATGGCATCGGCCCCTTTGACACCGCCGGACGCGTAGCTGCTGCTGTCAGTGGCCGGCCAGGGCTTTCGTTGCTCAAGGAGTATACTCACATGATGCTGAAGAAGAAGTAGGCAATCAAGCCAATGATCTTGACCAGTGCCAGCCAGAACTCAGCCTCTCCGAAGGTCTCAACACCGAGCAACTGAAAAGCCAAGAAGGCAAACTGCAATCTGTCAGTACAAAATGATGAATCCTCGGACTCGATAAGGACAACTGACCCAAAAGATGAGAAAATACCCCCAAATGGGCACCTTGTCGCTCCAAAAAACCATGATGCTCGAAATTACGTTGTACTCGTTGGCCAGCACGCAGAACCACACAACGTAATAATTCCACCCAACCGCCACGCCAAAAGCCTTGTCCACGAAGCGGTCACTTAGCGCGGTAAAGGCACCGCCCGTCGGGTACAGCGTCGTCAGCTCGCCCAAGCTCTGCATGATAGAGAAGGCGATGATGCCGATGACACCAAAGCCAATCAACAGCGAGGCTGGACCGCCAGACGAGAGGGCGCCGCCGGAGCCGATGAGCAGGCCCGGTCCGATGATGCCGGCTAGGGCCATCATGGACAGGTGGCGCGTCTTGAGCCCGCGCTTGACGCCGCTATGGGGGTCAATGGCGCGGAAGTCGTCCGAGTCGGAACCCGTGGCGACTTCCGTGGTGGTGGCGTCGGGGTCATGGTTGTTGCGTAAGGAGGCGTCGTCGTCTTTGACCGATTTGGATTTGAGTTTACCCAGCATCGTCAAATTGTGTAGCCCCGTTATCGCATATACTCCTATTTTCGAGAGGCAAGTGGAGGGTGAATTGCAAATGTAGGTCAATCAAGGAGTGGCCGGCCCAGGAAGGAGGTAGTGTCGATCAGGAACCGAGAGCGGGAAACGGAAAAAAGAAGGGCCTGCGACCATGATGCCGGATCTCGGGGGCAAGAGATTGTTTAAAATCCGGCAGAGCTGAAGGTGACGTGACGGCTCCCGGGGTTTTGCAAGCAATTGCGCTGCGCTAGCTTTAAGGGCCTCCATCCACTGACCCCGGTTTCAATGCAGAGACGCCGCATCCGGACAAGCATGGTGCCATGTTACCGGAATCACCTTAGTGCTTTGAAAACGTGGGATGAAGTTCCCACGTGGAAGAGGGATGAATTGGTTTGCTTTTCGTTTTTTTTTTCTTTCACTAATGTATATATCAGCGAGTGACCCATATCAGCGAGTGACCAGGCTTAACAGTCTTTAGCAGCCAAAATTTGACAAGAAAATTGTTAAGAACGATGTTAATTTCTTATCGTACATCTGGATGTAGCCCTGCTAAAATTGTTAAGTTGGATCACTCGGTGATATGGGTCACTCGCTGATAAAAAACGGAACTGTGCTTTGTGGGAGAAATGGCTTCAACGCCTTAGGGGCTCTTGAATTCGTAAGGGCAAGACGTTTGTGGCATCAAAACTGCCATGAATCGCGCAATGCCAGCTCTGCCTGCTGCGCAGCATGATTGGTCGTCCCCAGCCGAACCGCCACACAAGAGAGGTGGACCCAGCAGTGGAGAGTGACATCACCCGCTCCACCAGAGTCAGCCCTGGACGTCAGGGTCCTTTCAAGGCCACGCATCCATTTTGCACCTTGAGGCTTGACACTTGCCAAAAGTAGAATTCCCGACGGAATTGTCCTGGTCTCTGCAGTTAGAGACTCGGAGGCAGGAGAACGAGAAGCCAACTTCCAGGGCCAAGAGGTCGGCACTCTTCAGCGAGTTTTAACATTCCGGGGCCTCCTCTTCGGGACCCCGCTTCACCGGCAGAACGGCACCACCCCGGTCACCGAACCGGAGCCGGCAATTCAAACAGCGCCGTCAGGTTAACTCGGACTCGTCAGCTGCGACGCTTCAGCGTGGACTGCAGTTAGAAGGATTGCAATGAACTAATGGTTTATCGAGCACAGGTGTTACCCTCTATTGGATTTTCAAGCGAGTGACGGCTCTTGTCCAACCATTCATTTCTTGCACGCAGATCAAGGACGGGACTGGCGAGGAGCCGTCAATTACATCATACAAGCATGACACATAAAACTTGGGGGTTGTCTGCTCCCAAGAACCTTGAACCTCTTTGCATTCAAGTTCGCAAGCTAGATGCTTAGCATATCACGGTACTTACACTACATTGTCGGCAGTAGGCACCATCAAGTTTCTCAGTCATGAAGCCTTCATTCGACGTACTGGACCGGGGGGGCCAAACACAACGGCCAGCGGTCGACCGGCGCCGCTGGCCGAAACTGCGGGATATTGTCATCTCGCTGGCCGTGGGCTATGCTCTCTACTGCTACTTCTTTTCAAAGCCGCTACTTGCTCATCCCCTGCCGCAGCATACGGGCCCCTACGCCGTTGGCGCCATCGACGTCGAGGCTCCGGTGCTGCCCGCCCGCACCATTCACCCGGCCCGGTTCAAGGGAACCGACGAGAAGGCGTTTGAGCTGCAGACTGTCCTGTTCACGCTGTACTATCCCGCGAGCTATGCCGCCGCGGCATCCAGTCATGCAAAGAGGCACACCTGGATCCCGGAGCCGCTCTCCCTTCGGGCCCGGGGGTACGCCAGAGCCGCACACATCAGCAACTGGTTTACGGATAAGGTTTTGACAACGGCCATCAACGCCATTGTCGGCGGCATCACCATTCCGGCTGCTGTGGATGTACCCCTGAGCGGCCATGCCGTGCCGACATCCCAAGACAAGAGTGCCGACGAGACCAAGCAAGATGTCATGGCGGGCGATGACGGGCCCAGCGATGGGTACCCCGTCATCATCTTCTCCCACGGCACTGTTGCATCTCGGACCGACTACTCTCACTACGCCGGCGAGCTTGCCGCCCGAGGCCACATTGTCGTCATGCTCGAGCACCGCGACGGCTCCGGGCCCAGCACCATCATCAGGCAACACGGCGCCGCCAACGTGACCCGCCTCCTCTTCGACGTCTCATCGGTCGAAACGCCCGACCACAAGCAGTCCCTCACGGTCGAGGAATTCCACCAAGCCCAGCTCGCCTTCCGCGAAGCCGAAATCGAAGCCGCAGTCCGCGTCCTCAAAGCCATCAACGCAGGCGACGGCGCCTCCGTCCGGCGGCACAACCCCTACGGTGAAGGGCGCGACCTGCCCCACTGGGCCGGCCGCCTCAACACGCGCGCCATGATCGTGGCCGGCCACAGCTACGGCGCGACGGGCGCCCTGCAGGCGCTGCGCGGCGGGCCCACCGACGCCCGCCCCTTCGCCGCCGCCATCGTCCTCGACCCGGGCAAGCAGAGCGGCCCGCTCAACCGCGACGTGCGCGTGCCGCTGCTCGTCGTCCACAGCAACTCGTGGAGCAGCAGGACCAGCCTGTTTTACGGCCGCGCCCATTTCGATACCGTCAAAGAGATCGTTGAGCAGAATAATGCGCGCGGCAACCCCAGCTGGTTCATGACCTCAATCGGCACCTCGCACCCCTCGGTGACGGACGCGCCGCTGCTCGAGCCGTGGCTGTTGAGCTTCACGACGGGCGCGACCATCAATGTGTACCAGGGCCTTAGGCAGTATGTGCATGTGGCCGAGGACTTTTTGGCGTTTGTGGCCGGCGGGGAGGTGAGGGGGTTGCTGGCGGAGAAGGCCGAGTTTCCGCAGTACGACGAGGGCGCCGTTCTCGGGTTGGGGAAGCCTGGGCAAGGAGGCAGGAATAAGACCATCGTGGAGGATGTGGTGCAGGGAGAGTGGGCGGATTGGAGGAGGTACTGGCAGATTCATGTCTCGCCGGCTGGAACTGCTGGAACGAAACAGGAGTAGTAATTCCTGCTTGGGGAAGTATGTCGGGGATGACTTATCATGACTATGTACAACAGAAATTCACTTTTCCTCCATGAGTCCTTCCACCTAACCACCTTAATTTAGCATGTGTCACGATTTCAAGACAGGTAAGCCCTGTCAACCCAAGTCTTGTAGTCGCTGCCCAGAATCTCCGAGATGCTGACAGCAGAGGACAGCTTCGTCGCGAAGCTCGCCCGGGTGCCCTTGGAGCCCTCACCGCTGTTCTTGTACTCGGCATACGTGACGTTGCCAGTCCTCGCGTCGCCATTGTTCCAGATGGCCCACCCGGCCGGGTTAACCACATTCGACATCTTCGTGTTCTGGAACACCACCCGGGAAAAGCTCCGCCACGGCCGGCCGAGGTAGTACGCCCCGGCAGCGACCGTGTCCCCGGCCTTGGCCGAAACCGTCGACTTGTTGATGACATAGTAGGACGGGTTGGCCTCCGAGTCGCGCCCGTTGGCTGTGATCCAGCCCGTGGACGCGGCCAACACGCGGATGTCGGCGCCGTCGAACCATGCGCGCGCCCGCTGGCCAAAGATGAAGTCGGTGGCGCCCTCAATGTAGCTCTTGGCGTAGACCTGCACGCCGGCGTTGGCCAGGATGGTGTCCTGGTAGCCCTTGAACTGACAGGCGTAGTAGCCTTGCCTGTCCTTTTGGGCGCTGAGGGCCAGCGCCTGCGAGCCCTGGCCGCGCGTGTTGACCAGGTTGATGTTGTAGACGTTGAGGTCTGTCGTGTGGGCGCGCAGCGTGGCCGTGGCGTCGTTGTTGGGCGAGTCGTCCTGGCTCTTGCCCTGCGTGATGGTGACCGTGTTGGCCGAGAACTTGGAAGTGTCCTTGGTTTCACCGTAGATGGTCAGGGTGGACTGGAGCTGCGGAATGTAGACTTGCTCCTGGTAGGTGCCCTTGTAGATAAAGATGCATTGGGCCGCGGTGGTCGTGTTGCTGAGGGCATTCACGGCGGACTGGACAGTCGGGTACTTGGCAGAGCTGCCGACTGCAAGGCATCCAGCAGGGGGGGAGGTGCGTGCGGCCCGAGCCTCGAGGGGCCAAGCCGCCGCGGCGGTGGTGAGTGGGAGAACGAAAGCAAGGGACGGAAGCATACTGGCAAGAGATGTTATCATGACTTTCTCAGTGTCGGAGCTGGCCCGAAAGTGAGGAGGCGCATTGATTAGCCGCCTAATATATGGCCAAGCCAACTCACCTGCCTTTCCAGCATGATGTCCTGCAGAGGCCGTCGATGCTACTCCTTTCGCCCGGAGACTGCCATCCATGTCACGGCGAAATCGTGGCTGAATCCGGGGTGCATCGATGGCATTCTTTTCCACCAACTGCTGTGAAACAACGGCACCGTTCATACCACGTCCGCGTCAACTGCAGTTCTCGAAAACTGGAGATCTACCCTCGGTATGGTAAAGCTGCGGGCGCGGTGGGGAAGGCTTGTCTTGTCCATGCCGTCGCTGGTTGGTGGAATTCATTCTCGGTGGTTGTGCCGGAGTAGCATCGCCTGGGGGAGGGGGTTGCCAAGAGACGCTGTTCTGGCCGTCCGGGGTAAACAAGCAGCTGGTCAACTCGGTACTGCGGTAGGACTCTTTTGAATCTCTTCAGTACAGCTTCTCTCGACAGAAACCCGGTTGTGGTTGTTGTTGTTACTATTGTTCTTAGTGCATTCCCCGGGATGCGTAGGGCCTACAAGTTGAAAGTTTCTTAATTTGATTGTTAAAGTGCATTTGCTGTGAGCGTCAGTGGTTTAGTGGTAAAATCCATCGTTGCCATCGATGGGCCCCGCGTTCGATTCGCGGCTGACGCATTTTTGACCCGGATCTCGAGCAGAGGTTTCGGTTGTTCTGTGAAGGGGGTGGATCTGTTGATTGAGGGACCGCAGGGAAATACATGTTGTGCCCCACATCCTTGGCAGACCGGGTTGCCCCACATCTGGTGCAGTGGTTACAGCCCTGCCCACCAGAGCCTATCACACATCCGGCATCACCACTGCATGAACTACCACCATTGATGATCACCATCTTCTGTTGTCCCTGGATCTCCATCAATACAACAGCAAGATGGTCTGACTATTCTCGAATGTGTGGGAAAAACTAAAATGCAGTAGTGGCCTGAGTTGGTGCTCTGAGCCTCATTGAGGTGCCGAGGTCAACGTTGTTGTCCTTAGAGTTCGAAGGACCCTCGTCTCAACCAGCCGTAGGTACTGCAATCACGCAGCCCAGGCACAATGACGTCCCATCTATTAGGTCGGTTAGTCGCTAGAATAGAGGCATTTGTGTCGACATCAAATTGTAAGCATGGGACTTGCACGTTGTTCCAGCGGTGTGCACGTAATCGGAGTCCGGCAGTATATGGCTCCTCAGTTACCAGAAGCACAGCAGTTTGAGCGGTCTCCGCGTAACTATTCCTCCCAGGTTAACATTAGCCAAATCTTCCTCTCCCTTGTCTACCTTACTTCAAGTCATCATCCGTGGTCACCTGTCTACCCATCAAAGGTAACATTCCTCCAACTAAAACAAAGGTATATCCAGTTCCAGGAGCACAAGTACGCTATATGTGTTGTACCTTTATACGTTGGGCACGTCCGACCGTCAGATACAGCTCACATCCCGACCTTGCTCAAACCAAGCAGGCATGGCTGTTTTGATAGTGTCTTCTCTAGTTCCCTTTCTTGCTGTGCCGCTTGTCTCCTTGTACCCTTCACGGTACAACCCAGGTGGCTCGTCCCAAGTCAAGTTTGTGGACATCCTTCTGGTGCCGTTTGAGGCTCCGGGAGGTCACAGATCTGTGTGAATAATGGTAGCATGCGCGAGGCTTGGAATGCTAGTGGCTTCATTGGTTCGTATGACTTGGCCAGGTTCTAGTGCCGCGTGTTAGAGGTGGGGGCTAAACCTACGTCAGCGCCGTCAGTCACCCTTCCATAAACCTCGGAAAACGTGTTTCACAAACTTGGCATAGGCAGGGTCGCGCCTTAGATTACAAACCGCTAATGGAGTTGGTTGACGGTGAGTTGTCTGCGGTACAGATCTCGTCGGAAGCGCCGTCAGGTCACAGGCGAGATGCAGCAGTCGGTGTCTCGTCGTCGGCATAAGCGCTGAAGTCTAAGGTAGGTACATGTAAGGGGACCTCATTTCCAGTTTATCAAATTGAGGGAAGCCTCACTTCTAACTGGCCCGTGAGTAGCATCATATCTCATCTCCGCATCAGGCCGAGCGCCATTGTGTGATTGGACCTTGCTGTTGGAGGACTTAGTTTTAACATGGTTTCAATGCGTTGTTTGGCGGGCTGTTGCCGAAGGGGTAGTGCTAGGCGGAGGATTATTCTCGTCTTGTTCGTGCGGATTGGATACATTGACGAGTTGCTTGAGAAGTTCAAAATAGTGAGGCGGATCTAAGAAAACTGGGAGTCTGGAGACTCGACCTGGGTTTGCTACCGACCTAAGGCGGTGGTAGTCCAAGGACTTTCAGTAACGCGTGGACAGTTCCACCGTCTGTTGATGTACCTTACTTCCAACCATATATTCTTCCCTCTCATGAAACAATGTTGCGGTTCGTGTCGCATCCTAGCCTGCCTACCTTAGCTATTTTGATCAAACACACCTACCTTACCCTTTGATACTGGGAGCAGCAGGATTGGGGACGACGGTATGGTCCAATAGGCGATGTAACGCCTCGAGGCATAGATGAAACGCTTTGCTCGTCAAGAGGATGAAATCCCAGCCTGTTGAATGCCCGGAGGCTTTGAGACATTCAGTCTCTGGCGGCATAAGGAATACGCTGCTGCCTTGCGCTAAATGGCCCGGCAGACCCATCACGCCGAGCCCGTCGATCCCATCTAACGTTCGTTGACAAGGTGCTCGGTGTTAAGAAATCAAGCATGTAAAGGACACTCTACATGCAGGAATGGTCTCCTGCTGAGGCTCAACCCCTTCGCCGCCGGAGAGCCCGGTTCGTCAATCTGCGATTTATTTTAACAATTTCAGGCCCACGATTTCTGGAATATCGATGGGCTCCGGGCTAGGCGATGTCGAACACTCATCCAAATGAAGTGAGCCGTTCTGGTAAGCTACCTGGACCAATACGTATTAAAAGTTTTCGAGAGATAAGGTGACCTATACGACTGTTAATCAGGTAGGTATCTAGCCAAGACAATTTTGCCACGGAAAGAGGGCTGGTTTTGAAGCAGCGGTTCGCAGCAGCAGTTGCTGAATCTCGATGTCTAGGTGGTACTTTACCCCAGTCGCGTCTCTGTCACGTTAGAATGCTGGGTCGGGCGGTCGCCGGTCGGCCCGATAAAAATGCGACTAGGGGACTGAGGTTGCACCTGCTGCAACCCAAAAATTCCCAAAGCGCGGCAGCCTTTTGTGACTCAGTGAACACAATGCAGTTGTCAGGCAGCCGGCGCCTCTCAGATGATGCTCTCACATGTTACCCCCGAAAAGCGCTTCGAAAAGACGGTTGGAACCGCTGATCCGGGGTTGCAGTGCCGGATCGGCAGCTTCTTTCCCTGGATCGTGTATTTGGCGAATCGATCTGCTCAAGTAGGCAGGTGGCGTAAGTGGCCCCCTGAAACCATTTCTCCATCGGCCAATCATGTCCGCAAGGCCTTCCACATCATCCTGTTCTCGAGACACAACTCCCCACGCGAAAGACGCCTCGGCAGTCTGGAACTCTCATAAGAGAGCGCCAGGCGGGCGCTGAATTTTCCAGAATGTGATGAAGAGATTCTCAAGCCAGAATCACAACCAAAGATCAGATGGAAACTTGCGGTGGATCTGGGCACATGAGGTACGGCGTCTGGCCAGGCGGCCCGGAGACAACGTTACAGTCCACCTGCCCGCCATCAATGCATCTCGGCGAGACTATGGAGTATCATACCTTGGACGAGACGAAACTACCTCATTCTTCAATGTCCCAGTAGCACCTTACACCTGGGGAAAAGGATGCTAATGACGCGCTCAGCTGATCGTCGTCCCTTCCGGGAGACTGGCCTAGCCAAGACTCAGGTCAAGTTCCTGAGATGCCCCCGCGGTCAAACTACCGCCATTGCAGAACTTCATCTCAGAAGGCTCGCAAAAAGGAAGAATCGAAATTCGGTTTCTCGCCGCATAAGAGCTCATTGGTCCCATACGCGGCCCGGCCCCGTTTGTCGTCAGGCCCCGAAGGTCTGAACTTGAGCTCACCATTGGCTGCTTCGTCAGTCCTTGAGGCTCAAGTCATCTCACCCAAGAAATGATAATCCCTGGACCCGGGCTGGACCGCATAAACTTCAAAATGATCCTTCCACCCTCCGGCCTTGATCCCCGAATGACCCCCATTTTTGCCTCCTGACTACAACTCTAACCCCCCTCGTCCGCCGAACAGGAGAAAAGGCACATGGCGCCGACATGCCTGTTGTCTGCTGGACATATCAGGGGGCCTTAACTTGGCAGGTCTCATTGGCCAAGATACTCTCCCCTTTCCTGGTCAAGAAGAGGCCGAGAGGACAGCGATATGGTTCGTGCACCGTCCAGCTGCCCCCTTGGACATCCTGGATGTCTTCTCTCAAGGGTATCTAGTCAGATAGAGAGTTGAGGATTTAAGCAATCTACATTTCCCTCCTTTTCTTTTGCCCGTCTTCGTCGTTCCTTACCGATCCAACAAGACACATTCCTTAGACCACATTCCTTTCACACATTCCAGAAGCACTTAGTTTACTTCGTCCATTCCTTGAGCATACCTTGAGGCTTAAGAGAGCCATCTTCTTGTCACTCCTTTGCATATTGTCAAAACCACCATGCACTTCGCCGCCTACCTTTCCCTCCTGCCCCTGCTGGGCACCGCCGTCTCGGCCTGGGACGCGCCCAGTTACAGCGGCTACCGGCTTGTCTGGGCCGACACCTTCGCGGGCCCGAGCGGGCAGCTGCCCAACGAGAACAACTGGAACATCCTGGACGGCAACCTGGGCGTCAACAACGAGCTGCAGACGTACCGGCGCAGCGCGCGCAACGTGCAGACCAGCGGCGGCAACACGCTGCAGGTGGTGCCCTGGAAGGACGGGTCTTCGTGGACGTCGGGCCGCGTCGAGTCCAAGTACACCTTCACGCCGCAGCCGGGACGGCGGACCATGGCCGAGGCGCAGATCCGGTTTGGCGGCAACGATATCGGCACCAAGCAGGGAATCTGGCCGGCATTTTGGCTGCTGGGTGACTCGATCCGCTCTGGCACGCCCTGGCCGGCCTGCGGCGAGCTGGATATCCTGGAGACGGTCAACGGGCAATTGACGGGTTACGGGACTATTCACTGTGGCGGTCAGTCACCTCTCTTTTGTTTTTCTTTCCCTTCAATCACACTCGGGTTACAGTGGAGGTCACGGTTCTCAGGGGGCTGACATTGATATACAACGCAAAGTCTACCCCGGCGGCGTTTGCAACGAGCCCACGGGGCGCGGCGGCACGGTATCCATCCCCAACCAGGACTGGCAGCGCTGGCGCATCGTCTGGGACCGCACCACGGGCGACTGGCGGTCCGAGACCATCACCTGGTTCATGAACGACAGCCAGTTCCACCAGGTCCGCGGCGACCAGATCAACGACCAGACTGTCTGGACCAGCCTGACTGCCAAGCCGCTGTTTTTCATTCTGAATGTTGCTGTGGGTGGGAACTGGGTGAGTGCTACGCCCTAATTTCATGTGCACTATGTGGTTGCGGTTGATCTAATGTGATGTTGTTTCAGCCTGGATACCCCAACGACCGCACCCTCGGCGGCTATGGCGCCATGATGGAGGTTGGATATGTGGCTCAGTACTCTTCTTGACGCATATGACGAGTCATGCCGGTCACATTTGGCATGTCAATGTCAGCTGAAGCGGTTACCTTCTTGTACATGGTTGCTGCCACTAGATTTCTTGTAGAGATTTACTCTTGATATATGGTATGAAGCATTCTTGTGTTTCACTTATAGCTCGTACTTAGTCAACTCAAAACATGTTCACTTCCGCTTCTATATATACCGTTGTCATGGTGACGATGCTGCTCCAAGTTGGTTGTTGTCTACTGGGATGGAGAGGTGCGGACAATCTCCAGGCCATCACCCCAAGGTTCGTGTTGATGATAATCCTATAAAGTGTCACCCTTCAATCGTCGGCAACAAAGTGGACCATGTCACAACTTGAAATTGAGTTGTATGTACGCATATGCAACATCAGTTTCGTCGAGGGAATTATCATGCTCTACGTATCCGGTCTTGTCCCATGTTAACGCCAACACCCCTAGCGCCGTACCAAAAGTAAGCTACAACTCCTGCGATGACCTGTATCTCCCCCTCATCAAGTCCGGTCGAGTCCCTTATTCCCTCTCCCAACCACCCGAGCGCCGACGCTTGTCATATGTGACAAAGACGGTGCTCGTCTTGGTGATCCCATCAGATTTGCCTGCTGCTGCCGCTGCTGCTGGCGGCGTCTTCAAATCCTGCGGCAGAATGCTCTCCTCAGAGCCGGTCATGGACGACCTGCCCGTCTTGACATCAGTGGTGAACTTGCCCGTGGCCTGGTTGTACATCTCGAACTCGGGTGCCGTCGCGCTCCTCGGGCCCGCTCTGGCCGCTGACCTGGGGTTGCCGGTGCCGCTAGTGTCGCCGTTGCGGACGTAGCCCTTGTACTTGGAGCCGTATCGGGCAGCAGCAGATGTGCCTTCAAGCAGGGTCTTGAAGATAGGTTTGAGACAGGGGAAGGAGGCGGCGATAATGGCGATGTTGATTTCGACGGTCGTCCTGTGGTGGGGAGGGGTTGCAGTTAGTGTACTGCGAGTGCGGGTTTGAATGAGGACGTCGGGATGAATATACCAGATGGTGATGTCGACGCTGTCCCACAAGAAATCGCCGTGCTTGCCGTAGCTTTCGAGGAAGGTAATCTTGACAATGGCCGAGGCGGCAGCGAAGATGCCCAGCGACAGAATGCCGGCCACAGCTGACTTGACCTTCCAATTCATCTGCACGTTCCAAAGAATGGGCACCGGGAGAAGAGCAAAGACGACGTCAGTCAAGGCTGCTACTGCCGAGTTGAAGAAGGCGGCAAATTTGAGGTGCGATGGCGGGATGCATTCTCCCTTTACCGACGAGTCCCAAGCAAGTGCCAGGGGCCGGCATTGGAAGAAAACGGTCACTGCTCTCGAGTCAGCATCGGCCATTCAGGTAGTCGCTCCTTGGGTCAACGATTTACTTACATAGGTTTCCGGTGTGCGACATGATGGTGAAAACGATCATGCCAATGACGATGTACCGGAAGTTACGCGACGGTGTGAGACGGAGTAGGAAGAGGCCGACGCTGACCTTTGTGAAGCAGAGGGAGATCAGGCATAGAGGCTGGGTGACGAAGTTGAGATGGAGTCCCTTGACGACGTTTTCGGGTGGCTGGATGTACTGGACGTGGCGGCCGCCGCCGACCTGGACTTGCGGAATGATGACCATCATCTCGACGAACATGACCAGCTGGTTCGACAGTCAGCCATATCTCGCCATGCGCGCAACAGATCGGGGGCTCATGGCTGATGAGAAGGCTCAGAGAAGCCATGGGCAAGACACGACATACCATGGCGGCGATGATGGTCCAGTCGTCGGCACCAACGTGGCGGACAATCTTCGCTCTCACCCAGATGCGCAGCACCACCACAAAAAGAGCAATGCCCACCAGGGACCCGCACACAGCGAGGATTTCAGGGCCCCTGTTCTCATCGGGAGGAATTGGCTGCTCTGCTGAGTCGGCCATATTGACGATGAGCGGGTGATCCTCACGGTCGACGACCAACAAGTGAAAGGCTGTTGATCGATCAATGGGCCTCCTTCACGGGAGCAACCGCGCAATCGGTTAATCAATGGGGGAGGGCCGCCATTCTTAATCGGCCCCGAGCCCTGGGAGGCTTTCTTTTTCTCGTTTCACACTGCGTGTCCCTCCCTCCTGCTCCTCTTGCTGGCCCTGTGCAAGGTCTCGGTCTCCACGTTCTGGCTGGCAGTGTCACTCTGTCGGCTCCTGCCAGTTGCGGCAGAAATTCCCGTCCCAGCAATCCAACCCTGGCTCATCTTGCATTAGTTAGGGTTACAGTACAGTCCTGTTCGGTATTCGCGCTGCGTGATTTGGAACCGAGGACAGGGGTGCGGCCCAAAGCCTTGGTTTCAACTCCCAACTTCAAGGGCAGCTGAGAACGAGACGAACAACGGGGAGAAAGGGGGGGCAGGTTGGAAATCTTGGGTGCAACTCAACTTTGCCAATTCCAGGCCCCGTTGGTCCCAGCGTCTTTTTTTCTTCTCTTTGCCTTGATGAAGTGGATGCCGATGAGCCCCGTCTTGCCCCCGAAGGCTTACTTCCTGCCGTTACCAGTGGCGATTTCGGCGACGCTGAGGAGAAAAGTCTGGCAAGAGACAATAGGGAATACGAAGGCCAGAGGGAGTTTTACTTACCTACTGTAGCGAACATTGCGACCGAGTCGGCCAGAATCGGCCAGAATGAGTCTGGAAAAGGTGAAGTCGGATGAATTCTCCACAGTCACATGGCCAAGCGACTTCCTCCGCGGCGTGAATCCCACATGAAGTCCACGTTCACGACGTTATCTGTGGTCCGAAGTTCGAACATCCTAGATCGAAAGATTCGCATCTTCACATCACTACAAAGCCTTCAAGTCTGTCAGACCTGAGGGGCCCGGTTCCAGTTCTCACACCACAGGACTTACAGATTCCCATCGGCACAACATCGAACCAGGACAGTATTGACCCGAGCTCTTTACGTTATCCATATCTCGCGAGAGCTGTCGGGACGGGGGCAGCGCGGAAGATAACCCGGTTGAGCAAGTGTGGATTTTGAGACAATGCCATTCGCCAGAGAGGAATTATCCCGAGCCCAATTCCAAGCGGAGGCTCGTCAATGCACCAGAATCCTGGGCCCCACCCCTCTCATCAACAACGTCGCATCGAACACGACCACTGCTGGGGACTCTCATGCAGGGGCAGCACTCTCGATACACGTGGTTTGGACTCGGAGAGACAGGAAGTTTAGTCGGGCCAATCAACAATATTCCAGCCTCGGCCTCCAATGCCGCATGCAGCAAAGCTCTCGCCATCTCGCCTCGCCGTGCATCTGCTCCCCTGCTTGGCTTTGCCACGGACGGTGAACAACAATTTCCGGGTCTGGCAGCTCGACTGTGCCGCGCCACGCACGTTGCTCAAAACAGGCCATTTGGGTAGGAGCCGTGATAACAAAGCGCAACTGCCGGCAGCAGCTTTTCAATAGTTACCATGATGGCGGGAGAAATTCGTCCCAATTCGTGAAATTGGCCGGTTCCCAGATGCTGGGGGTAGCAGAAGGAATTCCGAGAACCCCGGATGCCACGAGGGAGCGGGTCCTTATTATGCACCTCGCTTCCTTCTCCCGAACTTCCCATCGATCGACACTCCTCTCGCCGTGATCGACCGACACACCACCATGAAGGCCGCCGCAATCTTCGGGACTGCCCTCCTGGCCGCCGCGGCCCACGCCGGTGTGGTGCTGCCCCGGCAGGACACCACCACCGACTACAATGACGGCCTCACCCCGTCCGAGGACCTGAACGAGCTCATCGAGCAGGCCAAGGCTCAGGTCATTCAGAATGTCACTGAGACGGAGCAGCAGCTTCGCAAACGCGGCCAGACCCCCCGCTGCACCGTCAAGAACCTCGTCTTTCGCCGGGAGTAGTAAGTGCCGTGTTCACCTGGGTTAAACCTGTCTGCCTGCCTAAACTGCTAACCGGTCACAGCGGCTCGCTGTCCAAGAGTGAGCGGCTCGCCTACGTCAATGCTGTCAAGTGTCTGCAGAGCAAGCCTCCGCGAACCCCTGCCAGCGTCGCCCCCGGTGCCAAGTCCCGGTTCGACGACTTTGTCGTGACGCACATCCAGCAGACGCTCTCGATCCACTACTCGGGCATCTTCCAGCCATGGCACCGCTGGTTCGTCTACCAGTACGAGAAGGCCCTGCGTGACGAGTGCGGCTACACGGGCTACCAGCCGTACTGGGACTGGCCCAAGTACGCCCGCGCGCCCCAGGACTCGCCCCTTTTCAACGGCGACCCGTATAGCCTGGGCGGCAACGGCGAGTACATCCCGCATGAGGGTCCCATCATCGTCCCTCCCCCCGGCGTCGGCGGCGACAACATCTCGCTCCCCGCCGGCGAAGGCGGCGGCTTCGTCAAGACCGGTCCCTTCGCCAACATGGTTGTCAACCTCGGTCCCGTCGGCGGGCTGGCCGACACTGCTCCCGGCCCGATGGGCGGTCTGGGCCACAACCCGCGCGGTCTCAAACGCGACCTGGGCGGCGCCATGAACATGCGCTACGCCAATTACACCACCGTCCTGCGCATGCTGCTCCAGCCCAACGTCGACCAGTACCGCATCGTCTCGGAGGGCGTCCCATACACGCCCGAGATCGGCCCCCACGGCGGCATCCACTACACCATTGGCGGTGACCCGGGCGGTGATCTCTTCACCTCGCCCGGCGACCCGGCGTTCTGGGTCCACCACTCCCAGATGGACCGCATTTGGGCCATGTGGCAAGCTCTCGGCTTGGATGGCAAGCGCTACACCGATCTCGGCTCCGGTTCGTATGCCCACCGCACCTGGGAGAACAACCCCCCGTCGCCCCTGGCCGAGCTCACCGACGTGATTGACATGGGCTACGCTGCCCCCTCGACCACTATCGGCGAGGTCATGTCGACCACGGGAGGGGAGTTTTGCTATTTTTACCTCTAAACGGATAGGGCGTTGATGTATATACTTCTCAGTACGTGTTAGCTAGGTGGTTGCATTATAGTCGAGCTTAATCGACGCACAACTACAATGTTTCCTCCCATTGAATTAGAAGAGATACTGTAAAGACCGAGTTTGATGAAGTCACGGACGCATCGGGCTGTACTTCTCCGCCAACAGAAGCACCCGAATCCCATATTGGACCCCTGCCTATTCAAGCCCAGCTGAGGCCTTGGGCATTTGGGCTTCCATACCACCTTACTGGCGGCGATGTTATAATCACCTCAACCAACAGGACAGGGCACCCGCAACGATGGTGGTCAGACGGCGAATGCGGCTGATTCCGAGTTCCGAACGCGGTTCAAAAATTCTGGGAAGTACTCTTAACTACTGTACCTTATTCGGACATCTGGTGCAACGCCGGCTCGGTCCGCGTGCAGCTTACCTCAGACCCAAAGGCGGATATTTGCTGACATTGTCCAATAAATACTCCATTCGAACCATCAGGCTGAATGCAACCATTTTCGCCGCCAGTGATATATTCAAAGGAGAGCCTGAGAAGCTCTGACTAGGGCAGCCTAGCCATTGAGCAAACTACTAGAAGAGCTGACTCGGAACCATTTTCATTTTCAAGTTCCTCTGACGTCGTAGTGATAGCAAGGAGTCCAGCCCCTCATAACCCATACAAGCTCCAACGAAGACTCGTCAGCTAGAGCCTCGACTACCCCTCATCAAGCTCAACTCCACCCCAACTTCCAGGCCACGGATCCCTTCTGCCTTGGACGCTCGGAGACAATTCGGGCACTTGTTACTGTAGCACAATCTGCGTTTTAATTATGTAGGGGACCGTCCCAGGCCAACCACAGCGCGACACACCGCCGCGAATCGCATCTCAGGACCGTCAACATGACATCGGCCAACAACACCCGCTTCAGCGCCGAAGCGCTGACATGGGACTCCAACCCGGACGTGCAACTCGCCACGGCCCTCGCGCACAAAGCCTACCTCGCCCACCTTCCCCCCGCACCCACCCTCTCCACCTACAACGTCCTGGACCTAGGCTGCGGCACCGGCCTCCTCTCGCTGGCCCTCGCCCCCTCGGTCCTCTCCGTCACGGCAGTTGACGCAGCGGAGGGCATGATCGCCGCGCTGGAATCCAAGCTCGCCTCCCCAGATACTAACAACAACAACATCAACAACACTCCCAGAAATGTCCTCCCCGTCTGCGCCCTCCTGCAGGACCCAGACGACCCGCGCCTCGCGACCGACCCGGCAACGGGAGAAACCGTACCTACGGGGCGACGGTTCGACCTGGTCGTGTCGCACCTCGTGCTGCATCATATCCCCGACCTTCCTGCGCTGCTCAAAACGATCCACGGGTGTCTTGTGCCCGGGGGCAGGGTGATGGTGACGGACTTTGAAGACACGGGGCCTGAGGCGAGGCGGTTCCATCCCGAGGGCAAGATGGACGGGGTGGAGCGGCATGGGATCACGGAAGGGGAGATGAGGAGGGTGATGGAGGGGGCTGGGTTTGCGGAGGTGAGGGTTGAGCGGGCGTTTGAGATGGGGAAGAAGGTTGAGACGGAGCCGGGAAGCGGGGTTCTGGGACCGGTGGTGGTGTTTCCTTTTTTGATTTGTGAGGGGACAAAAGGGTGATTTGGGAGGGAACGCCTCAGCGTGGTTGCTGCCCGAGTCGAGATACCTGTACTAAAGCACGTGGAACGGGGCATCATGCAACACTGAAGAGACCAAGTCGATCCAAGGCTAGCAAGAGTCCTGCTCAAACCAGCCCCCATATCTGCTTACCCGTCCTCTTTTCTTGAACAGTTCCAGCCAGCGGAACTAAACCAATACCCCTCTAAGCCTTAGCCACCCCCCCTTATCAGCCCTCGGACCAGCCCAGGTACCCCTCTCCTCACCCTCCCCACCTCATAGTTCTTTTCCAAGACTTCCATCTCACATGCCAGTCTTGCCCGCGCGGGTGCAGGAAATGACGTTGCCCTTGGTCTCAGCTTCATGGTACGAAAACTTGAGGCCTCGCCAGCACTGAGCCTTGAGCGAAGTCGCCGTCCACCTGGAGGGGCTCGAGATGTTGACGATAATCTTGTTGCCGGACTCGGTGTAGGGGATGCCCATTTCCCTGAGTTTGGCCTTGACGTCGGTCATGCTTAGGGAGATGGGGATGGATGTGTCAGTCCGGCAAAGTCCAGTCACTGCTGAGAAGATGGACGGATTGGGCATTGGTCAGGGTGGGTGGGTGCGTACCAGACGCCGCAAGCCTTCACGGTGATGGGCATTTTTGCGGATGGTTTTGTCGCTTGGAATGGATTAGTTTGAAAGCGGTTCGCTGGTGCGTTGCTTTTAGGGATGAGCAGGTGCGTGCTTTATTGAGATTGTTGCTGTTGTGAGTTGAGGATGTTGTGAGGGAAGAGCATCGAGGGCGGGACAGGAAGGTCACTTTATATTCGTCGACCTGCTCAGGCCGTCTGCGAGAACTGGCCCCGACAACAACATGGCGATACTGTCCGCCTCCTCGGACTCCTTTTGGGCCGGAGGCGTTGGGTAGTGAAACTGGATGGAGCGAGACGCCGCACACGATGGACCCGACTTTGGCCGTTGCTTGTCGCGGGCTTGGTAGTGCACTCCCCTGGGACTGCATACATGCCGCCTTGCCGGGCCAAAAACGCCAGGTAGTGAGGTGTCGTGGTATGATCCCTCGGCCTCTGACACTGGACACATCCTGCCCGGAACGTAGGAGGCCGCGCCAGTCCGACCACGGGCATCCACCTTCTCAAGGAAGTTTCTGTGCTTAGTTGCCTGCTGCAACAGCATCGAGAAATCAGAGTGGTGAAGTTCCCCTAGGTCTATTTTTGGGTCTGCCCACTGGTGCGGCAGTGTATGATGGTCGTGAAAGTGGGCACGTCGGGGGATGCGGCATAGCTAGCCTGGCCTGGAACTTGGAAGCTGGGATGTCCTAATACATGTAAGGCCCAGGTAAACCGCCTGAGCGAGGTGGTTACTATTGCCAAGCTGGCTGTCCCCGGTCTGCTCCCTCTCGACTGTTATTCGAGTCCAACACGACGGCTCATGCAGGCATACGAGAATGCGACCGTACAGGCACGGGGAGGGCAACTGCCTGGGTCCCTCTTTGCACCTGAAGTACCCGGTCAACTATTGCTCCAACCACGAATGGGACCTCCTTGCGTATGATCAAGCTAGCTATCATGTTCTCAACGTAGCATCGATGGTGGACCGCCAATTTCAACCACAGAGCCCTAGCCGATTCCTTCGTTTCCCCACGTGGGTGACAACGGCACATCATATCTCGCGCAGATATAGGTTAGGCAGCCGGATTCCTGCATCGGTAGCTTAATCCTAAGACGGCCGTGCTGTTGGCCCCGGCAGGCCAGCAGCTGCCCTGGGCTAACCCAAGCAAGGCGTCGTCCGACAATCCAATTCGATGGCGCGACAGCCCCTGAGACTTGATCCAACACTGCAACACGGCACCCTCGGACTTAATTCTTCTTCCTGAACCAGATTCGCGTCCGGTTCCCTCTCGCATGCCGAGGTCCACTTTTGACTTTTGATTCCAGGGTATATTGGTGATGGCATTATTGGCCGCAGGAAGCCTGGATCCGCTGAGATACCGTGGTAGCACAGCATTTCAAACCAGGATGAAATCCTCACTCTGTCCCTCTGGAAGTGCCTCGAGCACTTCGCGATGCATAATATCAAGCACATAACACTTCCCCAATAACGCGAAAGTACCATTCCGCTTGGCTCGGAGGACAAAGGGGACAGCAGCTCCAGCAATGACATACACAGCGTCGCCGATCGACATCGTCTTTGGCATCGAGGTATCACATGCCCGTTGGTAAAATACGGGTCCGCAAATGAGGACAGAATCTTGGCGTGGCTGTCATGATCCGCTATGTCCGGGGCAATCGCTGAGACGGTGCCCACGCGGATGCCTTTGAGCAAGAGTCCATGTTTGTTGCGTGTGTAGCGCCGTTGTATCATACTCTGCAGGCCACCTGGCACAGCTGCCCACACCCGGTCCAGGGTTTTCCATCACACATCGTTCCCGCTGCAACGCGTCTCCAGCGGTCGTCGCAAATAAGAATGTATTTTGTCCACGCGCACGATGGAGGCCGGTTCTACCCATTGCGTTGCGGCACAGAATCCCTCTAGGGACAACAGCGGCGCCGCCTCGTGCGGCGAGTCCCAATCGGGGATCCAAGAGGGGCAATGCAGTATGTTTCGCCTTGCCGATGTGGCTCAGAAAGGAAAGCTCGGGTTTGTTAACAATAAGACGCGATGGCCACTCATCCAGCATTAGCGGCTCTTGCGCTCGTGGAGAATTTCAGATCCGCGACTGAGCAGAAACGTAGTGTCTTCCTGGGTTGTAATCCTGTACTTGACGACGGTTAGGTAGAGTAGCTCGATCTGATTCTTGACGGCGGGGAACACAATCTTTTGGCCGTCATCGTGGGCAATGCCTGTCAGGGCCAGGACTTTGTCGACGGCCTCGGTCGCTTGCGTAGGCCGCAGCACCGGGAGAAGTGCTTTCAAACGGGATCGATTATGGCAGCTTAACAGGTTGAGAACTGGCTCCGGCTCTCTGTCTAGTTCTGTGAAACTCGGCGGTTCCCGAATTGAATTGCGGGTGTGTTATGCTCTCAATGAAAGCGAAGTCCCTCCGGAACTGGCCGCGGCGGACGACGCTCTCGGCAATCGAGCGGGCGGGCACCTTATGCCAGCCCGGGCCGTAGTATGTTGTTTGCGACACGGTGAATTGGATGCTTCCCAAAGTATATTCCATGAACGAGTCCAATCTCCATATACCACTTTTGCCTCTTGTCCCATGACAGACTCTTGGAACGTCCAAGCGCGGCGGAACCAAGGCGTGTGCTCGAGGAAGTGGTTCAGATGCTGTAAACCATCGAGGCTGAACCTACTGTGGCCCATATGTTTCACCCGCCGGGGGCCGAGCGCAAGAAATCGCCGCCGCTCGCCCTCCAAATGTCGCCTTAAAGGAAGAACCGTTCGCCACCAGGCGGCGGCTGTACCGCTGCAGCGCGGCCTTGGCCACGAGATTGAGGAACCGCGTCGTCCAACAATCAAGTGAAGAATCCGTCTCGCTCGCTGGGATCGATGCACTGGAGTATCATGCATAGGTCGATACAGCCGAAGACGTGGTCGACGTCGTGTCCGGCCGTCGCCGCGTCCCTCAGCCAGATCACAACGGGCGAAGCGCCTGCGTAGATCTCTGTCATCAGTCTGATCTGCGCGCCCTTCTCGACTTCATCCTTCTGGTTGATGCAAATTTGGTCGATCCAGAGCCGCCGCGATTCATCCCGGAGCCGAAGATGCCGCAGGAGCCTGTGCAGGTTGTCCGTGACCTTGAAGTTTGTTGGTGACTTTGACCATCAAGGCAAAATCTTTGTCGTAAACCATGGGCACGCGCCAATTGCAGGTAATGCTGTGCTGTCGCTTCACATCTCCCTAAACGTACGACACAGCCTCGTAGGACTCCCCACCTCTCAGTGCTTGCTGGCTGAGGGAACATATGATGGGATCGTCACCGGCGCCGGGGACCAGGTCGATGACACGGATCCACCCAGGGCCGAGTTGATCCGTTTGATCGTAACAGAACTTGGGAACCCGACCCTTGGCTGACAAACGATTCAGTTCGCTGCCCGTCTCCGTCACCCTGCCGATGCTGGTCTCCACTTCTGGTGTCAGCCAAGATGGTCTGGTGCTGGAGGCCATTGTCTGGGCCCACGTAACAGAGCTGTATCGTTGTAATTAATGTAGCTCGAGGCGAGTGAAATCAAGATGAGTGGGCTGAGACGCGAAGTCTGTGATGCTCTTATGGTGCCTTTCCTGACGTTGGCGAAATTCACCTCAATTGAGAGTCTAAGAAGATGAATGATGTGGCGCTTGCTAACGTACCCAGCCACAAGACTGAATGGTCCTGCGAGTCCTACTCTGTAGGTAGGTAGTCCCGTGAAGCCACCTGCATGTCTTGCTGTGCTTCAAGTGCCTCTCCTTTCTCGAAGATAGGACGCTGAACACTTGAAGAACGCAGCCACCAAGCCGATGCTAAAACCAAGTCAAGAGGCAACAGTTGGTGGCGTGAAAAGGGAAAAGAGTAGAGGGCTTGTACGAGTTGATGACCGAACGTCAACGAATCGGATGTAGTTAGCGTGCCAAGGCCCTATAGGTTTCGTGCCTCTGGGCGAAATAAATTCCTTCCTTCCGTCCTTCCTTCCTCTCCTTTCTCTTTTATCGTTCGCATTGTTATCTTTAGCCATGCCATTTGAACATGGTCGCTACCGCCGTGCTCCAAGCCTATCTCGTCCATTGGGTTGAAACTCCAGGCAAACAACTTGCTGTTGTCGCAGGACCGTGGAACGGAGCATCCAAGAGGCGAAGAGCCCGCAAGTCCGCCTCCCTGCCTCGCGGGGAACATGCTGCTGAAGTTACAAAGGCGTCTCCCAACAGGCGACAAGCGACTTGGCATGTGTGCTGATCTCTCTCTGGTCTTAAGGAAAAGCCTTAGTCATGAGGGACGTTGCCCGGCACATCGAGCGAGGAAACATTGAAAGTCACAGTATGTTAGCGGAAGGTCCGAGCTCAGCTGCATCATCTCCAGGGGAGAGCACGAGACACCTGTTTCTCAAACGGTCCGTGCGCGATTCTACTGGAGTTCATTTCGTCCCTCGCAGTTTCCCACGCATCCATTGATGCAATGCAACCCAGATTCCAATCTTCGCTTTGCTGTGGACTCTCGGGATTGCCTGAGCATTGGACCCACATCCATCAGGGGCAATTTGCGGTCCCTGGGATGTGGATTTGCCTTTGGCCGCCAGTTTGCTCCACATTCTTCCTTTCCCAGCCCTGGAATTTTCTTTTCTCCGTCTATTCGCAACCCGTGACAAGCTGGGCCGTGCATTTCTTGGTGGTCAGCTTATTCCGCTGCATGGCGCCGGCAAACCGCATTTCTGGCTGTGCTCATCCAACTGATGAGCGGGATTGCTACCGCTGTCGCTGTCGTGCACCGCGATCGTCTTAACCATTCTAGCCGGTACGGTGCATCGGCATTCTTGCTAGCTTGACTCCTCGCTCAGCATTGCCGTTCGTCCCAAGTTTGCTGTGTACTAACCGCTTAGTCCGACTTCGCCCAGACCCACGGCACGCTCAGACACACCCGCTATATCGACGCCAGGTCTTTCTCTGCAGCATGCAGGTTTGCATCTCCTGCAGGTGCCATTCTCAGCCATTCCGCAAGCTCGCACACTGCACATGTCTCCGAGACAATCGGTCAAGCCAACGTTGTCGTCCTGAGACGTCCACACGCGTGTCGACTCGGCAACCCCTGAAACGGGTTCGCCGCCTCTCAACTCCTGCGCCGAGCAGACAAACCGGCCTAGCGACTACAGTACACATAATACCCGAGCCGCGCCTTTGGCGCCGGCGCTCCCGCCAGGATGGAGCAGATTTCCCTATCTTCCGCCCCGCCCCCTATCCCTCGCAGGTCCCGAGAACGGGACCGTGCCCGGCATCCGTCCCCTGACGCGGTCCAGCCCTCCCGTCGCCGAGACCCTTCCCACCCCGCTCCGACCGCCAATGCGAAGCGCGACAGAGACTATAACGACGTCTTTTCCGACTGGACGAGCCGAGACCGAGAGCGATACGCCGACCGATTTCTCCGAGACCCGGAGGACGACCAAGTCGGTCCTCTAGCCCCCGCATCGCCCGAGGTCATCTCGTCCCTCATAACGTCCCTCTCGGCCATCTCCAGGCCGGTGAGTAATCACTTTGACGGCCCATCCTACCTGAGCCCCATTGGTCTTGGGAGTCCGCTTTCATTGTCGATTCCCGGTTCGCCCAGCGGCGGCTCTTTCGGGGTTGATTATGGCGCCTATGCCCAGCCGTCACTGAAGGAGTTGAAAGAGGAAAATGTCCCTCTAGAGGAGCTTCCGGCAAGCGCTCCGGTCATCCGGACATCCAAGCCACCCAGCGGCTTGTCATCGCTGACCGCGCCGAAAAGCCCCGGGGCCCGAGACTCACTGAAGGGCCTCCTTTCGCGGCGGAGCAGTGGAGGCGTTTCGCGTCCATCAAGCAAGGGGTCGCTGACATCCGGCGCCGATAGTATTGGAAAGCCCAGCGTTGAACGCAGTCAGGAGCCCCTGTCTCCAGGTGTCGAATCGCACGGTCCAAAAAAGCAACAGTCACACGACAGCTGGGGTAAGAAGGGTACCCGGAACCAGCGTGGCTTGATGTACATGAGCAGCAGGGAAAGACTGCGGGAAAAGGAGGCCGAGAAGAGGCGCGCGAGCATTGGCGCTGTTGGCGGGAATTTGAGCAGACTCAGCTCAGCGAGCGGTCCCACGACTCCGCACCTCGATCCGCTCGCCGCAGAATCCATCATAAACGAGGAGCCAAACGGGGACTTGGCGATCGGTTCACCAGACGGCCTGGCGAACCCAGGGTTAATCCCCACTAGAGATTCGTCGCTGAGGAAGACTGGGAACGGCACCAAAAGATCGTCGGCAAGAACCTCGAGGACCTCGAAACGAGATAGTGAGGGCGGCGCATACGGTACGATTCCCGAACTGGAGGAACACGCCGCCGGCACCCGTGGCTCGCGCGCCGAGATAGCAAAACGTCGTCCTACCGGGACGAGACAGGGCCAGCAGGTCGATCCTTTGAACCTCTCCGCCGCCTTGCCACAGGAGAACTCGGCTACCCTGAGCAAACCGGCTCCTGAAATTTCCAGCACGAGTCCTTTCACACCTGCCGTCGCCATGTTCCCTGACATCGACGCTGTTGACGATGGCGCGCCTTCTCCTGCCGTGGCGCAGAGTCGCCGCCGGGACAGGGAAGCGAGCGCCGAATACAGGCGACGCTCCGGTCGCCTGACACCTGATCTGTTTGGCGGATACGCAAGTGAAGGCGGTGGTGCGTCCGTCAAGGTGAAGCGCACCAGCACTAAGACCAAGCGGCGGTCGGGAGCAGTTAGCCCCACGCCAGACAGCACGACCGAGCAGGGTGTTCCCACTGGGAACAATAGGCTCGGCGACCAGCCCCACGTGGCCTACGAAAGGCCGCGAAGCGCCGACAGCGTCGATGACGCCGTCGAGAGCTACCTGTGTAGCCCCCGGCTGAGTCAAAAGATCAAGCATCCTCAAACCGGGCGCGTCATCAGCTTTAGCGAAGTGGGAGACCCCAACGGCAGCGCCGTCTTTTGCTGCGTCGGCATGGGTCTGACGAGATACATCACGGCCTTTTACGACGAGCTGGCCCTGACCCTGAAGTTGCGCCTGATAACCCCAGATCGCCCGGGAGTTGGTGACAGCGAGCCGTATGCCGACGGTACTGCGACGCCACTCGGCTGGCCTGGTATGTAACGTTTCCTCCCGAGATGCTATCCGGCTTTGTATGTGTTTTGTTTGACTAACGCCCAATCAATAGATGATGTGTACGCGATTTGTCAGTCACTCAAAATCACCAAGTTCTCCATCCTCGCCCATTCAGCCGGCGCCATCTATGCCCTCGCCACAGCACTCCGCATGCCCCAGCATATCCGTGGCAGGATACATCTGCTCGCACCCTGGATACCACCGTCGCAAATGAACGTGTTCGGGGCAAGTGAGAAGACACCGCTACCTCCAACCAACGCTATTCCTACCAGTCAAAGGATATTAAGGGCTCTTCCGACGCCGATTCTGAAGGCTGCCAACAGCAGCTTCATGACGGCCACAAGCTCCAGCATCACGAGCTCCCTGCCCAAGCAGAAGCGGACGAAGCGGGACAAAAAGGGCGCAGCTGGGGGGAAAGAGAATAAGGATCAGCCAAAGGGCATGTTCCACGGGGGATCGGAAAACAAGGAGAACCTTGACCACGAAACCTCAAAGCAGTATCCAACAATACCGGGTGCCGAAGAGGATATGGAGGGGATCCGGCCGGCTGGCAAGAATCCCAGCTTGGCAGGCTCGTCTCAGAACCACGGCATTGGCCATCGCCACCGCCGATCCAACTCGTCTCATCAAGGGTTCCGCCGGCAGCACCAGCAGCCCGAAAAAGACGATCACATTCTCGCGACGGCCGCCGCCCTGGCAAGTTCGCAGGTAGCCGACCGCGAGCGGCAGGAGTTGTACGACAACCGCCTGACGCACGCCATCTGGCAGCTGTCGACCACGGGCGCCAACCCGGCCGTCGACCTGCTGGTGTGCCTCGAGCGGCGGCACACCATCGGATTCAGGTACGTCGACATCACGCGGCCCGTCGTCATCCACCACGGCAGCCGCGACACGCGGGTGCCAGTCGACAATGTGAGGTGGCTGGGCAAGACGATGCGCCGGTGCGAGGTGCGCGTGCTCGAAGGCGAGGGCCACGGCCTGATGGCCAGCGCGCAAGTCATGGGCGGCGTGCTGATGGAGATTAGTCGTGAGTGGGAGGAGTGGTCTCGTGTGACGGGGGCGACCAAGAGGGAGCACGAGAGGGCGAGGAGGAATACGGTTGGGCAGGGAAGGTGAGGGCGAGTTGGAGTTTGTTCGATCTTGGTTGTCGCTGGGAGCGGCGGGGAGGGGGGCGATATCCTTGGGATTGGATATTACCCGCAAACTGAACTCTGATCTTCGCTTTTCCGGAAATTTTTCACGAACCTTGATATAATCACTAATACATGAAATCGAATTGGAATACCCGTTCAACTCATCTATTGACCTGTCCATTGTCGTCTGAGCAGCTCTCAAAGCTCCCTATACCGCATCCTCTTCAAACCGCTTTTGCCTCCTTTTTCCTGACCGTCTCTACCTACTGGCAACTCAAGGTCCAACAATCCTCGAGCGCCGGCTAGTCAATCAGTGGCACTGGCCGTCATACCGACCGACGGTTCCCCAACAACCCAGGTGGCAGAACACGCCGGTCGTCTTGATCTCGGTCCACGACGCCGGGCCCGACGACTTGGGAATCACCTCGAACAGGGTGTTCCACTCCTTGACCTCGCACGTGTCGGTCCGGCCGCAGTCAGCCTGCGATGTCGGCCTGGTTCCACTGGTGCGCTGTTGTCAGGGCGCAGGGAGTGAGAGACAGCGGCTAGAAACATTGAATGCCGCACGCCGTTGAGGTTTTTTATTTTTTTTCTATTGTTTTTATATATATCTTGATTGATTGATGGGGGTGGATGGTTTAGGTGGTTACTTACATGGATCGTTGACCAGCCGGTGTCCGCAGGCGAGTAACTTGTCGGCCATGACGCTGGTGAGGCCCCCAGTAGAGACGATCGTGTCGAGGACGGTGGAGGGCTTCATTATGTCGAAGGGGGCGGCAAAAGCTTCTTGAGAATTCCTGGGCGATGGAACGTGGGTTTGACGGTGCTGTTTGAGTGCCAGGTGGTCTCAGGTTGGTGTTGGATGGTTGGGAGGTGATGGTGTTCGGTGATGCTGAGGAAACATTCAACATGATGCTCGAGTTACTGTTATAACGTGTTTGATAAGCGAGCACCGCGGATAAGCGAGCGCCGCACTTTTCTATCGCTTATCAAACACGTTATATATTTATTATTCCTACACCGCTGTGCCCTTGGGCTTGCCGGACCTTCAACAACTTACTATACAGGAAAACCGCGCGCTCGTGGGCCGGGTGAAAAACCCATATCGACAATCAAGGAAACGATCAGTGTGCGATCCTGCAAATACAAAGTGGGAAGGCCTCTTGGCCTTCGAAGGAAAGGGTATCAGACTGCGAGCTCCAGCTCCAGCCTCCTGGCCAGACCGTACATCGGCAGTTTCCCCGAGTCCATCAGCCAGTCCAGGATCCTCCCCGTTAGCCGTGCAGCTTTGGGACTGATTCCCTGTAGGACAGAATAAAAGTCCCTTCGCGTTCTGATTTCGGCTCTCTCCCATCTTCGAGTCAACGGTGGGGCCAAGCACCACATCACAAGGTGTTCGACAGTCTCTCGCCCCTCTCCACACTCGCATATAGGCGTCAGTACCTCTGGGACTCTTGGGACTCTCCTTTCGAATAAGAAAGCCCGAAGGCCTATGGCCCCGGTTCGAATCTGGATCAACAGTGAACTCTTCGCTCTGCTGAGGCCGTCGTGTCTCCTTAGGGTTTTGTCTTGGAACAGAGTCTCGTGCTGGTGGTCAAGGTCATCTGCGGGCCTCGTTGCTGTCCGGCCGTCTCGTTCCTTGAGCCACCTCTCTCTCCAGGCCTCCTCCATTACTCTGTCCGTGTCGGCAGTCCCTCCCGTCCAAACTGCAATTGTGTTAGCGGCTTCTTCTACCGCTGTGGGCTCCTGCGGCCCAAAGGCTCGCGGTCGGCCCCTGTTCTGTCTATATATACGACGTAAGGCAAGCTTCCCGCCCGTGTGAGAACCGAAGTTCGTTGAATCAGCCCACTATCTGAGTCGTGATGCCATACTTGACTGGCTCTTGCCATAAACACGAATCACGATGCTCCTTGCGGCCTTACCGTCGTTCTGCTGAACCTCTGCGTACCAGTTGGTGGAGTAATTCCCTTTCTTTGTCGTATACTGTTATTCGTAGCGACCTGTCGCCGATGCTTACGTGCCTCTATCCATTCTAGGGATACGAGTAGATGAGGTGGCGAATGGTCTGACTACGCGCATTCGCAGGTCGAGTCTGTTTACCTACATACATCCAGCGAGTCAAACTGTTCAATGTCAGAAGGGACCACGTGGGAGTATTCCTGGAAATCGTACGAGCCAGCATTGGCGCATGAGCGTATCATGATGCAGATGTAAAATCCCAGAGTGTCAGATACTCGGACCTTTGCCGACACGGCAAAATTGCCCCTTACATGCCGGCTACCAGGCAGGTACTCAAGACCCCTTAACGGGGCTCGAGCAACAGGTGAGATCGCCTCTATGCATGCGCTTTAGGGTACTCCGCACATTCCCCATTTGCGGTCTATGCCGGCTCAGGAGAAACAACGGGTAGATCCTTTCCAACTGCAAGAATGCTCCCCAGCAATATTAACCGGGCACCTAATTGAGCTAGCAGCGTCTTCACTTATATACCCTTGGACAAATACTGGAACCGTAAGCAGCATCGGCCCCACGATCATTAGTTAAAGGACCCTCCCGTTTAGGCACCACCAACCTCCAACATCCCCACTCCCTCGAAGTAACCCCTCAGCCCCTGAAAATCGCCGACATCTACCACGGCACCAACATACCCATCCGGTCTGATTACAGCACAGCATCCTTTCTGTCTGTCCAAATCCAAACGTTCATACACTCTGCCATGGCCCTCAAACACGCTCTCGGCATCAGCAAACACTCGCCAGTAGTCATACCCCTGGTCGCTGCTCCATGGCCGATACACCTCGTGCATTGCAAGCAACTCCACACTCGCCCGATCAGCACAGTGCACGACAAGCACCTCCACCGGGACCTTCTTCCACGCAGCCGAGTCGTCGCCCTCAGATGGCGTGGTCAGTCGCCCCAGGCCAGAGCCACGGTCCGCGAGGAACTTCCCCAGGCTCTGCACCCTGGCAAACTGATTCGCGCCGGCAATGTCCCCAGCGAAGATAATCACCCGAAAGGCACCGGTGGCTTGCATCCTTTTCTGGATGCGCACAGCAATGCCATCCGCCTGATAGACGACCTGAAAGTCCTGCAAGCGCTTGCCCGGAACCAGATCAGCCTTGAGCAGGCTGGGCCCAAGATCGTCCACGCCCCTAGGCAGCTGCACAACACAAGACTTGGGATACCGAATCGACAATCCCGTGGTGAACTTCATAGCGCGCAGCATCTCCGAATCAAACTCGGCCGACGGCGCAGCAAACAGTCTCAGATAACCCCTGTCAAAGGCAATGAGATCCTGCGCGACGGGCCTCCTCTCGCCTTCATACGTCCGCAGCAGGGCTTCTTCGGGCGCTGGCGCCGCACCATCCGCGGAGCGAGTTGATAGCCGCCACTGAAGCAAAAGCCTCAGCTTCCAGCCGAGGTTATACGCGTCCTGGATGGACGTGTTCATGCCCTGCCCGGCCTTGGGCGAGTGGGTGTGCACGGCGTCGCCAACGAGGAAGGCGCGCTCGTGGTATCGCGAGAAGTGGCTGCCGACGCGCTGACCCACGCGGTAGGCGGACCACCATGAGACGGCGCCTGCTTCCAGCGTGTAAGGGGAGATAATGTGGCGGGCGGCGGCCAGGATGCGGTCCAGGGTCCAGTCCTTTGGGTCAGGCAGGGCGCTGTTGCTGCCGCTGCCGACGGGGATGTAGAAGCGGACCTCCTTGTTGCTGCGGGGGACGATGAGGATAGTGCCCGTTGCGGAGCGGACGTAGCACACACGCCGGATGTCGGGAAAGTTGGTTTTGGGGACGAAGTCGACCACGCCTGGCCGGGGAGGGTCAGTAATGCTGATAAGGCTTGAGCAAACGAGTAGGTTTGGGGTGACTGACCAAAGACCGAGTCCGTCAAGTCGCCCTCAAGGACGACACCGAGTTGCTTCCTCAGCCAACTATGGGCACCGTCACAGCCGACGATGTACTTGGCGTGGATGTGCTCGTCAACGAGATTATGTCCGTTAACCCCCTGTTTCCGTTATTAGTGCTCACTATCTATTCCGCAACGACTGGGGCGCTTACGTTGGTCGTTGGTGACCCATTCGAGTTGTTGTCGCATTGTTTCTCACGAGTCAGGCCAGTTTTTACTGGGTAACCGTTGCCTTGATGGGAGCAAGAGGCGTCGATCTCGACGGTGACTGGGCACGTGCTGTATCGGATCGAGATGTTGCTATGGAACAGGAGATTTTGAAGCATGTGGTGCTCTACCCTGGCTGGAGACCAGTTAGCCCAAGTGAGGTCGTACGCACCAAGCAAACCGGAACTTACACTGCTGAAGCATCGTCTCCCTAACGGTGCCCAGCTCCTCGACCTTGTCCTGGATGACTTGCTCTCTCACGATGCCGCTGCGGCCATCCTCGCGCGGCCCCCAAATAGCAATCTCTTCGAGCCTCCATGACTCTGCCGCAATCTGCTGTCCAATGCCAAAAGAGTCAAGAATTTCGTTTGTGGTGCTCTTAAGGCCCTCGGCTTGGCCGCGAGGCGTAGGACCGGGCTTCTTGTCGACGAGGAGCACGCGGATCTCGGAGTTGCGGAACCAATTCGCCAATGCCAGCCTGGAGGGCACATGAACGGTTAGTGAATAACGACAATAAGCCACTGTCGTGCAGCATACCCAGCCGGCCCGGCTCCAATGATGAGCACGTCGACGGTAGTGGTTCCAACCATCGTCAGTAAGCCCGTCAAGCTGGATCTGGATCTAGATTTGGATCTGAAATACCAAAGGACCTTCGATTGAGGGATCTAGTCCAGACTCCAGAATCGTGAGGTAGGCTGGGTACAGGTCTGTACGGCTTCCTGAGATCTGGCAGGTCACTAATCGACCAAGTGAGGGTGGGTTAGGGGATCGGGGTCTAGCTAGGGGCGGCCCGCGGCTAGTCGGGGATCGGCGATCGCCACGGCGGGTGCGTGCCGCTCATTATCCATTTCAGCACCAACGTGCCTCAATTGATGGTCTTTTGAGGCCTGTCACAGCCTATGTGGTCGACGTTTGTTTGCGTTGTTGTTGATCGAGGGTGGGGAGGGATGTGCAGCACCTGAGCAAGACAAGCTCGATTTGGATCTTTGATGTGGAATGCTCCGCAAGGTTGCATGAAAGCGACCGCGTTCTGCGTGGAAATTAATGAGTGGCGTGATGAGGCCCATTACCTCCGTAGCTGATAAATCGAAGTATTCACGTTCAGAGGACCTCTGCTTCTCCCCACCTCGCGGAGTCCGCAACCATGCATGTTTCACATGAGTGCCTTGCCGACCAGAGGGGTTACCCAAATCGGGAAAATGCAGATCGGTGTGGGAGGAAAGCGGCTGGCTGGAATGGGGTTCCGCCTCGATGCGTCACTGCATGGCGGTGCCTGCAGCCGCCGAGGAGCCCAAGCGATTCCCGCTCGGGTGAGTCGGCGCTCTTTCAGACGTTCAGCTCAAAACAAGACCGCCATTTCATCGACCAGCTGCAAGCAATCCCTTGTCAGTCACATCAAAACATTGGCCTGCGTCATCAAAATTCGTCGAATTCGAGTGAATTGAAGCTGCCGGACGCGGTGCGCGCAAGCGGCCCACTGGTTTGGTTGGTTTCGACTCGACCGGTTTCAGCAACCACCCGACATATCCAGGGCCGTTGCATAGAAATTCCGCGGCCGCGTTACATCATCACTGGCCCGTCATGGCATCAACAGCCGGGAGCTAACAATGGATGGCTCTGACGAGGCTCATGGTTACCCAGTCTCGCTTCTCTGAGACTGTGAATACCACAGTGTGGATGTCCCTCCTTGAGTCGTCTCTCTCCAGAAGGGACGATGTACAAGTACCTGTACATGCTGTTCTATTGGAAGTCACCTTTTCAGCACCCGGCAGTGCACTTGTTGGAGTGCCGAGGCTGGCAAATGCAGATACGATGTCAACGTCAAAGTACGTCACCCAGAAGCGGTGAGCGGTGAGTGATGAAGGCCGTAGATAAACACTAACAACGTCCTCAAGTCTGTTGAAGCGAGCAACTGAGCTCTGGCGCCTTTGGTTGCGTCTACATCATCAGTCTACCGGCCCCCCTGAGATTAGACAATATGGCAGTCACACTCGAAGCGGAGCGGCCCAGCCAGCTCGGTCAAGTGCCGATTCAAACGGAGATTACGACCACGGAAAAGAACACCTCCTTTTCATGGGACGTGCCCCTTCCACTGCACGCCTGGCCCTCTTCGGAAACCAGGATCGTCGACATCCGTTCGTCTGATGCGTGCCCGTTGGACAATCTCGATGCCAGCATTATTGACGGTCTGACTCGCCCGCGCGGACACAAAGTTCTACCGTCACTGCTCGTGTGGGACCAAAAGGGGCAGACCCTCTACAGTGACGTCCTGGCGGCTGACGAGTACTACCCCTACCGAGTCGAGCATGAGCTGCTACAAGAGAGGGTCGATGAAATGGCCAGCACCATTGCTTTGTGCCGGACCGACCTGTTGGTTGAGCTCGGGGCAGGCAACATGTCCAAGACCGCCCAGCTTCTCTCCCATCTCGACAAATACCTACGCGCCCCAGTCATGTATTACGCCCTCGACGTCGACCAGGCCCAGCTAGAGAGGTCGTTGGTTCAGCTGAACGCGCGGACCAAGCTTCGGTGGATCACACCGTGCGGTCTGTTGGGGACCTACGACGACGGCGCCAAATGGCTTGCCCGGCCCGAGATGGCCGCCTTCCGCCGGACGCTGGTCTGGATGGGGAGCAGCATCGCCAACTGCGAGCAGCACGAGGCCAGCCAGCTGCTCGAGTCATTCTCCCAAGACCCGGACACCGGAACGCGCCAAAATTTGGCGGGCTTCTTGCTGCTAGTCGACGGATGCCAGGATGCCGGCCGCATCAACCTTGCCTACGACATCCCGAGCGGCGAGACTCGCCGGTGGATGTTGCACGCCCTCGAGTCCGCACGGCACCAACTCCACGGCAAAGGAGACGACGACGACGCCGAGATTGACCGCCTCCTAGCTGACGAAAACTGGCGCTTCGAGGGCCGATGGCATCCGGAGCAACAGCGCTACGAGAATTACCTCGTCCCGACCCGGGACTTGATCGGCGTCATCCAGGGCCAGCAGATTTGCCTTGAACAGGGCGAACGTATCAGACTCCTGGGGAGCGGCAAGTGGGCTGAGAACACCGTTGCCAGTGTGGTTTCCAAGCCGGGACTCGAGGTGAGGAAGGCTTGGCACCACGTCGAATTCAACTACGGTGAATTTCTCTTGGTGGTGTTCTCCGTTCGGACGAGCGCATGCTGACGGAGTTACAGGCGCATACTGGCTTCAGCCAACAATCAGGCGGCACGACAGTGGCGTTGACATGATGATGTCTGAGGCACCGCTCAAGGGGTGACGCGTTGAGCGCAGGTCCTGACCTGTGGCGGGTTGAAATCCTCGGAATCTTCCGAGAGGCTGCTGGAACCTGACGCATAACCATAACCGGGAAGGCGGGTGCACCCAACAAAACAAAAAAGGCAGGGGTAGGAATACCATCAGGTTGGGTTAGAGTACTAGGGGTAAATCGTGTTGGGGTTTTGATTCAAAAATGCAAGATGCGGATCGATCATCATCGATCATTGAGACCCTTGCGGTGCCTTTGGTTCACACCGGAAGCTGCATTGCCGCATCATCGCGCAGGCATTTCATAGTTCAAGCTATGTACTTGGACAAACCGGCGAACTCCAGACACGTATCCAATACCTAGGCCTTCCCGATATGACTGGCCCTTGATTTCAGGCCGCTACTTGTCGGTCAAGGCAACAGATGCGAACTTCAGCTGAGACACCCGCTGATCGCACCTGGAACCGTGTGCATGGCAGATTCAGTGGAACAATATATGCAGCCGATGTCTCATTCCGCCCTGTGAGTGAAACCTGTCAAATACGCATACTGTAGGTCTCATCACCCTTTTGGGAGTGAAACCTGTCAAGTATGTCTCATCACACCCGCCAATGCCGCCATTCCAGCCCAACAATCCATGACATTTCCGCCTGGTTTTCCATGGTGCCACTGGTGTCACATCTGTGGTGTGCCTCGAGACGTGGTTACTCCGACTTTGTACCTTAAGGTATATGATAAGCGAGCGGCGCGGACAAGCGAGCGGCGCACTGAGGGCTGTATAGACATTTTAGCTGCAGCACTAACAACGGAATTAAGCCGGAAATAACCTGATAGTGCTACAGCTAAATGTAAATGCAGCTCTTCCCAGTGCGCCGCTCGCTTATCATATAACTACGTTAGTTACCGTTACCTGAAAAAGTGAGAGATTTGCATATTGAGCAATGCTGCAACCCGTCATGACCGTGAGCTCAACAATCAGAATGCAGTTAGTGCAGCAGCTCTAGGCTATCTCAAGTGACTCAACTAAAGCTAACGGCGCTCAAGACACGAACCTGTCACGCAACGCAGGAGACATCTCATACGGGGTCTCACAATGTGGGACAATAATAGGTTGTGTTGCTACAGCGTGACTAACTCACATGAATTCCAGCGCTGCCATGAGAGGCCAAGCCAAAGATGCTTATCCTCTGCTACTCTCTCGTTGCTTCAGTGAGTGTAAATAACATCATGCTGATTGCCAACCTCACGTACATAATTATTCTAATCCGTATAGTTCCCAGTCAATCCTCATGTTCGCCTCTTAATATACTAGTTAGTCAGGTACTGTACACCGATCAGAAGGATATTCACGGTCGTCTTTACATACACCCCTTAGTCAGGCCGGGTGAGCCCCAGAGTGGCGGACGCGGAGGATCTTCAATTACCAGGCCACAACTAACGACTACTTTAAACCTCTCTCGATTGCAATGATGCGAAGGTGTTGTAGGTGGGTTCTGATGGCCCGCGGCACGACCTAGACTGTCGTCTTTGCCGGCAAGATTGCTCCTCGTCCAGCTTGTCTTCGCACATGAGCAAGCTCGCAAGCAATGCCAGGCAGCCAAAGACGAGTGAAAAAACTGCAGCCACTGTCAGCTTTCTTCCCAATGGTGGGTTCTCCCCCGGTCACAGGGGTGGGGGGTTGTTCTTGTTGCAACTCACGCCAAACATTGACAAAGCTCTTCGTGTACGCCCCCAGGACGACCTCGGCAATGTCCTCAGGCAGCTCATTGATGCGGTCAAAATTCGACGTCACTTCACGGATGATTCTGTCCGCCTCCGGCAGGCCAATGAGGGCCTTCCTCACCGTGCGCTCCACAAAGGTGCTGATCAGCATCGACGCGGCGCTGACGCCAAACAAACTCCCTAGGTTGAGGCACAGGTAAAAGCCCGACGTACCAACCGCCACTTGGAACGGCTCCAGGGCCGCCGTGAGGCAAATGTAGGCCGAAGAAAGCGAAACGCCGAAGCCCACACCAATCGGAAAGCCATAAAGTGTCTCGGCCCAGCCCGTCTCGCCGCGCCAGCGCATGAAGACGGCGAGGAAGCTGAGGTCGGAGAGGATAATGGAGGTGATGGTTATGAGGCGGTAGAGTCCCGTTCTGTTGTCCCATGTCAGTATAAAGGGATTGTTTTCCGACGATTGTTTGGGGGGTTTCGACGCACCGCTTAATGGCGAAGCCGCTGACCAAGCCGCCGACAACCGTTCCAAGGGTGATCACCAGCAACCTTATGGCCACTGTGGTGCTGGAGTCGCCGGCCGTCACTCTGAAGTAGAGTGGCACCGACGTGTACAGCTTCTCAAAGTTAGCATCGAAGCGAGTGACAATACAAGGAAACAACATTCACAAAACTCACAGCCATCTGAGCCCCCGTTTGCAGAAACTGGATGCCATACGAAGACACAACATTCCGCTCCACCAGTAATCCGAGCGGGATGATGGGTTCTTTGGCCCATATAGCTTCCACGAGTAAGAAGATTACCAGGAACGTGACCCACGTTGACATGGGAATCATGGTCGACATGTCGTGACCAATGCTGTCCGGGTTTGTCTGCAGACGATCGAGGAACAACAGTAAAGAAACGTTGGCAAGAGCCAGACTCATGGAACCGGAAAAGTCAATCCTCCTGAGCTTGGAGCGCCGGCAGTCTTCTGAATTCGGTTCGTTGGGGGTCTTTGGGATTGGGGGCGGGGGAAAGGACATCTTGCGCCAGATGAAGAGAAGGGCGAAAAAGTTAAGGGGGACTTGGTAGAGTAGGGCCCTGGTAACCGTCAGTCTCTGTCTCCCACTCGTCTTCAAAACAAACAGGCTTTGTTGTCTTCGTACCATCTCCAATTCGCTCTGTCAGCGATGAGCCCGCCAATCGAGGGACCGGCTGCGCGGCCGACCTGGTTGACGGTGTAAACGTAGCCCCGCCAGACGGCCACTTCTCGGAATGGGACAAGGTCTGCTTACTGTAAGTGTATAGCCCCAGGCAGAGGAACGTCTGTTGTGATGGTGCTCACCAACGATGAGCGTGGAAATGAGCACAGTGATGCCGGCATTTCCGATCCCGCATATGGCTCTTCCAAGCAAGATGCCCCAGAAGGAGAAGCCAGAGCCCCTATGAAACCATAGTCAGTACACAGCAATTGTATAAATGCATGCCCTGCCGGGATTATCTTACGCAAGCAAGCCACCGACGCAATAGCATGCATATGCCGTCAGAAGCAGCGGCTTCCTGCCGTAGATGTCACTGAATTTCCCGTACTGCCACCCGGTCGGTCAATACCCATGCTCGTGAATCACCATCCCTCGTCTCAGGGACAACCATACCAGCGGCTGAGCAGAGATGAGCCCAAGCAAGTACGCCGTAATGACCCAGCTCGCCGAACTCAACCTGTCAAAGTCGGAAGCAATGTCGCGGAACATGGCCAGGAGGATGGCGCTGTCCGAGTTGACGAGGAAGACGCCTGGCCGTCAGAACGTGAGCAAAAGGACACGGAGTGCATAGCCGAGATATGTGAGCTCCAAGCATACCGAGCAGCAACACCATGTTCTTCCTCCATTGTCCGCTATCCCACTCGTGACGGGAGCCGACTGTCAAGGCGGGCGAGGCGTCTCGTTCTCCGGGCCGGACGCTTTCCCCGTCATGGCTGCTCGATGTGGAATCGGAGAGGGATGGTCTCCTCAGCAGCGAGGTCGTCTCGCCGGCAGGCAGATACTGTGGGTGTCGCTCTTCGCCCGCCATGGTCAATGGTGACGGGTATCGAGTGATTCGTCTCGAAGCTGATATCGCGAAGAGTGCCTCCTGCAAGTGGGGTTTGCCAGGAAACAGAGAGTGGTTAGGAGCGTAGTATAAGGCTGTCGTGTTTTCGAATCACGCTGTGTTGAAGAAACATGACGGGATTTGGTGATGCTTTTTTCGAAGTCGAGTTGCCACATACGCGCTGTGAGACTGGGACACATGGCACATGAGCTGAGCCAAAGTCTGGTGGAACCAGTCCTTCAATTTCTCATCTGCGAGTGCTCGCGCTGCGCAATAGCTGAACATTGCCGGTGCGATGATGATTGCACACCCAAGCGACGGAGCCGAGATACCAACGCCATGGGGTGGTCAACCCCTGCCCAATGGAGGAGCATTGGAATCTCGGCTCAGGTCGGTCTTTCCCTCCTTAAGAACAAGCCTTGAACTCGGCGCTCCTAGCTCCCCGTCTGATGATCATAGACGTTCGAAGCCCAGATGTGAGACAACCTCTCAAAGCGTGCTGACTTCGAGCCTTTCCCAGTCCAATGAGCTTCTTTCCGGTCACGGCTCCATGAATAATGACGAGACCAGCATCCAGCGATCAGCAGAGCACCAAGAGTGGCCTTCACCGCCTCTGCGTCCCGTGCCGAGAGCTACGCAAGCCGAGGTTGCGTTCAGGTGCAGACCCTTCTCAAGCTTGGGGTTGCCTGTCATGTTTGAAGGTACCTTCACCCAATGTTTGCATTGCAGGAATCCCGACTCAATGTCTCAGAAGCTGCCAAGCCAAGTGCCGACCACCAGTGACTTGTCTATCCGCACAGACCCCCTGTCTAGTTCGCACAGAGACTCAGCCCATCAGAAAGTATAAGCTACACCAAGTTTCTTAACAAGGGACTCAAACGCTTGCATTGACAACAAACTTGCGTACATGTAAATCGCATGCTCACCCAGTCACTCAAAAGGGGAAGTGAGCTCCAGAAGTGGCAGGGTCACCCAACGGATCAATCGGATTACGCACTGGTAGGCAGCATGGATCCACCGTAGCTGAATCCCGCGCAGTGTGATCGGGAGGCGGGAACTTCCATTTCACAGATCGAGATTCGATTAGAAACCCGCTGGCGATGTCATTGTGTACAAGAAACATCCAACCGAACCGCGGCTCGACAGGCGCGGCTATTCATGGTCGGCTGCATGTCTTGTCAACACTGTGCACGTCGACTGCATGCTGACCATCTCTCAATGCAATCTCATGCAGCCGACGCGGCGACCAGGATACTGCCAGACCCAAGTTGGCAATTTGACTGACGTTCGTTCATTGGATTCGCTGGTGTCCTGCGCACAGTGAGCAGTGACGCAGGCTGCAGAATGCCAGCCCTGAAATTGACGCTGCTTTTCGTGATCTTCCGTCTTCACACTTCAATGCAGCTTGCAGCGGCCGCAGTCTGCAGCCGGAACGAGAGAGATCACCGTCCATCCTGCCCAAAGGCCCGATCTGGCCTACTACAAAACATGCCTCCTCATTGAGCTCACTTGCAGACCCCATTGAGGCACTTCAGCATACTACCCACACATTCCACCATCCCGCAGTCTTCGCCCGCCCTGCAGATCATCAAGCTGCCCAGCGTCCAGCCACGGAAAGATACACCAATCATGGCGGCTACTCTTTCTGAGTTCAAGCGGTACAAGCCTTGGGAGGTCGATGGGAAGTTTGTGTGTACCGCCCATCTCCGCTGTTACTCCGTTCCCGGATACGCTTGCTGGCACTGGAGGCCTCTAACCCCCGACATGCATGCAGTTCGGCGATGGACGCGAGGTCGCCCTGCTCGACTACGTCTACGGCCATCCAGAACTTGACCAGATGCGGGGCAGCCCCGCGAAGGTCTGCCAGGCGATCGACGCCTTCGCCCGATCCCACACCGGTCTGATCAATGTCGGCCTGATGAAGGGAGCCATTGTCACTGAGCTCATTGCCAGAAACAAGCCCTCCGTCATGCTTGAGCTTGGCGGCTACGTCGGCTACTCGGCGATCCTCTTCGGGGATGCCCTCAGGCAGGCTGGGGGCAGCCGCTTCTTCAGCGTTGAGAAGAATCCGCTGTTTGCCGCTGTGGCGGCCAGCCTGATCGACCTCGCTGGGCTCCGGGACACGGTCCGGGTGGTCGTCGGCACGGGCGCCGAAGGCATCCAGCGTCTCCATGGCGAGGGGGCGTTGGGCACCCAGATCGATATGGCGTTTTTCGATCACCACAAACCCTCTTACACCAACGATCTCAAGCTCTGCGAGCGCCTGGGTCTGATTGGGAAGGGCACGGTCCTGGTTGCGGACAACATGATCCTCCCGGGGAACCCAGAGTACGCGGCGTACGTGCGGGCCAGCGTCGCCGAGAAGCTTCAGAAGGCTGCGGGCGGAGAGGAGATGGGCAACCCGAATCTGGAGTACGTCAGCCGATTCGTCCCGAGCTACGAACCCAGCGGAGAGCAAGATGCCCTTGAGATCACTGAATGCACGGGAATCGCGGCTTGAGGGGGGCTGAGACAGGCGCCATATACTACAACACACCCCGCTTGCTCATGCAGGATTGCCCCCCAATCGTTGTGTACATGTCGCAGAATGGCTTCCGCTTACATAGACGAATGGACATGATTCAGATTTGAGTGTCAAAACAACCCATTCAGCTAGCCCGCAGGGACCAGCTCAGTGATGGGTTCCAAGTACAGATACAAGGCAGCTGAACAGGGAGCTGGCCACTTATCCAGGTCGCAACTGGGCCAGCTCTTGCAGTTCTGTCAGTTCTTTCCATCGACCAGGAGTAGACTACGGTTGCCCGCATCCCGCCGACAGAATGTGCTGATCCCAACTCAGCAAGCCACATCCTTCCTCAACTGAGGCCTAGGGAAAGGATCACCGCGCATCACGCAGACCGTCACAACCGCCTCCCCTTATGCAGTTCGATTGCACCAGGGCACTGCAACAGGCCGGAATGGTTCACTCTCCATGCGCGAGCAAGCACTGCAGTGTTGTGATGACTGAAGATCATGAGCAGCCCGGCCGGGCCGTGATCGCCTAGTAATCACGAGAGTCCAGCGCCGGCGGCCAAACGAATTTGAGATTGAATATAACTGTAGCTGGGTTACAAGTTGCATATGGTTGAAAAGCTCTCGAGTATGGTACTACCATCTTAACTCACCCTGTTCAGAAGCCCAGTGCCTCTTATTGAACTCAACTTATCCAACATCACATCCACACTTAGCCTGTGTCCACCATAAAGCTCGCTTCGGTGTGGACCAGCATCGTGCAGGTCTTCAACGTCTTGACCTTCTCTTCCCCTGAAGAGAGCACCGACCACCCAGCCCAAATCCCTTTTGTCAGTCACGATCACGATGACATCCTTCTCCAGTTCGAACCGGGTCCCAAAATCCCCGTTGTCCAGACCGAGTCTGGCCATTTCTTCCACGGTGACACGCCCCTGATTTAGGAGTACTCGAGCGGCATGGTCTACCATCCGGATGAGTACAAGGACGTGCCTCTCCGCACCGGCGGCAACGAGCTCGAATTTTCGGCCCTCTTTAAGGACCGTCCTGTCGTCGGCACGCCCAAGAGTCCACAAGAAGGTGGCCGGGGTGGGCTGGTATGCGACTACACGAAAACCATGCCGAAAGGCTGGAGGTCATGCTACGGGCCTAAGAATAGAACGTGCTGGCTACGGAGGGGAGACGAGTATATCGACATCAATACCGACTATGAGGACCCCGCCGAGGTTCCTCAGGGGAAGCTTAGACGGGTAAGAACTCACTTCGATTCCATGGCGTCGTCGTGTCCACGAAGTAACCTCTGGCTGATGCGATGGTTTTGAATCACAGTTCCACCTGGAAGTGTCGGAGCAGCCCATTTCTCCTAATGGGATGACCATGGAGCACGGCAAGATCTTTAACAGGAGGTACCCGGGGCCTTGGATCGGTGAGTGACGTCCAACACGTGCCCTCTTGTCCGCCGTTGGCGATATGATCAGGACATGCTAACCTGTGACAGAGGCATGCTGGGGTGATACGATCGGTAATACCACCCAATGGCGCCAAGATACATCTGCAGCCAGAGCTGACGAACCAGCAGAAAGCACCGTCAAGAATAACCTGCGGTGGAACGGCACCTCGGTATGCATCCATTGCCCTACCAACCACAACGTGGCAGATCTTAACCTTCGTTTTTCTCCAGGTCCACTGGCATGGCATCCGCCAGTTCCGCTCGTTCCAGCACGACGGAGTCAACGGCATCACTGAGTGCCCCATCGCCCCGGGCGACTCCTTCACGTACCGGTTCCGGGCCCTGCAGTACGGCTCGGCGTGGTACCACAGCCACTATTCGCTGCAGTACGGCGACGGCCTGCTCGGGCCCATGACCATCTACGGCCCGTCGACGGCTAACTATGACGACGACCTAACCTTCCGCCCGCTGCTGCTCACGGACTGGAACCACCGCAGCGTGTTCGAGGACTGGCCGCTCATGCTCGAGTCCGGGGCGGCGCCCTCCATGACAAACATTTTGATCAACGGCACGGGCCAGTTTGGCTACGGCAAGTCGCCCGAGAAGTACACGCTCTATCTGAACGCGACCAAAGACCACAAGTTGATCCTCGTCGACACGACGTTTGTGTTCTCGATTGATGGCCACAAGCTTCGCGTGATTGAGATGGACTTTGTGCCCATCAAGCCGTACGAGACAGACTCCATCAAGATTGGCATCGGTGAGCGATTCTTGAATTCATAGGTGTTTAATACCCCCTTGACGGAACTTTTGTCCTGACAATATCTGTCCTCGCCAGGCCAGCGGTACCACGTCATCGTCCACGGTCTGGATAACCCGTACGAGCAAGAACGGTACGGAAACTACTGGATGAGAGCAGTTCCGGCACGCAAGTGCTCCAAGTTTGCCTTTGGGCCTGACCAGCAGATGGGCTATCGTGCGGTACAATTGGACTTACACAACCGTCAACACGACCGAGGATGGTCCCCTGCCGCAACCTCTATCGGAACCGCCTCTGTACGACATAAATTGTTCCGATGAGCCGTACGAGAAGCTGGTTCCGCACATTCCGTGGACGGTGGGCGACCCGGTCAATATCGGTGCGTGTTTCCTCACTCTGGTGATATACTTGTTGCCGTCAGGTGTGTGCTGCTAACACTGTGACCCCCTCCCCGCCAGACCCGACATTAACTTGGGCCGACATCGATAATAACAAAATAAAGAACAACACGAAGTACGTCTTCAACGTGGGCATGATCAAGTCGGGCGGAAACGCAAGCTTCCCCTTAAATGGTCCCTATATCCCGGACGACAAACAATATGTGAGAACCCTTAGCTCCCTTTACTCCTCCTCCGTAAACTAACAACAGACGGGGCACCAGACCCGATGGGACATGCATATCGCGCCGTTCCGCATCAACTTCTCGGACCCGACTCTCCTGGCCCTCGACCGGCTCGAGGACCTCGTCGACCGGCCTTATTTGGACGTCATCACGCTGGACAACGCAACCGAGGACCAGTGGATCTGGATGGTCATCACGGCGCCCGACAAAGTCCCGCAGAACGGCGGCAAGATCTTCTTCCCCGCCGCGCACCCCATGCATCTGCACGGCCACGACTTTGCCGTGCTCCGGCAGAGCGACAAGAACTGGTACAACGACTCGGCCATCAACCACGTCGGCGAGCGCTGGATGTTCACTCCCGACAAGCTCAACTGCCGTCACCCGAACCTCACGTGCGACAACCCGCCCCGGCGGGATGTGGTGCTGCTGCCCGCCACGGGTTATGTCATTATTGCCTTCAAGGCGGACAATCCGGGGTGTGTCCCTGATTTTTCCTTCAATTGTCATATGGTTTGGCAAAAACGAATACATCGAAACTGACGAACGACGTGTAACAGGGCCTGGATCTTCCATTGCCACATTGCCTTCCATGCCTCGTCCGGCCTGGCCATGCAAATCATCGAGAACAAGAACGAGATCGAGGAGATCATGGAGCATGACAAGCAGGACATTGAGCAGTCTTGCGCGCGCTGGAGAGAGTGGCACAGTAACCCCGGGAACCATTGGGACTGGCATCATCCGGACCACTTCCATGACGATTTGGGCGTGTAAAAGTGCTCTTAGAGGCAGTGGACACTGGAGGCGATGTATGGACACCGCCTGCGTGGCAACCTGGGACGGAGTTTGCGGCCACTGGTCGGGGACCCATGGTCGTCGTGCTGTACCTCCTGCCTGGCAAGCATATACTTCTCGTCGAGACAGTGGTAGTGGAAGTGTGCCAACTTTATCCATACTCTGTCTTGCTACTGTAACCAGAAGTGATCCTCCCCAGAACCCTTATGATGGATGGATGGACGGGATTTATTTCGCCCGGAGGCGCGAAGCCTGGAGGGCCTTGGCACGCTAACTACATCCAATTCGTTGACGTTCAACCATCAACTCGTACAAGCCCTCTACTCTCTCCCCTTTTCTCACGCCACCTGTTGCCTCTTGACTTAGTTTAGCAGATCGACTTCGAGGCTGCGTTCTCCAAGTGTTCAGCGTCCTATCTTCAGCAGCTAAAGCGGGATCTGCTGGTTGAGGCTGTGTAGTGTTATTGAAGCTCCCCTACTGTGATTGTCGCAATCTTCATCGTTCCTCGTCAAGATCCAATCTCCCTGTCGCCATTGCGTACTTGATCGTTGCCCGGACTGCTTCGATCGTCGGCTGTAGGCGAGGTGCCCAGGGAGCGACGGCGTATTCATGGATTGTTTCCATTTGGTCAACTTTTACACCTTCCGCGAAACAGGCGGTGTGGGAAAACTTTTGGTAGGAACATCCATACTCTTGGCAGCAATTTCGTTCTTGTAGGGCTGATAATTTCAACTGCAAGCGGATATTACCACAGTACACCAGTCAGATCTCACGTCAGCACTTGGTAAGGACTCCGAATCACAGTGCCTCAATCACGGAACACCAATGGCGCGCACAACGCTTCCCACATTCCCGCTCATCGTCTTTGGCGTCATCGAGCCGGCCTTGCTGTAAATTGACCCCCGCACACTTTCCCCCAAGTGTATCTTCTCACTGACCATCTCTCGAACAGGACATGGGCCTACATTGAGGGAATGTGTGATCCCCGGCTCTACTTCCTCAAGCAGGTCCCCAACACGACGGGCAGCCCCGGCACAGCCGCGGCCTTCTCGCCCGAAGCCCTGGGCGTGACGCTGCAGCTGCTCAACGTGTGGCTGCTGCTGGCGCTCATGGCCGTCGTTGCTTGCTTCTCGCGCGACCCGGCCACGGCCAAGGGCTACCTGTTGGCTGTCGCGCTCGCCGACTGGGGGCACATCTACGCCACGTACCGCGCGATTGGCGCCGATGTGTTCTTCGATCCGTCGCAGTGGAACGACATGGTGTGGGGTGGGATTGGCGTGAGCGGTGTGTTGAATGTCCTGCGGTGGCTGACCCTGCTTGGGGTGCTCGGTCCGGTGGTGGCGCGGGACACGGACGGGAAGAGGAAGACGCCGTGAGCTGTGACTGGGACGTGTCCGAGCGTGGGAGCGGAATGAAGCACAGCTGTAGTTACAGTACGTACCGTAGCGTTGCCAATGCGCCACAAGCTCCTGTTAATTGATCTGTGGAAATGCTTTTTCCATGAACGAACGTCCGATGAAACCTCCCGGCTTCAAGACAGGAGGAGGATCTGACCCCTGGCAGGTTGCGGAGCTGAACCCGAGCTGAACTGGAGCGGAACTGGAGTGGAACTGCCGCGACTCTCGCGTCCGGCGGATAACTGGCGAATCAGGAGCAAGATTTAATCGGTTCTGCACAAGATCGTCGAGGGTCGTGCAACGAGCTGCGACGTCGTGCAATCTTGGCTTGCGGGCGTTTTGCCCGACTGGGACACATCACGGCCGGATAATTCCACATGGCATCAAAGGCTAGCGGAACCCATGTCCTCTCTGCCGGGACCAGCTGCCCCTGGTGAGGAGAAAAAAGCTGGTCCCGGGGCCAGGTTCGACGCAAAACCGTAGATGTCTTCAGCATGTCCCGGCAATGCTCTTGCCTGCAGCAAGGCGATCTGGTTCTGGACGACGTTTGAAAGCGGGTGGTGATCGGGACTCATTGAGTTTCTTCGAGCAAGGGAACGACAGACAGCCATGGCCTTCACGGGCGAGGAACGGACGATCCTCGGCCCTCTGACCACCGTCTTCACCCCGCCTGCACCATGCACCATCGCCGTTGGCTTCTGCTCAACCTGCGATGTGGCTTGGTTGGGTCAGACCTGCGCGCCGACCACCGTACAGGACGACCCAAGCTGCTGGCCAACAACCACCGCAGGGGCGCCCGAGCCAGGCCGACCGCTGTACGGATGGGGCTTCTACTCGCCCGGCCTGGAATGCCCGGCCGGATACACATCGGCGTGCTCGGCGATCGCGGGCAAGACGTCCGGCTGGAAGGTGCAGTATCTGATGGAGCCCGAGGAAACCTTTGTCGGCTGCTGTCCGACGGGGTTCAATTGCGATAACCTCAACGGTCAGACATGCCGGCATGTGGCTACATCTACCACGCTCCCGACGGTGTCCTGCGAGAGCGGATCTAGCAACAACTTCGGCTTCACTACGCTTCCCGCAGCCAAGGTCAGCGCTCTCCACCTGTACGCACCCATGATCCAGCTCGCGTGGAAGGCGACCGACAGACCAGACTTCGACATCACCTCCAGCGCGGGGACATCCGGCCCGACGACAACCTCCCCGCCGACGACCGCTTCGACCGCCACCAACACACCGCTCAACGAACCCCCCACCTCAACCGGCCCGCCCCTCTCCAACGGGGCAGTAGCAGGCATCGCCGTCGGCAGCGCAGCCCTCTTCCTCCTGATAATGGCAGCAGCAGTTTTCGTCTGGCGCCGCCGCCGCCGAAACAGCAACAGCAACAGCAGCACAGGGAACGACCTGTTCCCATCGGACGTGCCGCCGTCATACCCTTCCGACGCGAAGTACTACTACACCGGAAACGCCTCGGAGCTGGGGGAGGGCCACGAGAGGGCCGAGGTCCCCGGGGACGCGCTCGGGTTCGGGCCTGCCGAGGTTTCGGGGCAGGGTCATGAGCGGGTGGAGATGTCTGCCGAGCATCGTGGTCATGCGCCGGCGCCGGCGCTGGGAACAAAAGGCTCGGGAGGGGAAAATGAGCATGGCGTGGCGTTTCATGCTAATGGTCTGTGTGCGAACGCGCCAGTGGAGATGCCGACGGAGAGATATACCTGATGATGATTTGCGATCATTTTTGCTTCGGGTGGTGTTGTGGTGTTAATCAGTGAGGGCCCGGAGGCTAGAGACGAAGGGTGGGGATTGGTGGTAAGGGAGTCTTGATGGGGCCTTACCTGACCAGTCTGCGCTCTGTGTATGCAGCTTTTGAGCTCCTTGTGAGAATCCATGGGGCACAGGCGGTTCCATGTGCATTGGATGTTTGCAGTTCGTGGTGCGTCGCTTGGCTATTCCGCCGGACTTTCCCGGTGAAAATCGGATCTTCACGCATTATTCGTAGAGGCCTGCCCTTGGAGATCTTATGGTTTCTCTCGGAAGAGAGCTCCGTGGATGGGTTCGAAAGGGACCATGTGGTGCATCCAGAAACCCCTAACCCGGGGACATGCTATGGGCAATAACGTTACTTGGGGGCTCTTGGCAGTCTTGCGCAGGCCCCCTTCGAGCAGGACGCCCCTATTCGAGGAATCACAGGGGCGGCGCTGTCGAAAAGGCAGATTGTGGAGATTTGAAGGTCCAAGACAGCAAAACTCAGCCAAAAGTCAGTGATATTTAGCTGGAGACTCTCGTGTGGACTGTGAGGAATGTCCGCCGCAACAAGACGCAATTGCAGGATGATGTCGAAAAGCCAATGACAACCTTCCGGCAAACCAGCATGCACGTGCTAACAGCAATGAGGCTCAGGCTGGCTCATTCTCCAATTTAGCTTCAGCTGTCTGCATCACAACACGCCCACCTCGAAACTTGACACTCCTATCCGTCGTGCTAGTTTTCAGTTTCCGACGACAAACCTTTCGCTTGAAAGACAGCCATCAACCAACCCCGATCTCAGACTTGAAGCCTTGTGGGCCTGTTATCGGCGTTGCCCCAATCCTTTTCTGGCACTCGCGATCCCTGTGCCACTCGCGACGTCATCGACCCCGTGGACCCGCGCCAACCTTGGAGTGCCATTCTTTGGACTTCTCTCGCGCACTGGATAACCATAACCTCGACCCCGGGGTAGCTAAACACGCAGTCTTAACCCACCTTGAGGGTCCTCACAATGACCTGGGAGTTCAACCGCCGCCGGTGGCTTCGAGCAATCAACAGTACATTCATCTATGGCAGAATCGTGAGTTAACGCCTTAGTCCCTTGTCACTTGGCCTTTGTTCCATCTGAGCTCGCTGCGCAAAAGCTTTTCTGCACCACTCACTGCTGCCTCCAGTTGCAGCAACCGCTAACTAAGATGCTCCAATATCCAGCCGCTGCTGCATACCATCATTCTCTTCATCGAGATGGCCCTCTTCGCCCGGCTCACTAGCCGGTTCAACGCTTACTACGATGAACGACCACGTACGTCTCCGCCTTTCCCTCTGCCCTATCCACGACCTGCCGATCCCCATCGATCGTTGTGTGTGCTAACGGCAAAATTCCCCGACAGTTCTCACCATGATGGTGACCAACTCCATCCTGGGCGGCATCGCCGACACGGTGGCTCAGACCATAACCTCTGTCCGCGAGCGAGCCGTCCGCAAGCACCCCAACGGCCAACTAAACCCGCGAGAGGATGCTCTCGCCATCGAGATTCACGAGCTCGACCGCAAGAACCCCCTCACCGACCGAGAGCTGATCCCTGACTCCAGGACGCTTCCGCCGCCCTTTGACTTTGAGCGCCTGACCCGCTTCATGGCCTACGGCTTCTGCATGGCTCCCGTACAGTTCCGCTGGTTCAAGCTGCTCGAGAAGACGTTCCCCATCACCAAGACAGCCGCCTTCCTACCGGCCATGAAGCGCGTTGCCTTTGACCAGCTCATCTTTGCGCCCTTTGGCGTCGCCGCCTTCTTCACGGTCATGACGGTCGCCGAGGGCGGGGGCAAGCGCGAAGTGTACCACAAGATGCGCGACATGTACGTGCCGACGCTCAAGGCCAACTACATGCTCTGGCCGGCGGTGCAGGTCATCAACTTCCGGCTGATGCCGGTGCAGTTTCAGTTGGTGAGTTCTGCTGTCCCGAGCATCGAAATGCGAAAGCAGTGCTGATGAATCTTTTGCTCAAGCCCTTCGTGTCGACTGTTGGTATTGCGTGGACCGCGTACCTCTCACTTACCAATGCCGCCGAGAACGTACAGGAGGCTCGAGTCCCAGAGAGGTCCGGTATTCGGCTGCCGTAAGTGGTCCTGGGGGCATGCGTACAGGATTGACAAGCAGGTCTTGAGGCAAAGTTGGTAGGGGTGGTGAGTGTCGGTTTACATCGCGTACTGCTTCGGAAGTAACTTTTGAGCATAGAAACTGGGGCTGGTATGGGTGTTGGAGGCGGCGGGTTGACAGCCGCCATGGCGCATGGCGTTGCAAATGGGGCAGTTATTCTTCATGTTCATCATTTGTGGTTAAGGACTTTGAACAATACACAGTACACGATTTTTTTATGACCCAGCTCGCTTCTGGTCAAGCGTTGTTGCAATCCTTACCACATGAGATATCCACTCCTCCATGGGTTAAGCTAGCTGGGTGAAATCTGACAGAATGGAGTCCTAGCAGGAGGCCACTCGTAGCTTCAAAGGTTCGACGGCATGACGGCAGGCATGCATCCTCAAAGTATCCAGCACTGCCAGAGGGCTTCCATGGTTCATGGTAGGGTACGCAATCCGGCTGGTGTTCACATGATCACCCCGGCGTTTGTTGAGATGAGGACAGACATGGAAGTCAGGTAGCCGAAAACCGGAGAGTCTTTGCAGCTGCTTCCGAGTACCCTACAAACGAGGCCACGGTCCTGGAGAAGGAGCTGGTATGGGGGCTGGGGTCAAACTGACTGGCATTCAACTTAAGCCATTGTTGGAAATGTGAAAAACCAACATGAACTCGCAAGCTTCAAGGTGCAAATGGAATCACGTTCACGATTCTTTGGTGTTCGAATTGTCATTTGCATCCGGGGTCAGCCAACCATGGGTCGACGTCACAGCTTCAGCTCGTCGACTCCACTGAGGTTTATTACCCCTCTACCCCTCCATCCCAACAGGGTCAGCTCAGCTCATTCAGTTGCGTCTTTTTACCTGACCTGAGGCACCGGTGACATAAAACATACAATAACCCGGACTCTTCCCCGTGCGTCCAGACTAGCAGCTTCTGGCCGCAACCAATTTCTTAGTCGAATTGCCAACATGTCTCTGGCCAACAAGCTCTCCATCGAGGACGTGGACCTCAAGGGCAAGCGCGTCCTGATCCGCGTAAGTCTTGAGCTCCAGCCTTTGCAGCTAGCGGTACGGGCCATCGAAAGAGCTGACATGGGCTCCAGGTCGACTTCAACGTCCCTCTCGACGCCGACAAGAAGGTCACCAACCCGCAACGCATCGTCGGCGCCGTCCCCACCATCAAGTACGCCATCGACAATGGCGCCAAGGCCGTCGTGCTCATGTCCCACCTCGGCCGTCCGGACGGCAAGGTCAACCCCAAGTACTCGCTGAAGCCGGTCGTGCCCGAGCTCGAGAAGCTGCTGGGAAAGAGCGTGACCTTCGCCCCGGACTGCGTCGGTCCTGAAGTCGAGGAGATTGTCAACAAGACCGACAACGGCGAGGTTGTGCTCCTCGAAAACCTGCGCTTCCACATTGAGGAGGAGGGCAAGGGCACCGATGCCGATGGGAACAAAGTCAAGGCCGATAAGGCCAAGGTGGACGAGTTCCGCAAGGGGCTGACCAAGCTTGGTGACATCTACATCAGTTAGTGTCCGAGTCACATATTTCGTTCCAGTGAAGCTGACAATCCGCAGACGACGCCTTCGGCACGGCCCACCGCGCCCATTCGTCGATGGTAGGCGTCGACCTCTCGCAAAAGGCGGCCGGCTTCCTCATGAAGAAGGAGCTCGACTACTTCGCGCAGGCGCTCGAGTCGCCCAAGCGGCCGTTCCTGGCCATCCTGGGCGGCGCCAAGGTGTCGGACAAGATCCAGCTGATTGACAACCTGCTGGACAAGGTCGACACGCTCGTCATCTGCGGCGGCATGGCCTTCACCTTCAAGAAGACGCTCTACAACGTGTCGATCGGCACCTCGCTCTTCGACGAGGCTGGCGCCAAGACGGTCGGCGACCTGATGAAGAAGGCCGAGAAGAATGGCGTCAAGGTGGTGCTGCCCGTCGACTACATCACGGCCGACAAGTTCGACAAGGACGCCAACACGGGCAAAGCCACCGACGCCGAGGGTATCCCCGACGGCTGGATGGGTCTCGACTGCGGCGACGAATCAGTCAAGCTGTACAAGGCCGCCATCGACGAGGCCCAAACCATACTCTGGAACGGGCCGGCGGGCGTCTTTGAGTTTGACAAGTTTGCCAATGGCACCAAGGCGACGCTTGACGCGGCAGTTGCGGCTGCGCAGAGCGGCAAGATTGTCATCATTGGCGGCGGTGACACGGCTACGGTTGCGGCCAAGTACGGCGTCGAGGACAAGCTCAGCCATGTGTCGACGGGCGGTGGTGCTAGCTTGGAGCTACTTGAGGGCAAGGCGCTGCCGGGTGTTGTCGCACTGAGCGAGCGCAAGTAGGTAATGTTGTTAGAAGGAGAATTTGGCAGTCCTGGTAACAGATTCAGGAAGTCGATGCTATGAATCATCGACGTGGTCTGCTGTGGTCAAGTAATTCCCAAGACAATTTAGACATGATTTTATTTGCGACGAGCTTGGATTTGTAGTCAAAACTTGCTGTGACACACTTCAATTTTTCTATGCCTGCCGGGCGAGGCGCCAGCTTTTGCCCTTATCCGGCCACCTGACCCCAGGTGTGGCATATGTGGATTCGGCGATAGATGCGCGCAACTGAGCATCTCCACCGCTTCCTCACCCTTAGTCCTCTTCACCGCGACGTGATCAGGCGGAAAGTGTTAACCATCTTATATTGCATTTGGCTTCCTAACTCCCTGGATGCGGGCACCGAATCACCGCTTCTTGGATGCCTCGACCTTCTTCAGCTCCTCCCTATCGCATTTGTCAGCAAAAGACACCTCCAAATACGTGAACAGAGACGTAAGAGAAAGACAGGCAATAAAACGTACTTGAGTTGTGTCGAAAAGTCATCGCTCGTGTCGTCGTCGTCCCACGACTCCTCCCACAGGTGCTGTGTCGCGCCGCCGCCGCTTGCGGCCTCTGTGTCCTCCTGCGCCCAGTCTGTTTCAAATGCCTCGTGTGTCAGCATGAAACTGAGATCTTGGGTTGTAGAGGTGGTATTTGGGGGGGATGACGCACCGTCGACGGGAAAGTCCTCGAACTCGTCGTCCTCCTCCAACGCGGCTGGTTTCTGATCTGCGGCGGGCTGCTGCTCGGGCTTGGTCTCGGCCGCCTTGTCGTCTTTCTTGGTGGCAGTTTGTGAGGATGCCATCGTGAGCGGATCTGAGGTGGTAGAGGCAGGGTGATGGTTGACTTCGGGTCGCCAAGAGGTTGCAGAAGGCAACCGACGGGTGCGTCGGTGGTGTGGAAATGTATCGCTCGGCAGAGCAAGTGGGATGACTACAGAATCAAGGGTAGTAGTAGAATTGCCAGGGGCAATTATGAAGATACACTGCGTTGGACGTTGTGATGTTGGTTGAGCTTGGATGAGCTTGGGCTTCTGCAACCTGGAAGCCAGGAACAGTCCAGTATTCGGCTTCAACCGGCCGCACGGTCCAGGCTTGGTGGGGCAGCAGCGATGGAAGCTCATGGCGCACAAGCCAATTTCAAAGTGACGGAATCTCACTGGCCGCCTTGCCTTGTGCATCTCCAGCCCCAGGCACAGCTACATGCGCAATCTTTGTGTGACTGTGTTGTCCATCTCGCGCACATGCTAGGGCAACGCTCAATGATAGTCATGTCGTTTTCCAAAAGGTACCGTGAAGAGACGTTGCTAGAGGTATCCTGATTCCTGATTACGAACCTCCAAAATGTCCCCCCTCATTCCCCTCGTTGATAAGCGGGGATAGGGGTGGGGTACAAAATGGCACTTGGCGCAACAAGGCTGCCAAAGTGCCCGGACAAAGCACCGGGGTTAAATAAGGCCGGGTTGTCGCAAAGCGCACCTAAACACCGGGCGCTGGCAGCTCGGAGAGCCGGAGATGCTGACTTGCCTCTCGGGGAGTTTCAACATTGGCGTTCCTCTGACAGGTCCATCTTCCAATTCTTCCCTCCCTTCATGTCGTTTGAGACTTGCCATTTGGTGTCGCTGTTTTCCAGCGCCCCTCGCCACCCTTCTTGACCAACAGCGGTTGTTACCACAGGGCTAGCGCAGCAACAAGAGACTGGGCTGGGCTAGTTCTTGTGGCTTTTGGTGCTGGAATCACAATCAATTCCACAATAAAGAGACAGGAGGGCAGCCACTGTCTGCAGCCTGAGCTTCGGATACAGAGGACCATTTACCAGCCTAGCACGATTGCGAACAAACCAGCATTGACGGCCGACGCTGAAAGCAATTGGTGGAGTACTTCGAGCGCTGCAACATGTCGGCTCTTCGATCGTGGTTTCGCGGCCAGTCCGCTACCACGAATTCCAAGGCCCCCGTGAAAGCCACCAGTCCTGGCAGAAGCCCAACTGCCAGCACGTCAACCATCAATGACAAACCGAAGCCTACTATTTCGGCCGAAGAGCAAGAAGCCCGAGACATTGAAGATGCGATGAACGCCGCCGGACTTATCATGAACGACGACATCGAGGGGGCAGAAGCTTTACTTCGTCTGCGCCAGGACTCGTTCCACCAGCTTGGGATGGGCATGACGACCTTCATGAAGAGCATCCTCGGTTTCGAGAAGGACATGATGACCGAAGCGGCGAACCGGCTGGCGCAAGCGGAGAATAAAGCGTGGAACGACATGAAGAAGGCACAGAAAGAAGCAGAAAAGTCAGGAAGCGGGCCTGCTCCTGACGCTGGAAACTGGTACTCGAAACCCGTGGCAACCGAATCAGCGGCTGGTGGGAGCGGGAGCAGGATATATCCTCCCGGCGCTGAGTTTGCTCTCGTCAATGCTGAGGCGCAATTGATGAACGCCGTGGTGGGTGTCATGCATGAGAGCCTGACTGAGGCCATCAAGGGATTTTACAAGCTGCGGAAGGCCTATGTCACGCTGGACGGCATCGTGCAGGCAGAGGAGCGATATTTGGAGTCGATAGGACACGGGAGAGCAACGAAGGTACCGTCTCCGAGAAGGACCAGCTTTTCAGAAGACCCAATGCCTGGGAGCTTTGACGAGTCCGAGTTTGCCGACCTTGAGGAGGAACAGAGGTTCCCGGTCAACGAGAAAGCAGGCAGTGACGGCCTTCCTGTGGAGGCGGTCAAAGGCGTCTCTCAAAGTCAGATGACCGGTAGTCAAAAGCCTACGGTACAAGATACAGAAGTTCTCAAGGAAAAGCTGAGCGGTCTTGCTGTCACAGCGCACATGCAGACGCCTTCCCAGTCGCGGCCTTCCTCCAAAGGCCACTCGACAGCCGGAACACAAACTCCTGGCAACGCCGTGCTGGAGCAGCTCAACACATCCGGTACCGACAAAGCCCACTTCAAATCCACCGTCGACATCTTTGTGCACAGTGGAGCAAATATGTGCTTTGGCATTCTTCTGCTCCTCCTCTCCATGGTCCCTCCGGCCTTTTCCCGCCTCCTGTACGTCATTGGTTTCAAAGGCGACCGCGACAGGGGCCTGAAGATGCTATGGCAGTCGACAAAGTTTCCCAACATCAACGGCACCATGTCTGCCCTGGTCCTCCTCAACTATTACAACACATTCCTCGGCATGGCCGACATCCTGCCGCCCGAGGACGACGTCTCCGATGCCGCAGGCAGTGATTCAGACGACAGCGCAGGCGATGCCGAGCTCGTCAGCTACCCTAAGGCAAAGTGCGCCGCCCTGCTCGCCGCCATGCGCGAGCGGTACCCGGATTCGCGGCTCTGGAGGCTCGAGGAGGCGCGCGTGCTGGCCAACTCGCGGCGGCTCGACGACGCCATCGCGGCGCTGTCGGCCAACATGGACAGCAAGATGCGGCAGATCCAGGCGCTCAACAACTTTGAGCTGAGCATGAGCTCCATGTACGTGCTGGACTGGCCCCTGATGCGCGACAATTTCCTGCGCTGCGTCGAGCTCAACAACTGGAGCCACGCGCTGTACTACTACATTGCCGGCTGCGCCGAGCTCGAGATGTACCGCGACGCGTTCCACGCCGCGGCCGCCCTGTCTCCCGAAGGCGATGGGGATCGGGAGCGGGAGAGAGGGGTGCTCCAGACCGAGGCGCAAAGGCACAAGAAGACAGCCGAGGAATACCTGCGCAAGGCACCCACGGTCGCGGGCAAGAAGCGCTTCATGGCGCGGCAGCTGCCGTTTGAGGTGTTTGTGGGCCGCAAGCTGCAGAAGTGGGAGGATCGCGCCAAGACGGTCGGCGTCGATCTCGCGGATGCCGTGGCGGTCAGCCCGGCAGTGGAGATGATTTACCTTTGGAACGGCAGCAAGCGGATGGGGATCAAGTATCTGGAGAAGGCGAGGGAACTGCTGGCGTGGGAACGGTGCACGGCGCCGGCGGAAAAGCTGGCCAAGCTCAAGGAGGAGACGGACGAGGTGGCTATTGCCAAACTGGCGGAATCGGCTCTGTTGCGAAACCTGGGCAAGGGCGCCGAGGCGAAGGCCTTGGTCGAGCCCTTGCTAACCATGGACAAGTAAGTCTTCTGTGGCACTTTACGCTATTCTTGATGCTAATCGTGTCTCGGTAGGATGCTGTTTAAAGGCACCACAAAAGATGACTACTGCCAAGCTGCCGGGCACTACGAGATGGCCGCGGTTGCGTGGATGGCTGTCTGCGACGCGGACTCTTGGCCAAAGGGCGCGGCTGAGGAGGTGGAAGCCTTCCGGAGACAGAAGGCGGACGAGTGCTGGCAGTACCTGGACAAGGTCTCCAAGTGGGAGAGCTTCGTGCTGGATGCCCGGTTTGGTATGAGGGTCAAGACCGGCATGGAGACGGTTGAGTGGCTGAGGGCCAAAAAGGGGTGGGCATGAGCGACGGTCAAGCTGTGAGTTGCCGTTGTCTTGCATGGGTAGAGGCTTGCTTGGTTTACGCTCTGCATCCCGAGGACAGCAGCACGGACGGAATACGCACAGGTCACGCATTGACGGGTATAGATCTACAGCTGTACATACACGAAATTACATACACGGAAGCTGGGCCAGACGGAATGTCAGACGGGGACATGGTTAACAACCTTTCATCGAGCCGCGAGATCTGAGAACGGGTTGAACCAAGGAGAGGAAGCCCACCTCTTCTTCAGAGCGAGACACAGAATTTCCGCCATATCTAACCTGCAACGCCATACCTAAACCCATTACCAACAGAGGAAGAACAAAGTCCGAACCCCTCACTCACTTCCCTTCCCCTTCATCAACCCCCAACCGCCTCTCCAACCTTCCCTTTGCCCCGTTCCTTCACCCGATGCTTCCCAGTTTCATCCCTCAAATCATCCACCACATGCCTCCCACCCACACCCGTCCCATGCACCCAGTCCAAGACACCCCACCCGCCAAAGTTGCCCCTCCCGCCGCTGGCGTAGTGCACCGCCGTCCGCCGCGCCATGCCGCCCATCAGGATTCCCGGGACGACCCTGTACCCGCTCATGGAGAGCGTCTCCTCGAGCGTGGCGAGCGCGACATAGACGAGGAAGGTGAGCATGTGTAAGCTCCAAAAGTGCAGGGCCAGGGCGGGGAGGTAGAGCGGCGCGAAGCGGTGGAGGAGGTACGGGAGGGGGTGGTCTGTTTTGAGGAGGAGGGAGGATGGTGTCGTTGTTGTGTGGTGGGCGTGGGCATAGCGGGTGTGGAGGGTAGTGGTGGGTAAGGGGTTGTTTCGTTTACGCTTGGTGGGAGGGTTGTTGCGTTTGGAGAGGGGTGAAAGGGAGGACGGGGGATGGTGGCCGTGGAGGAGATAGCGGTGAATGTAGTAGGTGAGGATCTCGCGGGCGGTGAAGAGCAGGGCGAGGTGCTTAATCATTTGCCATGGGAGGGGGAGAGTTGTTGAGGTGCGGAAGATGGGGCCTCCGAGGAGGGTTGACAGGCCGAGGGAGGCGGCTGCCTCGACTGCGGTCTCAAGAGCGAGGTTAAAGAGAGCGAGGCCGGTGAGGCTGACAAGAGAATAAGCATCGCGTGGCGGGAGTGCTGAAGATCCGTTCTGCTTGATGTTTCCCGACAGCGAGGGCAAGAGGGTGTCGAATGCGAGGAAGAGCAGAGATGGGACCAGCCAGAGGACGATGCGCAGGGCGGTGGTGCCGACAAGCTCGATCTTTAAGGGGGAGTGGCTCAGCACGAGGGTTGTCCAGGTCATGTAGAAAAAGAGCAGGTTGAGTGAGGTTGACCATGATGTAAGGGAGGTTGAGAAGAAGTATGACACGATAGGAAGTGAGAGTAAAACATCCATTGTCGAGTCACTGCTCCTTCAATATTGTCTGCAGATGTGTGGTACAGTAGTATTGCTGATTTTCGTTGTCTCTAGAGGGAGAGGAGCTTGAGGTTATGGTGAGATTCCGGGCAGCGTCTATCGCAAGCAGAGTGGTCGAATGGCACCTGCCCAAAAGGCAACATATGTTCCTTTGATGTGGCTGAATGCGTTGTCGTGGCACTTGTAAGTTTGCTGGGAGGTACTGACATCATGGCTTCCCAAAACGGAAGTCTTGGCGCCCAGCGCGGATGCCAAGTTCGACTGCGAAAATAGCAAGAACTTCGAATTCCAAGGTCAACTCCGAATCTCAATTGGCCAGGCAATGCAACCGGCAAAAAAGAAAAAGGCGCCATCGTTTATCAAAATCCGGGCACGATCCGACAGTCGACGACAGTCGTGCTTCCCGCCTGGACCTTGGCTACGGCATCCTTTAGAACCGCCTCTAACTGGCCGGCTTCTTCAACCCTCAGTGCGTGCACATCACCAGCCCCAGCGGCCGCCGCAATGCCGGCATAGTCTGGCGGCGGCGCAAACGAGATGTGCATTTCTTCGTTGGACGCTTTGGCTGCCGCGCCCTGGGGGTGCACCAGCATGTACGACTTGCGCGGCGCATTCCAACCTAGCGTGTGTCAGTTACGGAGAAGGGCTAGCTACACGCGAGATGCCGGGTATGGTAATGCAAGTACTAGACTCACCGTTGTTGTTTAGGACGACGGTCATGACGGGAATGTTATAGCGGTGAGCAATCCAATACACGCTGCCAGGGACAGAGAACAGGTAAGTCCCGTCGCCGACGATCTGACAGACGAACTGATGGCGTCCCTCGGCTTCGGCCGCGAGTTTGATGCCCAGGGCGGCACCGCCTGACCAGCCCAGACCTCCTCCGCCACAGTTGATCCACGAGCCGGGCCGAGTCGGGCGCACGTTGTCGTGTATAAAGCCTGTGTTGGTGACCGCCTCGACCACCCAGATTGTGTCCTCCGGGCAGGCAGACCGGAGCAACTTGCTCAGATGAGCCACGCCAAATCTTCCTTCAGGGAGGGGCCCTGCCGCCTTCTCGATGCCCTCGATCCTTGCAGCGTACGACGCCTGACGGGAGGCTTCCGCCGCGGCAAGATCCTGCGACCTGAGGATCCTGGCCGCCTCGCTGCCTGGACTGCTGAAGAGGTTGAGGATCTGCTGCACTGCAAGAAGCGGGTCGGCCTGGTAGCGGGCATCAGACTGGATATAGAAGAGCGGCATGCGCTGCTTGAGCGGATCGACATCAATGTGGAAGACCTTGGCGTTTGGGCTTGGCTTGCACAGCGTCGGGATCCACGGGACGTCACAGTCGAGGACCACAATGACATCGGCATCGGGGATAGACGAGTCAGCGCCCTGCCTGACGCCCAACCACGCGGGATGATCTGCGGGCAAGCACATGTCGCTTCCAGCCGTGTCGAGGACACGGAGCGCCTTGATAGTGTCGGCAAGCTCGACTAGCGCCTTGGGAATGTCGTGGTTGCGGCCCGAGTAGCCTGTTACGAGCAGCGGTCTCGACGCACCGGCCAATGCCTCGGCAATCTGCTGCGCACCCTTCGGCGGCAGCCCACCCAACTCGATGGGCGACCAGTACCGCTGTCCGAGACTCATCTCATACGGTTCCAGTTCGGCCTCCAGCACCTCCCGCGCGGCGCAGAGGTACACGGGCCCCTGGGGCTGGCTAGTCGCAAACTGTAGCGCGCGGTTCACAATCTGCTTGACGTTGACGCCCGTCCTGATCTCGTTGGTGTAACGGCAGTACTGGGCGACAATGGCGCGCTGGTCGGGCACGTCCTGCAGCCAGTGGATGAACTCGGAGCGGGAGCCGCGCAGCTCGCCCTCCTGGGTGAAAGGGGAGAGGCCCGCGAAGATGAGCACGGGGGCACGCCCGCTCGAGGCGTTATGCACGGCGACCCCCAGCGCCTGCGTGCCAACGTCGACGTGGACGATGACGCATTGGGCCTTGCCGGTGAGACGGGCGTAGCCGTCGGCCATGGACATGGCCACCATCTACCCAAACAACATGTCAGCTGTGGCTTCTCTGACGAGGAGCCGAGTATTTGATTACACGACGTTTGCGTGTTATTAGAGACACACCTCGCTGGGGCAGGTGATGATGCGCGGGAATCTGGGGTCCGACCTCCTCTGCACCATGGCCTCGATGATGCTGGGATGGTCAGACCCCAGGTTGACAAAGCAGTGCGACACGCCTGCGTCGGCAATGGCTTCGAAGAAGGCAAACGACGTGGTATACATTTTGGATCTTTTGACACGGATCGGAATTGGGAACAGAAAGCGGCAAGCGGGACAGCACCAGCAGGCAGACTGGGACCGAAGTCAGATTTTGGGGGACGATGGTCCACAATAACTACTTCGTATCTCTGCAGATGGCTTGTTGCAGCGCGTTTCTTCGGGGACAGGAAACTCCACCGCCCGCCAGGGGTCGCCGGTCCGGGGCACCACGGAAGCAGCTAAGAGAGTCTGCTGTCCCGGCCCGAGGACGGAGCCTGGGAGGAGACCATGTGTGGAGTATTCGGTGTAGACGACCACTGTCACGGACGAGCTGACAAGCCATTGACAGACGGATGAAATTGATGGTGAATCTGACACCAAGGCATGGTCAACTAAAAGGTACAAATTGAGGCAAGCCCGGGGGCGTGTCCGAGAATCTCAGATTGGGGCGTTTTCTAAAGCGACGCCTCTTATTTCAATGCTACCAACCTCGGAGGGCCAAGAGCACCAATGATCCTCCCTTGAGTTGTGGGGCATGCAGGTGAGAAGCTTCATCAACCAACATGCATATCCGTACGGATCCGTACATCACAACGAACAAGCTGTTGAGACGTAATCTGAGTGGACGGCTGTAACTTTGCTTGCAGCTTGCAGCTTGAGCCAGCAGGATCGCTTGCGGGAAGGTTTCAGGCAAGCCACAACCCCCACCCGCTCCCTTGGAAATTTTTTTTCTCCTGTGGCCCATTGAAGGTATTTGCACACAGAAAGGGATGGTCGGGGAATTCGGTGCGAGATAATAAAAGCCGAGTCTATACCGGGAGGGTAACGTACGCGAGCCATTCACTGCAGCGGAAATGTGGTCCGCCCCAATCAAACCACGCCCGCCGGCCCCTTTGTATGTACTTACTACTACTTGGACGGAGTGTCTTGGGTTCAGAGCTCATGCTCTGGAAGGATTCCAAGTTTGAAAGCTGTCGCCTGTTTGAAAGACCGGTGGGACAGTTGCAATTCACAACTCTGCCTCACAGCATGAGTCAAGGTCCGTTGATTCATTAGCTTGCCTGTTGGACTCAAAGGTGCCTGAAGATGGCTGCTTGAATGCCATGTGTTGTGACGGGTAATTGCCTCAATGTCGTCCAACGGCTGATGATAAGGTTCTTCAGTTGCCTGGAAAGCGCACGCGACGGGACATCGGTCCTCGTGCTACAAGGGCAATCTCTTTAGTAAGCACTAAAAGCAGCTCGATAATGATGCATAGGCCGTAGCCGTGGAGCAACGATCGCAGTCTGGCAGCCGGTAGAAGACTGGCCCCGGCACGGCCCACCATCTCTTGCTGTAACATATTTACAGAGTGAACTTGAAGCTCGGGTGCCAGTCGCCCATGTTGGTCCGGTCCTCCTCGGGCAAGGCGAGCCGGTCATCGCGCTCACCGCGCGCCCTCTTGCGGTTCTCCCTCAACATGAGGCCGGCCATGGCTGTGGCACAGAGCGCACCGAACCACATCATGCCAAGGGCGACCCCGTATCCCGTTTTGTACGTGGGCGCCTCCGACTTGATGAAGATGAAGGCGCCCATGATGCCGGCGAGGTTTCCAATCATGACCTGCGCCGAGGCGCCAAACGAGCGCTTCCAGTGGCCCGAGAGGTTGTTCTGCAGCCAGCCGAGGCACATGGGCGTGATCATGTAGGCGCCGCCAAAGACGAGGAAGACGGCTGCGAACTTGTAGTCGCGCGACTTGCCCTCCTGGGCGAGCAGCATGGCGTAGCCGATGGTCGACATGGAAGCGCCGCCCATGATGAAGCTGAAGCGGTGCTTGAGGCGGTCCGACGCCCAGGCACCGAGGATCATCATTCCGGCGGCGAAGACGTAGACCGGGATGGTGCGGACCTGCGCCTCCTGGGCCTTCCACTGGAATTCGAGGAGGATGGTCGGCAGGAAAAAGGTGCCCGATAGCCCGGCGACCGAGATGCCCATGTACATGAAGGCAGCCAGCCAGATCTTGCAGTCGCGGACAATGCGGGTGAAGGCGAACTTGTTGAGCGTGTCCATGCGGCAGAGGTCGCCCACGTCGGCTGCCATGCGTCTGCGCAGAAGATCCTTCTCCTCGGCGTTGAGGTAGCGCGTCTGCTCGGGCCAGTCAATGATGAGAAAGGCAGCGAAGATGGCGAGGAAGGAGGTAACGGCGCCCTCAATGATAAAGATCCACCGCCAGGAGGCCATGGTGGGGGTGCCGAGGCCGGCAATGGCGTAGGCGAGCAGGCCGCCAAAGGCACCGGCGACAACGGTGCTGCAAAAGAAGAAGGACATGCGCTTCTGGTACTCGTGGCGCTTGTAGTACATGGACGAGACGTAGACGATTCCGGGCAGCACGCCGGCCTCGAAGGCGCCGAGGAGGACGCGCAGGCCAACGAGGGCTTCGTACGAGTGGACGAAGCCCATGCACATGTTGATGATGCCCCAGAGAAACATGAGCCCTGAAAGGAAGAGCGACGGGCGGACATGCTTGATGATCATGTTGGAGGGCACTTCGAGCAGGACGTACGACGCGTAATAGGCCTGGCAACATGAACCGGTCAATAAGTAAGTCGGCCACTCAGGACGTGCTCATCGCCTGCTCGTACTGGATGCGCACAGCAGTGGTGGGGATGAGACGCGGGGTGAGGGGGCATACAAAGAGAGCGACATTGAAGCGGTTGCCCTGGTCGAGCTTGAGTTCGCTGGTGAGACCCTGAATGGAGGCATTGCTAATGTTGATGCGGTCCAGAAAGGCCATCATGTAAACGACGAAAAAGACGGGGAAAATGATCAGGTCGAGCTTCCTGAGGAGCCGGCGCTCAGCCAGGGGGTCGATTGGCGCATCGTCAGACGTATCCGAAGATGGTGACCCGGGCTTCAAGACGTCGGCAGTGGCCGCATCAACTCGCTGTTTCTCATCGGCGGACGACATGATTCTTAAGTCCCTTAGGTATTACCTATAGGTTGGTGACGTCGGGTGGGCTGTGCCTCGGTCGTGCACGACGTGTATCAACGGATGGCAGAAAACGGTCGATGCACCAATGGCTAGCGGATGAGGCAGCGCGGTTGACTCGGGAAAAGAAGGGTGGGAGAAGAATGCAAGAGGCATAAAATAGAGAGAACGTGGCAACCCTGCGCTTCGGTCGGACGGGGCGACAAGTCGGCAGCAAAGCCCAACCGGTTCCCCCCTGTGCAATGTCAAACCCGAGACCTCAGGCGCTGAGTCCTCGGGGAGATTCCCCCATTTCGGCTGGGCCCGGCCGGCCGTGCAGGTGCTCTGTTCCGTCGTGAGGATTTAAGCTGCGTCGAGCAACTAGGGTGTGTGGCAAGGGACGACTGGGAGACGTGCCAAACACTACCAATGGCATCGTTGCGGTGGCCGTCGACGAAGCCTCCATATCTGGTGAAGGGAAAGTATCGCAAGGGGAAGTGTGGGGGGACACCGGTCTTGGTCAAGGACGCAGAAAAATGCAGAGCATGCATCGGACAGATAATTCGGGTTTTGCAAATGCCTGCAATTCCCGTGTCCCATTCCCGTATCCTGAGAAGGAGGATATGCTCGCTCGGCCTGCATCGTCCAATACGGTCCTAGATGCCGTTCTTGAGCAGGATGCAAATACGACTTGGGGGCGGCAATGTTGTTGGTGATGGGGAACTTCTTTGTCGTGCAGTCGGGGAATGCAGCCGGTCTTCCACCCGCAGCTGAGTGGGGTTGCCAAGATGGTTAAGTGAGCCTTCCCGCTACCGGGCGCTTTCCTGTTGGAGATTTCCTGACTTCGGCCCTGGTCAGCAGCTGGGCACCCTAGCTGTATGTAATGTTAGGTCGACACCACAGCACCGCACTGGAAATTAATGGGCATTTTCGAACCGAGGAAGAATCGAAACGACTGGAGGACTCGATTGTACAGTCCCAACAGGTATTCAGGATATCTCTCACTTGAGCCCATTGGTATTAAGGTTAGTAAAGAAAGGAAAACAATGAGTAAATGTCGTTAACTTGATAAATCATTCAGAACTCGAAAGCACAGCGGATCACGGATATGGTACTCCATACGACCGGCCACTTTCGCTCCTCTTTCATAACCGTATCGGAGATGGCACGGCAGGGGCGGGGCGCAGTTACAGAATTGTCGGCCTCGTCCATTGCGTCGAATCCTTCCAACTGAGAATTTCGTATCAACCCTTCAATTTCAAACCCTGCAACAGGGCTTCGAGAAAGACATTTGCTTCCTTTTACTCCCCTCCCCTGCAAGTCACAGAAAGGACGCATTCAATCAAAGGGCTCACATCCCTGGTGAACCATTTTCCAAGATTCCGTCGCCGATTCGCCGTAACATGATGCTTTATGCAAGGAACAAGCCGTACTGCGCATACATGGATAAATTTCTTAACCTGTCCTGCTCCCACTTCAGGTTCAAGTGGGAAACCTGAATCCCTGATTTTGTCCTTGGACGCAAGAATAATCCTCCCCGAAAAGATGCTCCCTCCTGTCGGCTGGATGAGATAACTTGAACAGAGGCGGAAGAGAACTAGGACAGAAGAAGCACGCCACCAAACGCTTTGTAGCCGCCCGGAATGCCGGAGACGCTCGACCTAAACGACAACAATTCCCGCCTTATCATTATCCCAGCGGCCGTCTTCTTCGGCATTTGTCCCGTGCTCGTGGGCTTGCGGATATGGGCGCGCCTGAGGAAGGGGGGCAAACTGGGCGCCGACGACTGGACTGCTGTGGCAGCTCTTGTATGTGGCCAAGTCTTTGGTCTTCTCAAATTGGAAGCGATGCTGTTACGATTGGCTGACCGCAGATTGGTAGGTGTTTGTGCTTCTCACCAGCGCCTTTTTAGTCACCTGTGAGGACTCACTCTTGTTTAATTCTCCTGCATCTCGACCAGGACAAGTCATGCTGAACTGCGACGTCCTCTAGCCTGTCAGTACGGAATGGGACGGCATTGGGTGACTATCAAGGGGAACGACAGGTTTGAGACAAACAAGGTGGGTAAATTCTGGAGTGGTCGAAAAGGCTGAAACTCTTTCAGTTTCTTCTAAAACTGCGTGCTAACCACGCGCAACACTTGAAGTATTTCTACATGTCCCAGATCACCTACAAGGCCGCCATAAACCTCGTCAAATGCAGCATCCTCCTCCTCTACCTTCGTCTATTCCATGTCGTTCACTGGTTCCGCTACTCGTGCTGGGCGCTCCTCGCCGCCGTCGCCACCTATTGCACCGCCTCCATCCTGGCGACCATTTTCCAGTGCCGGCCCATAATCCGGGCACTGGATAAAGACACGCCGGGCACCTGCATCGACACTGCCAAGTTCTGGTTTGCGAACGCAGGCTTCTCCATCGCCACGGATATCATTATCCTCCTGCTGCCCATGCCTCTCGTCTGGAAACTCGGGGTGCCCATCGCCCAGAAGTTGGCCCTCATGGCCGTCTTCACCATCGGCATCTTTGCCACCATCACGTCGTGCCTCCGCGTCACGACACTCGACATATTTGCCACGAGCCCCGACAATACGTACAACGTCGACAACGTCATGTGGACCATCGTCGAGCCCAATGTCGCCATCGTCTGCGCTTGCCTCCCCGTCCTGCGCCCCTTCGTCGTCAAGCTCATCCCGGGCCTCCGCAGCAAGAGCTATGGTTCCCAGGGCAACCCCGGGTACGCATCCGGCAAGTCCCGCCTCACGCTGGGAAGTCAGAACAAACCCGACGGCGCCCGCCGCGACTGGGTCGAGCTTGCCGGCGTCAAGTCCCAGGGCGTCCACCTCGCATCCATCCGCCGTCCGGGCTCCCACACTGGCAGCGAGGAGAGCATCCTGACGGGCGCCCAGGGGCAAAACGTGAATGAGACTGCCGTGTCGGGGATTCAGAGGACGGTGGAGTACAGCATCCAGTACTCGAGTCAGAAGCAGTCGAGTACTAGAGTGGCGGATGGGATGGAAACACAAGCTTGATACAGACCAGGCCTCACATGTACGAGGACTACGAGCTCGGGCTCTCTCTGCTGGAGTTTCAATCGATTCAAGTCCTACAGGCACACGAGCATTATGGGCTTTGACCAGGAAAAGGCAAGAGCTTGGGTACTGCGGGAACATTTACGAATCTGCCTGGGTTTGCTCATGATATGAACCGCGGTTTAGTGGATATCAATCATCCTTGCAGTCGAGAAAGGATCTCGGCGGGACAGGTACCTTCACGTTCGGCCAGATAGCCAACTCAGAATTGAATATCGCTACCCGAAAATGATACCGCTGTCATTTTCTTGCCCCTTACCAGTACCTCAAGCCAACACCATCACTCCTTGAAGTCAGTGCTGCTCCAGATCTCCTCATAGTCATTCGCCGTCTCAGCCAGACTCTCACTCAAAGCCCGCATGGCACCGCCCGTATCACTTCCCAACGGCAGCCGCAGCCTCTTCTCCTTCCCCTTAAACAACCCCTCCCCAGCGACATACTCCCAAATCCTAGCCGCCCCCTCGACTGGATTCCCCAGCTGACGCCCATTGAATCTTTCAAAATTTGCCCGCGCCTCGTGCGCAATTGTGCCGTCATACACAGCCAGCGGCGGCGCCAGGTTCGACGCCGCCGAGGCGGACGCGACCGATGACAGAAACGCCGTGCGGAAGTAGCCCGGCTCGATGACAAAGGCGTGCAGGCCAAAGGGGGCGATCTCGGCCGCCAGCGCCTGCGTGATGCCCTCGAGCGCGAACTTGGTCGCGCAGTAGACGCCGTTGGACGGGTAGCCCCGGAGGCCGCCGATGGACGAGATATTGGCGATGGTGCCGCTCTTTTGGGATCGCATGTGCGGGAGGACTGTTCGGCAATGTCAGTCATCTCCTGCCTATTAAGCGTGACTCGGGAGTGATTTGGCGGAAGAGCCGGTTTTTGGCGGACACAGGCGACTTTTCCTAACTTCCGAGACGTCTTGAAAGGGACAAACGGGCACGGATTTTACGTACAGGCCCGGATGGTGCGCAGAACGCCAAAGACGTTGATGTCGAATTGCTTCTTGACCATTTCGTCTCTGGAAAAGGGGATTGTTAGTATGAACCGGCTGTTGGGGTAAAGGGGGGTTGGCGTACTCGGTCTCCTCGATGGCGCCCATGTAGGCGTAGGCTGCGTTGTTGACGAGGACGTCGACCCGGCCAAAGGCGCCAAAAGCCTTCTCGGCGTAGGCGTTCACCTCCTCCTGGGAGAAGGAGAGGTCATACTGGAGGACTTTGACGCCGTCGACTTTGAGGCTGTCTGGGACCTTGGACGGTGACCGAACGGCGGCAATGATTCGGTCGCCCTCCTTGAGCGCCTTGAGACTGAGTTCCAGGCCGAAGCCCGTATTTGCGCCGCTAATGTGCCAGACACGAGGAGCCATGGTGGTGTTGACTTCAAACCCAATAAAGAGTTAGGGGTAAATTGTTGGATACAAAGAGCAACTGGCAAGCGCGATGGCCCGGTGAGTCTGATCCGACGATGACTTCAGTGTGGAGCCGGAATCTGTAGACAGCTATGTACTTGCTTATACCCCTCTCATAATGCTCGTGCGCCATCTTTCATGGATGAGGTGCCTCCCGGACCTCCCTGACACACGACAACATGCCAGCCGCATTCGGCATACCCCTCACGCATGTAACGTCTTAGGCATGTCCCAATGGCGCCAAGGCGGTTGCCTGCAATTCTTCGACGAATCTCGACGATGCCCTCATCGCAAGTGAGTAAGCAACTTGCTGGTCTTCCAGTGGCAGTGCGGTTGCGAATTGCATGAGCCCTTGGCATCACACTACACAGGGGCCAACGGGAAGCCATCAATAGTGTCGCTTGCATTGTGACCACTCGGATGCCCGACGTCCTGCTGGGGCCAATTATGAAGCAAACAACAAGCTCATAAATGAGCTTTTCATTCTGACCGACTGGTTGGGAAGTATTTAGAGGTTTAAGTCCCGAAAAACTAGAACAAGATCAACGAGGGTCCTGCCGTCGGGAGTGCTGAAACTTGAGTTGGAGAGACGGTGAAGGATCAACATCAACTTTCTTCGACAACACCCACTGCTAGATATCAAGCCAGGCGAATTTTGGTGGGCTCCTGGCCATCAAACAAGGAACGGTCCAAGATCTGTCCCACGCCGACCCGTTGCCAGGCGCCTAGGTCAGCCAAGTACGAGATAAATAACACCATGTACCCTCTGTCAATGCCATTCCCAATCCTATCGGAAGTATGGCACGCCACCTTGACGCAAGTGACGCCCTCCACCAGCCCGTCAATGCTGGCCCTTGTCTCGTAGTCGAGCGATGCCCAGCCGATAAGCCGTCCACTGTCATGCTGTACGTCCAAGTGTCTGGTGTCATGATCAAGTGCGATGAACAAGATGGCAATGCCGTACAACGGCATTCCCAGTCGGCCCTCAAAGAAGCGCAGCTCAGTGTTGATGCGGACCGCACCCTCAAGTTGCAGAACGCAGGGGCGCTCAGTTAGCAGCCCATGCTGCGTCATGTCCCCTACGAGTCTGATTTCAAGCCTGAGCTGGCCCAGGGTAGAGATGCTCGCATGGTGATACTGAATTACAACGACCACAGAAGCCCACGACCAAGTTAGCGCTTTGGCAGCGAGGTCGTTCTCGAGAGCCACTTGTCGGCCCAGCCACAGGGGGCAATAGACAAAATTGTTGGTCAGATTCCGCGAATGCAAGTATCCCCTGTCAATTCCTCGCATTTTTGGACAATACCGGCCAGCGCGACCAGCTTGTCCAAAGGATTGGTGATAAAGCACTCGGAGGACCGCATGATCATTTCATACCAGGCCTGATAGACCATGTCTTTTCAACCGGTGGGGTACTAGTGGTTGGGCTGGGCGAGACGCCGGGGCGCTGCCGTTGGTCGAGTACTGCCAATGCATGCTTCAGCTCATGATATGGGCGATAGGTGACTTCGACTCCGGTTTCGACAAGCTCGACCCCTTGCCAGGATTCGAGATATACGGATCCAGCGGACCCAAAGTGGATGGTCCTGGGCGAGAGGATGCGCCCCTGCAGCACCCAGCCTCGCGAATTCATCTCCCTGCGGTCCAAGTGACGGCGAGCGTTGGAGCCCAGAGCATCGAAGAACGCTTCCGACTCGAACGGGCGGTTGGCTGTCGGGGACTGCGTTCCGCGTTGTTGGTCACCAGCGACGGCCCGAGACCTGAAGCAGCCATATCCGCCTCGAAACTGCACGCTCGCCGCTGTCGTGTCCCCAAACGGCCACGACCTTCTCCCACTGCATCGACTCTTCTAAGAAGCCATGGTCCGCGTGGTCCGCTGCTTGGGCGGCGATGGTACAGTAGGCGTGCATGTATACGTCGCCCATTCTTCCCGCTTCCTGAGACCAATCCTCTCTATCACCCCGGATGATGCACAGACAGTCTACCTAGAGGTAGCGGATACGAAGACGTCGCGTGACTTGGACCACATCACGAATGGTCCGAGGCATTTGGTCGACGGCAATGTGTCTCATGCGCTCCTGAATCGTATCAACGGTTGTCGTGAGCGAGTTGGTAGTTCCCCACCGGTAGCTGAGGGCAGTGTATCCTTGGTCCTTCGAGTCTGTCGGAAGAGAAGCCGTTTCCACGAGACGCACTCCTGCATCGAAATGTGTTTCCAACCATGATAAGACGTGTAGGCAACGGCGAATGACGGCTGGCGTCGCCTGCTTTGCTCCATTGCGTCGCAAGCCATGCCCTGATCGCTTGAAATCTCTCGGGCTCCCCAAACGGAGCCCGCGAGCGGAAACCTTGCTTGGCAGCTGCGGTTCCTAGAAGCCCATACACGCTCAGTCCAACATTGTGTAGTTGAGGTAAATAGTTTTCAATCGTAACGCTCAGGGTGCAGATGTCGCTCGGAGGAGTCTTCGACCTCGCACGCAAGCATATCAGTCTCCCTGTAATGTACGGGTTTGAGAAGCACCATAGCTTGGTCGGGGTTGCCGATTCCGGCGTAGGTCTGCAGCGTCTGCACCAGAAGCAGGCACATGGGGACAACCTCAAGTGCAAGACGCAGCAAGAGCTTGATAGGATTCCGAGTGGCGATGGCCGGTTTCGCTCAATACGGCGGAGGGACTCCTGGCACTGCATGCAGCGCACACCGAGACCCCATCGGCAGGAACATTGGGGAGCGTCGCGGCAATTGGAAGCATGTGCTGGAGGCTAGCTTGACTTCTGAAGCCGGGGCCGTCGGAGGGCCTCGCCGTGGTTCGCGAGGCAGAGTGGCACATCAAGATTTAGCAAATTCGCGACCGATGGGGGGTGGGGGAGAGGTGGAGGGGAGAGCTTGGGAGTGCGAAGGCGTTAGGAGTACGTCGTGAGGCAGCCCAACTGGGCGCAGCTGCATTGAGTTGTTGATGCTAGAAGCCCCTCGGCTTCGCAGCCTTGCGCCGCATCAGTCCAAGCACTCGTCGGAACTGGAAACTCGCCAACACAAGTGGCCGCAAGCGCACTCGAGGGAAGCGTGTAACAGGTCGTCGTGCTGCAAGTCGGAGACGGGATACGGACTCTGGGTTGGGTATGGGAGGAGAGCGGATCTGGGTAAGTCGAGAAAGGACTGGATCATTCTCAAGCCTTGATATGAATATGGATGTCGCAAATGCGGGCAGACACGCTGGCGAAGCATTGAAGTGTGTGCGACTTGTCCATTCCTTGGGGCAACCTGCTGGCGTACCTGGGACCGGCAGCCGAACGAGGCATTCGATATATACAGTACAGTGAAACCAGGACATCACGCTTCCTCGATGGCGAGCTTTTTGCTCATATCCTTCTTGATCCGGGTTATGGTGCCAGAGCCGCCGTAGACCAGCCCTGTGTAAACCATAGCCACACTAGCGCCAGCATTCAGGACCCTGAGAGCCTGATCTCCGTTCGTAATTCCGCCAGTCGCAAAGATGACCTTCTGGCCCGAAAATGCATCGTCGACACCGACAGCTTCGAGTGAGTAGTTGTCGAGCATCTTGCGGTAGCGTCCAACCAGGCTCAGCGTCCGGTCGAACATGGCCGGCCCAGAGAAGCCGCCGTCCTCTGCCAGCGCTTTCTGCTCCTTGCATGTCAGCCGCACTCCCTCCTTGACCAGCCCCGTCCGCCGCTTCGTCGTGTTTCCCACAATCACACCATCCACGCCGCTCATCCACACGGCTTGCACAACCCCTTCCATTTGAGTATCATCATCCTCATCCGGCGAGACCTTGACCATCACTCTCGGCTTGACTTTCTTGTCAGTCTTCTTCGCCTCGTCAACCACTGCTCCCAACAACCTGGCCAGCGGGCCGGCAGCCTGCAAATCCCTCAACCCCGGCGTATTCGGGCTGCTGACATTGACAACCAGCACATCCGCGTATGGCGCCAGCCGCTTCACGCAGTAGACATGATCCCGTATGACCGCCTCAATATCCTTCTCATCCGTCTTCTTATTTTTGGCAATCTGCACGCACAGCAATCGCCCCGGCGCCAGGCTGCCCGGCGGTACCCCACCCTTCCCATCCAGCACCTCCCTCTCCGTCAACCCCCACCGCCGCGCAAATTTCCTCAGCCTCTCCCGTAATCGCGCAGCCATGGCGTCAGCGCCGCGCGAGTTGAGCCCGTACCGGTTGACCATGCCGTCCACGGCCGGAATGCGGAACACACGTGGGCGCGGGTTTCCCTCTTGCGGCAGGGGCGTGCAGCCGCCGACCTCGACGACGCCGGCGCCGAGGGCGAACAGCGGGTCAGGGATCTCGGCGTCCTTGTCCAGCCCCGCCGATATGCCAATTGGGTTGGCAAGGGTCGTGCCGAAGACTGTTACCGCGAGCGGGTTGGAGTGGGATGAGGGGGAGTAGTCGGCTGGCAGGGCGGAGGGGCGCTCGCGCGGGTGCAGGCCGAGCGAGTAGAGGGTTTTGAGGGCGGCGGTGCCGGCGTGGTGGGCGTCTTCGGCGTCGGGGAAGAGGACGCGCAGGACGCGGGGGACGAGCCACTGGTGGAAGGAGGCGCGTGTATCCGTGACATAGTAGTAGGTTAAGCCCGCGGCGGCGGCGAGGGCGCTGGTTACTAATATCGTGCGCGCTGTGGAGGGAGATTGCTGGGAGGATGTCGAGGCGAGGCGGCGGGGGACGTGATTGCCCAGTCTAGCTTGGGGGCGGATAATGGGTCGGAATGCGGCTGCTAGAGATTGTCGGGTTGGAGATGCGGTGCCCGCCATCTTCTAAAACGATGGCTGGCAGAGCCAGCGTGCAATGGGTGCAAACGAGTGACGGCCGGGAGCGGCTTGGCGTTGTTGATGTTGAGCGGCCTGAAACTAAAAATGCGATTCATGGTAAGTACGTCGCGTTGACCGTGCCAAGCAACGAGCACCGAAAGGGCACGCCGAAAAGTGGATCTCAAAACCTCCCCTCATGAACAGAAAGCGCAAACTCCTTGGGGAAAACAAAGACCCTATGTCACCAAATACCGATACTCGAATTGATTAACGTTGACATGAACTCAATGAGTAATATTTATCTTGATAAATTTGAAAGTGGTTGAGATGCGGACGACTTATGACTGTAAGGTGAAATTGCATTAAACGGTGTTCTGTTTAATTCTGCTGTGGTGTCCCGGGGGTTTGTCTTGCCCCCGTGTATTTGCGACCCCTCTCCCAAGAAGGGTCCTCTCAATGCTCCCGCAAAAAGCCCAGAGTCTTGACCCACAAACCCCACAGAATATTCTCAAACACCACACCCATCGAGTCGGTACCACAGGGTCTGATCTTGGACCAGCAACAGAGCTTGTACGAATTTATCCGCCATATCAGAATGCCAAGCAAGAAGCGCGGCAAGAAACCCAACGCAGGTGGCTCAACTACGGGCCCGACTCTGGGTGGTGGGCCGGGTCCAGGGCAGGACGGACAACAGAAAGCAGGGACATCATCTGCTGCCATGACTGCTGCGATATTGTCGACCTCATCAGCGGCCACTCGGAGTCTCGCAGACAGCTACCTCTTACTTGTCCGCCTCACGAACTCCTCAGACCCGACAATTACCCGAATCCTGTCCATTCCCGCCGACTTCACCATGGCTAAAGTTGCGGACGTCCTCACCGTGGCTTTCGGCTGGGCAAAGGGCCGCCATCTGAGTAAGTTCGAGCTCAATAAACTCGATGCAACATCATCGGCTCAACCAGTCAACCGGTTTTTCCGTCAACCAATTCTCGAGATTATGGACGATGAGTCGCTCGAAAACTCTCAGCGCATACAGAACATGATGTTCAACTCGCATTTGTTCCCCAGACCCCCCAATAACTACAAACCGCCAAAGCTGGCAAGACTGGACGATATGTCTCTGCACGCCATCTTCGAGGACAGCAGCGAGTACTACGGGGGCACGCTCCTGTCGTGGATGTACGACTTCGGAGATGGGTGGGAGCATACCATCTGCTTAATGGGCAAGGAGGACAGCCACCTGCGTGCGGCCATGGGAATTCGGTCTCGCAATACTGCGATTTGCCTTGGCGGCGAGGGCCATCCATGTGCTGAGGATTGTGGTGGCAGCGATGGATGGGAGCGACTGAAGCGAGTTTTTGCAGATCCTAGCACCGAGGACCCTGATGGCCAAAGGGAGTGGTACAAAAAGACGTGCACCAATGGTGACCCTGCAGGCCTCGACCCGTTCAAATGGGACTTGGCCGAGGTAAACAAGGAACTGATGAAGATCAAGTAGTATAACGGACAAGGAAGAAAGGAAGGGAGCTAGTGGCATCCGACTATATGACGGAGTTGCCATTTCGACCGTCACCTCGGAAAGCGGGACCTACAATATAAATTGAACTGGTCACCAGCCGTGATCTTGATCACTGAACTTGTTTAGGACGTCACCTTTTTCCCCAGACGCCAGCCCATGCGATGCGTCTAATCAACCGAATTCCCAATTCTACCGGTTGTCCCCATCTATCGCATGAAATCGTCAAAGTGCAAGAAGAGCCGCTCCCCCTCCATCTATTTATGCAGCAACCTCCTCTTCTGACGCAGGCTCAAGGGACCCCTCGGCCTGCCTTGCAATGCGCCGTTCCGCCAACCGATTGAGGTAGCTGAGATACGTCTGCCATCCGACCGCAATAACCCCTCCAAACACCGGCCGATACTCGAGCGGGAGGAACGCGAAACTGAATGCTGTGACGGCCGGCCACAGCTTGCACGAGTTGAGGCAGCTGACAGGGACTGTCTGCCTGATGCGCTCCCATGTCTCGGCCAGGTTAGCGCCGGACAGCAACGCCTGCATGCCGAAGAAATACGTGTTGAAGACCGGTGTGAAGCAGATTTGGTTGATGATGACCTTGGCGGCTATTGACAAGGTGCGCGACGGGTAGTTGAAGTTGTCTGAGAGCCAGACGAACCTGGTGAAGGGTCTGGTCAGCTGTCATTCATTTACATGCAGCGGCAGCGTATTCGGAGAAGAACCCACCATTTGTAGCTTGGTATCGACGATATTGAACCTATCAACAACGAGCGCGCTGTTCGGATCGGGTCGTAGTCCTTCCCGTTCATACTCTGCGCCGAGACTGCAGCTGGTCAGCTCGGGGCCACTCATAGACTTGTCGGGGGGAGGCGACGGCGGAAATGCCGGGTCGTGTGGGTGTCACGCACTGTCGGAGCACAGGTAGATGAACAGCGAGGTGCACACCTGCGTTACATATGGCCTCTTACGCTGCGCCCGCGCATACGCCTGAGCCGCCCTTGTCAATGGCCCCAGCCTCTGCCAGAAGTTGAGTGTCGGAACGTTGTTGGGTGTCGGCACCTGTTCGGGCAGCCGCGCGGTCTTGTTCGGCTTAGTCGAGTCGCTGTTGGTGGATTGCGCCCGGCGGTGCCGCAACTTCTGGAGGATGTCGATGTTGCGCCGGAGCGCCGTTCGGCATGTATAACAAACAGCCATTCTTTGCTGTGTCGCTGCCGTCGTCGCCGTGTCGGGAGAGTTCGCGCATCAAGACAGAGGGGCTCGCATGGCTCTTGTTGCAGGTTGGAAGAGTGCTGATGACTACCGACCGGTGACTCGGGGTTGCCAGCAGTGAGCACGGCACACAGTTCAGCGCCGAGCCAACCGAGAGCGGCGATAACGATAGCGCGGTTATACACCCCCGTTCGGTAACCTAACATACACAAACAGCCGAATGCAGCGTATCAACCCTAGTATTGTACTGTACATAAGTTTCGGGCGCGGCGCTACTGTCAGCATCTACATTTGTCAGTACCTCAAGTGTTGGGTTGGAAAAGGCAAGACGCCCGACAATGTACTCTTTCCTTCCTCGACAGTGGGAATGACTTAATCACACCCTGCAAGTCAAACACCATTCCAACTCAGAACAGAAAACGTCATACGTGTGTAAAAATTCAAATTCAAATCGAAAAAAGGCATAAGGAAGCCCCACTGGCGCAATTGGAAGCGCGTCAGACTTCTATCTTTGGCGGTATCTGAAGGCTGTGGGTTCGAGCCCCACGTGGGGTGAATAGTTCGAAATCTTGATTTTTGTGTATCTTGCTCTCATTGTTCTCCATATCCACGACTTCAAGTCCACCTCGCCTCTTCAAGTCGTTCTCATGCAGAGCAAAACCATGGATGTATAGGTGCTCTGAAGTTCGGCGTCAGTGTTCGCATTTTCATAACCCGGGATTATACTGACATTTCAAGGACATACCTAGCATATTGACCCGAGCTTTTCGTCAGCGTAGCACAAAGCAGGCCTAGTTAGTTAAAAGAAGGAAAAGGGGGAACGCAGAGCAGCAACAAAAACAGTAGGAACATAGGAAGATAAAAAGGAGTAACGTTATTAAGGAAAAGGAAGCGAGAAGAAAAGAGATGATTATGCATAAAGAAAGAAAAGAAGAATCAAATAGAATAACTAACTAACTATAATAAGAAATATGAGGAAAAGAAGGAATGAAGGTGAATATGAATGATCATCCTATTTCCTTCCTGAGTTGAACTCTAATAAACAAACCAACGATAATTAGTCAACGTTAACTAGTTAGTTAGAGTCTTAATTGTATTTAGGGGCTCTAGTTATTGACTGCTATGTATGCGAAACATGTCTGTCCGGATACGCTGTATATTGTACTCCCCAAAAGAGCAGATGGTCAGCCTATAGAACCAACCAGACGCCTCTCCTCCCTCGTGTTTGTATAGGCAACCCCCAACTCCACGCCCGGGTTGACCAGCGGATCGGCACGGTCGACGACGAGCTCTGAGCAGGCGAATCGCAGCATGTTCTGCCCAACAGCGCCGTGGGCCAGCAGCGCAGCCGCCGCGGCGAGGGAAGTCCAATGATGCATCTTGGTCACCTTTCTCTACTGCTGTCGTTGTCTCGGCTTGTTCTGGAGGGGACGGGCTAGTTCGGAGTAAACAAAGTTGATAACGACTTTCCAAGATAACGGACACCTACCCAGGACCTGCCATGCGGTGCAGCATCTAGTCTCCTAGTCAATTAGCGTTGATTGAAGGGTTAGGGTCTCTGGTGGGCTGCGGGAATGACGGCACTCCCCGCATAGAACCCGCAGTAGCGCGGCCCACCTTCTCGATGTTCCTCCATATCACGGATTCCGAACAATGTGCGACATATCGATCCGAGAGTACATCCGATGGCTCCCGGGCGAAGCAAGCGAGCCCACATCAACAATTGTGCTCACGACGCCACAGCGGCGGTTTGTGGACGTTCGCGTCTTGAAACTGACCTCTGAAGATGCATCTAGTGAGTGATGGGCCAGTCATTGGGCAGCCATGTTTTGATACATCCTGATGACTGTCAAAGATGCTAACAGCGGTACCCAATTGATAGAAACCATCCTCCCACTCTCCCGATTAGACTGGGCCATCGCTGGGGTGTCCTCGTTGTCGGCGATTCAGTCACCGGAGGATCCAGGGCAGAAGATCAAACATTGCCGTTGGGACCACTGGATTGATTCGCGGACAGCGAATACCGACGGTGTGTTCGACGAAGGCGATATGTTTGATGACCCATCAGACGCAAGCCTGACCTTGGAAAAGGGCCGCATGGTGAACCCGGCTACTGGAGTAGAGACAGACTACGAGGAACTTTGGCGCTCCGAACCGATCGAGACGGTGCCTGTCCCTGGGGCCGGGAAAGCAGAGGAGATTACTTGCCTGGCGTTGCAGATGGAGGCATCGGGCGGCGGTGAGGGCTCAGTGGGAAGGGTCAGGAGGGGATTGGTTGTCCGGCTGGGCCAGTACTGCCAGGCGTTTACACGGGATGGGGACGACATCACCGTTGAGAGGCTGAAGTGGGATACCGGGCAGCAGAGGTGGACCACGGAAGTCCGCATTGGGGAGCAAGAGTTGCCCACCGAGATCGCAACGTATCTTGCGCATGAGGCCAGGATTGATGACGAGGTCAAAGTTGGTGGGGCGGCGTGGAAAGTGGTTGAAAGGGCGTAGGGTTACTGCAGCTGCCATAAGGCAGGCGAGTACAGCCGAAACCCATGGGCTCAAACGGCTAGAGGCCATGGGCGAATACGTTACGGCTTGCATTGCTGAACTGCTTGGGTGCCATAAAGCTGTTCTTGCGGTTGGTTGGCGGCTCACGCGTCGAGTCGTCCGAATCCGAGACGCTCCTGCATTCTGAGTTGGATATGTACCGCTCCTGCCTTTCTAATGGGTGTCAGGTTTGATCCCAGGACCACCTTCCAGGTTTCATCCAAACTGTGGCCACGGGCATTCAAAAGGCAGTTGCTGGCAGGCACCAGCTCAAATCGCAGAACAACAACGGCTTTCGGAGGACAGACCGGTCGTGTTGTTTGTGTGCGTCTCAGGGTGCGAGAAAAAAAAGTCGATTCGCCTAAAAATCCCCTTCTCCCTCTCAACACATCTACTCGCGTCTTCCTCCTCCTCAACTCCCACTTCAGCATCGGCCGAGTCACATCACTGTCGCTGACTCCCGGGTACACCCTTCTCTGCGTCTACTTCTACCCCATCGGTAATACGCCTGCCGTCTGCTTGACATAGGCGCTGCCGCCGGAGAAGAAGGCCGATGTTCTGCTCCTGGGATCCGGCGATGTCCGCAATATTCTCTTCACTGTCCACAGCGATGGTAAGCATTGCTCGGGAAAACACTGCCTACAGACTGCTAACTCGACAAGCTCCCAGTACCATGGACATCACCTGCTGGATATTGAGACGGCCATCATAGGTGAGCATTCCCACTAATCCAACTCTGGCAAACAATGTTCTCATGTTCAGCAACCCTCAACATCCTCCTCACCACGCTGACCATCAACGATCCGGACGGCGGAAGAAACGATAACAATTGGAACATCTACTACCACTTTTTCTTGAATCAATCCTGTCATGATCGCCTGCTCCAACAAGCCAAGAAGATGCAGGCATTGTCTTTCTCCCTCAACATGGCGCCAGAGCGAGTACGGCAAGCTCATTCGGTTCTGCGATCGCGACACTCTGACCAGAGTTGCCCAGTCTGGGCTATCTAAATCTCGCAGCCGCCGACAGGCAGTCTGGGGTGAGGAAGACATTCAAGGATGCCATCGACGACTGCTAGGCCAGCTGGAGCGACATGACCTTCAGTTTGGTCGGTGCCAGGTCTGCAGAACCCACAGGATTTTCGTTGCCGAGCACGTCGCCGACCTCTTCAACGACTTTGGCGATATGGAAGCCTTCATCTCGACCCTGCTACCCGGGCTCTCGCTCTGCTCACCAATCCTCTCTTCGTCTCCCCAGATCTTAATTTGGGTTCGATCCCTTGATCGGATTTCACCTCGCTACTGCCTACGCGCCGCTGGAACGCAACTCGGCTTCGACTCCGAAAAATGCACAGCTCAAAGATGTCGTAGCAGCAGCCAGAGCCGAGTCTCGCACTTGGAGCAACACGTTCAGGACAAGAAGGCAGGAGTACCTGACGCTGGGCTTCTTCGCTGGAGATGCGCTCTCCCTCTGTCACGCCCTTCAACACCGGCGGGTTACCGCCACGACAGTCTTCTGGTATCGGAGCAGGCACAACACCATGGATCCCCTGATGCTCACGGTGGATGATTATGGCACTGAAGGGACCGCCCCCGTCTCTTTCAACGTCATCGACACCTCCAACCTTCTGGACCACCTTCGCGAATTGAATTTGCTCCTAGCAACGTCACCACTCTTGAAGAATGATGCCTACGCCAGCCTTTACACCGAAACCCTAGCAAACCGAGAGATGGCCCTGCATCAAGACTTCTTCAACGAGCTAATTGGCGGACACCTCCATACCGTCTCGCTGCTCCTCGTGTTTTTTCCAGTTGACTATCGGACAAACACCGCCGGACACAAGTCTCAGAGAGGATCAGTTCCTGTGCCTTTCAATTTCGACACAAGAGAGGGCCGAGCTTACGAAGATGACACAGAGTTACTCTAGAATCACATGAAGATGGCCCCCTTCGAGTAGAGCGCTAGGCATGGAGCGCTTGCACATTCATGAAGCCGAACTGGCTTCGGTGTTGTACAAACTGTATGTCGACATGTTTCCGGGCGAGGCCCTTTTAAGGATAATCGCAAGTTCTACCTTACGGGACGCCAAACGCCTCTCGCTCTCTTCAAACACGCGCGCGAGCTTTGTTTCGTTGCTGTCCCTAGTCAAGCAGCGCGTTGTCACCAATTGTGACCGAGCGATGGGAGCCCTGCTGTCAAAGATTGACTCCAACGAAACGCTCTTGGTTGGCATGAGCTTCAACCAGGAGCTCTACCTCTACATGCACCTTCTCGACATGTACTCGGTCGATACCTTCATCTTCAACGACGTTCGTGGCACAATGAGCTTCGACGCGAAATGGGTCCCTGGCCGCCGTACACAGCGGCGGCCCCTCGCCCGGACGGTGAGGCAGTCCATCTCCTTGGCATAGTGCCTTCGGCACCGTGCAGCTCTGCTTTGGCATGCTCCCCATCAGTGGCACCCGTTTCAGTAACTCGTACAATCTCAGCATCAAGGAAACCCGCAGGCTGGCACGGGGACTTTCCCCTGTTATGTGTCCTTTCAAGTCCCGTCCTGGATTCTCCTCCGCGAGCCAGAGATCGCCCTTGTGCATTTCGGCATGCAGAGCAATTCCAGTACAGCAAACGACTTCGTGTCAAGCCTAGGGCTCGAGTTAGCCATATTCAAGAAGACCCTCAGCGACACCAACCATGTGTACATCACCAAGGATCTACCCAATCGGTCCGGCTTGATCAAGGTTCCGGGATTTGCCCAAGATGCCCTCGCGTGGCAAAGCCCGACGGAGGAGGAGGTTCAGACCAGCATCACTACCAAGGTTAACTCAGCACCGCAAGGATTAAGGGCCTGACGGCCCGCTTGGACTCGCCGGGAGCCCTACAGGCAGCCGTCGCTCACAAGAAGAAGAGCCAAGGTCACTAGCCTCTCGCCGTGCCATTTCGAGGTCATGGTCAACCAGACCGTGCTCAACGTCAGCTTTCCGTTCCCCATCGGCAAAGTAACAACCTATATCTCACCAGCCGGGTCTTATATGGAACTCAACGGGGTCTATCATCCAAGACCCAGCCACCAACCCGGCCCCAGCGTTCACCAGCCCCATCGTCTTCCCCCATTACTCCAACCTCTCCAGTAATGGGCCCATCATTCCCGTATGTTTGATCGCCCCATAAATCACCCTCTCAACATGCCCGGCCCTCTCCACCGCCAACCAATCCTCCGTATCCTTCCTCACACTCCACACCCTCCTCATGTATTCAGCCTCCGAGTCTCGCATGAGTCAGAACGTCGCCCTCCTGACAGCTCCCACCCCGGAGGAACGCGCTCGTCTGAGGCTGAAGAGTCGCTAAGCAGCATGTTTCTGACGTTTGCCGGTCTTTCCTCCATTCAGTCGTCATAAGACACTCGGGAGAAGAAAGGGGAGTGCATCTTCGGCCTGATTGGTACTGTCTCCTCTTCCGGAATTACAGTTTCCAGCCAGAACCTGAATTGGGGTGGAGGCAACGACGTGCTAATCTTTGTCGAGAGCATGCGGCTGGACCTGGCACGACGGACGATAGTGTTGGTCGTAACGCGGGCTGTCTTGCTGGCCTTGGGGGTTGGCTATCTCATGGAGCTGATGTGGCCTAAGGAAGACGTGGTCGGGCAACTGGTGGATGGAGAGGAATTGCGGTTGTGGAAGGAAATGTTGCCGTCGTGGGTTGAGAGATGTGGGGAATGGAAGCATCGCGAGGGCCGCGAGTATGGGCGGGAAGGGAAGTGGAAGGCGCCCGTTTCGGTTGAGGCGGGCGAGGACGTGCTGTGTGTATGTGGAAAGGGCGTCTTTCCAATGGGATGGAAGGTTGATGCGCGCATATGGGAGACGGTCAAGGGGTACTGGGTGAGGGCGGCGACTCCACCGTTGTTTGCGAGCGCGTTGGCCGAGAATATGATGCCGGACCCTTAGTGACCTTGAGTCGGACTCCGGGGAGGGAGAGTCAGGTGGGAAGGCGGAGGAAGATGGTATCAGCGGGTGCCGGGCCTGCGCGAGGAAATCCTCAAAGGAGGGCGGCGAGCTGAAGGCGTGTGCCAAGTGCTTGAAGGTCAAGTACTATGGGCGGCCGTGCCAGAGGGCGGATTGGAAGCGCCTCAAGAGGAGAGCGTTGCTAAGGAGTGACAGAGGGACTAACTCGGTATATGGAATACCTCAGAGGCTCAGTGTATGGAGTATCTTCAGTGTATGGAGTATCTTCAGTGTATGGAGTATCTTCAGTGTATGGAGTATCTTCAGTGTATGGAGTATCTTCAGTGTATGGAGTATCTTCAGTGTATGGAGTATCTTCAGTGTATGGAGTATCTTCAGTGTATGGAGCATCTTCAGTGTATGGAGTCCCATAATTTATTGTAAACATGTAGGATCAAATGCGCCACAGAACCCCTGGATTGTGAGTATGTGTGTAGATAGTGATTGTAAGTCTACCGGTCGTATACACTAATCCGGCCGCAACGTCCTGACAAAACCATCTGACACTTTCTGATATCCTTGGGCTCCGGTCGACACCGAGTTCGCTATGCAAGCTGCTTCTTCAGAAACCAATTGCAAGGGAACGCGGCCTGAACTAGATTCTGCGAGCTGGCGCATGCCTCTCAAGAGCTTAGAGTCAACATATATGCAGCGAAGGCAACTAAGTATGGACACGAATAGAAGGCCTCCCTGAATGTCTCCATCAATACCACATCTCACCTTCATCCCTATGTACTCTCCAACTCGTCCCCTCATAATATATCCTCAGTACCCGGTTCAATCATTTGGATCTCAGCAAGTGAAGACCTTCGGGCCAGGAATGGTATAGGGTTGCGCTACAGCCCCGTCAGCCCCCGTCAAATTACCAAAACGACATATCAAGAACCGTCATAGTCAAGCTCGGGTTGAGCAACTCACCCTTGTACGCATCGTACGTGATACCGGCATCCGTGCCCTTGTACTCGCCAGGGAAGGCAACCAGCGAGCCGGGCACCGTCGAGCCGCTGCCCGTGACGTTCAGCTGGTGGCAGCCAGGGTAGAACTGGGCGCCGGGGTACTGCCAGGCCGCGTGCAGGGCGATGATCTCGTGGCGGACGAGGTAGAAGCCCTTCTTGAGGCAGGACGGGATGGTGTAGGTGTAGGAGGTGGGCGCCTTCATGAGGGGGGTCTGTTGAATGGAATGTGTTAAGCTGAAGAGTCCAAGCTGAATGAAAAATAAGGTGGGCCTTTGGAGAGGACGTACGGCTGCCCAGGTATTGGAAGTGCCCTCTCGGCCGCCCTCCTTGATCTTGAACCAGACAGCGCTGGGGGGTGGAGGAGAGTGTTAGCATGTGGCAGGTGGCAGAAACACATTCAGACCTCGGCAAGGTGCCTTACGAATTGCCGGGGTTCCAGTTCTGGCAGCCCGTGTCAGGGCAGCGAGCCATGTAGGTGATGACGGGGCCGACGTGCGAGTCCGGCCAGAGGGTCCAGCGGAGAGTGACGGTTGAGCCCGCGGCGGCAATGGCGTGCAGCGGGGCGGGCTCGGCGCCGGCATTGCACGTCACGGCGGAGGACGTGACGTCCTCGACGGGGCCGTTGCCGGGGATGGAGCGCGAAATCCGGGCGGGCTGCTCTCGTGTCAGTTTGGCCCAGTATTTGGTTTATTGGCAAGATACCAATGTTGTACTAACCTTGTTGTTGCCCATGTATGGGTCCATGTAGGGCTACATGCATGTGAGTGAGTTTTCGGGACGGGACGACCACACGGCTGGTAGCGAGCGCACCTGGTAGAACTACAACGTGGTATGTTACTATCGGAGTATGTGCACGGGAGGTGCCGAGGACTTACCTGGTAGAACTGGCCACCAATGGTGGCGTTATCGACGTAGCCATGGGCCGCGACGAGGCCGACAGTGGCCAGCAGCGTGGTAAGAGTCTTCATTGTGTTCGTGCTGGCTGTAAAAGCTACAGGATTGTGTAAACAATGGGTGTAGGAACTGCGTCGTTGCCCTGCCTGTCCTTGACGTTCCCCGACAAAACTCACTACTTATACTTGATGCCATTCAGCATCCGTCCCTTCCATCATTCCCGCCAAGGGACCCAGCGTCCCGATCTTCCGAATCCATCCCCAACTGACGACTCGTGGCCTGCTCTGTCTTGAACCGACGCCCAACGGAGTGGTTTCCGGAACTTGTTCGGGAGACTTGGCCGATGCCTGTCCAACGGTAAAGTTACTCCAAGGGGAAGCATGGCAAGGTTCGGAGCCACGAGGGCGCGTGTGGTACGAATCGTCGGCTTGGCGATGTCGCAGCATGGCCGTCGTAGCCGCGGGAGTGGAGCCAACGTAGCCCGGTTTCAAACTGTCTGGGGCAATCTGGGGTGCAGTCGGGAGCCGCACTAATCATCATGGGGAAGCTTGTTCCGAGCCAGCGTTGGAGCGCGGGGATGATCGAAACAAAGGCCCACCAATCGACGTGTATAGGGTTGCAGTGTTGAAGGACGAAAGTCCGGATCTCGTTGTTGAAGTGCCGTGGGCCTAGCGAAAAACCGTGGAAACGAGTTGACCAAGAATCCAAGACCGAGATGAGTGACGGTGTCTGTAGGGATTTCGGACACAATGACGAACCTGCGCGGCTGGAAGGCCAGCTGCATATTTGGGGTTGAGGCAACCCGAATTCGTACCAGGCGCAGTCAATGCATGAGGTGTATATAGTGGGACATGAGTCGAAATAGTGCGGTTGGGGAAAGTTGCACAGGTGCCTGTGTTGACCCTTGTCACTTGAGCGGCTTGTGCTAGGCTATTTTCTCTGCTTTAGCCAACCTACTTCGCGAAGATTCTGACCACCTTCTCCACGCTGCCGGTGGCAACAAGACAACCAATCTGCGGCTCACCCGAATCTTCGCGAGCCTGTTCCGTCTCCTCCTTCACGATATCCGGTGTCCACCACAAACAAGTGATGAACTGCCCATGCGCGTCGGCCAGCACTTTTATGCAGCGCCCATCCTGACTGAGATCCTAACACCGCAGCATCTTGTCGTCAGCCACGGACAGCAGATACTTGCCGCCCAGTGTGAAAGGCAATCCCGCTCACCCAGTTCTCGTGCCCCACCAGCGTCTCGAAGCAGACACCACGCGCATCCCACAGACTGATGGTCTTGTCCGGGGACCCGGGCGCCATGAACTCTGCCGTGCTAGTGGCAGTTAGTCGCTTCTTCAGCCCCGCCAGTGATGCCAGATATTCGTAGGAAGCGGCCGGGGCAAACGCACAGCAGCGGATCCCGCTCTCGTGGCCGGTCATGACCACCAGCTCGTTTCCTGGGCCGGCCGCTGGCGAGATATCCCAGAGCCTGGCCGTCTGGTCGCTGCCGGCAGACACAGAAGGAGGCGGCCGTCCGGCGAAGGGCACACGTCCGCACCCAGCCGGTGTGGCCCTGTAGTGTCTTGACGCAGTAGCGCGCTTGGTGTCCGATAATTTCAACGACTTGTCTCCGCTGGCGCTGATGACGAGCAGGTTCTGAGGCCCGGAGCTGCCAGTCAGGAACCCGACTGCGCTAACGCTATGATCCATGACCGGCCAGCGTCCGGATGTTCTTGTACTCGTCGGCCGGGCCCCACAGCCTGATGGTCGAGTCGGAGCTGCAGGATGCCAGGAGGATGCTGCCTCTTGGACTGCCGTAATTCACGTCCAGGACCGCTTTCCTGCGGCCTTTGAGGGTTCTTTCGAGCTCGCCTAGTTCCCAGTCCCAGACCTTGACTGTGGAGTCGTTGGAGCCTGAGGCCAGGGAGGAAAAGATCGGATGGAATGCGAGCAGTTGACGGTCGCTTGGTGGGATTCGAGCAGATGTCGCGGAGGGGATCGTGGGAGCCAACTTACAGAGTCTCGGTTGCGCTTGGAGAGGTTTGTGGATGGTGATGCGCTGTCGACCTCGGATTGCAGTGCGATGTTGACAGACTCGAGATGCATCACCTGGATGGTAAACCCGTTAACGTTAGACATGCCCTGACTTATAACAGGTAGGGTGACTGGAATGTGCGAAACGGGTTGTAATAAATCGAGAAACATGCCTTCTTCTGTAAGTGAACAACACTTGTCCATTTCTTCTCGAGTAGCGACTGGTATTTTACTGTTGTCCCAGGGTCGAAGACATCTTCTCCAAACTCAACTCGGCTCTAAATGTCTCGGCGGCCGTGGACAGGTTATTCGCTGACAGGTGTTATGCAATGATTGATTTGTGCCTAGTACCGATGACTACCGGCTCAGCTCCAATCAAGCGCCTCACTTGACACGTACATACAGTTCGTCGGCTTGCCTGTTGGTCAAAACACCGCGATTCAAGTTAAGGATACAGGCGTGTTGCCGGAAAGAACGAGTCGACTTCGTCTTCAAAATGTCTCGCTCTCGTGGTAGCGCGGTTATCTGTCGTGTATGTGGGAGGTTTCTGAGAGGCGGTGTGGAAATGTTCTGTGGTTTAGACCTAATAATCCGTGGAGTTGAAATATTCGGCCGAGGTGACCAATGGCCGCGCGCCCTGGTCACCAATCAACAAGCAATTGCATGTCGAGGCACCCGAGAATCTCTGTAGCTGCACCACTCAGCCATCCTCGGCAGCTACAACAGCAAGCTGTAAATCAGGCAAAGTACCTATTATACCCGATCGGGAAGGGCGCCATTCCAGGCGGGCGCACCAGTGTGTTTGCATTTACAGAGAGGAGTCACAGCACCTTCTCGCGGCATGTGGACTTAGGGGTCTTGATGCTCGCAGGCACGCGGCGTCGGCCGGGAAGGAAGGGGCATGTTGGCGAGACGGGGTCGGTGACAACTTCCAAATGATACTTTACTTACCTACCCAAGGGGGCCAGTCGAGTGTCAGGGACCAGTATGGCAGAGACAGGGCACATCTATTGTGAACTTGGCGTGTCACGCGATGTCGACCAAGCTGCAACGTAGAATACTGGCCGTTGTGACAGCTCAAGGGACGAAATACCGGGAGTGAATCATAGTTATTATCGTGTGGAAGGAGGAAGCGGTTGTCACCGATGCCAACACTAGTACGATCTTGGTTCCCAGGAACTTCATGCTCTTCATCTCCCGACGCACACGTAGTACCCCTCCCACAAGCCGTCGCAGTTGATCTGGCACAGACCACTTAGCCAAAGCTCGATTAGGTCGGGCGTGCACGGGTTGATGCTGAGGACGTTGGGGCTCACCGAAGGGTTGAATTCGTAGCTGTGATGGTTAGCAAATATCTTGAAGACGGATAGGGCCATGGCAGGTGTGTGAACAGAACGTTGGGGATAGGATGATTGGGTAACCAATATGAGGGGCTGTAGTGAGAAGTGAAGGAGGGAGGGAGAACAGACAATTCGAGGAGAGTGAGATCGTTGCGCGTAGCAATGCTGCGGCAATTGTCATCGTCTTCTATGATGTCATAGTTCCTGCCTAAGTTGAGGGAGCGAGACGTGTTAGCCTGTGTTTACTGTCCAAATTGTTTACAACATCACCGGAGGACTCAGCCAACTCAGCTCTGAGATCTCAAGATTTGAATTGGCTTTACTCGGAGCACGATGAGTTCGGCCGAGATCAACCCGGGGATCTAAACGGGGATCTCTGAGAGATGCTGATGCTTGTGCCTGCAGAGCAAGATCAGGACTCTTGCAATAACCGCAAACTCACAATTGCTGGGAGTCCCGGGCAGAGTAGGCCTTGGACTCGGAGCCTTGGTGGTGGTGCTAGTAGTAATGCGAGCCGTTGTTCTCGTCGGCGTCGTGTTGCACGCCGCAGACGTGACAATGCGAGTCGACGTGACGACGCTGGTGACGGTGCTGATAGAGATCGAAGTGCCAGTGATGTTGACTGTTCGAGTAGTGGTACTGGTCGACGTTCTGATGCTGGTACTGGTTGTGGTTGACGTCCGGACACTGGTGAAAATGCTCGTCAGACTGACGATGGACGTAGCTGTTGTAGGCACCGTGGCGGTTGTCTCGACTGTGGCGGTTGTCTGGATGATTCGGGTAACGATTGCGGTGCCTGTTGTTCGTGTTTGGGTGACGACGGTGGTGACGGTTGCGGTGCTTGCAGTCCGCGTCTGGGTGACGACATTGGTAATGGTGGAGGTCTGGTAAACCAGCGACGTGCGGGTAATAGCTGTGACGGTAGTGACGGTCACCGTGACTGACGGGCCAGGAGCTTGAGAGGATTCGCCCGCCCCAGCCCCGCAAACGCCGAACGCTGCGTGGCAGCCATCGCCACAGTAGTCGACGGTGCTGCCACAGAAGCCGTGGGCAGAGCAACAGTCTCCAAATCGTGACCCAGCGCACGTCACGCCCTGTCCGCAGCTCCCATCCGTGCTGACCTGGAGGTTTGAGGGCGAAGTAGATACAGGAACCGGGGCGGAGCTCGATGTAGGGGTGCTGTCCGCGGTTCCTTCCACGCAGTAGCTCCCTCCGACGACCAGTTGAGAGCAGCTAGTCACGGATGGGTTAGATCGGAGGAACTGTGTGACAGTGATACCCGCCTGGGCCGCCAGGGTCGCGCATGTGTCCCCTGACTTGGCCGTGATGCTGCGTGTGCAGGCTGCCACAGCTTGGTGGGTGAGGCCCAAAGCCAAGAACAGAAGGCCTCTGGTTAGCAAGAGGGCGACCATAGCAACTTAGGGGATCGTAGTCAGAGGTTCGGAGTCCAGAACTTCAGAAGTCTGAGTCTAGTAAGCTCGCAACGGTACGGCAACGCCAATACAGGGAGGGCCAGGTATGGTCGACCGGGGGAATGATATATAAAGCTATGTCAAAATCGCTACACTCGATGTTCAACCCTGATACGAGGGTTGTTTTTCTGGGCTTTATACATGATGCCAAGTATACCCTTCCTACAATGGACGGCTATTTTCCAGTGACTGCCGAACATTGTTCCGAACGATGGCACCTTGTCGAACATTGGTGGTAGATGTCCGGGAAAGGATTGTCCTACATCCGTCCATAGCTGCAGAAACAATATAGAGACTGGTCAGCTTTTCCAGGGCCTCGATCCGAGTCGGTTGAGCAAACGCGGGAGAGACCGACTTGTGGGTCAAGAAATGGAAAATGCGTGCTGAGAAGTGACAAATATAGAAGATATCAGCGCATTCGGCCCTGCACCAGCAGGTCAAGCGATGCAGGAAAGGGATGGCAATTTGTGGGTAAAGGAATCATCGCGAGAGGCAATTTGAACGCTGCATCGTTGTCCGTGCAATCCAGCCCTCGGTTCTTGTTAGCGTGGCACATAGTGGGTATTACCGGTCACTAGATATGAACAGAAAAATAGGATTAGAGAAAGTAAGGTAACGAAGGAGGAGGAAAAGAAAGATAAGAGACCGTGAAAACGGAGAGGAAAATAAAGAGAAGAGGGAAGAGGAAGACAAAACACAAAGATAAATAGGAAAAGAGGAAGGCACAAGGAAGTGAACGTAAAAGAAGTAATTGTGATTACCCAAGTTCCGCGCTAACAAACAAAACCGAGCTTAGATTGTATCTCGTCTGTTGCGTCCGGGAAAGATACCAACAGGCTAATTTCAAAAGCTACATTACCGCTGACTCCGGCCACTTCCCGAGAGTTTGTGCAGCTCAGAGGTTCAACTGGCTGTTAGACCTGCATGTAAACTATGAGAGCTTGTTCTCCCTCCCACCGCTTTGTTGTTGCTACAATGTTACAATGTTGCGGTCAAGCTTCTCGAGGGAACGTGACATCCAGTACCGTGATATTGACCGTGTCCCCGACGCATTGATGCTAACCATGAGCTAACAACCATGGCCACCTTATCAAACGCGGGTTGAGCGATTGCGGTTTTGTTGAGGTTGTGCCAGAGGCTCGGTTGCGTAAGGAAAAGCCGATACTTGTCGAAGGAGGGCTTGGATGCGCGCCTTGTGGTATTGGTGATATCCCGGTGAGGTTGTTGGGTTCCATCGGTCTGACTCGGAACCAGCGGGCTGGATTGTTCAGACTCGGTGCAGGCCACGACCCCCACAGCATCGGATATCGGACCATGCCCAAGTCGTCGGATAAGAGCCGGTGGCCCTGCATGTGGAAAACTCGATTGCCATTTCCCTAACCAATGTCCCAGGTGGTATCAAACTCTTGTCCGATTAAACATTCCGTTGCCCCCGTCATATCCAAGATCCCGAGTCAGTCAGGCAGACCCAGCAGCTTGGACCGCCCGTCCTTCTCAACGCCATGCTCACCAACCCATCCCCGACCCAAATTACCTGCTGTGGCACCTGCTCATGGCTTCCCAGCAATGTGCCCGTCAATTCTCAATCTTCCTCCCTGATCCACGGACTCCCCAAAAAATCAGTCCCTCAACCCTCGCGCACTCATGGCCTCCCTACTCCCCACGGGCGTTGAGTTATCCTCGTGGCTCCGGTTGCACTTTTGGCACCTATTTCCGGTCTCACGAGGGTGACTTATTTGGGCGCCAGTGACAGGGCAGATGTAGACGCGCTTGCTGTAGGGCTGGTGAAACTGGAAGCATGAGGGACACTCCTTGTCGGGCCGCATCGACGGGTTCTCGATGCGGTAGCCCGTGTTGGGGCACACAAACACCGACTGCCAGATGATGTCGTGGCAGGCCTGGCAGTGCACACACAGGCCGAGAGGGTTGTCGACCTCGATGCCGGTTGTGGGGCAGAAGAAGGATGGCTGTGCGGGGGGTGTTATCACTCCACTGTAAGATAGAAAATTTGTAGGGGAGACTGAAGTTCAGTGGTCAAGGGGATCAGTACCTGCACCGATGACTGTTTTTGGCCCATCTTTTTGTGCGACTATTGTGTGTGGTAAGGGGCTGAAGATGCGGTGGTGCTTCACAACGACGCGGTGGTTGAATTTTTATCGTGTAGACATAGTTCCGTCCTTTGACCGCCCTGTCCACGAAGCGGGGAGGTTTTACGGTATATCTGAGAGCCCCGGCGGTTGTCCGATCAGCGCGCGTGTTTTGTGGACGTATGACTGCCGTCATACGCACGTTGTTCGGGGGTTTGTGTAGAGTTGGGGCAGGGAAAGAGCAGTCGCCCAGAGGTCTGGAAGGATTCGAGGGGATGGGACGGTTTTCATCAGGGTTCTAAAGGGGGTAGGTGCTATCGGGTATCCCGATACCCCGAAGTGGATTACCACGCCACGTGCCGGTCAAGGGGCGGAAGAAGCACTGAGAGATTCTTGGGTTGCTTGGCTCGTGTTGGCTGTTTCTCGAAGAGGCATGGGAAGGTGAGATCAGGGACCGCGAATCCTGTACTGCGTAAACTTGTGCGCCGCAAAGGGGCGGAGGGCAGCCGAAAGTGGGGAGCATGATATCCAACTGCCCTTGGCTGCAACATTGGGCGTTAACAGATGCATGTTTATTGCCAGGCCATCCTAATGCGACAAGGCGTGCCAAGTCAAAGGGCTGCCCGAACCAGTCAAGGGGATCGCCAACAGCACGATGCTTTAGGCTAATTCTCCGGCCGCCCGGCCGCGCACGAGCGCTTGGCTGCAGTTTGTCGAAGGCGTGCGTCGCATATAACCATGAGGAGTGTAAGGATATGTGGTGGTCGGTATGCAGGTCTAGGTAAGACCGGGAACCCCCGCGAAGGCCGATGCGGTGTGAGCTGATGATGCCAGTGTGATGAGAGATTCTGGACTGGAAATGACTCTGACTGAAATTCGTCAACCTTTTTTGGGGCTCCGCTCAGGTTTGAAAGCCCCACAAAGATCGACGGCCCGCTCCGGATTCTCAGGGGGATGCTCTTCGAATTTCAACGGGAACGCGCTCCAAGCCCCGAGACCTTTTTGTAATTGAATCCAGGTCTGTTTGCCAGTCTGGAAACCGCACCATTCAAATCCAACGCAGACATGCAAGTGGCTTGTTTTAGCTCCCGATGTCTCTGCGCCACCAAAACGTGACGAGAACGTGGCACGGAACTTCCCGTAGTGCGACCGCCCAGGGTTATCTGCGCCTTTACTAGCGCCCTGCGCCCGGATTAAAGGAACCAAAATTGGCAGCACCGATCTTGGCGCCTGCCGCCACTTCAGGGGTTCAACTTCAACATTCCTCTACTCTATCCGTATCTCGTCGTTCCAGGCTTTGTGTAGCTGGGAGTTTAGCTGCCGCAGGAACTTGACATATGCACCACAAACAGTTGCTGGTGATTACTGGATGAAGATCGCCTTCTCAAGTTCTTAACTGCAACCGCACCCCTTACTAGCACCATAGATGCCCCCAAAACAGTATGTTCCCGCAGTAATCCAGGTCTCTGCTAACCAACTCCTACACTCCAGTCACCGTGATTGAATCATTACACCCATGCATCACGCGCCACCCTCTTGACACCGCCACTGCCTTTCTCCAGCGAACGATTCCACCGTCACCATGCTCCTACGTCTTCTTGACGTACACCTCCAGTCCCGACTGCACGACAAAGAACGAGGCGTTGGCCTCGAGCGGCCGCCCGGGGTGGGCTAGCTCGAACCGGTAGTCGCGCAGTAACCTCGGCACGACCTTGTTGATCTCGAGCAGTGCCAGGTTCCTGCCTATGCACAAGTGGCTGCCACCGCCAAACTACAGACGCTGTCAGGACATTTCTACAGAAAGAAAAGGGAGGCATTGATGAACTCACCTGGAACATGTACCTTTCCATCTTCCTGGCCCTCTCCTCGTCCTCCAGCCACCGCTCCGGCCTAAAGTCGTCCGCATCCTGCCCAAATATCTCCTTGTCCCGATGCAGTACCCACCCGTTGCATGCAATGGACGTTCCGCCGGGGAAAAAGTGACCGTCCAATTCTGCGCCCTCGGGCGGGACAAGCCGGGTGATGTTGAGGCCGACGGCGGGTCGCACGCGCATGGCCTCCTTGAGGCAGGCCTGCAGGTAGGGCAGGTTCTGCGACTGGTTCCAGGTGAGGTTGCCGTCGGCGGGGATGGTGCCCGTGCGGACGGCGTCTTCGAGCTCACGCAGGATAGCCGGGTAGACGCGCTTGTCGTCGAGGATGTGCCAGAAGAAGGACTGCATGGTCGAGGCGGTCGAGTCGGAGCCGGCGAAGCTGGGAAGGGTCAGTCACACTTCTCCCTCAGGGACAATATCATGATGTGGGTGGATGGGGACGGGGAGCCTCACATGGCACCGTGCGCTACCGCAAACACATCCCCCTCCCTGAATCTCTCCGGGTCCTTGAGATGCCCCTGGATCAAGCTCGCCATCAGATCCTGCCTCCCATCGCCGCTCCTCAACAACCCGCCATTGTCCTTATCAAACGGCTGCCGCCGAGCCATCTCCTCGAGCGCCATCCTCGTAATCAGCGCGTTCTTGGTGCTCAGCCACGGGATAAACTGCCACAGCGGGTTCCGCCTCAGAAGGTGATCCAACTCGGGCACCTGCCCAACAATTCCGTTATACGTCTGCGACTTGTCAATCGTCTTGATTGCATTATCCACATCCCTCCCCTCAGCCAGGAACCCAAAGCTCCTGCTAAACGCCACCTCGCCGAGCACATCAAACGCAAAGAAATGCAAATAATCCCCCAGATCAAACACACCCCTGCCCGCCGCAATATGCTCATCAATCTTCCTCATCAACAATTCAATTGTGTCATTAATAAACGGGCTGAGCTGCTGCATGGCCGCCATGCCGTATGGCACGTTGGCGACGCGCTTCTTCATGGCGTGCACGTCCTCGCGCGTCTCGGTGAAAATGTCCGGGTTCTCGGGCGGCGGGAACACGCCGTAGAAGGGCGTCTTGAAGAAGCGCTTGCCCGCGCTCAGCAGGCTGCGCGCGGCCTCGGGTGATGAGATGGACACCTCGTCGGGCGCGATGCGCACCACGGGGCCGTATTTGCGGTGCAGCGCGATGTGCTCCAGGTGCGTGCTGCCCGAGGCGGTGGATTTGACTTTCCAGAGGCGGGTCATGGAGGCTAGGAAGGGGCCGGGGTATTTTCGGAGCGGCGAGGCATAGCGTTTGTAAACGGCGCGGAGGACGAGGGAGGAGAGCAGGATGGCGGCCCAGTGAGTGGTGAGGAAGGCCAGCGCGACACCAAGGATGGTTTGGGCCCACCGATCCCGGTCGTCGGTCTTGAGGACGCCCATTGTGATGGAGGCGGTGACTGCTGGGGCCGGCAGCAAAAGATCAGGGTGTTGAACCTAGGCGGAGGAGATTGTTTCGGGGCGAAAGGGTGACTGTTCGGCGGGCAGCTGTTGAAGTTGCCAGTCCCAGGAGGTTATAAGTTACAGTGGCTCGGGCCGGGAGGACGTGAGCGCGGCGGTCATGGGAATTATTAGCCAGCTGTATCCATACATTCAGCACGAGATCCCCTCACGCCCAAAAGGGGCTTCTTGCCGCGCTCGGCTTGGGGCATCTGCCGATTCCGTCGCAGCCATGATGGATATCCGCCAAGGCACGGTTGAACATCACAGCAGCTGTAGCCCGGCCACTCGGGCCATTGGCTGATAAAGACGGTTGCAAGTGATGGGATGTCAGGCGGATGTAAGACCGCGAGTCCAATCAACGGCGGGGGGGACTCGGATATCAGAAGTAGGGAGCGAGTGGCAATGCGGAGAAGCGCCAGGGACCAAGGTAGGTAGCTCTTGAGCTCTCAGACACCAGAAAAAGTTAGCCCAATGTCAACCACCTCGAAAGCAGCATGGTTGACAGAGAGCAAGGATGATGGTATGACTTCCAGTCTACTCTTTCGTACGGTATAAATCGCTTCCTGATTGCGCTCGTTAAGGCGACGTTCTGGGAAGAGCTCGAAACCTTGAAGCAGGAACAAACCATTCTCTTCGACTGGGATATGTCATAGAATCAGAGCAGGTGTTTGCTGTGATGTGCAGGGACAGTGAGTCTTGGAGTCGGATGGTGGGGTTGTTGGAAGCCCTCGGCAGTTGAACTGGAGCCTCAGTCTGTTTCAGGACCTGGGCAGTCCGAAGATCAGTGTTTCCGGAACCCAACCTACGGATATACCAACGTATTGTTGGGTGCAGGACAAACTTACCTGGTACCTGTTCAGGGTCGCTGGTGTTGTGGGTTATCATTGTTCTTGCTGAGCTCATCTCAGCACGAACAGGGACGAATCAAACTGCCTGTATCGGCGTGATGGGCTACTTCTTTCCCCTGTAATGGAGGAATAGATTTGGTCATCTCCGACAATACAGGTAGCCACATACTGAGTGGTATCCATGGCAAGGTATCTCATACTGTCTGAGGCAATGGATACCCCAGGTAGTGAGGTGAAATGATGAAGTGGGATGAAGGTACCCGATTCTCCACGTTTGGTGGAGGCTCGTCCCGCCCCCGCAAATCGTTTCCTTGGCATCTCAAGTGGTTCCGGATTCAACGCAGTCGTACGACTCTCAGGAGTCAATGCAAGTAGATCGAGATGGTCTCCGACTACTACCGAATCGTGAAGGTAGGGGGGAGATAGTGTTGGGCTCCGACGCGAAAACGGCGTGCCTTCGTCTGATGGGCGCAGAAATGACCAAATATGTTTCGGTCCGCGCCGTCATAACCCCCCAAGACGCCGTACGCGGAATGATTTATCTGCGTGGACGAATCTGGTTTAGTGATTCAAAGCATAGGCAAAAGACAGGCAGGATAACTTTATCAAATGACCAGTATTAGACCTGAATATCAACCCCGACTTTTCCTCTCCCAGACTCCGAAACTCCAGCCATGACGCAAAGCCGAGCTCGACAGACAAGCAGAAAGAAACGCCCGTGGTGATCATGCCTCCAGAGCCTGCCAAATGATCCTTAGACATCGACCTTCTTCTTCGCCGCAGCCTTCTGCTTCTTCAGTTTGTCCTTCCGTTCCGCAATCTCCTTGTCAAGCGTCTCATCGTTGCTTTCCGGCAAAGCCTTCTTCGGCTTTTTCTTCGGCCGCTCATCCGTCACAGGCTCCGCCGCCGGCGGCTCGGCTTCAGCCTCAAGTGACTTCCGCTTCTTGCCAATGTTGGGCTTCTCCCCGCGATTCTTGCCCGGAAGGGCGCCTGGCGGCTGCTGGCCGTCGGGGACGATCTTGGACTCGTCCAGCCAAAGCTCGCTTGTCTGGTAGATGGGCAAAGCGGCCGTCTCGGGCCCCTTGACGTAGATGTTGCGCACGTTCTGCCACTTTTGCGGGACGAACCGGTCCACCATCTCGCGCACCACCGTGTCGATGTTGGCTGCCAGCTTCTCCGGCTCCCAGCTGGCGTATCCGACCTTGACTGCCGTGTTAGTGGATGGGCTGAGGTGAACAAGCGCTGCGCCGATGGCCTTTTGCACCTCAGCCACAATCTCGGGAATCGGCCGGGCATTGACGTTCTCAGCAGGGTCGCGCTTCTGTTTCTTGCCCTTTGGAGCCGGTACCCGCTTTCCGTCAACCTTCTGCCGGGGCGCCATCAGAACGACCGGAATCGGCCGTTTTGTCGTCGTCTTGTAGAAGCTCTTTCCGAGAGCCTTGGGTAGGCGGTTGATGATCCGATCATCGGCGAGAAAGACGTTGTGCTCGCTAAAGAGCTTCCGCTGGGCCTCGTACGCCTTGAACTTCGCCCTCAGGTGGCTGATGTCAATGACTCTGCCGATCTTGGCCCGTAAATCCTCTGGGAATTCGTCGGCGACGGCATTCTTGTACCACCGCTGTGGGTCGGCCGTTATCAAGCAGACGCTGAGCTCTTCGCTGGTGTTTAGTGGGTTTGGGAGAACTATTTTCCCTGGTTGAAGGCCTGTATATTGTCAGTGTATGTTCTAGGACAGTGCAAATTGCACGATGACATCAGCGGAGTAAGGAGGAAGTGGTATGCGAAGCTGCTAGCTATCGCCAACCAACCACCTCAGAGCATCACAACAAGGATGGCAACTGTTCAAATGACATACGATGTGAATCATGGATGTGCTTCTTCGTCGTAAGGGTGAGCCAGACAGGTGTCTCGGCGATTGTTGACTCCTCGTCCGCGAGTAGGTTCTGCTTGCCGTCGTCGCGCGGCGTCGTGGCCGCCTTCTTAATGTGCGCGACGAGCGCTTTGCAGGCTTTTAGAGTCTGCTCAGGGTCCACCGGGACTGAGCCACCAAAGGCCTTCGTGACAGCTCTGGATTTAGACATTGTTGCGGATTGGGGGTTACAGCGATGTTGTCGGTCGTCGCAATTGAAATCGCGATTCTGCCCGTTCTCTTTGAACGGTCCCAATCGAACCGAATTTTTGGCTTATCCGGAAGACTTGTTTTTCCGTTTATCGCTGTGAACGGGACCACGTCCTGTCATTGGCAGATTTGATCCCTGCCACTTACTGAATGGGGCAGGTGGGACTCACTGGCCCGGCCGTGCATCTGCTGCATCGGAACCTCGTCCTCAAGCTGCATGGTCATCGTTTTCTATGTATGAACTGTCTGGTTTCAATTTGGCCATAGGATGGCATCAAGCAGGACCTGACAGCCCACAAGCACACGGAGATGAACCCAAATTCATATCATTTCTTACTCGCAACCATAACTACATCAACATTAAGGACGAGAAGAAGGTCCTCCCACCCAAACTCTTACATCTTCGCTTTTCTTCTTTCTCCATCTCATGCAAACAGAAAGCGATCGCTAAGGCCTGATTGAGACGTCCTCTCTCAGACAGGACAGCAGCGCCATGGCTTGCCAACCAATTATACACCAACAAAATTACGCCTTGCGCTATGCAGCTCCTGCTAAAAGCAAACAGATAGACGGGTACAGCGTGGAAGGCGAGGAGACCGAGCAATATCCGACACAAATAGGGGTAAGGGAGTTTTTCCCAAGCACAGACAGGCGCATGCAGTCGTCGCTTCAGTTGTTGGCTGCGACAAATTGACGAACGATATAAGGATACATGGCTCGTTGACTCCCGCGCCACGGCGGCGCTGATGATCAAGGAGTCTTGGGCCGCTTCCAGTAATATTGCTGCAGGGAGATCATCAACATCAGCCACTCACGCTCCGACAAACGACAAGAAAGCCGGAACTCACCTTGTGCTGCTTCCGACAATTCCTCAGACTCGGCTTCCGGAGCCCGTCCGTGACCGCCAACCGCCTCGCCTCATCCGTGTCCAGCTCCGGCGTGTAGTAGTACTCACTCTCGAGCGGCTTGCCAGCCGCGTCCTTGCCCTGCCGGCGGATGATGCCGATGCAGGGCGTCGACTCGATGATGATGCGCAGCTGCTCCTTGGTTACGCCCTTGCGATCGTCCGCGGGCAGGTTGTTCATGATGGTCGACAGCGGCGTCGACGACAGACGCGAGAAGGCCAGTTGGTTGATCATGTGGTTGGTGATCGTCTCTTTCGCCTCGGGACTGAGGCCAGCGAGCGAAGCTGAGCTGGCGGTGGAGTGAACGGGGTCCGCTGCTGGCGTGTTGGCGTCTGAGAGGCCGAGAGGGGACGACTCCAGCACGTCGGCGAGCGGGTTGCGGGTGGCGGATTGTTTTTGGGGAGTGGCAGCGGAAAATGAAGTGAAGCGACCAGAGATGCCTGCGCCAAAGGCAAAGGAGTGCATAATCGGGTCATTCTCGTTCAGGCCGTTCTCGTCGTCAGACTGCGGGTCGCTCAGGTCGCTGGAGAAACTCTCGGTCGCCACATGCGTCATGAAGCTGGCGCCAGCGTTACCCGGCTCGGAGCGTTGAGGGGACTTCTCGTCGGCACTGGCATCTTCATAGATCTCCACCGGCGCATCGTCGTCTTCATTTGCGCGTGGCAACAAGTTGTCGAGACTTCTGGCCGAGGTGGAGGCATTGGCCGGCGTGGGCGACTCCGGGCTGGCAAGACGAGTCGTCCTCCTGAGTGGACTGCCGTGCAACTCGGATCCTGCCCTTGGAACCCTCAAACGTGGAGACTCGTCCCACGTTGAATCGCTAAGATGGCCCAACACGTCTTGGTCCTTATCCCGACGCGGCCACCGAACGAACGCCCTCGCGTCCTGGACGTCAATCATAATCTCGGCACCTTCCGTTTCCGACATGAACGAGTCTCCCTTGGCCAACTCCCACGTCTGTCCTTGGCAGTGCAGCTTCATCCCATTCCAACCGTTGCAGATGACTTCGATCTTGTTGGGTTCCAGCGGGGCGGTTGCCGCGATATACCGGGCTTTGACATGCACCCTGCTAATCAGACGGTTTGCCGAGAGTTGGTAGTGGGACGAGCTGCTGGACCTGCCCATCAGCACCGTCTCGCCGTTTTCTTTGAGCTCTACCGACGGAACATTGGAGAGAGGGGCGCGTTCGGAGACTGTTGACTGCGTCCGCTGAAGTGCGGGTCGCGATCCGAGGCGCGGAGGGCTCGAAGAAAGGATGCCGGTGCTCGAGGTTGGAACCGGGGTAGGGTACTTGAGGAAGGCATGGGAGTTTGCATGCCGTTTCGATGGTCGCGGCAGGCCTGGCGAGGACGAGAGGGGCTCGAATGCCGGGAGCAGTGAAGGAGCAGGCCGCTTCACGCCCGCTATGGTGGGCAGGGTCGGCTCGAGAGCCTTGCTGCCCGTCGACGGGGAGGAGTCCATATCTCGAGCTTGTCACGCCTTGATCATGACAATTGCCGAGAATGCAAGTTCCAACGAGGTCGACAACGCTTTGAAAAGTGTGGGCCGGAAACTAGGGCGTGGTAGTCACGTCAAGACGCGTCGGTTGCGGCCCTTTTTTCGAGCTCCAGTCGGCCAGTACCGCGTTTAAGTCAAGCCAGTTTGGACGGGAACAGAAGGAATGCCTAGGCCGGAGATCACAGTGCAAAGCGGAAAGGATAACAGAGAAGTCGTTCTACCGGCGGTTCGAAATTTGCATAGGTGGTCTGGTTGAAGGGGGCCCAAATGTGCCGGGGTGGTGGGGATTTGGTATTTAATAAAAGAGCAGGTCGTGGTCGTGTCTGCGGGACCGTGCCGTGGTCTCGGCATTGGAGCGCGCGGTTTTGTTAAGAGGAGCCAGTGGTGGGCGCGTTTAGCGTGCCCGAGCCCACTGGCAGGCGCGTCTGGCCGCGGACGAAATGTTTTCCAGCGTAATTACACCCTGCATTTACAGGCCCAGGTACTGACAGCTCCAGCAACACAACAACCCTAACCCACCCCACCATCACAACTACAATCCAAGCCATAGATACACCAGCTTCGGCTTCGAGTAACATCTTGGAACCTGACAGCCAAGTTGAAGTTTCGTGCGCAGGGCGGCCACTCCACAGGTCTCTGTGGGTTGCCCCTGGATCCACGACACTCATCCCGACGTCAAGCTCTCAGAACCTCCGTCACTAAGCTGAGAACAGAAATGGATCCCGCGCGAGGCACGGCTGAACGGATGGAGAACGGCGGTGCGCCACAACAAAGTCCATTCCCGCTGTCTTGATAAATTACTCAGTCCAACAAACGCCCTATCCCCTTCCCAGAAATCCTTGTTGCCATGCCCTCGCTATGTCGCGGAACAAATAAACCCATCCATGTGACAGATATACCACGAGCTCCGTTGCTCCCTGCTGCTTTGCCGCGACAATTACCCAGGCACCCATACCCAGAACCCATGTGTACCCAAATATGATAGATAATATGCGCCTTGAAGTGAAAAAGACAGAAGGTGCTGCGCATGTCAATGTGTCAAGAATCCTTCCATCACAAATCATCTCCGCCGCCGTTCCGATTCCCGCGGCGCGGGTCCGACCTCCCCCGCCGCAGGTTCAGCGGGCCATAAAAGTCGCCGAATGCCTCCTTCAGTAGCTCCTCAGACAGCTGCATGTGATCGCCCGGTGCAGTGCGGAACTTGAGCCCGCCCTTGCGGTCGAGCGCGCGCAGGCCGAGCCAGTCCTCGGTGTACAAGCGGCGGGCGCGCAGGGGCGTGCTCTCAGTGCCGTTGACCTCCTCGAACCAAGCTGTCTCCTTGGGGATGACGGTCGTGTCGTCCTCAAACATGTACATGACGAAGTTGTCCAGCTGGGCAATGTTCTTCTTGTAGGTCTCGTTCTTGGCCTCGCGCTCGTTGTTGATGTCGGCCAGGAAGTTGGAATGCTCCAGGTACTGCTCGTATTCCTCCGGGTTGCGGTAGTACTGCGCGGGGACGAGCCTGCTCTGGACCGTGCTGCTCCAGGCGTCGCCTCTCAGCACGGCCATGGCCACCCGGCAAACCCAGTCGGTCGGGGTGCAGTCGCGGAAGGCAGAGATGCCGTTGTGTTGCGAGCCGAAGGTGATGAGGCTGCGCACCGGCGGGTTGTTGCAGCGCTCGACGTATGCGCGGAGGAACTGGCCGCCTTGGGAGAAGCCGAGCGCATCGATGGCCGGAGCGGTCGAGAGGATTGGGTGTGCGGCAAAGTCGGCACAGACTTTAGCTACTTGTTCGGTCAGGTTGCCAACGAAAGAGGCGTATCGGTCGCGCGCGGCGTTCTCGTCCATGCGGATCGGGTAGACGAGCGTCCCTGGGTTGACTTCTTCGGCGAGTTCGGCCACGCTTCGCATGCCGTCGCCGTTGTAAGTGTCGCCGAGGCCTAAGAATTTTCGCGTTAGCAACGAACAGCTTTCCTCGTCGGCTAATCAAGGTGCGCCTACCGTGCCAGATTACCAGTGGCAGCGGAGTGTCGTCCTCATCGCCATCGCCACGTTGCCTTTCCACAGGCTTCGCGATCGTGGTTGTGATCAGCGACCCGATGAACAGCAGCCGCAAGCCTTGGAGAATCGCCATGTTGAAGAGTATGAGAGGTGAGATACAAAGAGAAGTGCAGTAAGCACCCGCAATTGGGTTTGACAGGTTAACTCATTCAGCCGCCGATGTCTCGCGAAGTCGGGGTCGGGAACGGGAGTTTGCGGGAAGCGGAAACGCATTGCGTCGGGCTGGCAGCCAACCGCTTGTCAAGGACCCCATAATGCTGGTCGAATGCAAGCTTCCCATTGGCTAGAGCTCGTGCGGGTCTTAAGCCAAACAGATTCCAGGTCGCAGCTTCTCAAACTTCCGTTTTCACTTTTTCAACGTCAACAACGAACCACTGCCACCGATCTCGAACCACCTACATTGGAGACCCTCGACTGGATAGAGAGTCTCCGTTTATAAGTAAGTATAAGCCCGCTCTCTTGTGTCTTTCCTCCTCCAGACCGTCATGATGATAGTAGGTTCTCAAACAATGTTTCAAGACGGGGCTGAGACCTTTCTGTGATTATAAGTCAACCTACTGAAGCGCTCAACATCCTTCCCCTTTTTGCACTGCACCAGTCGTGGCGGAGACTTCAGCTAACTCCATTTGCAGAACTTTTGCTGTTGCCCGGGCGGTGATGCTCGACAACAAGCGATGGCGACGCCATCGCTCCGGTATCATGAAGCCGGGCCGATCCCTCTACTAACAACACGGCCGTCACGCTATCCTCCCCCTTGCGGCCTGTTGCTAGATTCTAATACCACATTATCTCTCCGCCCGCACCTTGGTACAATCAGAGCGTGCGTTAAGATTTCTTGCGACAATTTGGGGCGACTTGATTTTGAACCAGGCCATGGTGCCTGTCGCACGTTTCTTCTGCGTACCAGGTAGAACTACTTAGCACTTCCCCATCATGCTTGCCTGGTGCGGCAGCGGTTTTGGAGCCACCTGAGCTGTGGCCGTCACCGTCGTCCAGCTAGTGCTCGTGCTTGTCAGGAAGCTCGCCACTGGAGCCGTCACCGGCGCATTCGTCTGGTCCCCTGATGTGATCTGCGGAGCTGGCACTGTCGCAGCAACGGCGTGCAGCACAGCGACGGTTGTCTCAGGAACCCGTCTCGTTGGATTCCGGCTCTCAATGGAAGCGCCGCGCCACCCTCGTTGCTTGTGCCACCCACAAACTCCCAGAGTCCGCAAGCTCCCGCCGCGTCAACCCTGACATTCTCCGACACTGTATCGTGGAGTCTCAAAACTCCCATCCACGACAAAAACCAGTTTGGCTCCTCTGGCCACGATTGAGTCATTGGATCAGTAGCAATCCTGATTGTTTACCTGACCTAGCTTGCTGGATTTGCCAGTCACAGAGACAAATGCCTGTTCTTAACTCACCATGACCTCAGCCAGTTGGACCTCTAGAAGCCAACCTACACCTTCCGGAATCACTTTAAATTGGGCATCTCCAACCTGAAGTCTGTTGGGTCAGGGTGGCATGCAACCTTTGTAAGATCCGCGAGCGAGAGAAACCAACGACGAGACAAGCTATTGACTTCTCGCTGCAACCGGGCTTTAGATTCTCAAGTTCACATCAGCTTCAACACTTCGTGGATGGCTTCATTCTTTCATCTCAACACACGTCAATACAATAACACGCACAATACGCGTGTGGCTGCGATTCGCTCTCCTCATCTGCCAGGGAGTTTGACTTTGGAAATGCTCAACCTCCTTCGTTCTCTGCCTATTGCCCGGCCTCTTGTGTCACTTTGGTCTTTGCCTCGTAACCTTACTCTTTTACGTCGTCGAAGCTGACATAATTGACTAATATCTACGAGGGACGAGAACAACTCCAGGTTGAGGGACAATGACGGAGTACCATGACTGCTCACAATGGCCAAGGCAACCTCGAGCACAAGCAGGTCTTGGTGGCTCAAGTCGTTCAACAATGCAACACGACCAATACCTCAATAATCTCACTACAGGAGGTCGACTTGATGGACCTAGTTAAATGGCAAATGGAAGGGCTGAGCTGTGCCTAGTAACTTGAAGCAGTCGGTGGTATCACACGACAGCACGCTTATCTTCGTGTTTCCGTGGAAGAATGGAATGGCCAATGTCGACGAAGCACACCCAGAGCCCAGGAAAGACTGGCGTGCTTCATCCAGCTGTCCTTTAGTCTCAAGTCACGAGACCGGTGCAAGAAGGACGCAGGACCGTCTTGCAAGCCCGGCCACACAGAAAAAAGTTCATCGATTTCTTCCACCGTTAAAAAGTAGCTGCTGCCAATCCTTCCAGAACTCGCTCTACCTTCGAGCTTCTTTCGATCTTGAGCAAGTGCTACATAACCATTTTCCCTCTCTACTCTTCGTACTATACTCTAAACATCGCAGCTCAAGATACTTCTGACATTATCTCCTGAAGCTCCGTCTTGACCTGACAACGATCTCCTTTCTTCCGTCGCTCCCGACTCCAGCTTCGTCTAAACTCCGACGGCTTAGTAGAAGGTATAGTATTGCCCTCGTTAACGTATGAATTGACCAAGTGCTCACGATTGGCGTTTCCGGCAGCTTGATTGGCACCAGCATCGCGATGACTTCAAACGCCCCCGAGTCAGCCGCCATCAAGGCAAATGGCAATATCTCGAAACCAGCCTCCTACCCCCCTGGTTTCGTGGAGCTCATCGACCCGCCCTTCTCGTCGACGTCCCTCCCTCCGCGGCCGACAACGTGACGGCACCGCTCGAGCCACACACTACAGCGCGCCAGCTTGTGTCGCAACGAGGCCGGCCGCTTCCGGGTCTCCGGCCGAAGGTCAACATGATCAACAAGGTCACCAAGGTCAAGGTCCGTGGGAACGGACTCGAGGCCAAGAAAGGCATCCTGCACGAAGACAGTCGCTCAAGGAACTTGCCAACGACAAATACCTTGGGCGTCGGGGCAATTACCAGGAGTCTCACGGCAAGACGGATATTGTGGCCGTATCAATGCCCGAGATCCCGATGCGCGGCGCCGAAGACCGCTGCGATACACTTATCCGTCGCCGCCTCCGAGGAGGTACAACAACTCCGCGGAGGTGATGCCTCCGGAAGAGATCTCCAAGTTTGAGCCTGCTCGGCTGGAGAAGTAATCTCACAGCGATGGATTCTCTGGCTGGCTACCTCGAGCCGGCTGGCGGAGAGAACGAAAAACCTGGCCGCGAAACTATCTTTCAACCATCGCACTCGACTGCCACTAGCCGACCGAGATGATTCGTGTAATCAATAGTTCTGGATGCAAGCTATTCGCGACACCATCTGCTGTACCGTACGTCAGGTACATCGGGCAGCGAGGCGGCGGCTGGGAAGCCTGAGCAGAATCTCGACTACATGTGCTGTATGATAGGCTGAGCAGATCGATCATCGACGTTATCAACGAGGAGCCACAGAGCCTGAGTGAATTTATATCGAACATTTCGTGGTATAGTTACCTAGTGATATAAGGTTGGCCTAGGCGCGTTGACATCTGGCCGCGTGGGTTGCATGGAGGCGTTGGGGCTATAGATCCGTACACGCTCTGTTTATTGGTCTCTCGGTTTTTATCAGATTATTGGTCAGCTTTACCGCATCGGCAGCATAGAGCACGTGGATGGCATATTCTTCACGTGAAGCATTCGTTGTACGATGTCATGGAAGACAAAATCAATCGCAAGTACTGCGAGCAGTTGCGCTTGGAGTCGCGCATCCCTCAGTGACTCGAGGGCATGCACCTTCAGGGGATGAGCATACGAGATTATCAGCCTCACCTTCGGCCATCGCTTCACTCGGTACACTTGGGTTATCAATCCGCCCGCGCATATGACAGAGTACAACTCTGATCGATGTCAACCGCGCGCTCGGGATGGTGCTATCTAAGTTACCTTGGTCTCCGAAGTGGTCAACTTTAACAAACACGCGCACCAATCAGGCAGAGATCAAGCGCATCCTCGACAAACTCAAGGAAAACGTCACCAACATCGTCACTATAATTAGGTGCGATCCTAATGTCGACAGGTAGACCCAGTGCACCCTCGAAGAACTTATCAAGACGGCCGAGGAGTTCAACCTTGAAATCCCGGACGAGTATCGCCCGCGCAGCAAGCCTTGGTGGTTCCCGAAGCCGGATGCTCTTGGTATGGAGAACCTAGATAACACTCTCGACCTCGATGAGGTCATTAGCAACATGCATGACTTGACGGCGAGGGCCAAGTAAGAGTACAGGCAGGTCGGCCGTAAGGCTTTTGAAGCACTAGTGAAATACAAGAAGAGCATGATTCGTGGATGTTGCCCAGGCACCCAAGTTGGCCAGGTATACACTACATATACAGACATTTGCTATTTTCTCTTTTATTCAGCTTTTGCCATCGGGGAGTCAGAACTAGGCCTGGGAAGGGCTTCAAAAACCTAGAGTTTCCTGGTATTGATAAGGTGGCCTTCCCTACCTTATCCTCTATTTCAGCTACCTTGTTACGCCGGATAACCCGGCCAACTCTCCATCGCTGAATCAGCCCGAAGAGAACCACCGCGCGACTTGTCGCGCCCGTGACGAGCTGAACAAGCCCCTTCGTGCATGCGGACAATGCCGTGGGGGATTGTACTGTTCTGAGAACTGCGCGCAAGTGCTCGCCGACAGGCATCGGAAGCTCTGCTTCAAATACAAGACGGCTCGATGCCAGAGGGAGGCAATACAATTGCCGTCGTTCTGTCCCCCGGCGACAAATCGAAGTCGGAAATCGTCTTCGTCGATTTCAACCGCTGGGAGCTGAAGACATCGTCCGCACGGGTACTTAACCCCAGAAGGCTGTCACGAAGCCGGCGTTCAGCCCCTCTGTCACTCAGCAACCAAATTTTCCTGGTGCCCTAATAGGGTAACGTTAACGTACTGTAGTATTTTCTCGACTTTCCTCTCGCCCCAAGCTTGTAGACTTTTTCTTCAACACGTGCAAGGCTTGAAACACTCTAAAACGAGGTCTGGTCCAAGCCTTGAGAATTTTGATCTCATCATCAAGATTTCTCACCCTGCCCACTAATCACCGATCATCAAGTATCATCGACATCCATGGACTGCTTTTTGTATCCATCGGTAAGTTGGTCGCGCCTTTGGACCATAGGTCAGTCAATCATGCTCCCACTCAACATCGGCATCTGATCACTTTGAGTTTTCCCGACGAAAACATTTCGCCTAAGTCGAATCCAGACATCCTTTGTTGACTTCCCGTCGTTAGTCAAGATTACAGCGAATATTGAGCACGATCGTACCTTGGTTTCCCTCCCAAATTTCGCAGTCGTAAGTTCAAGCTTCTTTCCCATTTACCCTCTGTGGATTAAATAGACGACGAGTCAGACAATGACGAAGATGACGCTGACGGAGACGAGGACGAGCACGAAGCGAGCGGCGATGAGTACGAGCCGGCCAACAATGAATATGACCCAGACGGTGCAAGAGGCCTGGAGAATTACACTAAAGAATGGAATAAAATAAATTTCGAACCAAGAGCCGCGGCGTAAATGGCTCAAGAATATTGAGGAGCACGACGACCTTTTTCACGGCTCACTCCATTTCAAACAACTTCCTTGATGTTTACACGCGAGTTGACTCACTTCCACGCAATACAGAATCCTCTAGGCTTGCAATGTCGACCAATATTCATAAACTCATCGCTGCGAAGATCAATGGGAGCATTCGCGCGACAACCCTTCGCTAGTGCGGCCCGTGAAGCGGCACTGCTCCACCTGCCTGACCCAACGTCAACCAGACAAGCCGCTGATGGCATGCAGTCAATTCCGCGGGCGCTTTATTGTTCGGAAGGATGCGCTCGAGAGAATACCGGTCGCCATCGAAAATTGTGCTTCAAGCACAAGATGTTCAAGCGTCCGGATGACGGCAACAAGGTCGGAGCAGATGTTGGACGTTGAACGCAACCGGCCGATGCTCCCTCGTCACTGTGACGATGCCAGTCAGCCCCCTTACCGGCCGACATCTGCCGTTCAATTTGAAGGTTATGTTCACGGCGTCCGACATCCCTCTTAACACTGTCCTCTTATTCTGTTACAGTGACAACTGGGAGCTCCCCGCCCCGAGCTTTCCCTGGAGTGGTGGTATTTCGGTCGTCCGAGTTCATTCAGGTACCCAAATCGCCGAAGACATGACCATGGCAATTTTCCGAGATGTCCTCGACTTCTTCGCCTGGTACGGTGAGCAAGTCTGGCCCCACATGATGAACTACCTGTACGGGAACAGGATGCCTTGTATTGCGCCCTCCATCCGCGTTCTGATCCGGTGCTCTGTTACGGAGGGTTTGCACGGCGAAGGTGCCCTGACGCCCGTCATGGTCGACGACCTTCACCAATCCGGGGTCTCCGCACGAGAAACGGCTTCAAAGTGGGCGATATCAGTGCGACTTCAGCACTTCTAGGCTGTCCAGTGCGGATGTACGACGTGCTGCACCCTCCTCTCGAGACCAACAAGGGCTGCTGGGAGTGCGTTCAAGGCGACACGAGGAACTTCGTAGCTTCCCACTTGATGATGGGCCTAGCCAACAAGGATATCCGGCCAGCAATCGCTGCCACGCCAACCATCATCGGCGGTGTCCTTGCAGTGCGAGAAGACGGACAGGACCTGCCAGTTGACGAGATGGTGGCCATGTGCCGGCTGATTCGCAAAATCGTCACCCTCGCATCAACGAAGGATGCAAACCTCAAGGGAGTTCTGACAACCGATACATACCATGAAGCGTTGTAAGTGGCAGGAAACGTTTCCAGTGGGGTTGCCAAACACCAAGGCAAACCTGGTAACAGCACCGTATGCAGCCGCAAACACACCTCCATTCCTGACTCGACGACTGATCCAGCTTTTGTCACCGAGGTGACGACCGCTCCTGCCACTGTCGACGTAGACCAGGCTCAAGTGTACCAAAACAACATGAACAAGGCGACCCCCGTGTTCCAGGGCTGGCGGAGCCTCCCGAGTCTACTATGGGCTAAAGTCAAGGCCCAATAGGGTGAAACTAGGGCGAGGGCATGGTCCTGTCGAGGAGCCGTCTTTCGAATTGCCCGGTTGTGCTGAATACAAGAGCCCTTGGGTTCACACTCCAGCGCTTAATGACGAAACGGATTGGAGAAACTGGGAAACCAGGCCTGAGACCGGGGTTTTTGAGCAAGCCAACTACTCGTATCCCTCGCCGCCACCGATGAGGTACACTTACTAGGCGAAGGTGGTGCAAGAGAAGGAGGTGCAGCGCTACGCATCAGATGAGCAGTAAGGCATTGATTGGCAATGGTGTCGAGGCCGACGAAGATATAGTGCCTGAGAACAAACAACAGCGCTGTTGGGGAAGATGGTGGCGCCTTAACGCCAGCCCAACAACCCACCAACGATGGACGAATTCGAGTTCATTCGCTCTGATGACCAGAGCGGCCTGGACAATCTTGCGCGCTTAAAAAAGAGGGGCAATATGAAGATCAAGCGTCTCCACGCGCCCAGCGGGACCATCGGCGATGGAGAGGAGGTTGTGAACCTGGGTCAGGGGACCCTACTGGCGCAGAGCGCAAACAGAGACAAAGGGGAGCGGCCACAAGCGGACAGGCACAGGAAACATCGGCCTAAAAGTGCCCTCTTGTATAGGATTTGACGCTTGGTGTGATATGGTCGGAGCGGAGGGTTTGCTTGTCGCTGAGTGTTGCTGACGAAGGAGGAGAGGTTTGTGGAATCAGTGTTGTACAGCCACTATACTCATGATCAACGAGGACGTAGGAATTCTTCGCTTGGGGGGGAATAGGGCAGTTGACGACGACAGCCATTGCTCGTTGGCGACTGCCGTCGCTCTGCCGTTGACCTGCCGTCAGTGATCGCTGATGCATCGACGGCAGGCTCTGTCGTATTGTCGGTCATGCTGGGATTAGGTAACCAACCACTCGATCAGCTAGATATAACCACTCGCACAGACTAGGTAGACGGCAGCCAAATGCAAGATCTATACCGGTGCTGTATGTTGTTGTCCTTCGCCGCACCCGGTTGCAGTGACCAGCAAGCCCCAGCAATATAAGTATAGTTATGATAATGATTTCCGCTTGTACCCTTTCACCTAATAACAAGGATAGTTATAGAATAAAAGTGCTTAGTTACTGCTACAGCTTCTGCTGAAGGTACCGGGGAAACTCACACCAGATATCACGCGCCGCCGAAGGCGTGTCCCGAAAACACTGTACCAAGCTACAGTAACTGCTGACCGGTCCCTCACTTCAGCTTCTTCTGCCTCTCCTCCTCCCTCAACACCCCCTCAAGCTGCTTCATCCCAATCATGCGATACATGACAAAATCCAGCACCCACTCCCCAAGCCAAGTAGCAAACCACACCCCAGTCGCCCAACCCCCCGCCCAAAACCAATCCGGCCTGCCGAACCACGCCCTCAATATCAAAGGCCACTCCGGCGCCAACGCCTTGGCCACCAATTTCCTCGCAAACTCCCCCGTCTCGACGGTAGCATTATTCTGCGAGAACGTCAACCGCCTCTCAAACATGCCCCTCACCCGCTGGTAGATGCTGTTCTCGGGCAGCGTCCGGTGCGCGTGGCTCGCGATCCTGCTCCGGACGGTGCCCGCCATGGCGACCATGACGCGCACGCCAAAGGGCTTGAGCTCGAGGCGCAGGGTGCGCGAATAGGACGTCACGGCGCCCTTGCTGGCGCAGTATACGGAGCCGAAGACGTAGGGGGTGATGGCGGCGAGGGAGGCGATGTTGATGATGAGGCCGCGCGAGTCGATCAGCAGGTCGGCGAAGGCCGCGCACATGGCCATGACGCCGAAGACGTTGGTTTCAAAGGTCTGTCGGACGTCGGGGAGGGAGATGTCGGTTGCTGGGTGTGTGTGGGTGCGGCCGCTGTAGTTGTTGTTAGTGAGTGGGTAAGGGGAGGATGGGGAAGGTGGTCGCACGCGTTGTTGACGAGAATGTCGAGCTTGCCGCCGGTGAGATGGGATACCGCCTTATGGCAGGCCTTGATGCTCTCCTCATCGGTGACGTCGAGGGGGAACGTGGTCATGCCGAGGGCGGCCATCTCGGAAAGCACGGCGGGGTTTCGCGCCGTCGCAATGACGTGCACGCCTGCTGCGTGTCAATACTGTGGTCTGTGTTTCCATAATCATGGCCAAGGGTGATATGCCTTTGGCGTGGAATTCCATGCACAGCGCATGGCCAATCCCGCCTGGGGTGCAGCTGGGTTGAGGTTAGCACCGGGATTCGGCGGAGGCGCGGCAGTGGACGGGAGACGTACCCGGTGATGAGCACTGTCTTTTGGCCCGGCTTGGGACCCATGTTTCCGATCGCTGTGATATGAGCAATGAGGGACGTTAAGATTCCAAATGTGGGATGGACTCAGATCCGGTCATGGCAAGCTTGCCAACAAAATGATGTTGCCAACTTAGGGTTTTGCATTGAAAATGCAGCACCCCACCGCGCTCAACCGAGGCAACTTTTATCCGGTTAGGGTTATCAACTCGAAGTTTCAGGCGTGCGGCCACAATACCACACAACACCTACGTAGGGGCCGAAATCATGAAGGGCTGGTCTGTTGGATATCAGAATGCATTACCTATGGTGTGGGTCTGAGGTAGCGAATATAGCGGAAACCTTTGCATAGGCTATTTGACCCCAGTACACGGAAGACTGACAGTCACGAAATATTCCTCCAGTGCACGTATTGTATCGTATTGTATCTCACAACCAACCCTGACCCTCGGCCTCCAGTCATCACATGCAATCAAGAAAAGAAACTGCCGTCGCCGGACGCCCTTCAGTGACATCTGTTGCTTGGTTCCTCTCCAGTTCAAAGCGATCCCAGTCAAAGAGGTCCAGACAGTCATCGGACTACGCTGAGATGCTTGTGGTCTCATGGCCATATGCATAGACCGAATAAGGTTGCTGTGGGCCGAAAGGGGGTACTCGTTCCAGTGTTCTGATCCCGAGAAGGCTGCTACGGCTTCGGCAAAATTTTTCCCTGCGGGCATCACTAGGACCAGGCCCGTCGTCTGACTGCCAGCCATGACATGACCGAGGAGCTTTCCGCTAACGACATGCCGAACCCAGCTCCCGCAATCCCCGGGCAAAAAGGGGTCTGTACAGCATGGCCGTGTAGACTTCCTGAAAAGCTTTGAAGCCAGGGAGACGCACAAAGGATGGGGTTCCCGAAAGCGTACCGCCAATGGTGCCGCTTGGTGTCGTCGTCTTGATGGCAGTGCCACTTGGCCGGGTTTTTATGTGCTCCTGGAACGATTCAAGGGGGATTGCCGTATTTCGAAGGCCCCAGTCCAACTTAAACTCGTCGAGTTCACTCATGCTGGGCTTGTCGGGGTCTAGCAGCACCATGCAGAGTCCAGCAGAGATGATGTCAGGGTGACGTGTCCGATTTTCACGGTTCGTCCACGGCTCGGAGGCCCTTCACACTGCCGCTGCCCATCAATTTCGAGAGTGTCGAGTTGAGTCCGCAAGGCAGAGACCTGCGTGCCTTGTTCTTCGAAGCTCTCATGCGAGGGCATCGAATATCCATGTGCCTCGGAAGTTAAGGGGCTGTCCGGGTCCGATGAAGATTCGGAGTCGCTGGGAATCGGCGTTGGAATACTGTGGCTCATGTGTGTGACGGCCTCGTCGTTTTCGTCTTCCTCGTCGCTCAGGCCAATGATCTCGCACTCGTCCTCACTTAATTCAGAAGTGAAAGACTGCCGACGAGGGATGGCATATACGTCTGCTGGTGCCGCCGATAGGAAGTTGTTTACCAAATGAAGCATGTAGCGGCCTGTATAACTGATGGCGCCTCCGGCAGCCTGCCACGCTGATCTTGCTATTCGGCCAGTTCGGAATTCTTGCTTCCAGTCGTCGTCCATTCATGGTCCTGATTTTGTCGCGTGTACCTCCACCGATTCTTTCGGGACCTTAAAGGAATTCGACAGAGGATCAACGGCCCGGACAGTTGTCGAATCGTACAGGAAGCCAAGAGGCCTTAAGTTTTCAAGCTCGGCCTTCAAATCCATTCCTCCGAAGGCCGAAGAGGGTACGTCGCGCATGACAATCAAACATCGGGATGGAGCACCCAACTCAGCACCTGCATGGTTCTCTAAGATGAAGGACTCTCAGCCACTTGAACAAACAAGGCAAGTGAACAAACAAGGCATTAGCAAATCTCACTCCTCAGCGGAAAGAGAGTGAATACAAAGTACGTTGGATCCCCGCAGATTAACCCAAGTCGGGAGCATATCTTGAACTGGCTCTTAGGGGTATCGGCAAGATGGGTGGCCTCCCATCCCGGCCGGCCATCTCTGATGGAAGACGGCCACGGCCCAAATGTGTTGCTCCCACAGAGTGATTATGTGAACAATCAACTCAAACCCCGGATTACAGATATGGATTCCTCCTTGCAGAAATACCCCATCCCAAACATCTCCGGACCTGTATACTTCAAGAGTTGTAACCAGAATGCGGCATGAAGCAGGAGGCCGCAAGCCTGAACATGACGTCCTACTTTGACTATTACTCGACGCGGTGCCAGCGATTCTCTCGGGACGGCGGCATCTACGTCTGCGTGAAGTCACACGATGCTCTCGTCACTATCGCCAAACAACGGACCTTGACAGATGTCACGAGAGACGAAACTCGCTCGTCCCTGGGATGGGAGTCGAGGACGACGGACACCACCATCGACTTGTGTGCGAGCCTGCTCCTGATGGCAGAAGTGGGCGTGCACAAGCTTTGCTTCTCGGGCTCCAACCCCCTGACCTGGTCCGGCCACCAAACACTTCGGCAAACCATTGAGCGGCATTTCCAACCCGAAAAGCAGCTTCAGCCAGATAATTCCAGGCTGGGAAGACCTTTTACCGCCCGGAACCTCGCATACGTCGGTAGCATGAAGATCAAGTGGACCAGCAACATTGTCGATCACCTGCTGCTGTCAGACGACGACCAGACCGTCTTTATCTTCCATCATGCCGGGTTTCTGCGGTACCACCAGTGATAAGACCTCTCACCTCGAACTAAATCGATTCGCCAGGAAGCCGAGTCAACCAAGCCATGGGAGCCAAGCGTACCACATGCTTGCGCAAACCCCCGGCCGCGTCACGTCACCTCCTGTCTCAACGCCTGCCAGCTCAGATACACCTGCAACGCGCCGTCAACGCTCTGCACGAGCCCCAAAAACACCGTCATGACGAAGACTAGGATCGCCACCGAGGAAGTATACAATTGCACCGAGTTGCGCCGGTCGTTCTACCACTGCCGCAGCTCGAGCGGGCCGGACTCGTCAAAGGTCTGCTTCAGGATGACGAGCCGGTCGTGCCAGAAGACAAAGTGCTCGAAGCGCCGCATCTGGGCGCGCAGGCTGCCGCACCGGGCGAGGCTTGGGTCGAGGGCGTGTGTTCAGAGATTTGGGCGAGGAGCCACTGGCGGGATTTGTGGTTATTCTGGGAGAAGAGGAGGGCGAGGGTGCGGAGGGTTGCTTGGAGGAGGGAGGAGGCGAGGAGGTGAAGAGGGGGTTTGTGAGGCTGCATGTGATTTGAAATTGATTGTGTCTTGGCTGATTCTGGAATTTCAAAGGGGAAAGGAATGTTGTGGTAAGGACTCGGGAGTGGTAAGGGGGTGTGTGTTGTTGACCTTCCCTGAATGATCAAAGGAATATGGTGCAGTTGCCACGCCCATGTCAAGCGATGCCATGCCGTGGTTTTCAAGCTTCTTCTGCCGGGCTTCCACTATCCGATACAATCAACCAGTCTCACCGGCAGTGACGTTGGCAGTGTCTCTTTCGTCGCCAGAGATAACAAGGACTGGCAGGGCGTCAAGCTCGCCCGCCCGAGGTCAGGGCATTCACCAAGCTTAGTTAAGCGTTCGCTTCAGGGGCTCAGCCTAGATCCGGCTTGGTTTCTTGCATCACAGCCGCACGCTAATGGCTGCCAAGACCCAGCCCGTCTTAACCCGCTGTTGACCTGAAACGACCACAGGATTCCTGGCGTCAGCAGCTGTGCGGCGGCGTTAGGGAGGCTGCTCAGCTGGAGTGGGGCCCCTCCCAAGCCTTGTGTCACCTTAACCTCCCAGGTGACGTCAGTTCACCAGGGGAAGTAGTATCGACCGCCGCTGGGCCAGATCGGGGAGATGGTATCCGAGTGGTCTCCAAGCCGACAACCTAGGAACCCAAGCTGAGGAGCATCGAGCGATGCTTGGCACGGCAGACGGCTCCGTGTTGTGGAATGTGAGGGCAGTCGTAACAGCTGGAGACCTTTCTGTCAGGTGTCGTCCAGAAACAAAACTGATATCCGAGACGGGAACATCGCAAGTTTGGATGCAGTGTGTGTTGGCTGTGATGGAGCAGAACTCCGTGCGGTGTGGGATCCGTTGGCGGTGGAAAGGGCAGTTGGTACTGTTTTTGGCATGCGGATTGCGATACGCTGTGCCGCAGGGAAGCTTCCCTCTCCGAGCTTTTCAGGCTTACAGAAACCAACAGTCGAGCAACATTACCCGGACGAGGTCGTGTTGCTGAAGGTCCTAGACCACGGGATCCTACATCGCGCAGTATAGCAGTCGCACTGCCGAGATCTGCCCAGCATCCGCATCCGGGATGTCATCCGCCCGGACCTCATCCAAGAGTACGCTGCTCTGCCGCTTTCTGGAGGCAGAATGGGCTGGGGCATGATACCAGTAAAGGATAAGATGCTCAGAGTTCCCATGACTATGCCGTCGCTGTGCAATATGTAGCCGAACTTTTGCCCGTCTGCCAAAGCTCTGAAAGGATGATCACGGTTCTTTTGCCCGCCCCAACAGAAGAGCCGATGTGGGTTCGTCAACGCCACCCGGGCTAGATGTCAGCCCCAACTGCAACCCGCAGCGGCGCGGGACCGTTGGCTGCACTAACATCCGTATTTACGCCTCCCTGCCCCACGAGCTGGCTCTTAACGACCACCAGGCTGCCCTCTCAGTACCCGGCGTTTCCGACAAGAGGGCTAGCCTCATGCGATCCGCTATCGTGGAGGACTAACATCGCTCGAGCCGGCTTCCACTATTATCACCAGCCATCTGTCCTCGCGGCTTTGTCGTCGGTCCAGACTGTGGTGTCACCAAGACGAGGACAAATGAAGGGTTTCCTGCCATCTTGCCCGGAGAGACGGCCGTGTACTGCGTGCCGATTGGCTTGACCTGCACCACTGACATTACTGACTCCCGCGGAGGTGTATGGGCCTTCGCGCGTGATGCGACGACAGCTGGCCCTGTTATCACAGTGGGACCAGCAATTCAAACCCGATGGGTCGAGGCAGACTTCAGCATGCTCGAGACACACCCACTCACGCCAGGCTTAAGGCTTGCCAGGACAGAGGCAGGGACCACACTTGTGACCTCCGCTCGGTCGACCACAACCACCAGTTCCACGACGGAAACGACCGGAAAACCAAAAAAAGGGCCAGCGACGGAGGACGACAATGAGCCCGCGTCGTCGGACACCCTGATCACGGACACTAACACACGGAGTGAAGGTGTCACCCTGATCTTTGAGACCGGTAGCCCGACAGGTAGCCTTGGCCTGGCAAACACTGCATCGGGAAATCCGAGCGGGAAAATTGGGTCTCTGGACCGTGGAACCGGCATCGTTGTCATCTTCGTCGTAACAGTGGTGGCAGGCATTTTGGTATGGGTTGCTACGTTCCGCCTTATCCGGCGGTACAGGAAGGCCGTAAAGCGAAAAAAGTCGCGGTCAAGAAAAAAAGGTCATGAAACCAGCCTGGAAAAAGTGCATCGGCACACGAGAGCCAACTCAGCGACGCCCAAGTCGATGGCAAGCCCCACATCCGAGCTCGACTCCGGGTCTCCCGCCATCGGCAGCACGCCGAACCCGGCGGAGCTCGAAGGCGACCTTCAACTTCCCCCACGGGCCTGGATGCACCAGCGCCTGTGGGACAAGGGCTCGTCTCTGCAGCCGCCGCATAGCTCGCCGAGGTCCATGCAGTCGACCGTTTCAACGCGCAGGACGATCCGAGAGTCGTTTGGCGAGAAGGTCAACGATCCGGCGGCAGTGTTGAACAGGTTGAGGATACCGAACCCTCTTTCCATGGGACGACCGTCGCCGGGCTCGGCGAGTCCGACCACACGCAGCTTCTGGAGACTGCCACGGAGTCCGGCGAGTCCATCAGCGGCAGCGAGATTGAGCGCGCAATTGCCCAAGTCGTCGCCAAGATACGATTTGAGCGGCAATGCGCCAAGGGCGAGCACACCGGGGCGAGGCAAGCCAGCGTGGGTTGCTGCACACGGCACGCATCGCGATGCAATGCCGTAACACAGCTTCTGTTGGTGGTTGGATGTGGGAAGAAACGAGGCCAGGATCAAAATCGATCAGCAAAATGATCGACCTGAAGAGGCCTTGGCGCCTCCGATAAGAGCGGATAAAGCCTAGTCGAGCCCCGCAGCGACATCACTCACCGTCAATGACCTCACACGGACTGAAGCACCCTGAGATCGACAATCGTCAAAGCTGAGATGAACCGAAACACATCTTAAATTCTCGCCAAATTCCTGGTCTCACTAAAGATCCAGTCAGACCCTGGCAACCACAAAAGTTTCGGAACACTCTCTAAAACATCACCAAGTATTAAAACCTCGGAAACATTCCCTTGCAACAACAGGACCCCGCCAAATCCACAATCCACTCCACAACATCCACCTCGACCGCGTCCACCAACCCACCAGCCATGCAAGCCAACATCAACAGCACGAACTCATCCACAGCAGACGACCTCTGCGCCGCCCTCCTCACGCCCAGAGAACACCATCACCGCTCCCATTACTTCCAGCATACCGATGACGACAACAACAACAACAGCACCCAGAAAACCACCGTCATCAAGCCCGGCGATGCCGCGGCAGCAGCGCAGCGCGCCATGAGCTGGAAGCCCGCCTTCGACCGCCGCCAGAGCTGGGACAAGCAGGAGTACAAGCATGAGGTGCAGAAGCGGGAGTGGGAGAACGTCAAGGAGGATCGGAAGAGGGGTTTCACTGAGACTGACGCCGTGGCTGAGACGTGAGGTTTCAATCGGGCATTTACCTTATTTTCTTACATTCTTCTGTATCATTCAGCTGGATGGACTGGGTATTTGGCGAGCCTTTTGAGCTGTCTTCTTTTATCATGCTGCCTTGGTGTTTTATTCAAAGTGTCTGTGTTGCGTTCTTGAGGGAGTAGGGCAAACGTGCTTTGAGCGTGGTAATCACTTGTGAAGAAAAAACAAGATATGCCATGATAAGTAGTATGATTGTGTTTAGCGGCTGAGGCGGGATGAGGAGTCCGGCATCACCCTTCATTTATTGAAAATTACATGGCAGTCGAATTGGGATGATACAGAAACTACGAGCGAGACGGCGGTGTTCTCATTTCATCTAACAGGAAGAAAGAGGGTTTTAGTGTTTTAAGATAACTTACGTTAGGTGAAAATGCTCATGATGGCTTTATGCTACAGTGTATTCGCGGGAAAGGCAATTTCGCCACGACCATTTACGCCCAAAATGAGACATGAGAAAAGTGAGGTACACCTCATCAGGATATCAGATTTCAAAAGCAGAGCAGAGTTACCCGATATACACTCTGAGCGGAACCATAACTTAATTAACAAGCAAGCAAACCCCCAGCCCTACCCATAACAGTCCCCTCTTATCCCGCCCCGCGGTATGTGCAGTCTGATCAAGTAAGCCATATACAAGCGAGGGTGAGACGCCAGAGTGCCTTCCGATTCCATGTCCAACTCCCCCAGTTGTCATGTCACCAGCTCAATGTTTCCACAACGTTGTCTGTGTAAACCAGTTGAGGGACCCCAAACCGAAGCAAAAAAAAGAAACAAGAACCACTGTGTCCAACCTTACTATCTCCCCCATTCTCCCTCAGAACCCTTTCGGTCCCTTCCCATCCACCCCACCACTCTTGAAGGACTCGGTCACCACACCAAGCGAGTACGACAACCCCGCCAACCACACCGCCCCAACCGCAACCCGTTTGGGCAGGCTCCGTCCCTTCTTCTTGCCCACCTTCCCCTTGTCCTCACCAACACCCCCTTCCTCACGAGCCGACGCTTCACTATAATCCCACACAGGACTCGGTCTAGCGCTCGTCGGATCCGGCGGTAGATCATAGTTAACAAACCCCGTAGGACTGGCAAACCGGCCCGCGGCAACGGTATAATCCCTCTGCCCGCCCGTCATGTCGATAGGGTTAACACCAGAAGAAGAAGAAGAAGAAGAAGAAAAACAAGAAGAAGAAGGACCACCACGAACAGCTGCTGCTGCCGAGGAAGATTGCTGCTCCTTCGCCTCGGGCAGCGGGTCCCGCACCTTGCGGAAGATGAGCACGTCACCGCTACCCGAGACAATTTCGAAGCCTTGAGCCTGGAGCGGCGCAAAGTGGGGGAAGAACCGGGCCGGGTTGGAGATGCGGAGGAGGACCGCGGCGGGGGTGAGCGGGGCCGCGCTGTCGGGGACGATGGAGATTGTTTCGGCGGTTTCGATACGCTGCATTGTTGGGTCGTAGACTAGTACCTTGTAGAGGGCGGGCTCGGTGGGTTTGACGGGGGGGAGGTCTTCTGTTGGTGTGGTTGTTGCCTTGGGTGTGCTGTAGCGATCCAAGGCCGGCTGTATCGCCATGTCGGAGACCTGCTGCTCTGGTGACAGCAGCGAGGGGTCACCCTGAGCCGTTTCGGTAGTCCATGACTTGGAGAACTCTTCAGGGAAGTCTCGGACAAAGTTCCCCATCAAACCTTTCGACCTGTAATCTTGGCCACCATTGCCGCCGTCCGGCTGGTGGGAGCTTGAGAGAGTCTCGCTGGCTAGGGTGTCGGCCTCAGCGGAAGCTTGCGCCATCAGCTCCTCCACATGGTTGCGAAACGGGGGTTTCTCCTGCGTCTCATCCTCCACATAAAACGCGGGCTCCTGGTCGGCCGTCTTCGCCTCGACAAGTTTCCCATCCGGCTCGTTCCACCTCACCGCCTGGTACTTGCACAGCTCTGCCGGATCGTAATCCTCATATTCCTGAGACTCGACCGGTCCATCAGGCTCGTAGTGCTGAAGCGTCCGGTGCCCCTGGAAGTCAGCGGCGTCCTTGCTTGGCCCACTCTCTTGCTGCGACGGCCGAGTTTCAGCATCCTCATAGCTGAAGGCCTCGTGGTTAGCAAGGTCCTCGTCTTCCTTCGCAGCATCTATGGTAGGCTCGGCTTCGCGGGTATATCTTCCGTCGGGCTTATCGCTCCGAGATGCCTGGTACTCATGTACCGCACTCGGCTCACACGCGGCCCCGTCTGTTCGAGAGTACTTGCTATCTGGTTCATGGCTGCGGAATGCGCCATATATGGCCAGCTCGTCTGTGTCAGGGTTCTTGTCAACGTCGTTGGTGGCATACTTGCCATCGGGCTCGTGGCTGCGAAACGGTTTGTACCAAGACAGCTCCACCTCGTCTCGCTGCTGCTCCAGGTAGAAGGCGGCATATTTGCCATCCGGCTCGTATGAAAAGAAGGGTTGGCGGTACTTAGCAAGCTCCGCCACGTCCCTTTCGGACTCGACGTGATTAGCTGCGTACTTGCCATCAGGCTCATGGGCAAAGAAGGGTTGGCTGTACGATGCTAGTTCCGCCTGGTCGGGAGCCTCGGTATACTCTGCCGCGTACTTGCCGTCAGGTTCATGACTGCGCATCTCCCGGTACTCGTTCAGCTCTTGAGAATGTGTCGCGGAGTCCGACTTGACCTTGGACGTGCCGTCTGGCTCGTGGGCTGTGACCGCACCGTATCTGTACAAGTCACCATGCCTCTGAGTTGTCTGCTCGTCTTTCGGCTTGCCATCGAGCTCTCGACACCTTACGACGGTGTATTGATGCCGATCGGTGTACTCGGGAGCAACTCGAGTGTGGGCCTGTGGCTGTGCGATGGATCCGGCAGATGACGATGCGATATTATCATTGGAGTGCCATAAAACATCCCTATGCTCCCAGTTCAGAGCCTCCAGAAGGCTGGGATGAGGTGCACTGCGGTGGTTGACAGTTGTTTTCTCATCAGGATGCAAGGCTGTCCGGTCCGGCTGGTTGCCGGAGTCCCACGGCTTGTTCTGATCGTACATCCTCAACTCCGCCTCGGGTGGCGGTCCATCGGAGAAAATGGGGGCCTGGGCACTCTGAACTTCGGGCGGTCTGAACGGCTCAAACTGTGGCCTGTAGTGTCTGAACGTTTTGATCGGCACCTCCACCCCTTGGTCCGAGGTTAAGAACGAGCCGGTCGACTCCCTCGGAACTTTGCGGTTCGTGATAGGGTCGATGACATAGCCGCCATCACCTTTTCTGTCGAAAGAGGCGGCTTTGCTCTCGCCGACTGTTGAGGAGGGCCTTTGACTCGCTCGTGCGCGTGGATCCTTCTTGTCACCAAACAGCAAATGCTCCAGTGGCGCCCGCTCAACGTCTTCAATGTTCTGACCTGGTCGGACGCCGTCAGGGTTATCCAGCGTCTTCATGGGAGAAGCATGTGTGTTGAGACATCGCCCTGCGCCTTGGCTTCCTCTGCGATGAGAAGACCAGGAGTTGTTGACAACCCGCTTCAGCGTCGATTTTACATCCTCGGCGAGGCCGTGCTTGACCCACGACCGGCGTCGATACAGGTTCTCGCAATATCTGGAACACTGACCAGGACGACCGGCGTAGACGTCTGGGTGAATGTAGGGCTGAAGATACGATGACAAGCGACCGAACCGATAGCCTCTTGACTGCTGGTGGTGTTGAGGAGCGCTCGCGAACGAGCCGAGAGATGCTATGTTCGCTGCTTCGCTGTGCCGACCGCGGCGGGCGAAAACGGAAGCAACGGTCAACGACATGGTGCTTGGGTCAGGATGCCAATGTCATGCTATTAACCCGAATGCGGCTACCTGGTATTCTCTATGGTAGTCAGCAGATGAAGAATGGCTTTGGAATTCTGTAATGCGGCCATGGCATAATACACGGTTCCTGGTCCACATAGATGGCTGTTGCCAATGCCGACGGCAATGCCGGGGTTCACTTCACTTACATGGCGGAGGCCGTCAATAGCCAGGACTGATGTCATCGAAGAGCGTGCGCTCGATGCGATGAAGGATCGAGTGTTTCGTCCAGTATCGCAGAACTGCAATGGGCGCAACGTGGGTTGCGGACGAAGAAGGGGTGCTCAGGCGACTAATAAAAGGCCCCGTATCCCAAGGGGACTGCGTGCCTCAGAGACGACAGATCGTGAGCCTTGGAATGCCATGTCTGACGATGATCGTCGTGCGGTGCATATGCCTGTGGGCCGTGACTGGAAGCCAACATGAGCCTCCTGTGCCATGATTCGTCGATTGCGGCTAACACGGAGCAAGAGACCCTGAAGAGCAGCAGACCCTTTGCAACGTCAGCCATTGACGTTTCAAACCCCAGGGGAGTACTGGTTATGCGGGGTAGGTCCTGAGATGACCCCTCCATCGCCGACTTGGGCAATGTTCACAACGGCATTGGCAAGAGGATGAGAGCTAAATGCGAGTGCTTGACTCGCTTGATATACAACAAAAAACTGCAAGGCACCGTAGCACAATTGGGTTTGCAACAGCCAAAAATTGTTTGTTGTTGAGCGCGTCGCAGGAAAATGGCGGAGGAAGAGAGAGCAAGAAACTTCGACGTTCAAATTCCTTGTCGGAAAGATCGGCAATCGGCAGCTTCAATGCAAATCATGGGGCGCACCAGGGGTCTTCCGAGCAGTACAACTACTATAGGTACTGTAGGTAGGTAGTGTAGCTGCCTCATGGACTACTCAGCTACAGTACTTGTAAAACAACATTGCGAGATTCGTAACGATGTCAAGAAGTTTGGAACGCAATTCTTCGGAACCTCTGGCATTACATGTATTTGATGGACATGCTGACACGGAAGAACAATGATGTCATCCTTGGCACCCCGCACATGGGCCCGAACTTCGAATATTCCGCAGGATAGGAAACGAAGTGAGGTCTCGGTCAGATGCTTCTATAAACTACAACTACATCTAACTGGGAGGGCGCCCCAATGTACGTACCATATCTATCCGCGGAATTTACTATGGTTGGTCAGGAGTCGCAGTACAGTAGAGCTACAGAGGTTACGAGGCTGGTATATGCCTAGCGTCACGTGACGGCTAGCTGCTACACATACAGTGTACGCTGGTGGGGCTTGCGACCTGGACCCCAGGACTTGATCAGTCACGCCGAATTTTGAGCTTCCGCGACAACACGGCTACTCGACCCTTTGGCTCACGCACATTGTCTTATCACGCAGCTATTGCGTAAATGATACGTCGCCGGCCAGTTCTGAAGCAGAAACACTAGCGATAACATAAATGCGTGCGGTCTGCGTCCCAACCTAGCTTTTCCAGTCCGTGATTGCATCCTGCCCCTCGTTGAGCACAGCCTAACGGCCATACTGATTTACGGACGTTGAAGAAAAGGGATTTGCCAAACTCGCCTTCTGCCCGACTTCCCTTGGACGTTTTGTCACAACCCCTCCGAGAAGTCTAAGCCACAACAATGCTTCCAGGCAAAAAAGAAGCCCATAGCGGCGGGTTCGGTGGTTTCACGACGTCGACGACGACCCTCTCGTACCTCACTCCACCACCCGACTTCTCCGCCATACCTCAGGAGGTCGTCGTGCCGTTCAAAAACCTCTTAAAGAGAGCTAGTACAACAAAAGAGCGGGCGTTGCAGGACATCCTTGCCTATGTCCAGGGAGTTGGGCCTGACGGCCAGGTGCTCGAGGAGCCTGTAATAGACGCATATGTCGGTCAACATTCCATATCATGTTACTTCAACATTTGCTGAGCCTCGTTTCAGGTTGAACTTTATCCCAGGCTATCCATTGACGATTCGGCGCGAGTTCGGGAACTCTCTCACCAGGTACTATTCCAGCTCCTAAATGCAGCAAAGAAGCGCATGGCCAAGAAGCTTTCGAGTTTTGTTGGGCCCTGGGTTGCGGGTACCTTCGATAGAGATAAGAGGGCTTCGCGAGCCTCCAGCGACGCTTTGACGTCGTTCCTGCAAACCAAGGAGAAGGAGGAGGCTTTCTGGAAGGCCGTGCAAAACCGGGTCCTCGACTTCGCGACCGAGGCCATCAAGGAGACGCCGGATACTTTGAGTGATGAGAGATCGACCACAAAGCAGGATTCCGATGCGAAGTATTTTCGGGTCGTCGGCGCCAGTTTATCCCTTGCTCTGAATCTCCTGAGGAAAGGAAATATTAACACACTCGAGAGCGGCTTGGCGCGCTACCTCGAGGTTGACGCACTGTGGACCATGTCCAAAGCAGAGGATGGGTTTGTGCGAAGGGTCTTGTACCAGTTCTTGAACACCCTCCTTGAGGCCAAGTCCCAGGTCCTGGAACCACACCTGCTGAAGGTCGGGAAAGCGCTTGTAGCCGACAGCATGAAGAAGGCCCAGGCCGGGTCTGCAACTGACCTACTGAAGGTCCTAGCCGCTCTTACCAGCCGTTTCCCACAGGTTTGGGGAACACAAAAGCATCCCCTGCAACGGCTCCACCAATTCGTCGCCCAGGGATCACAAGGAGGCGCCGAAGAGTACTGGCGGGCTTTGAGCCAGCTTCTTGAGATCTTGCCAGACACCACCCCCTCAGTCGACATCGTGTCTACCTTTCTAAGTTCCATGCGAAAAGGGATAGCGGACAGGCTTGAGACCCGCACAGGTCGGCATCAAGCCTTCCACTCCTACGCACAAGTATTCGAGCTCTTTATCAGTCACTCGCCACTATCCACCAACTTCCTTGAAGACAACCTCGCCAATGTGACTCGGCAGTACCTTCATCCTGTTCCAGAGTCATCGTTGCCATCGCCACAGCGGCCTGATTCCCTCGCCGAGGCTTGGGTGATTGTGGGCCGACACACGGACGAAGAAACCCCTGCAGTGGTGACTGAGGTGTGGCAGAAGCTGGAGAGTGCAATACTCTCTCACATATCCAATTCCCTGCCTGAGGTCTCTGAAGGCTACCGGAAATCCCAGACGGCGCTAGCTTCAGAAGGAGAGCGTTGGTTTGCCTTCGCAGCCAACATTTTGTCGCGTGTGGCGGACAGAGATTCGTTTATCCAGTTAGTCGTCACCAAGTCTTCAACGAAAGTCTTGCATGGCGCCGTTGATCTCCTGACCAGGAGGAATTTCAAGCCCTTTGGGGCTGCGGCTGTCATTCAATCAGCGTTCAGGCATTGCCCCCAGCTCTATGCCGATAACGACCTGTTGGAGTCGCTGTTCCCAGCCGACCAACCCGGACATTATGGCGTGATTGTTTCATCCCCATCGCTGCCATACCTTGTCTCTGACCTCAACACCATTCTGGGCGAGGCAGGAAACCGGTTTGGGAAAACATGGACTTCACTAGTTGAGGCAGCGCTGCAGCTTTCCGACCGTCCGTCGGCATATTCGGCTGTCAGGGCGCTTGTTGGGATTCCTTCTGTCACTGCATACGCGACCCGGTTGGACTCCTTGCAAATATTCCTTGTCTCTGCTTGGAAAGAGTATGCTCACGGCCAGGATTCACCTGCCTTGAAGGACCTTTGCGAAGCCACCCTGTCCTACGACGTTTTGGCGGAGGATTCCTTAGGGCTCGTCGCAACCGACATCATCTCTGGTCACGACGTGCCCGAAACATCTCAAGCGGCAACTGCGGCTCTCGAGTTGGTTTTGAAGAAGAGACCCGAGCTATTATCTTCAAACCATGACCTGCATGTGCGTCTGGTCACCAGTCTGCTTGCTATGACCGAGCTTTCCGACCCAACGCTGTCTGGAAAGGCAAGGACTTTGAGATCGCTCCTCGACGAGCAACCTACCGAGCAGAACCCCGTCGCCAGAATCCTTGAAAATCACCTCCGCGAAGCCGGTCCCTCTTCCCTTGACGTTGATACCCTGGTGCAACAAGCTTTGGCAGTACTGAAATCGGGTGCGGTGTCCCCTGAGGATGTCTTCCCAAGTTCAACCGTGTGGATGAATGAGCTGACGGCTTTTCTCACGCGCCCGCCAAACCCATCCTTGTCCCTGACGAGCAGCATGGGAGGTGCATACTTTCTGGTCCAAGGGCAGCCAAATGCAAAGCTCCCGGTACCAAGCCGTGACAGCAGCGGGCGCTCCATTCCCGCGAGGATGGCGCTGTTCACGGCCAGGCTCCTCTCTTCTGGAATTTCATTGTCCTCTCTGCCGCCAGAGTTCCAGCTGGAATTGGTGTACCTCCTCTGTTTCACCGAAGCTATCGCTGGAGACCAGCTTTCTGCGGCTCAAACGGGCGGCTTGTGGAGTGATGGCCCAGAGGCTGAACCAGAGGTACAAGAGTTCTGCGAGCTTAGCTCGGCAGCCGTCCGTGCTATTGTAGCGGATTGCGGCGACTGGACTGACTGGAGCATGTCTGGCGACTCGCTCATCGAACGTCTCATCAACTTTATGCTCCACCAAGGCGTTGGCCTGACCCCGGCGGCGTTTTACACCGCCAAGTCCCTGAGCTCCCTCCTTCAACTCCTCGTTCAAACTCATGGCGGCCTGCACACCAGCCTCGAGCAGTGGCTTACGAAGACAAGAATCATGACATCCTCTCCAAATACTGCCCTTATTGCCACCGCCTTTCTCACGGGTTTTGGCGACAAGCTCGCCTCCTCAAAAACCGTTTCGATGTTCTGTATTCGGCTCATAAGCGAGATGCCTGGCTTCCCTGACCTTTCCAATCCCCGCGCCCTTCCATCTCTGGTTCTCCTCAATCAGTGCTTGGATGTCTACGAGGCGGGCGAGGTACCTGTTGAGACACGGAAACAAGTCCTTGCCCTCCAGCAGTTTACGAGATGGACAAATGCTCCGGAACGATTAGACTACCGCGCTGCAACTGAAATTTGCAAAGCCATTGCTCGAGTCATTCCCGGCACCAAGGATACCTACGGGCCGTACTGGGAGCAAGCGGTCGAGTACTGCATTTGGCTGTGGAAGAAAGCGGCCGAAGATGCAGCGGAGGAGCGGCTGCCGCACATTTATGCTTCCCTGAAGCTGATGCAGGCACTTCACGCGACTGAAGAACCTAATGACGACCTTGCAGAAGTCCTGGCAAGTCACAGAGAGGCGGAGTCTGCAGCACTCATTGGGCTTCTTTGTATTCCCCGCGAAGCCACTGCCAGTCTACCCAGCGGGCTGGTGGATGCGCTCCTCGCACGAGCCGTGAGCAAGATCCCGGACATTAAGCTAGCGGATCTTGAGGACGTGTACGAGGCTGTTGCATCCGAATCGCGCGAGATCCAGAGGGCGGCGTTCGGCTTGCTCCATAAAGCTCTGCCTGCTGCTCAAGAGGACATCAACCTTGCGGTTGTGATGGACAAGAAAGGTACACTCCATTCCTTGGGCAGGCTAGACCGAGATGCTGATCGTTTCTAGCGGCCAATCTTCCAGACGAGCTGCTCTCCCTATTGCTTAACGCGCCGGACCCTGCCGACTACACCGACGACGACCTATCTCAGTTCCCCGTTGCCATCCGTTCCTACCTGCTTGCCTGGCATCTTGTGTTTGATGCATACAGCAAAGCTTCCTTCAGGGTTCGCAGTGACTATACTGATAACCTCAAGAGCGGGAAGCACCTTGACCCGCTGCTACACTTCCTTGCCGATGTGCTCGGCCATGCTCTCGCTCGTGCTCTTGACCTCGATAAGGAAGGGTTCACAGCAGAGCACATCCGTTCCTACAGCATCGACCTCGCCGACTCGGAACCAGCGGAGCGGGACATGAACTGGCTCTTGATCCATCTTTTTTACCTCATCCTCAAGTACATACCAGGTCTTTTCAAAATGTGGTACCTGGACTGCCCTTCCAAGCAGACCAAGAATACGATCCAGGTCTGGATGGAGAGGTTTTTCTCCCCTCTCATCATCGCAGACGCCTTGGATGAAGTCGTTGAGTGGTCGTCCAAGCAAGAGCAAGGTGACGCAGATACCCAGGAGATCGTCGTCAAGGTCAGCAAAAACTCGCGCGAGATCACGGCCGGGTATCCCGTCGACGACGACGCAGCCACCATCTCCCTGCACGTGCCAAAGTCTTACCCGCTCGAACCCGTCGACGTGGTCAGTGTAAAGAGGGTGGCCGTCAAGGAGGACAAGTGGCAGTCCTGGCTGAAGGCGACCAAAGCCGTCATTATGTTTGGGGTAAGCACCGCCCTACCCCCTTTCCCTTCCCCCTTGGATATCTGCCAGATTTCACTAACGCTAACCTTCTACCCCACGCCACAGAACTGCAGCCTCGTCGACGGGCTGATGGCCTTCCGCCGCAACATCTCGCTCGCCCTCAAGGACCAGGAGGAGTGCGCCATCTGCTACTCCATCATCGCCCAGGACAAGACGCTGCCGGACAAGAAGTGTGGCACGTGTAACCACTTCTTCCACAGGGTCTGCCTGTACAAGTGGTTCCAGAACAGCGGGCGGAATACCTGTCCGCTGTGTCGGAATGCCATTGACTATTTGGGTTCGGATACCAAGAGGCGGAGGCCGGAGCATGAGTGAAGGGTAGGGGGTGGGCTGGGAGGGTTGTGGTAGATCATGAGGCGTTCTTCATTTGGGGGTGTGGGCAGCTCATTGATCAAGCCACCTGGTAATTCCGCCTGTTGCGGATGCAGACAGGCTGTCAAAGTCCCAGCCCGGACGTGCAGTGAGACCTACTGTGGAATGACGGGATGTGAAAGGCCATTGACAGTCTGGCTATGTCTGGTTGTCCGAGTCATTCCGGATTCAAGCCTCTGGCTTGCTTTGTCAACCGATGGACAGGGACTGTGCAAGCACCTGCAACATCATCATCAGGTCTTAATTTCATGGATACCTTTTTCTCAGTCATTCCATGGCGGTGTGCAAACAAAGATGGGTGCAGTGAGTGACTGGCAGTCTCCCCGCTTCAGATTCTGTCGCTCAATGAGAGTGACAACCCAACACCGGTCGGGTTCGCCCGTCTTCCTGTCAAAGGATTGGGCCACCAGCCAACTGACTCAGGGGTCGCCCGCCTTCCTGTCAAAGGATTGGGCCACCAGCCAACTGACTCAGTGCGTCACTCCCTCCCGTCCATCCCCCTGTCAACACATGCACCTTTCCTTGCTGTTCCAGGTCAACCCACATCCGCCTGGTTACAGCGGCCTGGGCGATGCGAACAGCTTGCATACAAACGACGATCTGAGATGTCTCAAACAGGCCAGCTTCCCAGAATACGGAAAAATGCATGGGACCTGTCCCGTCGTTCATGTTCATTACCACCATCTTATCACAAATGCGAGATTCACGCTGACACGCCCTTCCATGCCACAGCCCCTACTCCTAACGACTTCATTCTTCATGGAGCTTCCACGTAGCTAGAGACTCACTCTCACAGTTCAGGTAAGGCCCATACAGCGGGTCCGGTATCGTTCTCTGTGCTGATTTGTTCCTCATGCCTAGATCTATACAAACTTGGCCATGGCGCTCACACATCGTTGCACTACACCATCACCACTTTAGAGGAGAAACTCAACCTCTCCTGCCCGGAGATGAAGGAATCTCTTGTCTTTTCGGTTCTCGACACAAACATCACTACCCATTTCGTGGTAGGAGCTCACTGGGGAGCCAACTATCACATCTTTCGCGCCAGCACCTTGGAAAAGCGCGGCAGACCCCGAGTCCGAAGGCCAAGCCCAGCCGAAGGTGGATATGGTCCTCCACCAGCTCAAGGACATGCTCATCAACCCTCCTGAATCAGCTATCTTCAAGTCCCCCTCTGCTCCTGTCTCCGCTTCTTCCCTCCCCATTCTCTTGTCTTCCCTTCACGACGTCTCACTGAAGCATACGTGAGAGAGGGCGCTCCCAGTCCCGCGAAAATAGGGAGGACAACAACATCCATTTGGGAGCGAATTTGCGTAGTGCTCCGCAACTGCATAAAGGAACCACGACGAAGATTGGGTTAATCACAGTAGGGGAAATTCGACTGACACCATACAGCATCAACTAGCAGATCCCGCTTTAGCTGCTGAAGATAGGACGCTGAACACTTGGAAAACACAACCTCCACCAAGTCGAACTGCTCAAAACAAAGTCAAGACGCAATAGGTGCCGTAGGAAAAGGGAAAGAGTAGAGCCTACAGCCGAGCCAACCTCCCTTTCCACGGCCATCAAAAACACCACTCTTGCCAGCCGGCTCAACTATTCGCAGCCTGGCCATTTCAACATGAGGCTATACGTTATGCAACGTGAAACTAGGATCCTTCGAATGATTCGAGCGAAGTGCGACTTCGTGATACATCCAACTACCAACACGCTCACCGTGTGGGGCGTTGGGGCCCAGGCGGATATTTCCTGCAGGATTCCCCTTTAAAATTGTGTCGGCCTCGGGCAGAGCCTCGTAAACTCTCGGACCTTTTGGGCTTTCAATGTCTTCCGGGTGACCCTTACAGAGCTGGGAATGATCATGGCTGACTTGAGATGAAGGCCCACAAGCGGTCCACGCTATAGACGTCGCAATGGGAGCGCGTTGCCTTCACGCAAGGAAGATATCGATCGAATCCATCGGAGGCTACGGACTCTAGCTCATATTTCTCATAATACGAAAAACGAGATATACAATACAATACAATACAATTCATTGACGCCCGGCGGAACCCGAAAGGGCAACTATTACAATCTGACTATACATATCCAAAGATATGTCCTGATCTCGCCGGAGCCCATACAAAGTTCATTCTAGTTCATGTCTTCTCTTATAGATTCCTCTGCGGATTCTCGTGGGTTAGTAGGGTTGTTAGTAGGCTGGCTTGAAGGCGATTCTCCAAGTGTTCAACGTCCTATCTTCGGCGGCTGAAGCGGTGCCTGCTGTCCGTGGCACGAGGTGAGGGGTGTGGGTTGGGTGTGTTGTGGTGGGTTGGGTGGTTTAGTCGGCCTGCGGTTGGTTCGTGTCAAGGCGCCCTGTGGCCATTGCGAACCGTATGGTTGCCCGAACGGCTGCCATGTTGGGAGTCCAGTCTTTCTTATCCGATGGCGATTTCCCTCCTAGGTAGAACGAAATGTTGCCTCTGTGGGTGTCTGTGCATTCGAGCATCTCCGTTCGGTATGCCGTCCATTTTCTGCATCGGAAGAGGAAGTGGTCTACTTTCTCTGTGGCTTGCCCGCATGCGCACTGATCTGCCGGTGCTGCTCCAATCCGATGGAGGTAACCGTTGAGTCTTGCCATGCCTGTTCTGAGCTGAGCGAGCACGCCAGCCTCCTTTCGTGACAGGTGGTCGTACAGCAGTCGGGTGTGTTTGCCTGGTAGTGCTGCGTCGACTCGCTTGGAATGAGCTCCGGCTTTGTCTGGCAGGTGATTGGTGGTGCTTCTCTTGGTCCATGCTACGTTGAGCGTTGTTGAGCGTGTCCAGGGCGTTTGCGTCTGCGGAGTGGCACCCTGTCTAGTGGCATGTTTGGCATTCTTCTTAGCGATTTCCCAAAGCTTGTCCTCTTCGCCCGCAGGGAGCCACCGTATTGTTACTGTGTTCCCGTTCCTGCGTAGTGCTGTGATTGACTCGTAGATGTGGCAGATGTGGTGTTGCCCAGACTGCTGCTAGGCTGCGGGAGCGTGAGAACGGCCGCTTCATTGCGTGTTGAGATCTCGATACGGCTATAGTGTCACGGCGATTGCGCCGCGCCTGCCAGGACCCACGGATGGGGCCCGGCGTGTGGGAAGCACGGGCCCCTGCGGGTTGAAGATCCTGCACCTCGCTGCCGCGAGTTCTGTTCGTAGCTCCTTGAGCTACGTCTTGACAATCAAGCCTGCCCGTACCTGACGGAATAGAGCCCAGACTGTAGCTTAGCCCGAATACAACTGCCATTCGACTATCAGCCTGTCCCACCCGTGACAGCTTCATCCAGACTGGCCTGCCTTGCTTCCTTAAGTGATTGGCTCGGGCGTTCCTTGCGCCCCGCATATGGTGTCACGGGCCTGGTCAGGGGTTTACGGGACAGGGCTAGGTCTGGGGAAAGATTGTGTTGTGCGATGAGGAGAGAGGAAGCTCTCGCGAGAGGAAGCTACTCGAGGCTAGATACAGCTAGTGTGGGTCCACGAACACAAGCGCACGTGGTTTAGCACGTGACCTAAGAAGGGCGGACTTGGTACCGTGACATATGGCCTTCTGGCATGCGGCCTATTGTTAGTTAATTCGTGACAGGGGGACAGAGGTTTTCAGTCTAGCTTTGCAGGCATGGTTTTCCTTTGTAATTAGTAGTAGAGGGTCCGGTGAGCCCTTGGGCATAGCGGTATAGGATATAACAATAATGATATTTCCTTAGGGCTAACGTTATAGTTAGTATTAGTCCAAGTTATCCTTATTTTCTTAACCCTCCCTTGTCCCTCCTCTTAAGGTCATACTAGCCAGTTAGCATTAGCCTTCCACGCTTACTGCATTGGGCAACAGTGCCCAGCCCCTGAATCTAGGTGCTAAGGGGCCAGCTCAGTTCAACATCAGGATTATGAGGATAGCTCTTTTTGACTGGCTGTGGTGGGGCTCTTTATGGGGACGCTGGGCAGCGAGCTGCGGCGACCTTGAGGTTGCTGCATCGGGATTGAGCGGTATTTCGCCGGTTGAACCGCCTATTATCACTTCCGCATTCACGGATTGGGCCCAGATCAATCTTGATATGTAAGCTGATGGCGCGCTATGGTAGTTACCTTGGATCGCCTTGAATAAGGGAAGCCTCTGGGCAGTACTCCGTATCAGCACGGGCGCGCCTGAGGAGAGGAGGTGAGGTGGGAACTCAATTGAGGGCGATTTTATCGTCGAGCTTGCAAACAGCGCTTGGTTCAAATTTCCGCATTCAGATCAAGAACTGCGGTTTTGCTGAGCAAGGTAATCTTGATGAATCACCTCGAGAGACGAAGTTCAGCCCAGGAGGCCCAGAGACAATGGTACAGTAAATGGCCCCCACATTGGGATGTCGCGGCGCCAAGAGCAGCTGCGATCAAGGGGCGACCGTTCCTTCGTCGTATGCTTCCAGACGCAACACATAATTCCAACTTCATCCAACAAAGTTGGATCTCAGAGCAGCTGGCCCGATGAGCACCTTCTGATTTCTTCTGCCGTTCGCTAAATATAGTATTGTTTTCTTCTTCGCTCCTTTCACCCGTCCGATTCGTGTCTATTCTCGACTTCCAATCGCTCGCACCTCCTCATCTCCTGGTCTGGATGTCCCGGACAACCCGACCTAATTCGCTCTCGCATCGACTGCACAAGACCGCACACAATGGTGTTGAACCAAGACCAGCAATACAACGCCGTGCCGCCAATACCGACCTACGATGAGGCCGTCGCGGGCGGCAGCGCCTGGCATCATGATATCGCACACTCGCCCATCGAAGTTTCTCGACCAATAACCGAAGCAGAAGCTGAAGGGCAGTCATTGTTAACAAACCCCCGACATGCCTTCGAGTCTTCCAACACCAACTCCCAACATCCCCGAGGCCGAGCCCCACGAGGTTACCGCCCCCCTACGGTCGAGACCGACGACGAGAGCAACCTGTTCAGCTCCGACGCCGACTCCGATTCCGACGACGAGCGCGAGGCAGATCAAGTGCGGCGGGAGATGCAAGAGCTGGAGATAGATGACTCGAATGCCAGCGGTCGGAGTCGATCGTCATGGGGCAAGCGCATCGGGCTGAGTCTCTCGCTACCGCAGTGGCGCTGGAAGTGGAAGTGGCGATTACCAGGCCTACCACGGCGACGAAACGGCAGCGGGAGTGGGAGCGGAGCGAACGACCAAACACCCAGCAGGACGCAAGAGGGACAGGCGCCCGAGCCCTGGCTTTTCCAACCGCCGTCCCTCCCCACATTCGGCAGCGCGGCGCTCTTCCTCCTCGTGGGGCGGGTCCTTGCCGCGGTCCTCGTGCTGGGATTCTTATACCTGCTGTTTGCGAGCGACCTGTTCAGTAATATGGCGCGGCGGATGGGCAGCCAAATGTTTGACCCCGAGAGCGTGCGCATCCACGTCCAGGGCAGCGTCGACCCGCGGAGGATACGCGATCACCTGAGACATTTCACGGCTTATGCCCATCTCGCCGGGACTGAGGGCGATTTCGCACTGATGGAGGATACGGAGATGTTGTTTCGAAAGTACGGGCTGGAGGATGTCACGCGGGACGTGTACGAGGTGTATCTGAATTATCCCAAGGCTGGCGGGAGGGCGGTGGAGATTCTCGGGGTCGATGGGAAGGCGACTTGGTCCGCAAGGTTGGAGGAGGAGGATGCCGGAGGGAGGACGACCGGACACCAGACCTATGTCTTTCATGGACATTCAAAGTCAGGAGTGGTTCAGGGCCCGCTTGTCTACGCAAACTATGGCTCGAGGGAGGATTTCCAGACGCTGAAGGACCTCGGTATCGACACGAAGGGGGCGATTGCATTAGTGAGGCATTACGGCTCGCTAGATGACATCGCGTTGAAGGTCAAGGCGGCCGAGGTGGCGGGATTTGCGGGGTGTCTCATTTATAACGATCCCGCCGATAACGGCTTCTTGAAGGGAACAACGGCGCCAGAAGGTCGGTTCATGCCCGCCGACGGCGTCCACCGAGGAACCGTGAGCTTGATGAGGTGGGTCGCCGGAGACGTCTTGACACCGGGCTGGGGCAGCAAGCCCAACATGCCGCGGATGAAGGTCGACCAGACGAAAGGACTTGTCAGGATTCCCAGTCTACCCTTGGCATATCGCGACGCTCAGATTCTGCTTCAGCATCTCAAGGGGATCGGTTCAAAGGTTCCGAAACAATGGGTTGGCGGTGTTCCTGAAATTGACGAATGGTGGACGGGGAGCAGCTTTTCGCCCATCGTTCGGTTGAAGAACGAGCAGGACGAGATCGAGAAGCAGCCGATTTGGAACGTCTACGGCAGGATTACCGGCATTGAACAGGGAGAAAAAAAGGTCATTATCGGCAATCACCGTGATTCTTGGGCGTTTGGCGCGGCTGGCCCTCACTCGGGAACAGCCGTCATGATGGAGATTATTCGGGTCCTGGGCGATCTAGTGGCCCGCGGCTGGCGACCACTTCGCACCATTGAGTTTGCGTCGTGGGATGGCAAGGAGTATAATCTGATTGGGTCCACCGAGTACGTCGAGCAGAACGACGAAGCGTTACGCCAGGATGCTCTCGCCTACATCAATCTCGACACAGCCGTGACCGGCGACACATTTCATGCCGCCGGCTCGCCAGTCTTCCGCAAGCTGCTTCTTCAAGTCCTGAATCGCGTAGCCGATCCACATTACAACACTACCCTGCGCAACCTATGGGACCGGCGAGGGGCAGACCTTGAAAGCCTTGGCGCGGACTCGGATTACGTCGGCTTCCAGGACATCGTCGGTACCTCGTCCCTCGACCTGCGCTTCGAAGGTGACAGGCACCCTTCGCACTCGAGCTACGAGAACTTCGAGTGGATGGAAACAGTAGGCGACCCGGGCTTCGTCTACCACACGCTTCTCGGCCAAATGCTGGGCCTCCTGATCCTCGAACTCGCCGACCGCCCCATTCTGCCCTTCGACATGACCAGCTACGCCGACAAGCTCACACACTGGGTCACGGATCTCGAGACGTGGGCGGCAAAACAAGCCAAGGACCAGCCGCTGTCCCTGGACACCCTCCGCAAAGCAGCCAGCGACGCGGCCGAGACACTGCGCGTGATCTCGCGCTGGGAGCTCGAGTGGGAGAAGAAAGTGCTCTCGACCAGCGGGTGGGAGTCACCCGGTCTAGGGCGGCAGAGATGCGAGTATAACACGGGCATGGCTAAGTTTGAGACGGATTTGCTTGATGAAGCCGGGGTATGTCTCCTCTTCTCCCTCATTCCCATCACCCTTGCACCGTGGGAGTGTAATCAGGTGCTAATTTTGCCTGTATGATAAGATACCCGGCCGCACGCAGTTCAAGCACGTCATCTTTGGCCCACTTCTCTGGTCCGATGACACCGAGGCTTACTTCCCCTCCATCCGGGACACGGTTTTCTCGGGCAACTGGACGCTCGCGCAGCTCACTGTGGATAGAGTCGCTGGGGTGTTGAACCAGGCGGCTGCTAATCTGGGCAAGTGACGCCGACGATTCGCTCACCTTTCCTACTCTGCCCTGGTGGTTCAAAGGGCTGCGGTGACGGTTTATAAATGTCGTCTCTTTTTTGATCCCATACTTGAAACATTGACCGGGAGAAATGTTTCACCTCTGAGGTGCGTTGTGAACAGCGAAGGACTTTCCCGTCATGCTTCTTTCTCTCTTGCATTGCACCGGCGCTCTGGGTCATCGCTTCAATTTGGATTCATCTTGTCGTTGCTCACTATAATTTCTCTTTTTTTGGATCCTGCAGGGCGTAACAGCCTTTGGGGCTGTCAGCAGAGTAGACTATTGGCAGGCTTGTCAACGCTCGATGTATTATTTACCACAGCGAATATCACCGTCTCCGGGCTCGGGGATCTTTGTCATCCCCATAAATTTTGGGCTAGAGCCCCGTCCATACCGCTCGTCTTGGCTTAAGATGCAAGGAATCCACATTGAAGGCTGCACGCACCACGCCCTAGCAGAGCGCTGGGCGTAGGGAAAGGTATAGTTATGTACATATATACAATAAATGTATATGTAGGAAACTCCATGTTTGCATAATGCTCTGGTCGTTGGGTAATCACGGGGCTGCTCCCCTCTGGTCCCGGCTAATCCTCAATCACTGATTGTAATGAGCCCTCCGTGTCGGATATCATCATGATCACCCTCGAGTGTAGCGCTCAGTTCCAGGCTCTCGCCCCTCACCCGCACTCCCCTGGCTCACTTCGGCGTCAGCACAACACCCTCGTATTCCTTGCTCCGAATCATGTCAAGCGTCTGCATAAAGTGCTTCCTACTGCCCTCGACCGACGCAGAGTCCTGCTGGTTGCCGGCCAGGTTGGAGTGGATGAGCTCGATGAGGCCGTTGAGGTATTTGGTCGTGACCTGTTTTCCCCAGATGAGTTCAGCATATCGAAAACAAGCAACATCACAGACCGAGGTCGCAAGGGAGGTAACTCACCGATTCGTTCTTTTGGTCAAAGTAATAAACATATCTGTCGAGGATCTCGACAAAGAGCTCGATGGACGTGGCCGTCTCCATGCACGAGTCTGCCACGCGCAGGGCCCGCTGGAGGCATTCGAGCACGCGCTTGCCATCGCGGTAGAGCTTTGATGAGAAAGTCAACAATACGTTCTCTCGGGGGATGTTGGGGAGGGTATTACTCACCTCCGTCTCCTCCGTCTCCCCGTTCGACACGATAGGCGTCGCCCACCACAAGTGACTGGCCAGGTACACGGCCCTGCACTGGTCCGGTTTGCGGAGCAGCTTACTCGCGTGCTGGGCGCACTTGGTGATGAGGGTATCATAGTTCTCCTTGCTAAAGTTCCGCGTCCGGTGCAGGGCGCTGGCGATGACGCAGACGGCTTGGAACTGCGCCTTGGAATCGCTGACAGCCTCTTCGTAGACCGTGAACGCCTGGGCGAAGAACTCGTACGCGACCTCCTCGAAGCCCGTCGCGTCGGCGACCTGCCCGCACGAGCAGAACAGGCGGAGAGAGAGCTCCGCAGCACCGGAGCCGTTGACGCGCGTGTACAGGGTGGAAATGGCAGAGTGAAGGAATTTTAGGAGGGCGGACGACTGCGATGACCAGTTATCGTCGTAGTGCTCGCGGGCCTTGAAGCGCCGGGCGAGTTTGAGGCCAGCGGTAATAAGTGGTGGTGTTGTGGTGCGGATGCGCTCGTTGCCTTCAGCATACGCCTTCCTCGTCATTTGTAACAGGCGAAATTGGGTATCGTTGTTGTCTGAGTGGATTAAGTGCACGAGGCGAGCCAGCCAACCCTGCTCCTCCATCGTCTCGTCGGTCTCCAAGACACGAGCTCGGGGTTGGACGACACCGGGATAGCCTGCTGGCGGCTGCGACCCTTCTTTGATGAGCACTTTGAGCACCTCGAGGACATTCTCCAGGTGCGCCGGCGTGGAGATAAGCGTCTGGTTTTTGAGCAACGTCCTGGCAACCTCCCCCGCGACGGCTCGCCGTGTGGGGTATGTTTGTGACTGGAACAGAGTGACGTAAGTCGGGAGCGACAAAGCCGTGAATATCGACACATAGCGCCGAAGGGGGCTCTGCAGCAGCGCCAGAAGGTTCTGTTGAGCCGGTTGCGAGTGCAAATCTGCGCTGTTGGCGTGTTCCCTGACCTTGCTGTGGGCGTAGTCGAGAATCTGATCCACGTAGTCCAGCCTCTCCGGGTAGATGTTGAGAGCAAGATTTGAGAGCGAGACACACAAGGCAATGGTGTCTTGGATCGGAAGATGCTGGGCCAGCACCAAATTTTGAACCTGCCCAAAGAAGATCTCGTACAGTGGCACATCCTCCGGAATTCCCCTGCGCTTCCTCGCTGGTTGCGATTCGTCTCCGTTGGCTGCCGCCGCCTCGGTTCCTACTATTAATGATGCCGGGTCGTCCTCCTTGTTAGCAGTTTCCGTGGCTGGATTGGCGTCGTTATCGGGACCGTGCCCGTTCCCGGACGCGTTGGACTCGTCTGGAGGAGCAGTAGAGTCTCGGGTAGCGCTTGCCGCACGCAGATTAACCCTCTCAAGTAGTTTCGCCAGGGCCTCCTCTTCCATTTTGCCCCTGTCCTCCTCCGATTCGTTCTGGGACTCGCGCTCGGCATAGTCGGACAGGCGGTCCATGAGGCCGATGACAATGGCCTTGACGTTAACGTGGGGATTTAGCCTTGAAACAGCGCCCAAGAACTGGTCCAGAGTGTGGAGATGGAATTCGTCTGGAAAAACCTGGGTGATGACCTCGAGCAGGTACTCCTGGGCGAGTACATCGCGGCATTGCACGACCTGCTCCAACAATGGCCCGAGAATGCCATCCTTGTATGTCTGCAGGTCCACCAGCTGGCTCAGGCGCACAATGTTGCTCCCCACCAGCAACTGAAGTTCTTTCCTCTCTTGTGTTCTCTGGTCGCGTTCCCTTGAGTGCCCCTGGTGCTGCAGTCGGACCCACAGCTTGTTCATCTCAACGAAATTTGTGAGGATAAAATTGATCGAGTCTTGAAGGTTGCCTTCTGGCCCGTCGGAGTCTCCGGTCGGGAGGTAGTCTCTCGCCTGGCCAGATAGATAATATCGCAAGAAGAGGCCACGAACTGGATGTTGGACGCCACGGCTCATGTCCATCATGTCCTTCATCAGTTCCTTGACCGGCGCGCCCTCGATGGACATGTAAGCGGTGCCGACGGTGATCATGAGATACAGGCGGGGGATAATGTTGCCCGCATACTGTACAAGCTCGTATAGGTCGGCCAGGTGATTGACGGGGTGGTTCTCGCGCAAATGAACCGAGAGGTAGCGGAGTGCGTCGAAGACAGCCATATATAGCTCGTAGTACTGTTTCGGGCCGAGACTGCTCGTCCGGAGCTCAGAGACAAGCGTGGAGCTAAAGCCAGGTCAACTTGGTGAACCCACCTCGACAGCCCCCTGCCGCGCTGGATGGCGCCCGACATCACGACGGCAGAATGGGAGACGGGGATTAAACACACCAGCATTTCAGAGCGTCCATCAGTTTCCCGGGCGTGTCCAGGCATTTGCGCATCAAGGCGGTCTGCTGGCGCACGGCAATGAGCGCATCCTCGAGGAGGCGGGCCTGGTCGTCAGGCGGCGCGGGGGTCGATGACATGGTGTTTGTGCTGCTGCTACTGCCTTGGTTGGGCTATCACTGGTAATTCGGACAATGCGAGTGTCGAGATTCACAGGAATTCTGTCATGCGCAGCGTCTTATTGGCCGTGGTGATTACGGGTGTAGTTGAGCTTAAGCGGGAATGACGACGCAGCAGTGGCACAGCTCCGTAGTGCAGTAGCAGCTTCCGCGAGAGCAGGGATCCGTTCAGCCAGGCTGTTGCTTCGACATGAGTTGGGTTGGGGCGATGGTTATGTAAGGCGGTTTTTTCGAAACTGGCCAAGGGTAAGGGTCTAAAGAGGCGTCTGCGTGTTCTCCAAGGCTCCAACGCCATCCTGCAAATTTGATCTTCGACCTTACATTGTCAACTCAGTTTGCGCTTGTCATTTCCCACATACCGAAATCTTGGAAAAAAAAAACAGAAAGAAAAAAAGATTTACCACTTCAACGAAAGAAGTTAAACTGTTGAAACGTCGTCTCTCCAATTATAGAATGACTTGCTTCCGCGGTTAGGTATGAGCCGGGCTATCGAAGAACATCCCTCGGATTACTTGAACATTGAGTGCTGAGCGAGCAGCATCCGAAATGGGAGTGCGAGCTAGAGGCGGGACGAACCAAATTCTCGGTTCTTGATTCAGTTGGGACGACACAAGTCCTCGCAGATCATGCGAGCTTTTTGCCGCTACCTATTCCGGAGAATCCTGCCCAGGCCTGAAGACCATGTGACAGGTAGATCCGCCATCTCCAAGTCAACGGTGCGCCGGTGGATGAGGTTGAGGCTAGCAGATGGTATCCGTATCACAATCAAGGTCCTCCTCGACCACATGAGTCTGTCTGCACGAATCCTCAGTTCCATTTTCATCTCCATCCTCTTCGTCTTCATTTTCACCAACACGAACAGTAAACTTGAACACCTACTTTAGCAGTAGGCGCCAACCATTTTCTCACTCTCGGGGGAGACTGCCATCGTCACTGGCTCCGGCCACGAGAATGGCATCGGCGCCGCCATCGCCATGGCCCTAGCCCGCTGTGGTGCCCACGTCGCTTTCAATCACACCTCCTCCAATTCGGCCGATCGCGCAGCCAAGGTTGCTTCCAACATTGAAGCCATGAGCGCCAAAGCCGTCGTCGTCCAGGCCGATGTCTAGACACCCGAAGGAGCAGCCAACCGCGATTTAGCAGCTCTACGAGGAGCTGAAACAAGCCTACGACGTGGTCTGTAATAGCAAGATACGATTCAGTAGTTCTCCAAGGAGCTAAGACAAGCCCGATTTATCAAGGAGAGCCTGTCATGGTTCGGAACTGAAGATTGACACTTGGGTGCATACCCTTTCCCATTCACCTTCCCCTTGAAAAAGAACTACAGTGCCAGTTTTTAGCATGACTTCATTCAGTTTGCTACCTCATGTCGCACCTATTATTCGATAGTTATTACAGCCGTTCGAATTTAATGACAATCGAAGAGGAGGCTATTTGTGACGGAAAGCGCACCCTAGACGCATCCTCTCTTCGGTGGGTCATTGGTGGGTGATCTGTGCGCCCACTTGCCTTGCCGTAGTCTTCCTTTCCATAGCTTTCGATTAGCAGAATAGAGTCGGCATTTGCAGTATCCCAGTGCCTCGCCTTAAAAGCTTCCTCGCTATAACGAAAAGCGTACCCTAGACTTACTCTCTTCAGTGAGTCAGTGGAGGAGTAGCTTATATAGTCTCTTGCTGTCACGGCGATTGCGCCGTGCCTGCCAGGACCCACGGGTGGGGCCGAGCGTGTGGGGGCCCCGCGGTTGAAGATCCTGCACCTCGCTGCCGCGAGTTCTGCCGTAGCTCCTTGAGCTACGTCTTGACAATCAAGCCTGCCTGTACCTGTCGGAATAGAGCCTAGACTATAGCTTAGCCCGAATACAATTGTCATTAGATTATCCGCCTGTCCCGCTATGACAGACCCTCTCAGAACAGAGTAGTTACCTGATTGTGATGGGCTGAGCCCATGATGGCCTCGGCAACCCTCGGCCGTGGTATCATGATAACGTCATCCTGAAGCAGGCAGTGTCTGTGTGTTCCGGAGCATATAAGAGCTGCCCTCTCTTCCTGTCATCTAGTTCTCTCTTTTCTTCTTCTTTCTCCATTCGAGGCAAACTCGTAGAGTCGTCACCAGCTAGTTGCAATATACTCCTGGGACCGTTACACTGATCACCTTTCTTGTAAGCCTTCTCTCTTTGCTTCTCCACCTATTGAGAGCGCTATATAGATCTCTCTACGAGCGTATCTCTATAGCTAGCCAGGTCCTTAGCTTCGGTGGTTCGCGGCACCACAAAGCTAAGTGTTTCACTGTTTCCCTGCCCCGGTGTGACAAATCTCGAAACCCCAACTTCTGAAAGGGACTCCTGCAGGTTTAATTTGACAACGGGGTGAGGTTCGGTGAAGCCAAAGGGTTCACAACAAGTAATGTGTCACAAATGAACCAACGAGAGTCAACAACGGCGGCTTACTTACAGAAGCCAGTGGGGAACGTAGGACGTTCCGAGCCAATCACTTAGGACCAATCGGAACGAGTCCTAGAGGTGCTCCAGAGAGCTCTCAGGAGCATGAGAGAGCACCAGTGCAAGGCCAATCAGAGGACGCTCTAAGAGGCTCTCGAGAGCACCATAGAGCATTGGCTCTAGGTGGCTCCAGAGAGCATGAGAGAGCAACCAAATGCATCTAGTATATAGTCACTCGTTCTGGAGGACTCTGGGAGTTCTCCAGTAAGCAACTCAAGTGCAAGATTGTCAGTACCCTTGGACATTGCTTGTTATGAACCCGTTGGCTTCACCGAACCTCACCCCGTTGTCAAGTATAACCTTCAGGAGTCCCTTTCAGAAGTTGGGGCTTTGAGATTCGTCACATAATGTCCAAATGTACCGACAATCTTGCACTTGAGTTGCTTACTGGAGAACTCCCAGAGTCCTCCAGAACGAGTGACTATATACTTGGTAGAGCGTTCATGATCGCCTATTATCGCAGTCTACCATTAGCTATCCTTGATCGCCTTGGGTAGCCAGCTACCCAAGTCTACCCTTGATCGCCCGGCCCCCACGGCTACCGTGTGGGCCTCGTGCAGTTCCTGCAGTTCTGTCTTGTGCCTCACTGTGCCTGTACATATGGTTGGTTCGTGACACCCGGCCGCATTCGCAGTAAGGGGTAGGTATTCGAGAGACCCTAGCCAAGAAGAGGAAGTCCTTGAGGCCTATAGCCCCAGTCAGAGCCTGGGTCAGTAGGGAGCTCTCGGCCTTTATGAGGCCCTCGTGCTTTTCTAGTGCCCTGTCCATTTTAAGCCAATGGTCGGCTAGTTGTACGGTGGGTAGGGCCTGGTTCCATCGAGTTTAATTACAAAATAAGTGACAGAAAGTACGGACTAGATTCAAGTGCTCCGGCTGACAGAGGCGAAGTGTTTAGTGAATGGAACCTGAAGGTTCAATACCTCGCGATGTACGGTTTCATACAGCTCCAAGGGGGAAGGAGCGGACCTGATTGAGGCTGATATTGGCTGTCGGATGCCGTTCCGCAACTGACCCGCTGTCCAATGAGATGAAGAAGCCGGCCCACGGTTTGTCTCCACACGTTCTCTGCGGCCACAAGACCTGGAACGACAGCAATCCAACTGCAGAAATGCTTGGCCAGCGCCTCCTTGAATCCCTTTGCCTCGTGCTTTTCATACGCATGCCTGGGCTTGGGCTTCAAACTCTTCAACATGTCTCAATGGTTGTCCCTCTCTTGTACTCGTTTCTTCATGTCTCGCATCTTTTGGGGTCGCGCATCGGCACTCTGGACGACCCTGAGCTCCACTCACACCCAACCTGGCTGGAAACGACGTTTCTTTCCTTCCTTTGTATTCCCGTGTTCCAAAATCAGGTTTCTGACGTCAAGCTTCCTCATTCACCAGCCACAAACACTCGCTCGAGAGAGGCCTGAATATGCTGTTGGCAGCTTGAACAATGTTGTGCCCGCCACGACACGATGAACGGCTGTGAAAATGGTGGAAATAGCGCGAACAGCAGCATGGGCGTATTGGATCAGGTCCCAGTTGACAAAGCTCCGGCCACTGTTCCACTCCCTGTTAGGACCGGCACGACTCAGAGAAGGCTGTCTTTCAGAGCCTCTGCGAAGCAATGGTACCAGAACATCGTTGACGGGCTCATCTTCTGGCGCAACTCGCTGCCGCCATCTAAGGACGGGCGGCACTTACCCTTGAACCCGCTTCGTGATGGGCCTCTAATCGACGAAAGGCGGGGTTTGCCTTACATCTCCAACTCGATCCGGACCTCTCGCTACACCGTCTACGACTTCTTCCCGAAGCAGCTCATCTTCCAATTCACTCGCCTGGCCAACTTTTATTTCCTATGTGTTGGCATCCCCCAGACGATCCCCGGCATCAGCACGACGGGCAACTACACCACCATCCTCCCGCTCCTGTTCTTCGTCCTGCTCACGATTGCCAAGGAGGGCTACGATGACTGGAGGAGACATCGCCTCGACAAGGTTGAAAACGCCAAGCTGGCGACTGTGCTGAGGAGCGCCACCGGCAGCCGGATAAGCAGAGGCTGGAGAGCGTGCATCAACGCCCCCTCCATGAAATCACTCGCTGTTAGCAAAGGGTGCGAGACGGGACTGGCTAACCAGTTCGGCTTGCGATGGCACACGGTCGAATGGAAGGATCTCGAAGTGGGAGACGTCATCAGACTGGCCAGAGACGAAGATGTCCCAGCCGACATCGTACTCCTGCATGCCGATGGTGAAGAGGGCTTGGCCTACATTGAAACCATGGCCCTCGATGGCGAAACGAACCTCAAGAGCAAGCAGGTGTCAACAGCCTTGAGAGGATGTGACACAATCGAAGGCATCTGCAGTTGTGGCGCCGAGTTTGTGGTCGAGGACCCCAACCCGGATTTATACCGTTTTGACGGCCGCGTCACTGTGAACGGCGAGACGCTGCCCCTGACATTGAACGAAGTTGTTTACCGGGGCTGTACCGTTCGCAACACGACGACGGTCATTGGAATGGTGATCAACACTGGGGAGGAGACCAAGATTCGGAGAAACGCCAACCGCCATCCCAGTGCCAAGAAGCCAGCACTCGAGCGCATGGCGAACTTGATCGTTATTGCTCTCGTCATCTATCTTATCGCCCTCGTTGCCGGCTGTTCAGGAGGCTACGCCATCTGGCAACATAGTTATGAGCGAGTTGCCTGGTACTTGGCGGACGTACCGGTTCCTTACTCCCACATCATCATGGGATATGCGATTCAGTTCAACAACGTCATACCGCTGGCTCTGTACGTGAGCTTGGAGATTGTCAAGATCTGCCAGATGCTTCTGCTGAATTCCGACATCGAAATGTACGACGAGGTGTCGGACACCGCGGCGAGGTGCAACACCAACACCATTCTTGAGAACCTGGGCCAGGTTGGCTACTTGTTCTCAGACAAGACCGGAACTCTGACAGAGAACGTCATGCGGTTCCGGAAGATGAGCGTGGCCGGCACGGCTTGGCTACACGATATGGACCTTGCACATGATGGCAACAAACATGCTGAGTTGTCGAAAGGAGGTGGGCTAGCAGCGTTGGATGTCGACGCCGAGCATGGTGCTGCTTCTCCCATCGACCCTGGCCCTTCAAGAGTTCTGTCACCAACCACCTCAACCGATTGCAAACCCGGGCGTCGATCGTCGTCCCAATGGCGATCAACTGGCCGACCTGAGCATGTGCAACCAGATCTCACCACCGTGGACCTGCTGAAATACATCCAACTCCGACCAAATTCGGCCTTCTCTCGACGCGCTACTCAATACATTCTTGCCATGGCACTCTGCCATACATGTCTGCCAGAGGTCAAAGACGGAAGCATTGACTTTCAAGCCGCTTCGCCTGATGAGCTTGCCCTGGTACGGGCCGCCCACGACCTCGGCTTCCTTGTCGTCCAGAGAAACAAGCAAGCCGTCACTCTCCGCATTTCCGTCGGCGACGGGCATTCAAATCGCACCTACCAGATCCTGGACGTAATTGAGTTCAGTAGCAAACGCAAGCGCATGTCTATCATCGTTCGCTGCCCAGACGGGAGGATCTGGCTCCTTGCCAAAGGCGCTGACTCCGTAATCCTGCCGCGCCTGAGGATGGCTGGCCTGGCCACCCAAACAACCAAGGAACTGCGAGAGAGTCTCGAGTTTGAGCACCAACTTGTTCGCAAGAGCGAGGCTCGCGAGCCCCGCAACAGCTTTGGCGGGAGGCCGAGCCTCACCATCCGGCGGAGCCTCGCCCTCGCGCGGCAGGGCTCAGTGGCTGCCATCGGCAGTAGCAAGCGATCAGGTCTGAACAGGAGCAACTCGTTTGAGGTTGGCCGGCTTGTCCCTCTCTCTCATATGCAGCCTCGGCCTGTTCTCAACGCCCGTACCGTTTCCCTTGATGTTTCCCGCCCAGTGTCTACTGATCGGGCAACCCCTGTAACCGTACCGAGCAAGTATGCCTTCCTAGAAGACCCCGCGCTGTTTGATGATGCCACCATCTTCAGTCGGTGTTTTCGGCAGATCGATGATTTTGCCACTGAAGGCCTGCGGACCCTTCTCTTCGCACACAGATTCCTCACCGAGCAAGAGTACAGGGCCTGGAAGAAGCTGTACCACGATGCAGAGACCAGTTTGGTGGATCGCCAGGACCGTATCGAAGCCGTGGGAGACATGCTTGAACAGTCCCTCGATCTGATCGGCGCATCGGGCATCGAAGATCAACTGCAGCCGGGCGTTGCCGAAACCATAGACCGACTGCGGCGAGCAAACATCAAGATATGGATGCTCACGGGCGACAAGCGGGAAACAGCTATCAACATAGCCCACTTGGCACGCATCTGCAGACCCGGATCCGACATATTCGTGCTCGACATTGCCAAAGGCGATCTCCAAGGACAGATCCTCACCATCATGGAGGACCTCCAACTCCAGGCCGAAACCAACACTTCCCACGTCCCGGGCCAAACGGTAATCGTCATCGACGGCCACACCCTGGCCGCCTTGGAACACCCCGAAGCCGCAACCGCAAAATCATCCTTCTATCGCCTCGTCCTCACCATCGACTCGGTAATTTGTTGCCGCGCCTCGCCCGCGCAAAAAGCCCTCCTCGTCCGCGCGGTTGGCAACGCCTCCAGCACCCATTCCCACTACCACCACTCCCTCCTCCGCCGCTCCCGCCTAACACCCTCTCCTCGCGGCCAACTGACGCTCGCCATAGGGGACGGCGCAAACGACCTGGCCATGCTCGCGGCCGCGGACGTGGGCGTGGGCATCTCGGGCCGCGAGGGCCTGCAGGCGGCGCGCGTGGCCGATTACGCCGTGGCACAGTTCCGGTTCCTCGCGCGCCTGCTGCTGGTGCATGGGAGGTGGAACTATGCGCGCACGGCGCGGTTCGTGCTGGCGACGTTTTGGAAGGAGATGTTGTTCTATCTGCCGACTACGCTGTACCAGGGCTGTGTCGGGTATACCGGCACGAGCCTGTATGAGAGCTGGAGTCTGACCGTGTTTAACACGTTGTTTACAAGTTTGTGTGTTATTGTGCCGGGCGTTTGGTAGGTTCATCATTCTGGTCCTTTCTTTCTGCCTTTGAGTGGAGTCGCATGAGGGAGATTAACTGTGGTTCTTGCTCGGTGTCGTGTTCTTGCGGAAGCCAGCTGTGGTGTGTCGAGGACAGTTGAATCGTGGCTGACATCTGTGTCCAGGGAGCAAGATCTGTCGGCCGAGACATTGCTGGCTGTGCCGGAGTTGTATGTGTTTGGACAGCGAGACGGCGGGCTGAACGTGCGCAAGTACTTCGCTTGGTAAGTGCTCCTTTTGTTGACTGTCGAGTTCTCACATCCGTTTGTGCATGCAGTCGACTCTGCAAGAAGTGTAGAAGGCTGCAACGTCTTGAGGCATGCCATTCATGACTTGCTGCGACTGGAAGGCAAAGCTCCACCGCATCAGAGCTGACATTGTGTCCAGGATGTTCGGAGCAGCAGCCGAGGGAGTTTTGGTTTGGTACTTTTGCTGGACACTGTACGGTGGGCTGAGTCCCGTCAATGATGGTGGGTTGTTTGCCCTGGGAAATTTGGTTTTCTCGGTAAACGTCGTCTGGATCAACTTGAAGCTTCTGTGAGTATGCATGCGAGGATTCCCGGAGCAAGACGACTGACTTGTCTGGCAGGCTTCTGGACACCCACTACAAGACCGACATCGTCATAGGGTCGTTCATCATCACTGTCGGCGGCTGGTGGGTGTGGCAGGCTTTTCTGGCCGGCGTGTATGCGCCAGGCGTGTGGCCGTATGCTGTGAAAGGGGGCTTCTTCTCGTCCTTTGGGCCCGATCCTGCCTGGTGGATAGCGCTGATCGGTGCACTTGGCCTCCTGACCTGCATTGAATTGGCGTACACATCGGCCAAGCGGAGCTTGATTGTGGCCGGTCTCTGGAAGTTCGGCCGGAAGTGGCTCAAATGGTCGACATGGAAGAAGGCTTTTTGGTCGACTTCTAGCACTGGTGGCAACCTATGGACCGCGGAAGGAACCAAAGGAAGTCTGGAGGAATGGGATGTGGAGTTGTGGCAGGTTATGGAGCAGGATCCTTCCATTCGTGACACCTTGCGCAAGATGAGCAGGTTTGAACATGAGGAAGGAGGAGACCTGGGGTGCGATGGATTTGAGGGCATCAGTCGTGTTTGAGAGGTTTGGAATAAGGGCGTATGTGTTTTCGCGTGTATTTGGCGTCTGAGATATCCTGAATATGGCGGTTCAATCCAACAGAGTATTTGGAAGTAGGCAACCTTTGACTAATTGAATGAATGATTCCGGCGCCGGTGTTGGCAACACTGGTCGAAACCGCACTCGACTCCATCGGGTATGGTGTAGCGGTAACATCGTTGACTCTCACTGCTAAGCAGTGACTGTTCTCTCAACAGCCCCGGGTTCGACTCCCGGTATCCGAGTCTCAACTTTTGCGTCTCACATAATTTTGTCGAAAATGTGGCTTTTACTTGCAGCTTCTATTTGTTGTTTAATCAACTTCTTTTGCCTCTTGAAGGTTCAATTCTTTAAGTTATCGAGGTGCCTGCCAGTGGTGAATCCCGTGCCGCAATCCATGGACCTTGTTGGAACGGATACTTCGGCTGTCAATATATAGCTCCACTGAGCTTCTTCTCGATCATTCTTACAATTAACTCAGCCTGCCAGATTGATTAATCCAAATTCTCCTTCTTCACCTTGAAAGTCCAGAGTTAGACACCGATAACTTCCCGGCGGCTCGGACTAGGATTGTCGGGGAAGAGCGAGGGATATTTCAGGCACCGGTTTTTAACTGAGTGTTCATTGGCTTCCAGTCCGGCCTTGCAATGCGGCCACTCGCAGACAACCATGAAGCAAACCTGGAAGGATGCGGCATGCCATACATCATTTTTGAGTTCGTCGCCTCCCCGGAAACCCAAGATGGTTTGAAACCGTTTGATTGCCAGCAACTGACAGTCTACGGATACTACCTAATTAAAGATCAACCCGATCAACACAGATCATGATCCTATCGACTGACATACGCGCCTGTCTGGATCCCTAGACACAACAACGGCGTTTATGGCCAAGTCCTCTGGTGCAAATGGTCGACTCATTTACTGACAATAATCATTTGATAACCCTCATAGCCCATCGAGACAATTGTCCGAGCCAGCTGATGAAAGTACGTACCTTGTGTAGCTACCTGGTCCTGATGTTTCAATGTCTCGGCCCCTGTACCCCGTAAATCTCTTGGGTCCGAACATTCCATCACCAGCACGGCCAGGAGGTTAGAGAAAGCAGGTCGGTTTGTCGGACTTTTCCTGATATCGCCTAGATTCCGGAATTGGCTCGGTGCCTGCAGAGAGGCTCAGATCGCAGCAAGGGGATGGACACATGCCCCTTGTTGTGGCACCCAATGGGGCCAACAGCACAGCGTCGTATGCGGGAGGGTAAGTCATATAGCGTATATAAACGGGTCCGGCCAGGCCTCATCGTGTTGTTGATCACTGCATTACCCCTGCTCATTCTCTTCGAAGTTCTCATGACAACCCGCCATCGTTTTCATCATGGTCGTGCTCAACACTTTGATGCTGGGTATGGATATCCCTCCCCGAACATCCACTTCTTCCCTCTCTCGGGCAACGTCCCACAGCAGCACAAACTGACAAGCCTTGAACCAGCTCTTGCGGTCCCATTGACCGCCCAACCCGTCTCAGCGCACCCCTCCACCACCCTCCTCACCTCCCGCGCCCCGCTCGGCAACGGCGTGGCCCTCCGAATCATGCCCCTCGGCGCCTCCATAACCTACGGCACGGCGTCGTCTGACGGCAGCGGCTACCGCGCGGCCCTGCGCGCCCACATCGTCTCGGCGGCGACCGGAAACAAGGTCAACATGGTCGGGTCCCGGCAGTCCAGCACCATGGCCGACAACGACGTCGAGGGCTGGCCCGGCCTGCGCGTCGAGCAGGTCCGCAAAAAGGCGCGGGCTTCGGTGCCGCAGTGGAAGCCGAATGTCGTGCTCGTTAACGCCGGGACGAATGACGCGCTACAGGGGTGGAACGTCAGCTCCGCGGGGGAGCGGATGGAGGAGATGGTTAGGGGCGTGTGGGAGGACAGTCCGCGGGCGGTGGTGGTGCTGAGTACGTTGGTTGTGAATCAGCAGGCCTCGGTGGAGCAGAATGTCGAGGTGATCAATCGGCAGTACAGGAAGCTGGCGGCGCGGTTGAGGGGGGAGGAGGGCAGGCGGATTGTGTTGGCCGAGATGCATGGCGAGAAGGGGCCCGTCTTGGAGGATCTCGCGGATGGGATACACCCGACCGACCATGGGTATCGGATCATGGCTGAGTTGTGGTTTGCGGCGTTGGTCGAGGCCAGTCAAGCCGGCTTGTTGCAGGCGCCGGAGCCGGTGGAGGGTGTGCCGGACGATGGGGCTGCATAACCATTGATATTTCCTACCGTCATCCCAAGCCTGTATGACTCGGATGGGTCCTTACCCCAAGAACCCACTCCATGGGGTAAGTTCAACCCAGTAGATATCTAGATAGCCGAAATGCTCCCTTTCAACGCAGCCTGTTGAAGCTGTCGACCTGGTAGCGCTGCCTGGCTCTCGGCCGGAAGCGTGATTCAAGAAACAAATCCAGCCATATCCTCCATCCATCCCAACCATCAGCAATTACCCAATACAATATAGTAGGGAGCGTCGGGTATCAATATGCAGCTCGTCCCGACCCATGTGCGCCAATCTCCTCCTTCCCAGCTTCCATGAAAGAGAAAGAGGACAAAGGAAAAAGATAAAAAAGAGCTTCATCCGGTATCCATCGAGCCTGGCGCCTCCATCATACAGGTCGTCACACAATTCTCACCGAATTATCCGACACATCACTCTCAGAGCTCGATTGCCTATCCCTAGCCCAGTCAGCATGCTGCGAATCAATCCACACTTGTAACAAGCGAAAAGCAAACACGTGGGCAACCCCGAAAGCGACCAGGGCAGAAAATACTCACGAGAGATAACTCCACCTCCTCCCAATGACACCCTCCCTTAACAACCCCCCACCCTTCAAGCTCCCCTCCTCCCTTTCCTGCCCCCTTTCCCTCTCCACCTGCCCGGGCGACGCAGCTTGTTCAGCCCGAAGCAAAACGTCTTCCCACTCCCCCCCGCCGGCCCTCCACACCCGCCACCGCGCCTCTTCCAGCATGCTCGGCACGCGCAGGTCCGACACGGCCGGGTCGTCCCGCCAGAAGAGGTAGAGGGCGCCAAACTGGTCGTAGACGGCCTGGAGGCTGGGGAGGGCACAACAGCAGCAGCAACTACTGTCGGTTGTTATTGTTGTTGTTGTCGTTGATAAGAGGGAGAGCACGGGGCGAAGAGATGTACAAGTGCCGCAGCGCCAGGTGGTGGGGAGGCGGAGGGCGGTTGGGGAGGTGTATTCCTCGGGTAGGTATGTGTTGAAAGGCCGGGGAATTGAGGTTGGCGGGAGGGGAGATGAGCGAGGGTATGCTTTGATGGCTGTGGTGAGGTCCGAATCGTCCATCTTGGCGGTGGTGTTCGGAGTGTTGATTGTCCGTGAAGGTGCCGCTTTGGTTGGGAAGATGGGAACTGGAACGAAAATGAGATCTGGAGATGGAATTTCTTGCCAGATGAAAAAGATCAGAATTGGGACATCGGGAACGGGTCCCGAGTGAAGTAAGCAGCGTCTGGAGGTTGCTCGGATGGCGGATCCCGGGCCAGGACGATGCACCGTCCGACCGTCGTTCTGCAGGATGAGCACGTTGCTGGGGTATCCTTATAAGGCAACTAGGAATGCCATGACATGCACTGTGACACTGTCAGCAGGACCGGACTTCGAACCGTCGGATTTTGCCCAATCCAGAGGTGGTGTTGTACTGTACAGCTTCGAAAGTAACTCCGAAGCAACATGCCAACAAAAATAGAAAGTAGCCATTCTGCACGATGGCTGAACTGCGGATGTCCCCAGTTTCCCCGGAATGGGGGATCCCTCGCTGCGATGAATCCTCCCTGGCATTGTGGCCCCGAGTGAGTCGCACGCTCCACCACTCAATCGGAGGTTCTGGAATCAGCGAGCTTCCTTGCCGCTGTAAATCCATGACACCGGTAAGTTGAACTGGTGTAGCGCAATCCATGTTCACTTCCGTTATTGATCTGCCCGAGATTCGAAGAAGTGACGCAAGATTGTGTTTGCTTCTTCTGGGTAGAGCGCGAATGAACAGGTCATCATTTCTCAGGTCAAAGCGTCACTGTCGAGCTGTTCCAAACCTGCCGATGGCCCCGCCCGGAATGTGCTCGTCGCGGAGACCCACAACCGGAAACCATCACGCGGCCGGCTCAGGTTATCGGGGTGGACTCGGAGCGGCAGGTGGACCCCGGCGGTCGGCACATCGGCAAGCCAAGAAACACGACGGTGCCAGCGGTGATGCTTGAGTGGCGCCCGCCAGGTGTGCAGGCTTGGAGCGGTACCTCAGCATGCTGCCTGACTGCGGGATGCGTTACTCCCTCCCAGACTTGAACTTATCTGGCGTTATGTTGTTCGTGGTGGGTCTGTGGCCCAAGGTAGCAGCCAACTGAATTCCATCGCTTTACAATACTTCACAGAGAGTTGAGAGTGCAGGTGGTTGTGTTGAGAGTTGGACTCCCGCCTCCCTCCGAGTCCTCTCAAACATCCGACACATCTGGAGCTCATACCAAAGGCACTTCCCCTCCACTTTGCTCAGTACACCCAGAACATGAAGATGCACGTGGTCAACCCAAAAAAAAACAGCATGAGATCTGGAAACATGCCCACCGTCCCGTCACTGCCTTACTAGTGTTTCGTGTATCTCTCTATTCTCTTGGGCCCTCCACTTGGTGAAGAGGCATGGTACTGAAGCGATCCTGGGGAAGATATTCCTCGGTCATGTCACCGATCTGGGGCGAACCAATACAAGGTGCTGTTGAAAACCAGACTTTTCCTCTGTTCGCTCTTGTGACTGGCAGACACCTCAACCCTCGTCTTGCGCCAAAGACATCCCAGCCGTGGTTGCCCACCAGGACCTATCGGACCTCACTCTGTTATTATACACGTCGGGTATCAGAAAAGAACATGCAAACCATCCTAAACCCCCAAGACCATACACTAAATACACCAAGCCCTTGTGTCAACTCAAGCGTGCCGGGGAGCTATCACTCTTCATAATCCTCTCCCCCGTGATTATCGCCAAACGGATCAAACTCCCCCTCGCCAAACACCTCATCCTGAAAGCCTTCTCCACCGCCGAAGCCGTTCTCCTCTTCTTCCTCGTCGTCCTCCTCCTCCTCGGGAGGGGCCAGCGCCTGGAGGGCCCTCTCCCGGGCCGTCAAAGCCGCCGTCGCCGCGCTGGTCGAGGGCGACGGTGTTTGGGCATTGTTGGTACCCTCTCCCGAGCCGTCGCTGCCGGCGTCGCTCCCAGCGCTACTGGGCACGGCGCTGCGGCTGCCGATCGAGCTGGCGCCGCCGTAGGTGCTGCCGGGGCCTCGCTTGGAGAAGTCGAAGAGATTGCCCATGCGGGAGTAGTCGAGCTTCGTGCTGATCGCCCGCGCCCGCAGCATGTTCTCTGCAGCCTCGGCGGCTGACCCGGCCGGGGTTACCTGACCTTCGCCGATGCGCGGCTTCTTGGCCCGGCTGCGCTTTGGCTTGGGCGGGTTCTTCTGCGACACCTTGGCCTCGAAAATCTTTTGCTGCACCTTGCGCATGTAGTCCTTGTTGTGGTTGGCCCAGATCATCTCCTTGAGCTGCACGTCCTTCTCCGGTAGCTTGCAGAACATGACCTCAGGGTCGTCCTTGAACTCGTCTTCGTGGACGATGGGGTCGTCTGAGACCTTGGACACGGGAGTAAACCAGGGATTGGGTTGGCTAGGGCCGAGCTGAGTGGTACTGTTACCACCTGTGCTGTCGGCGGGGGATTCATTATCCGGAGCATGAGGCGAGTGGTTCGCTCGAGCAGCCGCCTCCTGCGCTCGTCGCTGTTCGATGTCCCTCGTGACAACGGCGGAAGCGCCAATCATGGCGGGGTCATTGAGGTGGCCCTGCATTTCTTGCTCGAGGTTGTTTTCGTCCAGCTCCCACTCCTCGTCAATCCGCAACACCGGCTTGTACCTTTTTTTGTTGCCTGTCTGGTCGCCGTTGTTCTGGGTCTGATCGTTCACTTCAGCCGGAGGGACGGCGTCCCTTGGCTTGATCCTCATATTTTCCATGCCCGGGACGTGAATGCCCTGCGCCGCGGCCATGGCCATTTCGCTGTTTGGGTCAACTTCCTCCTCCGATTCCTGGTCGTCAGAGTCGCCAAACTCGCCAGCCAAGTCCTCGAGCTGACCGTCAACGTCGGCTGTCGCAGCATTCGCAATGTGGAGATCCTCCTGGGTGGGCTTGTTGTAAGGGACAGCAAAACCATCCTTATCAACATTGGACCTGGGCAGGTCTGCTGTCTGGGACTCCGAACGCGCACTGGATCCGGATTCTGTGGAAGCGCTCTCGGCCAAGAGCGATGGATCGATGGGAACCACGTTTGCCTGCGGCTCGCTGGCTGTTGTCCTCTGCCGTTTTGCGGGGCTCTGTTGCTCCGAGAGGTTGCTGGCTTGGCTGGTGTCTTGGGTGACGGCTGCAACCTTCCGCTTCCGGGCCTTCTTCGGGTGCTTCTCCTGCCATTCTTTCGTCTGCTTGTAGACGAACGGCGGGTCGTGGGACGCCTCCGGGAGGGCTTTGGCCTCGTGAAAGTCGCGAATCGTCATCTGTGCCGAGGGAACATTGGCAAACTCCTCCATGCGCTCCTGAAGAGTTGCCATAGTGACCTTGGCGATATAGACGACCTCTCGAACGGTGCGGCGGTAGTTATGCGCTCGGGCGGCCATGATCAGAGCGGCGCCGCAAATACCAGCAGGCCGACGACCATGAGTGATGTTGTCGTGACGCATGCGCTGCGCGATCCGGATCGCTGACAGGGCCACTTTGTTGGTGTCGTGGAGGAACTCGAGCTTGGTGGCGAATCGAAAGATGAGGTCCTCGATGATGATGGGCTTGGTGCCCTCCTTCAACTCGGGTGTCGCATTGAGCAGGTCTTTGTAGCAGCGGCCCAGCAGGAACACATCTGTCTTAATTATGTCGGCCAGATCGATCAACATGACCTTGTTGTTGTCCTCCTTCCGGCACATGGCATAGAGGCAAACGGCAGCCACCGTGTTCTTGCGGCGACCCTGAATGAAGTTGCTAGTGGACGCGACCCTGTAGGTTTGGAAGGCTTTCTCGGCCACGAAGGGTGAGATATGCAGCTGGTGGGCGAACTGGTTCATGAGCTGCTTAGCCTCCCTGAGACTCCGTTCGCGTGCCTCGCTTGCGCCAGCACCGGCAACGCGGCGGAAAGACGGACCGGTCGCGGTAGGGCGGATGCCGCCTTGATCGGCCGCTAGATAGCTTCCATGCACAACGGCGGCACCGTTTGCGCTCTCACCGAAGGTGACCTCGGCGACGATGTTGCTCTCCCAAACGACGCGACCGCAGTTCTGGCAGGCTCCGTCCCGGACGTCCGACTTGTCACAATGGGGATTCTTGCACACGGGGCGGTTGGATGTTGCTGCAGGGGCAGGCGTGGTCGTGGCCGGAGACGGGGGCACAGACTTCTCCCGTTTACGCTCCTCGCGATCCATAATACGACGGATGGCGTTCAGCTTTTTAGTCCTGGTCTTGCCAGCGCCTCCGCCGGCCCTGATGGTGGGCACAGACGACATGATGGCGTAATGATGGTCGGGGGGGAAGAATATCGTGGTCTTCGTCGCCCTCAACAACGGTCCATGTAAGCCGTTACGATCTGAGGGATGAGGGGTGCTGGGTGATGCTGAAGCTTTGCTGGAGCGATGGGCGATGGAGATGAGCTCGTCCCCAACCGAAGTCGAACGAGTCCGCTCCGCTGGAGCTCGTCCAGGTCGATGTGGCTATTCTTGGTGATCTCTCTGACAATCACCGTCTCCTGGGAAGCAATCCCCTTGATGCAAAAAGGGGTGTAATGCGATTGGTGAGCTTAAGCCAAGAGCTAGACTCTGGCGTCCGTGAGAATCGTCCGTCGCTGGCTAGTGGAGCTAGCTTTTGAAAGAATCGCAGATGGCCAAGCGGGGTGTATGGGAACAACAAGAAAACCTTGCAGAGCTCAGACCAGGTTGGCTGAGTCAGCATAGCAAGGGTTGGAGAGCAAAGGTTCGACTCATTGTCGAGTCCAATTTTTTCGCAGATCTTCAATTTACCCCGCACCAACCAACAAGAACGTCACCCAAACAAACTTAACTAAGGTACAGAACAATGAGACCACCATGGAAACATAAACGGCCAAGAACAGAAAGTGTCACCAATTCACCCGATCATTATCCGCTGAGCCGAAGGAAACCTAACTGAACTGGGTGTTCACCGGCAAAAGCGCGGACGTCGGGCCGTTTTAATAGAATAATTGGTCACCCGCTTCTTTGTCCCCTTTCCGATGCTGGACTTGGCACAACGGCGGGGATGCTGGCGGAGTTGCCGAAAATGGCAGCATCATGGAAACGCCGTCTCGTACGGATACCACGTAGCTTCTGTGCGACATTCATGGACTGCGAAACGTTTCTCGTATTCTGGATGGCGTGGTAGACTTGGGAAGATATAAGAAGGGACAATTCTCGCTTCCTTCTTCTCCTGATTGTACTCCAGATACACACAGCTTCCCTGCCAACATAACAAACACCGCCATGGCTCCCACCGACACCTTCACCATCACTGCCGCTCCGGGTACCGACATCTGGCGTAAGCCGCCCACGACTGACGTCGTACGTCAACCCCGCGATCTTTTTGTTGTCCCTCTGCGACGTCTCAGGAGTTACAAGAGTCGCCTTGTCCGCAAAGCGGCGCTTTCGCTCCCTAGTTACTCCCGGGTCACGGTTATCTATTAAGAATGACTTACTGACCATTGTTGGACAGTTCAACGGTAAGGACCACTAGAAGAAGCCTTCCTTACCTCCACCCTTTTCTCCCCAACTCCAACCCCCCTGTTCCAAACATCACCACCACTCTCAAAGCCCACACAATAATACTAACGCCCCCATCCCAGCCCCAACAGCCCTCCCCCCGGCCGGGCCCACGCCGCTCCGCACCTCCGGTCCCCTCGCCTCCTTCCGGTCCGCGCGCCTCTCCTTCAACTTCACCCCCGAAGAGCAATACGACCAAGGCGGCATCCTCCTCAGCTTCCGCCGCAGCACCGACACGAGCAACAACAATACCCCGCCAAAGTGGATCAAGTCCGGCATCGAATACTATAACTCGCTCCCGCGGCTGTCGACCGTCGCATGCGACAGCTGGGCCGACTGGTCCGTCGCCCCGCACCACCGGGACGGCGGCAAGGGCCAGCCCACGGGCTGGACGACGATCCAAGTCGAGAAGGACAAGGACGGCAACGGTACGGGGCTGTGGGTGTATGCCGTGGTGGAGGAGACCGGGGAGAAGATCCCTCTGCGCGAGATCTGCTGGGTGTTCGGGTTGGACCGGCTGGAGGAGTGGACTGTGGAGGTGCACGCCATGGCTGCGAGGCCTGGCCGCGAGAGGGGCGTGGAGGAGGGCTTGGTCGTGGAGTTTGCTGGGTTGGAGGTCAAGTGGGCTGAGTGAGCCATTGAGTTGTCAAGTTCAGTCACTTTGTTGCAAATGGCACGGCAACTGGAGAGGGTAACAAGTAGGGACAGTGATGAGGTGGCCGAATTTATTTATTCTTCCCATTACCTAGCCCCTCAAGTGGGCGGCGTAGAGCCTGGCGGAATCGGTGGCCTGAACAAGCCTTCCCCTCTAGGGGGCAAGTGTGCAGGACCCAGGCCAATCCGACGATATGAAGCCCGAGTTTGGTTCTTCAAGAAAGCTCAAAGTCGTCATCATCAGTCGTTACAAACGAGTGACCGCTCTGCTCTGCGCAGCCGAGATATTGCAAGCAACCATGCAGGCGATTTTGTTCAGAAGGCCCGGTTGCAAAACCCCCCTTTGCCTTCTTTCCAACCATGATCATCCGGATTGTTGAAGTTGTGTTCCACAAAAGAAACGATGTGCGGCCATGCGCGCTTGAGTGGTGTCGATGGCAGCGAAGGAATGACGAGCTGTGTTTGTCCCACTTCCTGTGCTTCCTTCGCTGCCGACCTTGTTCAGTCTGAGTGGTGTGTCCGTGGTTCCGACCCCAGCCTTGTATGTTTCCGAACTCCAAGAAAAGACAGAAAAGCCGAGATGTCATCGCCCGTGCCGTCCAAAACAAAATCCCGCTTAACCAGACAGAGCAAGAAAAAGAACACAAAATCCATGGTTGATGAAGGATGGATGTTGACGTGCGGTGAGCTAAAACGACGTGTGGTATAGTGTCGGTGTTGGACGTCGAGTTCGGGGGAAATATTCCTCCTCCTGCTTGCAATTCCCTTCCCACCGTTGTCTTGTAGCTTTCTGTGAACCGTTCGACCAGCGACGATACCAACCAGTCTGACGCAATTAGAAAAGCAAAGACGCCAGAGTTCCGTGAAATCCCAAGCAGCCTGGTGTCCCAATGTATCGCAAACAGAGAACCAAGTAAGAAGCTGAGGCCGCAGAGGGGCAGCAAGCTGCGCGTGTCTTCCTGCGCACACTCACATCATGTGTCGGCATTAAGCCCCTCTTGCTCCACAATCTCGTACCCAAAATTGGTCGGCCAACCTCTGAGAAGTGAAGATGTTTTCAGGTGAATGAAAAATCTCCCAAATGGTGTTCCAATCTGTCGCAAGATGTGAGAGCTTTGACGAGAAAAGACCCAAACGCCGGATGTTGAGGAGCAGAGAACGACACTACCCCTGTGACCCTGTCCCCTGCCGGTGAGTAATCCCGGTTCACGCCTGAAAAACGCCAGAAACCTGTTCGTCACGCATCACTGTGCAATGAGCCCAGCCCTTTCAGATCGTCTTTGGGGTCCGCGAGTTGCTCGCCTCAATGACGTCGTCGAGGTGGTTGCACATGGCAACGAACAGGTCGAAGAAGAGCTTCCCGCTTCCTTCGCCGTACACGTCGCTGCCGCACTTCTCCATCTCGGCCTGCATGGTGCCGCTGCGCTTGAAGGTCTTGCGGCACCGGATGATGAGCGCCAGGTAATGGGCGCGCAGGCGGCTGTCTGAGTCGGGCGTGTGGGCGTAACAGTACTGCGCGCTGCGGAGGATGGTGCCGACGTCGATGCCGGACTGCAGTCCTTGCTTCCGCAGCGCCAGCCTCTTGAGCTCGTCCAGTCCGTAGCGCTCTGCGGCGCAGTAGATGACTGTGTCGCGGAGCAGGTGCTGGCCGACGCTCGAGAGGAACACGGTTGCCTCTACAGCCGAAGGGGTCTGAGGGGTTTGCCCTGCGCGGCCACCTGCGAATTTTGGTGATTCGTGAATCGTCGGGGAGGTTTGCGGCGTGGCCCGACGGGGGAGCGAATCCTCGAGTTCCCACGAGTTGCGCTGCTTGTTGTGCTGCAGGCGCGGGTAGTAGTCGCCCTTGTAGAGATACTCGAGGATAGCGCTGAAAACCTCCGGTTCCTCGTCCGGGAGAGAGATCCTCCTGTTCTGCGCATCGACGAGCGTGCTGTGGAGGACCTTGTCGAAGAAAGGCGCCTGGCACAGCACGTTCTCGTGCGCTGCAAACAGCCGCGCCTCATTGCCTATCACCAAGGTGATGATGGGTGAAGGGGCGAGGGACTTGTCACCGAGCCTCGCCTGCTCGGACTGCATGCGCGAGGTGTCTTCGCCCCTGAGCGACCGCTGCAATTTCGACACTTTCTGTGGATCTCGCGTGGCACCCTTCCTCGTCAGCCTCACAGACTTGTCCACTCGATGTTGCGAATCCATCGTCGTCGAAGCAGTCTCCCGCTGGGAGGTGCCGGCGTCGCGGCTTCGGAATGAGCGCTTGAACATGGTGGTGGCAGTCTGCGGATTGTTGCCGGCGTGATTCAGCCGTAGCGTGACGAGGGTCTCTTCGTACAGATGCCTGAGGCGCGCGAGATAGTAGGAATGGCAGCAAAAGGCAAAAGACTGTCACTACCGGTCCAGCTAATAAGAGAGCGACGACAAGAAGGACTCGAGGAAAAGGAGTGAGAAAGAGAGATGCACAAAAACGATTGACGGGGTCCGGGCGGGGTTATCCCAGAGAGAGGCTCCTGAGATAACTCCTGCAACAGCTTTGCGACCCTTGGTTGTGTGATGGGGGGAGGGGGAGAAAAGAAGGAAGATGTCAAGAAGTGTGGGGTTGGAGGCCTATTTAACATGGAATCCTCACATGGTGGTGGTGGGGGACAACGCAAGGGTGTGCGTTTGGAAACGTTCGGAGATCGACAAGAACCAGCAGGGCTGGGATTGCGCATACATCGTCAGCAGGTTGCCTTCAGCCTTGGTGCACACTCATTGGGTGATCCTGTTGCGCAAGCGGCTTGCAACTTGGCTTGCCGCCCAGGAATTGGGTTGGCGTCAGCTCAGTTGCTCTCGTCACCGCTGTCGTTTGCTTCAACGCCTCACTCGACCGTGAATTGTCGTACACAACAGCCGGGTCCCATGGCGGGATGGCGGGGTCCGAGAACAGGCTGTTGCAAGACTGTTTCGGTTGGAGCAGATTGGTACATAGACCACGACTTCCTCACAAGCTCTCGTGCACTGACTGTCTCCCCATGATTTTACTGTAATGTGATTGAACGACACTTCTATTCTTGATTTTGTAAGGTTTCATGTTCATGCCTAGTTGTTTCTACGTTTTCAATCCTAAAAGAGGAAAGAAGAGAGAGGGTAATCAATACCAATTAAGGAGTTATATAATATATTCCTAACCCTGTTTTTACCCTGCCTAACACATCCTTACCAGCAGTATGTTTCTACCTGAACAGCCTGTTTTCGGAACGGCCTTGCACATCATATTGCGAAGACAGTTTGTTATAGCATTTTCAGAGCGTTCCTGTTCAGTGGATGTTACACTCAAGGTGCAGTTTTGACAGCGTTTTCGCTAACACTCCGCTGCGCCTTGGCAAGGCTTGCCGCAACCCTGTTCTTAGGACCCTCCACTATAGTCGGGCATCAGCCTGCCACTGCCATCAGGGCATCAAATAGGCTGCCCCCGCTCCACCCCCTTGGGCAGTTTCCAGAACGAAGCCTAGCTGCCGTGGGAGCGCTCAGATTGCTGGGTCGGTCGTCGATCCTTCGGCTCCTCCCTCGACACCGGGATTGGTTAAACACCAGTTGCCAACGCAACGAATTGTCATTTCGAATATCGTCCTGTCGGTGCATTGCGAAGCGCTTTGCCTCACGTGAGGCACATGAACAATAGCTGTCCACTGAAAAGACGGCGTACGATGGATGCCGATGAGCACAGCCTCAGTAAGGGGGCAGAGGGATCCGAGACATGCGTTGAAGACTTGAATGGTGACCTATGGTCGGGTAATTTCGAGTTTCGGTGTCTAAGGGTGTCTGAAAAGCCCGTCATGGTATTGCCGTTTGCTGCCCAACCGAGGTAGCCTCCCAGCAGCGACATTGGATAGAGAGACACTTGCATTTTTATGTGTGACGGCGTTGAGGAACATGCCGAGAGATGCTGCCATACATCTTAAGATGAGGCCAGCCGATAGTATTTGTGGGAAGTGCCATGTGTTGGCCGTGGAAAGACAGCTCCCCGTCCTGACGGATTCGGAAGACAGAGCATCGAGACCGGACGAGACATCCACTATTCCACTCTGCGATCAAACGTGTACCTAGTTGTGTGTCTCAGGTGAATCTGATGCACTTTCAGCCTACACGTACCAGAGCTTGCTGAGTGAGGGCCCTGGTGAATAGCAAGGCTCGCTAGTCGGCGCAGCCCACTTTATACCCCGCCCAATCGGCTTCCATCAATTCAACACCGTGGTCACTGCGGCCGAACAAGGGAAGCTGCCACGAGCAGCAGCACTTTGAATTGTCAACAGCAGTTATTGGTGGCTGCAACAAACTCAAATAACGAGACCAACCACGCGGAGTGTTCTTGAAGCTCTAGACAATCTCCAAGATGTTGTCCAGCTTACAAAACCCGCGGCAGGTTGCTGCACAGTTAATGAATTTCGGGCTGATCCTGTCGACGGCCTTCATGGTGGGTTCTCGTCCAGGTCTTCGGCACCAGCGCCGGTGTTGGTTTCCCGGCCTTCTGTCGCTAACTCGGTTATCGCAGATGTGGAAGGGTCTTTCAATCATGACGGACTCGCCCTCGCCGATCGTCGTCGTCCTCTCCGGCAGCATGGAGCCCGCCTTCCAGCGCGGTGACCTCCTCATGCTATGGAACCGCAACCTCTTCTCCGAGACCAACGTGGGCGAGATCGTCGTATACAATGTGAAGGGCAAGGATATTCCCATCGTCCACCGGGTGGTGAGGAAGTTCGGGGCAGGGTGTGTCTCCCTGATCCAGGCTTTTGGCCGGGCTGTTCGGATTGAGGCTGACGGGAAGTTCCAGGCCAGATGCGAAGCTGCTTACCAAGGGCGACAACAACGCTGCCGACGACACGGAACTATATGCCCGCGGCCAGGATTATCTGAACAGGAAAGACATTGTCGGGTAAGGCGGATCTGTCCAGCCTAGCGCGTGCCAACCTGGGAACTTGGATTGACAGCTGACATTGACGAACAGAAGCGTGGTCGGGTACATGCCCTTCGTGGGATACGTGACCATCATGCTGTCGGAACACCCGTGGCTGAAGACGGTGATGTTGGGGATAATGGGCCTGGTAGTTGTTTTGCAGCGCGAGTAGCACTACCTTACCCAAATCATATCCACTGCCACACATGATCAGCTTCAACCCATCCTCCGGCGCTCCGTATGTGCCTGCTCGGTTTGATCAGCTCACGCGCCGAGTTTCTCTCTGCTTCTCCTTTATTTTCCCACTCCTCTTGGGCGCATGCATTACACGTGACGGTCGGTTCATTACGTGTTTGCATGGTCGACTGCGCGGGACTTGTGCGTGGCACAGGTGCCCTTGGCGCCTTTCTGAAGCCTCATTTTAGCTCTTATCCATCCACTCTGGTCAGTCAACCCAATCTCCTGTCAGGTCGTAGCCAGATTGCAAAAGACGACACGAAGCAACGTTGCCACCTTTTGAACAACTTAGTCATCCGTCCTAGAATTCTTGAGCTCTTGCTTCCACGAATTCACGGAACACCAGGCAGCTCGGGCCCAATACCTTGGGCTTGGCAAACGCCTTTCCCGCTTTGTCTCCATCACCAGTCCTTGCCAAGACCCGCTAAGTAGGCAGCCTTGTGGTCTTCTCGACGGCCAGGGCCTAGTTGCAATTTTAAAATCAACCTTTGCTGCCAACCGCGTTTGCACATTCCCTCCCTTTTTATCTCTTCATCTGTCGCTCGTTCTCTCATTCTTTCCAACACCGCGCTCTTTTCTAGGGACATTCTAGGTCGTTACGAGTTCGAATTGAGCATTAACCGGCTATATAAGGCGACATAACCAATACTGCAGCTGCGAGGAGGGCGAAGATGGCGAGCGACGAGACCGCGGCCACCGAGCCGAGGCCAGGGAACCCCAATCTAGACGAGGTGAAGGTCCAGGCGGAGAATGAGACGGGGAGCGAGCAAGTTGAGCGTGGAGCTCATCAGCACAGCGAGAAGCAGCTGCCCAGGCCGCCGTCCCAGACTCCTCTCCCGCCTTCTCACCTCGAGAGGCTCAAAAACCAACCCTTACCTCCACCACCTCCACAAGGCGTCCATTTCGGGCCCCTGCCATACAATGAGGCCGACATGGATGGCGGATCGGTCGACGTTGAACGCCCATTCTATCCCCGTTGGCACAGAACCAAGCTGGCGTTGCTCTGGCTCTCACTGATCGTTTCCGCCGTAATCTTCGGCATGGGAATCACTATTGGCATGTTCAACGCCCCTTATTACATGGATGGCGACGGCCCAGGACCCGCCGAGATCGAGCTCAGCACTTCTGGCAGCGCAGTAAGTTTTCGCATCCTCTCCGCTCTAGACTACCCAACGTTGTCCGGCCAAGACTGACCAAGACAGGCCGGCCTTGCCGTCGTGGTAACGACTTGTGAGTTCCTCAAGACGTTGCTGTCGCGTCGGCGCGAAGGGCTGCACCCCGGCGCTCTTGTCGCCTTCCACCTGATCATCTGGTTACTGGCTCTCGTCGCCACCGTCTCTGCCGCGATCTACGATACAGACAGTTACTTCTGGTACGACTACCCCCGGGCCGACCGCAGCGCGCTGCAGAGCCAGAGCCAGATTTACCAGCAAGTCCTCCTTGGCTTCGACTGCACCCTTCTCGCCATCCATCTCATCCTGTTTGTGGGAGCCTGTGTCGAAACGAACCGCCTCGAGAAAGCCAGGAAGAAGGTGGTCATAGTCAGGGTGCCAGTCCCGGTCGCTGGTGCGTACCCGGGGGGCCCCCATCCCGCCTTTGATCCGCGTCGGTCCTTCGTGCCCCCCCCGGGTTGGCAGCCCGGGCAGTATCCGGTCCCTCTTACGACCAAAATACCGCAGCACGCCGATGGCGGGACGGGACCGACCCCTCCTCCGCCGGCCGTCGTGTACGGAGGGTACTATGTCCCTGCTCCGCAAAACGCGGTTTGGATGGCCCCCCAACAGCAGGGCGACGTCACGCCGCTGCAAGGATATTATGCCCCCGCTCTACCTCCAAGAAGAGCTAGCAACTCGGTGCGGAACTCTCGACGTGAGCCCCCGGCTCCTGCTCTTGCCTCCAGCTCGGGGTCGCGCCGGTCGCAACGGCTGTCCCAGTCTCAACAGCCCGCGGCTCCTCCAGCGGAGCCGCAGGGGCAAGTGAAGTCCGGAGGGCCTGGCGCAGAACAGAGTACATGAACTTGGGGGGACTTGGATGTTTTACGCTCTCGGCGATGAAGAATGCTTTGAGACATCTGTGCAAGATTTGGTTCTGATGATATCTCGACATCAAATCTTTGTTGGCAGCTTATCTATCTCACATATACCCTAATGTAATAACGACTGCATTTAGTGCACTACTTGGGCTTTCAAAGTCTTCTCGATCACTGATTAGTTTTGCCTGCACTCACCGATGGCACATCACCATGTCGACCTGTGCGCATAATAAGGTGCTCGCATGTCCGTGAGCCAAGTGGCAGACGCGAGTCTGATCTCGACTTGGGAGGGTGTTCTCAGGTGGCACTTACACGATGGCGGAGTCGCCTGAGACAAAGCGGCTCAGCAGCAAGGATCTGAAATCCCTGTGTCCGTAGACGAGCATTCGGTATACCTGCAGTTGACCTTTTTGGGCTCAAAGCAGATGTGCCTTCACCAGCATCACAGTCACCGCCAGATTGAATTGGGCAGTACCTGTTTCGTTTCTAAGGGAATGAGGAGGAAACGAAACTGGCAGGATGAGGTTGAGTGACAGGGAAGTGTACTGATGATACCTGAGAACTGAGGTTGCTTATGTGGTTTTTCTGTGAAACTTCCCGTTGAATGGCATGCCCGTCATCCACACGCGCAAATCAAAGCGGGATGCGGAAGGGGAAAGTCACCTTGCCAAGTTTGGCGATGGGTTTCGCTACGTGGATGGTTGAGCACCAGACGATTGCCTCTGTCGTTTCAAGAGGGGAAAGATGGGTGGGGGTTGGAGTCACAACATTGGGCCGTTGATGAGACTGACCATTTGCGGGCTGGTATAAAGACATTGGGTTGGGCATATGCAGTGGCATCTTCTGCTGTTCGCCATGTTGTCCTGGAAAAACTATGTTGGGCGTGTTGTTCCCAAACGTCATCGTCGATGTTAAAACACCTCAGCTGCGACCAGTCATTGACCGACCCCTGGTGGATGAAATGTCCGAAGCCGGCGATACATGTTACCGACTAACATTTGGGCGAACGGATAGAAAAAAAAGGACTCTAGAATAGGCAAGGCCAGAGCGCGGAGGCATGGTCCGACAACGAGAACGTCCTCTGGTATGCTGGCGATCTCACTCACAAACCAAGATAACCAACAGATATGTCGATTCTAATTATTCGCGCGGACTCGCAGACAAGACTTCCACGGTGCATAACCAAGAGCACCGAGGACGAGACAGCCATTTTAGTTTGTTGGTGAGGGCACGACGAAAACCACAGCTCAACCTGTTGGCGCGGGATTGGGGAACAGGGAACGGATGGGGAAGCCGCCGGGTGGTGACAAGATGGGCGACACAGCACCCATCAGTCTTCCTCATCGCCGCCAGAAGCGACAGCCTTGGAGCGGCTCTTAGCGGCTGCAGGCGCCGTCGCTTTGCCGACGCCCTTTGCGGGACTGTCGTCTCCCTCGGCTCCCTCTTCTTCGTCTTCCTCGCCCTCGGCTTCTTCGTCATCCTCGTCGAACTCTTCTTCTTCTTCTTCCTCCTCTTCCTCCTCGCCCTCGCCCTCTCGATCACCGTTGGCAGCGGCGCCGTTCTTGCTAGGAGCCTCGCCCTTAGCGGCAGAGGCCGTCTTTAGCTTCTTCTTGGGAGGGGCTTGTGCTGAGGGAGATGAGCGTCAGCGCCTGTCGAGGGAAAGAAGGGCAGAGTCGGTAGGGTTGGGACCGAACGAGTCAATAGACTCGTTCGATTCGATGCTCAGGGGTGGAAGTGTTGAGGCAATGGCGCCGGCTGCATGAGCTTACCTGGGGCGGCATTCTCCTCGTCTTCCTCATCACCTTCCTCGCCTTCCGCTTCCTCATCATACTCCTCGTCCTCTTCATCGTCGACCTCTTCTTCGTCATCCTCATCGTCTACATACCTGCCGGCGATGTCAGCAGTAATCACGACGCGGCCTCGCAAGAGAAAGACATCATGGAAGATTGCTGCGACACACGCAAAGCAAAAAGCGCAAGGAGAGCTGACGACAGCAACTCAAGCGCACGCTTGCGCCGCGATGCGCTAGCAAACCTGCTTGAGCTCGCAAATCTATATGTTGTCGCTTCATCTCGATGACATCGGCAATGCTATCGAACATGTTGCGCGAAAGTGGGGATGCTACTTACTCCTCCTCCTCCTCATCGCCGCTGGGCAGGGAGACAAGCTCTTCCTCCTCCTCTTGCTTTCTCTTGCGGCCGGACATTGCAGTCTGAGCGTCAAAACAAAGTCAATTGATAAGTACACGACGGTTTGATGGTGTAGAAGGCCGGATGTGATGACAGTGGATGCGAGCGAGCTGCGTTGGAACGGGAGAGGAGAGAAGGAAGGCTACGAGGAAAGGGGGTTTTCCGGGGGTATGGACTGGCGAAGGCTGGGAGCTCTATGGGACCGGTACGTACCGGCTCACAGAAGACACAGAGGAACAGGGAGGGCGAAGGATGGAGGGGGGGCGGCCTGCTGGGGAGGATGTCCACTGGAAGTTGCTGCGGAGAAGGCGGGGAGCCCCAGCATTTCAGCTCAGCTCGGCGGCTCCCATTTGGAGTCGACACCCCATCGCTCAGGCAGCCAGCCAGCTGCTAACGAGACAGCGAAGGAGAGGCCCCGCGCTCAATCAATGTACGGTTGTGTTGGGTTTTGTCAGCTTGGTCCTGTGTAACCTGGGCCCAGTGGATATCTGGCTTTCCAAGTGGTGTGGCAAGCGAGGAAGCTTGGACCTGCTTTGCTTGGCCCATCGAAATCGGAGGAGGGAACTGCCAAGGACCGTGGCACGTCATTGATAAGGTACGGAGTAAGCGTGCTATTGTTGATAGTTGAATCACGTGGAGCCATGACTGGATGCAGCGGAACTCGGCCGATCGTTATGCCGGCAAAGGGAGTGTACTCCTACCGTGCTAGTACCTCAAAGGGAACGGCCCCTGGAGCAACATCACCGCGATTCCTATGGCAGGACATAATTGAGTCCTTGAATCATCTGATAATCCTTCAAGCCCGCTTTCTCGAACGGGTGTGGTGTTCCGGACAGGCAATGCCGACATCCGAAGGTACGTACGTGGTGTTGTCAGATGATTCAGTTTGACTTCCGTTTGTGTCTGCCCTCGTGCCGAAGCTTGGAGAATAGGCCGAGCTGGCCGAGAACCTCCAGAGACAAGACCCATCATCATATCTGAAACTAAGGTCTCCCTTTGTTATCAATTGCTGAGCACGTCGGGGAGCCATTCCCTCGATCGCTCCCGTCCTCGGTCCCAGCGGATGGCTGTCCCGGAAATGGCGGAAACGGGACCGTACATGTATCGTACCACGGTAGAGGAAATTCGCCCGACTGGTATGTGTACGTGTAGTTGTATCGCTCCGGCTCTCTGAGGTATTGTATCCGTACATGTGTTTGCGCTCTCAATGGAGTCTGACGGCGGCTAGAGTCTTGGAAAATTTCGAAGCTTCCATGAAAACGGACAAGGCTGGATGCAACCAGGTAGGCAGGGTAAGCAAAGGTAGTAGGCTGTGTAGGCAGGCAGTATAGCTTATTGCAATTAGAATTTCATTGTGTTTCTAAAAGCGATTTAGCCAAACTGCGTTTTACAGGTGAGTTGGCTAGATCTATACTTAGTAACGTGTAGTTATGTATTGTTGTTGATTCAATTGCAATCTGGGTTCCTAGTGCTTCGGGGCAATGAGCATACTGCCTGCAAATTTTGGCTGTGGCTAGTAGCTGACTCTTCCAAAAGGGGTTTAGAACTGTGTCCGACCTATTGAGGGGGAGTAAGTCGTCATGCATGAAGAGGCTTAAGGTCGGCAGGAGGTCGTTTCCTAAAGAGGAATAAGTCCGGGCGCCAAGTCGCGCGGAAGATTCGTCAAACAGCTGGCGCAGCTCGGCCCGCTGTTCAGGAACAAGCAACAACAGGGGAAAATGGGGCGGAGCGCATCTATGATCTCCGCCATTTTGACAAAAGTCAAGTATTGCGTTATTAGGTTTTCCGTCATCTGCCCTGCCCAAGCGCCTGAGCTGTTTCTCTGGAAGGCCCAGAAACACAGGATCCTCCCGACGGTACTCGCTCGTTTGGTTGTTGCCCCTTAGGTACTGTGTAGTCCGTGCAAGCAGGTGACTGTGCCGGTTTGCGTCCGTTTGTGTTCTTGCTTTTGGTCTGCGAGTCCCAGCCAATGAGTGCTCTCCTGCCATTGCTTCATTGAGGTTGCACAGAACGACTGTGACAATTGCTTCTGGCGGCAGGCGCGGCGATAAAGGGGCAGCCGCAGCCCTGGAGCTGCAGCTTCAGTTGCTTGCTTCAACTTTTGGCCCAGAAGTGCAAGGTCATCTCCGTCTCCTAAGGTATCTCATTCCGCTTCAGATGCGCACTCCGAAGGCACCTTCGTCTGTCAAGCTGTCATCAGATGACATTAACGCAGTTACCTCAAAGTGCCTGACGGAAAGCGGCAATTCACCTGCAAAACCACGTCGGCGCAGGAAACGGTAGCCTGCATATCATATACCGGCCATCAACCGAGAAAACTGTTTGTGCACCGCAATTTATCTCGCTGCAAGGGCATCCGAGCTGCATCGGCAGTCGGTTCAACGTGAGACACTTCAACTTTGCCTGAACGGATGGATGTGAGAACGTCGCCTGCAGATGTTGGCATTACCGACGCTGGATGCTCCGTAAGGTACTACATGTAGTATGTCGTAAATCGTCATCTGAAACGGGGAATAGTGTCCGGGCCCTTTGTCTCGTTCAGCACTGGGACTGGTTTCTGCTTCCCTGGAATGCAAACCAAAATCAAGCGTAAAAACGTGAAAGCGGGCTGCACCGCCTCCAACCCCTGGCACTAACGTTCATTCCCACCGTCTCCAGCAAGCGGCTCCATCATTGCGCCAGGGCCTGCATCCAAGCTTGGTTGGACTCATTTGAGCGCGAAACTGCTGGGATCGCGCCAGCGAAAATAACATTAAAATTAGCGTCGCCCGGATGATAATTTTCGTCATTCCTTCGCCTGCTCCGTTAGCCCCCAACCTCTTGCACGGCCGCAGCGATGTTGGACAATAGCGGCTCGACAGAAGACGCTGCCGGCGGAGCGGGCTATCCTGCTGTGCATTATAACCAGCAACCCAACATGAGGCACGGCGAGCCGGGCCCGTACGCACCACCCTCTCGGCTCCATTCGAGACCGCAATGGCCGGGCACCGGACCCAGGCCGAAACACCATGACGCTGATCCCGCAGATGCGTCCGAACAATGTTTCCAGAGCCGACCCTTCCGCGCGCACAATCACCCACCTGGACCCATGCGTCCTTCGAGCGCCAAGTCGCCCAGACCGGTCCTGCAGCTGAGATCCGACGGGCATGTGCCTCCTGACCTTGTGTCCCCCCGCAGCGATTCCTTCTTCTACAGCCGGCCGGCCAGGCCATGTCCGAGTCCGACGCCGACCATCACGCATTTTCCACCAGGCCCTAGGACGAGAGCCGAGTCCACACCCACGCAAAGACCGCCCCCCAGATCCGCGTTCCCGGGCTTATCCTCGAACCCCTTCATCCCGGAGTCGCCTGAGTCGGAGACATCGCACCCCGAGATTCGGAAATTCCCACTACTTCCCCGACAACATGATCAGCTAGCCCGTTTGTCCCCAGTCTCGAACCCCGAGTCGCCCGTGGATAGTCGGCAAGGCACGCCTACGGAGCCCACGATGGTGGAGAATTTCTCCCGGCCGCGGAAAACCAGTGTCAGGTCGCAGCAATCCGACAGCGCCCTGTCGCGGAGTAACGTTATGGCGGCACTGCGGCTGCAGGCCGGGCCGCCCCTGTTGGATCAGCCACCGACATGCAATCCCCAACAAATTCCGTCCAATTCTACGCCGGGCCCGAATCCTTGGCCGAGAACTCGACGTTTCTCGGGCTCCTCGTCCCAAACATCCAGCACATTTTCCTCCATCCCTCCTCGCCCAAGCAACGATTATCTCAACACCACACCGAGAACCGATTCCTTGAGGCAAGCAAGTTCCAGTGTCATAGCCCCGCTGAACGCCGTTCCCAGACCGCCCCCGACTCACTACAATCCCAACGGCCCGCAGACGCACCTCCGGGAGATACCGCCCTGGTTAGCGAGCAGCGAGGAGACTCGGTCAAGTTTCCGGTCACAGCTCACCTCCTCGACGGCGCAGGGGACGCTTTTCACAACCAACGGGACCGAGAGGAATAGCGTCGTGACTAAAGCGAGCAGCATCACGGAGCAATCAATCATCAATGGCTATTGGCGGAGGAGCTGGCGACCAAATTCGGTGGATGATGGTCCAAGTCTCGAGGACGTGATGGGAATGTACGAAAGGGGCTTCAACGATTCAGACATTGAAAGCATTCGCCGCAGCATGCGACTCACCGAGGACGACAACATTCCCGAGCCCGACGCCGATGCCGAGGAACAGGAGATGGAAGGCTCGCGACCAGCCAGCTGTCACTCAGATGCGAGCGGGCTCCGGGCGAAGGTGCTGGAAGCGATGAATGACAGCCTGCCAATCCCCGGAGCTGTGCCAATACCGGAGTCGGGCCGCTCAACGGCGAGAGAGTCAAGGACTCGACAATCACTACTACCGAATTCACTACCGAAGGACCTAGGCCTCGGCCTCGCAACAGAACCGAGGCCGAAGCGGCAATCGGCAGAGCAAGATGCCATGGAGAAGCACGACTCGGCCAAATTGCTGGATGGGGATGACGACTTTGTCACTCTGAAGGACAATGCGATAGCTCAGCCTTCCTCGCCCACCTCGCCCACCTCGCCCACCTCGCCCATCTCGCCTGTGCAATTGCCATCCCCCACAATAGACTTGCCGTCGCCAAGCACTGTAACGCCGGCGCCCATGCCTCGCGTGCCCCAAGAGCCGCCAGAAGAACCCGGCAGTCGTGATCGGTACGGCTTCCGAAAGGCTAGCGCTAATGTCACTCGCCAGGAGTATGATGCCTGGGATCACACTTACAGCGAATACCTGGCCAGGCGGCGCAGAAAGTGGATTGCGTTTCTCAAGGACAACTCCCTGATGACGGACAGGCCGAACCGGTTTCCTCCACGCAGCGCAAAAACGAAACGGTTCATCCGGAAGGGGATTCCCCCAGACTGGAGAGGAGCGGCGTGGTTCTACTATGCCGGCGGGCCGGCTATCTTGAGCAAGCATCGGGGCGTGTATGATCAGCTGGTGCGGCGGGCCGGGCTCGATCCCAATGGTCCGGGCAGGATCCCGAACCAGACAGGAGAAGTGAAACCTGTGATCGTGGAGGATATTGAGAAGGATCTGTATCGAACATTTCCCGACAATGTCCGGTTCAAACCGCCGCCATCACCACCTGGAGCGGCATCTCCCCAGCCAGCCCTTTCGCAGCCCGCAGCCGAGCCCGAAATCATTACATCGCTCCGTCGCGTTCTGCATGCCTTTGCGCTGTATAACCCCCGCATCGGCTATTGCCAGTCACTGAATTTCCTGGCCGGCCTGCTTCTCCTCTTTGTTGAGACGGAGGAGCAGGCGTTCTGGCTCCTTAACGTCATAACTCGAGTTTACCTCCCGGGCACTCACGAGATGAGTCTGGAAGGAAGTAAGGTCGATCTAGGAGTGCTGATGATTGCGCTAAAGGATTCCATGCCAGGCGTGTGGAAGCAGATCGGCGGTGATGAGCTCGAGGCAGGCAAGAAGAGCAAGGCAAGGCGTGGCCACAAGCTGGGTCATGGCGGCAATCCCGGCAGTATCCACGATCCCAACCGACTCCCTGCCATCACTCTTTGCATGACCGCCTGGTTCATGTCCTGTTTCATCGGCACCCTCCCCATCGAGACGGTGCTGCGCGTCTGGGACGTGTTCTTCTACGAGGGCTCGCGCACACTTTTCCGCATCGCTCTAACCATCTTCAAGCTCGGCGAGCGCGAGATCAAAGCGGTTCAGGATCCCATGGAGATGTTTGGCGTGGTGCAGACGTTCCCCCGGCGCATGCTCGACTGCAACACGCTCATGGAGACGTGCTACAAGCGGCGCAACGGCATCGGCCACCTCAGCCAGCAAGTCGTTGAGGAGAAGCGTAAGGAGCGGCGCGACGGCATCCGCCGGTGGAAGGCCGAGCAGGAGGCCGCGGCCAGCAACCCCAACAGCCCGAGGCCGGCGACCAGGCACCGGTTCGGCGCCGCGGCGCTCGGGCTCGACCTGGCGACCGACTTTGACGAGGTCCGCCGGAAAGCGAACTTGTTTGTGCGCCGCAAGGACCGCGAGCAGGAGAGAGCTGCCGAGGTGGTGTAGAGCGCACCTCGGCCGTTGTCGACGCTCCGTCGGCATCCGTGACTGGTTTTATCTTTCCACTCTTTTCATCTCTCCGTTTTCTTTTGTTACAACCCTGGCGTCGGGGGACGCTTTTCCTTTCTCGGCGCCATCAGCCCCCCCATCCTCGTCATCACTACGCCTCCTCCGCCGATTCCTTGGCCGTCGAGATGGCACTTCTACCTTGGGGCTGGTGTGTGCTTTGTGTAAACCTAATGTTCTGTACTATTTTCTGGCAGGTCGCCCTTCAGCTGGTGACCTCTTGATCAGCATTATTTGGTAGCGGTTTTATGGGCATGGCAGCATGGCATTGCAGGCGTGGCAAACCCCGGCGCTGATATTGAAGGTGAAAAGGCTAATCAAAAGCCGTTCCGGACAAAGAATACTTTTTATGTGTTAGAGCATATATCTGGATACCAGGCAAGACACGGAGGCGAAAATGGGCTGGAGATCGAAGTTAGATGGCGAAAGATGATGCTACACGAGCAATCCGAACCAAGCAAGATTCATATGGGCTTTTCGGCAAAATCCTGGGGTGACAGTGACGGGAATGGTACACAGTGGTGGCAGTGGTATGTGATACTGTGCCATGTTCGCCAAGATGACCTAGGCAAATGTGAGGATCGCGGTGATTGTGAATATAATTCCTGCTATGCATTCGCTCTACGATCAACTGGACAAGAGACTCGCCATGTCGCAAAAGCCAACCTCAGCCCGGGTCCTTTGACTGCCAACGGGGGTTTGTCCTCTACTTCGCCTAAAGGGTCCAACTTCATGGACCCGGTCAGGGAGCATGTAACCGTGGTCCTTCTCCAATCCGCGCATGCAGTTCCTCCTGGAAGGCACGCATAAGGTCGCGAAATTCGTGCGGATGCATTGCCCGCCATTCTTGAAACGTGGGAAGGATGATCTGTCCCTCGGCATCCCTTCGAAAACGAGGTGGCGCTGATGAGCCCGACCTCGGATCTCTGGTACCGCCTGCTACATTGCTGTCCTCACCCGACGCTTCTTCTCCAATCTCTCCAATCCGCGCATGCAGTTCTTCCTGAAAGGCACGCATAAGCTCGCGACATTCGTGCGGAGGCATTGCCCGCCACTCTTGTAATGTGGGAGGGATGATGTGCCCCTCGTCGCACCTTCGAAAGCGAGGTGGCGCTGACGACCCCGACCTCGGACCTCCGGTACCGCCTGCTGCATTGCTGCCCTCACCCGACGCTCCTCCTCCAGCGGAGGAGGTGGGATCCGAAGCATCCGCCCTCGTACTCGGTGGCTGCGTCTTGCCGCCATCGCCACTGCCTGCAGCACCGTCGTCGGCCCGGTTAGGGTCTTTCTACGCCCCACCGCCAGAGGAAGAAGACGAAGGCCCCGGCCCCGGCGCCCCTACCGCTGCTGCGCCGCCCTTCTTCTCCGATGTCCCCTCGGATGATGACCCGGGCGTTGTGAACTTGAGGGGGCCCTTGGCGTACCGCTGCACGTACGCCTTCGCGTTCTTGTCAAACTCCTTCCTGTCGCTGCGGTACTCGTCCGCGATGCGCGCCTCGAGCGGGTCGTCGGGGAGCGGCTCGGCCAGCAAGTTGCGGACGGCCTCGAGGATGCCGTGGATCTTAGTCGAAGGCTTCCAGTTCTCGTTCTTGAGCAGGTCCAGGCAGATGTTGCCCTGGTCGTCGTTGGTGATGTTGGGGTGGTAGATGCGCGTCGCGAAGGTGACGACAGGTGGGCGGAACGGGTAGTCGAGGGGCAACTTAATGACGACCCCGAACTTGCCGCCTGTGTAGGGGGAGTTGTCGGGTCCTTCGAGGACGACGTGCCATTTGTGGAGGTCCGAGTCGTCGGCTAGCGTCACTTTGATGCCTGCCGGCGGGGAGGAGGTGCAGTCGCTGAACTCCTGGTTGGGTGAGTGTGAGTGAAATGGTGCGGTGGTGGTGGTGGGGTGCAAGGGGTTGAGTGGGCTACCTTCGCAATACGCTTGTTCTGGGTGGCCATCGTGGGATGTTTTTGTTTGTCTGTTTGGTGAGAGTGATGCTGGGTACTGCTGCTGCAGATGACGTTGCTGTGAGAGCCGTTGATGTGATGGATGGAGTGCCGAGTCAACAGATCGTTTGAGGTAGGTAGGTGATCAGAGAAACAAGCCCAAACTGTCGAGGTTCGGGTGGGGGGTGGCCGCTCTTTTGCGATCGAGAAGTGAGTGAAATGAAGTGTGGAAGAGAGGGATTCAATGGTTTCAAGTTCTATGACTGATTGCAAGGCACACAGGTTTACAAGGCAGGAAAGGGTGGGGTTGAAGAATGGTGGGGTGAGGTGAGGTGAGCGCGAGCTCGAGTGCCCGTTAGGGCCTAGCGTGGCTGCCCTTTGGCCATGCAGTGGCTCATCTCCACATTCTCCACGGTTGTTTGCAAGGCAAACCCGCTTCTTCTCGTGGGAGCAGTTGAAGCGAGCATCCGACCACCATCACCGCTTGTCGCCCGTAGCACGGGCAGTTGCTGTGGTAGAAGCCGCGCCTGAGCGGGTCCATCTTTCGACTACCATCATTGCCGAAACTGAGACGTTGGTTTGACGCCATAAACAGTCACGGTTTCCCTCCAGGCTCCAGCTACGTTGATAAATTCGCATATATTCCAATCAGGTTGCATCGCCGTTTCAGTTGTCGCGATTTCCGTTGACATCATCTGGAACAGGAATGGATGCGGTTTATGAGCCGTTGCCCCTGGAGGGAAATCACATCCGCCTTTTGGAAGTCAAAGTCCGTCGCAGCTTCTTGGGCCTCGTTCGGGAGCTTGTCTGCAACTTCAGAGTCGTCTCCCTCGACGATAATGACAACACGCTGAAGTACACAGCTCTCTCCTATGCGTGGGACGACCCAACGCCTGTACGCAAGATCCAACTTGCTAATGGCCGGTCCCTGCCGCTGAGCCGGACGCTCTCAAACTTGATCGATTCGCTGCAACGCCAAGGCGAGGACTCCTTCACCATTTGGGTCGACGCGCTATGTATCAACCAGAACGACCTGATCGAGAAAGCATCCCAAGTTCGCATGATGGGTGACGTCTACTCGAAGGCGAAACAAGTCCTAGTCTGGCTTGGGGCAAGCACGCCGCAATCCAAGCGCGCATTTCGTTTTATGTCATCTAAGCAAGGCGCGTCTTACCCTGACGACTGGGGCAATGAATCAGACCGCGCTGGGCTCAAGGAGGTCTTTTTATTCTTGGATCGTCCTTGGTTTCGGCGTGTTTGGGTAATTCAGGAGGTCATTCTCGGCAGTAACGTCCTGATGGCATGCGGCGACGACCGTATAGACTTCGACATCTTCCGAAACTGCACTTTTGGAATATGGTTGTTCCTCGATACGTTGAACCATTACGGCGCAGATAACCCTTCCGTCCGGGGACTATGGTGTTTCAACAGAATGATTCACATACGAGAAACCTTCCAGGCAGATGGTGCTGTCGGTTACGAAACTTGTCTCGAGGCGGCGTTTCACGTTGAAGCAACGGATCCTCGCGACAAGGTGTACGCTTTTCGGGGAATTGCGCACAAGGACAGCAGCCTCCTGCCCGAGCCGGACTACGCAGTCCCGGTTGAACAGGTATATCGAGAGACAGCAGAAGCATTGCTATGCCACGGCCAATCTCTTGATCTTCTGGCCCTCTGCGGTATCGCTTTTCGGGAGCATCCGTCGATTTTGCCGACGTGGGCCCCAGATCCCGGGCATCCATCCTTCACCGAGCCCTTCGCTATGTGTGACCGAGGGAATTGGAATGTGGGCGGCACCCTCATGAGACGGCCGAGCATTGTGCCTCCGAATCAACTTCGGCTGCAGGTCAACTTCTTCGGCACAGTGGTTGAAACTTGTCCGACATTTGACGCCTACCTTGTCGGCCATCAACAGGTAGCAGTCCGGGCGGCTTTGGCCATGAGGCAGCGAGCGCCAGGGAATATTTCAGAAGCAGCTTGGAAAGATGCAATCGCTGTAAGCATGACTTTCGGTCTAGATGTCGACGACGAGCCGGCAGGGCCAGAGTATCGCACCTTCTTTGAGGAATGGCTGCAGTGGCTTCAGTCGAGTACCTCCCAAGACGACCTAGACAAAATCAGCGGAAACAAATTCCAGCAGACCATCGGGCCGCGAGTAGACGGGTGGAGGGCTTTTATGACGCAGCAAGGACCCTTTGGCATTGGCCCTGCGGAAACTCGAGTCGGCGACGCCATCTATCTGGTACCCGGCTGCCGACTCCCTCTCGTTCTAAGGCATGATCCTGACGCTTCGGACACTGTACCACTCCCAGAGAAGATTCTTGTGGGTTGGTGTTACGTCTACGGCTTAATGCACGGCCGAGACATTTCACCGGGCGAACCAAATACTGACATCCTGTTACGTTGAGTGCTACACAAACCTGTGAGAATCGGTCCCACACCTCTAGTCTAACATTCATACCGTAGCATAGACTGGAGGACCATTTGTAGTATTCAGAATTAAGTTCATTCCTTCCAACCAAGCTAAAGCCAGAGGTCGGAACGCCTTGCCCCTTTAACCATGCTCGTAACCATACCAAAGACTCTACAAAACCTTGGGCTATTGCTCCTTGAGCTTGCCCGTCTAATCCTCCATAAATGTTTCGTCAAAGACCTCAAGACGCCATAAACGTGCTCGGCACCCTACGGTTCGTTCTTTTCATGCAGGCCCTCCGTAGTATCACCATGCCCCTCAGCAGGCGCACCTAAGTTGCCCTCGGCTCCATCTTCCTCCCGTTCCTCATCCCCCTCGTGCTGTTCATCCTCGCCTTCTTCATTGCCATTCTCGCTATTCCCTTCCCCCTCCTCCTCCTCCTCCTCTCTATCCCCCTCGCCCTCATCAAGCTCATCCTCCTCTTCACCAGCCTCACTCTCCTCCTCGGTAGTCTCCCCCTCTACTTTGTTGACAACCCCAGCATCCACACTCCTCCTCAAATTAGGAAACAACAGCGAGGGCGGCGCATCATCCTCATAATCTGCCGGCACATCGCTCAAGTCGCTCTCATCGTCCGCCGAGTCATGCACACTGTCGGGCGGGCTAGAAATCTCACTCCCTTCCTCCCTACCACCACCGCCATCACCACTCGCCCTTCCATTCGCACCCCGACGACCAGCAGCACCTTCATCGTCGTTATCAACATCCTTCATATCCACATCCTCCCCCTCCTCCGTCTCCTCCCCACCCCCCCGCCTCGCCGCCCAGTTCACAAGCGTGCCCGAAGACACCGACCCAACCCTCGACCTAGTCTTCCCTCCCCCCCCACCACCACCACCACCATTACCAGCGCCAGCTCCACCAGCACCACCAGCACCAGCCGACCGCGGCGCCGACCCCTCCGCCGCGCGCAAGACAGCCTGCACGGCGTGCTCGGCCTTGCGCAGGATATTCGGTCGCCGGATCCCCCCTCCCGCACCCTTGCCACCGCTAGTGCTGCGGGGCACGGCGCCGTCGCCGGCGACAGAATGTCTCTCAGATTTATCCGCCGGTTGCTCCGACCCCGCGCGGAGCGAGCCGAGGGCCGAGAGGGACGAGGGGGATTTGTCGCGTGCTGAGGCGGCGAGCGTGTGAAGGAGGAGTTTGGATTTGAGGTCTTCTGCGTTAGGCGGTTGTTGTTGTTGGTTCTCGGTTTGTTGGGAAGGGGAGGAAGGGGTTTGTGTGTGTCGTTCGGCTGCTCGGGCGTCGTCGGTTTTGAAGACGGCAAGATAAATGGCCGCGTAGCAGTCCGTGATGAGGTCGTCGATGGGTCCGGCTTTCATGAGGTTGGCATTGAGCTTTTTGAGTTCGACGGCTTCTTTCATCGCGCTAAGAGCTGGGTTGTCTTCTGCTGCGGCGCTGGTGGCCCAATCGGTTATCCTTTCGCCGACGACGTCGAATTCGTCCGGGTTGAGGCTCTTGAAGGCGTCTTCCCCAGTCGTGGGGACCCTGGAGGTCTGCCGGATGAGCTTGACGTAGGTGAGGACGCAGTACTGCCACAGCTCGTTGAAGTGGTAGAAGTCGGCGCCCTTTTTGCGGATGCGGCGGAGCACGGCTTCGAGGTTGACGCGATCGTTCAAGACATTTAGCAGCCCGACCATGTACCGGATGTAACGCTCCGTGTAGACGTGGTGGCGGCCGGGCCGCTCGGCGTCGCATTTCCACACGTTCATCACCATGGTCTTGGTGAACATGTTCTCCCGCAGCACGTTGAATGCAGACCTTGCGTGAGAGGAACTTTCGCTCCCGCTGGGGTAGGTGCTCATGTCGTGGAACATGCGTGCGTGTCGCATAATGATGCGGTGTTGCCAGTTGGACTTGTCCTTCTCGCGCAGGAACCGCACGCACCGGATCACATAGTCTTCCCATTCATGCCAAGTATCAATGGGGGTCTCTTTCCCACGGTCTGGAGAAAATGGCTGGCGTTGAAGGACGGCTGCGCCATCCTGCCAGGTCAGGTCACCCCGCTTGACAAGCTTGTGAACAACCGACACAATTTTGTAATGCGGCTCCAAGATCGGGTCCTGGCTGTGCCGAGGTTTCGGCAGGGATGAGACGACCTCGACGGTTTTCTCGAGCGCGGCTATCACCGCCCGAACGGAGGGCCGATGGCGACGATTCTTCTCATCGAGTTCCTCGGGAGGCTTCTGGTACATTTTCCAGAGGCACTTGGCGACCATGTACGGATTCTTCCAATCCTTGGGCTTGCCCTCCATGGCTTTCCGGAAGAGTCTTGCCGCAAACTTCCAGACCTGGTAGTCGGTCATCTCATTGTGCAGGATCTTCTTGTACGTGCCGGACCCCTCAGGTTCAATAAAAATGCGTTTCTGGTCGGCATGTTGGAAGGGCTCCATGGCAAACGGCTCGCGACTCGACGAGTACATCCGCATCCCGAACTCGTGGTACATGTCATACAGCGCTTCTTTGTCGTTCTCCACGGAGGTGAGGACAGCTGGATCTGATGCCCACGCATATGAGTGGGAAAGCGCCATGATGTAGCTATGGATGGCATTTCTCTGCAGCTTGACGAGCTCGGGTCGCTCTTTGTTTATTTTGTCGGCAGTCCAAAGAATCGATTCTTCAAGCTCATAATCGAAGCATTCTGCTAGGCGAAACCACGCATCCCAGCGATCAGGCGTGTACTGGAGCTGCAGACGCAGAAACGTGGCTCCGATGCGCAGGTCATCGGTAGCACCTGGCGTTTGTCGCCGGTTCAGGTCGACACCTTTGAACTTGGTGAGGGCAATCATGCCCAGCAAGAAGAACCAGCCCTGTTTGGCTGGCGCGCTCTCGGGCGTGTTGATGGTCACCGCGTCGAGATCCACGCTGCCAGTCAAGGCCTGGTAGAGGTGAAGCGGGTGAATTGGCGCCTTGAGGTATTCGGAATAGTTGCGGAGATTATGGGCCATCTGGGGGCTCGACTTGGCGGATCCTATCGCCTGCTGCATCCGCTCGATGGTCGTTTTGAGATCGGACTTTAGGAGATCTTTCATCGACATCCTGTTGGCCAGCATCGTGACCCTTTCAACAAGCTGCAGCGCCTGGCGTTTCTCCAGGTTCTCGGGCTCGCAGCCGTGATCTTGGACCTCCCAAATCCCCACGCCAAGTTTGAGACCGTGTAGATCGTAAAGCACCTGGCCAAGGTAGTCTTCCCAGTTATCTATGTTCTTCTGCTTGAGGAACTCGACGCGCATCATCTTGAGAAAGATCTTGTTGGACGACTTGCAGCACTTTCGAAGCCCCAGTACTTGATGCACCGCGGCCAAGTAATCGGCAAGATCGTTCTCGGGCTTGGGAAACAGGTCAGGGTGCTGGTGAAGCCCGACCTTGAGCATGGTGTACTGCAGCGACCAAGTCCGAACTTGCATCTCTTGCAGCTTGTTGAGGAACGACCGCAGCGCAGAGCTACTAGCTGGTACAGGTTTCATCCCGAGACGCGTCTCGTCCTCGTAGATGGCCGCCACGTGCAACATGCAGCTGACCTTGGCCAGGGCAGACATGCTAGACCTGAGGTGGTCCTCATCAATGATGTCGAAGGAGCTGTTGTCGTTTAAGGCTAGATGTAATGCCTGGATGATGAGGTCGTCGAGCGCCTTTAGCAAGCCCATAAACTGGTTTTTCCTGGATTCATCGGGAGCCTGGATGTACTCGTCGCGCTCAAGGTCTGACATGACCGTTTCAATTCTCCGGAGGAAGCATGAGAATTGCTTGGTCGTATAGTGAATCTTGCCGTAAGCCTCGCCGAGCCGTGACCACAACAGGAGTCGAAGTTCCGTGCTACTGCTCCTGAGAAACTTCCACAAGTCCATCAGCTCCTGGCTGGCGCACTCCGTGATAGGCTTCTTCTGCTGCGTGGAATCAACGTCGCCGCTATCCGTTGGTTCAGGCGCGACAGGAATACTGATGTAGACGCTATCTGGGTTAAGGACGGGTTCCAGATTCTCAACCACGGAGATCGGGTCGCCAGTGTCTTCATGAAACAAACCCAGAAAGAAATCCATAGTTGTGAGCTTGGATATTTCGCGCTCCGCAGCCGCAACTGAGATTTCGGGCATCAAACTGTTGTTTGGGAGGCTGAGCTCGGCCGGTCCTGTTTCGGCAAGGAAGTCACGCAAACTATGCCAGCAGTTAAGGACATGGTCTCGGGGGGCGCCTTTGGCCATTGTGGTCGAGCACACGGCTGCCCAGAGGAAGCGGAGAGAAAGACTGTCATTGGAGCACGGATTTCGAAGTCTGGTAAGCTCAACGGCCGTGCCCATCCACCTGTCCATTCGGCATTTTGCCTCCAATGTTGCCTCCTGATCAGTCGCGCTGTTAGGATCCGTCTGATGCTCGTAGACGTCAAGATGAAGCTCGAGGAGCATTTGCGCGAGCTCTGCCAGCTCGGCAATCCGCTCTTTTGAGACACCGTTCAGGCAAAGCTCCAGGTCACGGGCGAACGCGTCGTACACGATCCCATCTAACTGGCTGATAACGTGGACGACTGCCGTCTTGAGCTGGTCTGCCCATTTGTACTCGATGTAGGTCCTGGCCACGGCTTTCACGTACTCGTACGCAATGTCGTGAATGGTGCTCCAGTCTTGGTTTCTCTTCTCCACAAAGTCTCTCAGCCCTTGAGAATCGTCAAAGGCAGGGGCCTCGTGGGCCCGCTGAGACACAGATTTTGCATGCTCGAGAAAAGCCGAGAGACTTAGCTGAGGAAGCTCTCTCTTGCTCACCAAAATCGATCCAATGTCTTCATCAAAGTGCAGAATGGATTCGTGAAGATCGACCGTGGCTTGGTTCTGGATCTTGCCCGCCCGGTCGTCCGAGGCGCAGGAGTCGAGAACCTCAGCAATCCTGCAAAGTGTCACATGGTCCGTCACACCGAGGTTCTCCAACAAGTTCTTTGTGGTCTGGAAGAGGTTTTGGTCGGCGGCTTGCAGAGGCTGGAGCTGACTGGCGAGGAACGTGGCAGAGTCCATAACTTCTTCCGCAGCCGTGTCCCTGCGTCGCGTCCGCTTGCTTCTCTTCACGTCCGTGGCTTCATCTTCCAGGGTTTCGAGAATGCCTGCTGTCGACTGTGAGCGTTTCCGGGTCGGCATGGGTATGCCCCGTTCCTTTGATGGTTGATCGTCCGTTGGAGCAGGCTCAGTCGTGGCGAGATCTGGTTCATCCGTTATGGCTTCCCCGCTGGGCTGGTCCCCAACCGTTTCTGGGGCTGTCGACACTTCAGCTGGGGGATCAGGGGCCGGAATGAACTGTGGCAGTAACAACTGCGTGTCAAGGACCATCTGAACGTCCCCCCGTTCATCCGTATCTGGTGGCTGTATTGAGACAGCTAGTCCGGACAGCCCCTGCTCGGTAAAAAAGCGCACTATGGCGGCGCCCAGCTCCGCCCAGGACAACTTTGAGATCGGTAGAACAAGACGCGGGAGCTCAAGGTCGGCCCAGCTTGCTCTCTGAGCGGGTAAGGCATTGGTAGGATTCGGCAGAAATGGCATTGGATCCATAAATCGGGCAAGATATGGGGGCATCTCCCGATCAACGAAGGGTTTCATGATTGGGTGAGTCAAGGCGATTTTATCATCCAGGATCTGAAGCTGCTCCTTGAGTTGCTCACCAGCGAATCCCTCAGCCAGCGACGGCGGTTCGACCTCATCGACAGCCGGGTCATCATCCAGCTCGATGGCAGCTTCCAGGCTGTAGCGGCTGACCCGTGCACTCCTAAGAAATGCCGCAACCCGTGCAGCTTTTCTCCAGAGCTCTGCGTCCGAGGGGTCGCGGTCCAGGGCAGCGCAGAAGTCGTCGAGGGCTCCCCGGGCGTCCTTTTGCACGGTGGGGTCCTCCAGAAGAGCCTCATTATTAATCACGGTGCTCCGTGCCTTGTGTTTTATGCGGTCAATGAGAAACTGGCCGCGGTTTTTGTACGACAGGTACAGCGCTTGAGGGAGGGTGCTGCCGATTCCGTCGACGTCTGCACCGACGACAGGTAAACCCTGTGCGAATACAGGCTCGGTTGCGAGGGCGGCATCTTGCCCTGCTTCGGTACGTTCGTAATCTGTTTTGCTCTCCGGATATCTGAATATCTCGGACTCAAAGAGCGCATCGTAGGCATCGGCTGCCTGGTCGAAGAATTGGGGCCCTTGTGCATGGAGTTTGAGGGCGTTCTGGAAGAGTTTCAAGGCATCTTCGACCTGCAACCGCGGCATCAGACACTGGCAGCACTAGAGTAGAGAGGGGCGTAACCCACTTGCAGCTCCTTGGTAGTGTCGACCTCCTCGTCGATGTTCTCTTCGGGTTCGACATTGATGGCCGAAAAGGCGGCCTGCAAACGGTATGAATTAGCGACAATCGCACAAGGAGGACGACCGTAATGTCTTTACCATCTTGTATCGGGCCGTGGAACTAACATATATCGGTTTGGTTGAAAGGAAATCGATGGCCGGAATGACAAAAACGGTTCGATGTTCCCACGCCCGCTTCGAAATCTGGGTTAACTCGCGAAGGGACGCGGGAGACGCGACTGCCGAGCCAGCCGCTGTAATCCGTACGGATACGCTGATGGTTACCGTATCAGCGAAAAGTGTTACGGAGGTTAGTCAGGGCCCGAGCTTGTTCATTTCCCCATTTTGACTTGAAGGGTGCGAAGTGGGGAACTGCCAAGCATCAAGATGGCAGCAGCCTCGAAAGCTTGTTGGAGGCTGGAGCTCAACAAGCTGGTCAGACATTCCAACCAGCAGCCAAAAATCACACCGAGACACCAAATTCACGAGGACTTGGGAAACGTCTGTCCCCCGAACCCCGCTACGCCAGCGCATTCTGTAATCGCTATCTTCTAGGGGCATACCGATGCGGTCCCTCAAATTCCTGTCCTCCTGATTGATCAATTCGTCCCAAGTTCGCCGAGCTTTCTTGCCAACACATCTCTGTGTAACATTCGCCCGGCGCCGGTGTCTGGTCAGTCGCCATGGTTGCGCCAGCTGTGCCCGAGTCTGTGCCCTCGTCAATACCTTCTGGAAGTGCGTCTAACCGACTCGGTTCCTACAGGCTGACGGAAGAGGTGCTGCATGAGGCAATCGACGCGCGTACCGATGCCCTGGTCTCCCTGCGCGAGCTTGGTCCGCCGGATCTCGTGCACTTGGTCAAGCAGCCCCTGAGGAGCGGTGGAAAGCCGGTTAGTGGGAATTCCCTACATACTGCGGTGGAAGCATACTGATCCAGAAGTCCTAGACCGGTGTCTATCATCATGTCACGGGTGTGGATGCCTCGTCGTCTGCAAGCCTTGCGGCCTACATCAACACTTTAGCGTACAAAGAATTCGGTCCATCTGCTACGTCAAAGACCCTCGAGGGAACATATTGGTATGGATAACCATACTCTCTCGCGTTCACGCCGGCTCGGCCGTTGACCTGTCTCCAGCTGTTACAATGCCTTCTCTCGGGTGGACATGCGCGTGCATGCCCCCTTCCCCGGCTCGGTAGAGAGCTACTGCATCGACGAGCGAGGCGAGAAGCGCAAGGCCACTGACGAGCTCTGGCTTGAAACGTACCTCTGCAGCGTGTTGCGCGCCTACTCCTACGCCGACGACGGGACAGGCGACACCATCAGGAAAATTATCGGCGTCAGGCGATTCAACCCCGTGACCAGCACCGAGACCGAGCATCGCTTCCTCGGGGCGGCCGAACAGCTGTTCTTCAGGGGTAAGACCACGAGGGAGGGGACACAGCTGGCTGGGCGGAATGGCTAACTGGGCGCAGGTTGGCAACTGGGTTCTGACTCGGTGGTTCAGGTACCCAACGTCGTCTCTAACCATCTTACAGCTGGCCTGCTGAAATACTTCCATACTACTGGTCGCTACGCGTCCGGCATCAACCTCTTCGAGAAGCTGCGAGCCCAGAATGTCGAGGTTGCATCATTGCTTGCAAAGGTTCTGTTCATGGGCAACGAGGAGGTGCAAGGGATACGCATCCTCCACGAGGCAATCAAGCAAGCCCCAATGGACTACGTCATGCTCGACACACAAGCCGAGTTCTTGCTCAAGAAGGCTCGAACCGCGGCAACCCCCGAGGAGAAAGGCGCAAGGTTACGCATGGCTCTAGGGTGCGCAGACCGGAGCACCATTGCCGCTCCTAGCGAGTTCGGCACATGGGCCAGGCTAGCCGAGGTATACGTGGCCATGGAGGACTGGGAAAACGCCCTCACCACGCTCAACTCATGTCCCATGTTTACCTACCAGGACAAGGATGCACCCATCATGCCGGAGCCGAGAGATATCAGTCTGCCGACTCTGCCAGAAACCAGGCTCGACGAAATCGACAGCGAGCCCGAGTCGCGGTATTCGGAGCAGGTGGACCCGAGCCTGCTGAACCTGCGGGCCGCTGCGTATCGGGGGACGTTCAAGCACGCGTACGGCATCTTGACGGAAATGACGGCCAAGATTGGGTGGGACCAGCTGCTGAAGATCCGGAGCAACGTTTTTGTTATGGAGGACGAGTACCGCGAGAAGCAGGAGTCGACCAGTTACCCCAAGAACCGTAACGCTAGCACGGATGCGCTTCGCGGGACGCCGGATCCCACCACGAATGGTGACCCCGTCGAGGCCGGGAACAAGGAGGAGAAAGGCGGAAATGATGAGAGGGAGCAGGAGGAGGAGGCGGACCTCGAAGGTGACGAGATTGAGAAAGAGGTTGAAAGCGAATCCGTTGCGCAAACACTCGTTCCCAACGGCGGAGAGGACATTGAGCGACCGTCCAGCGCCGTGGACCCAGAACTGGTCAAGAAGGGCGAGGACAGCGTGAGCTCATTCCACTTTTTCTTCCTCACAAGCCTACCAAACTAATCAACTTTCATAGGGCTCCAAAGACGACCACTTCTCGCGCCTTAACAACAAGCGCCTCTGCGAGCGCTGGCTCGACAGCCTCTTCATGGTGCTCTACGAGGACCTGCGCGTCTACACCATCTGGCGCACGCAGATGGCGCAGTACCGGGCGCAGAGCATGCAGTACAAGAAGTCGGCCGAGGAGTGGGAGATCCTGGGCTCGCTCGCCGAGCGGCTGCAGCACACTGACGAGGCGGTCGAGGCGTACCGCGCCTGCCTGGCGCAGCGTTTCAGCCCCAAAGCGCTGGCGGGCATCCTCAAGGTGTTTGAAAAAAACAAGGGCAGCACGCGCGACACGGTCGCCGCCACCATACGCCTCGTCACGTGGCAGTACCGCTGGTACAGCGAGTTCTCGCCCGAGCTGCTGCACACGGTGCGCATGCTCATCGAGGACGAGGGCGCCGTCAAGATCAGGAGCATCATCCAGGCCACGAACCTGCCGCAGAACGTGCTCGACCTGACGCATCATTACGCTGCGCTGTGCGCGACGTTCCGGAGCAGTGGGACGGATGGCTGACTGCCGTGGTAGGGGAGGATGGGATGGAGAGGGGAAGGGCGAAGTTTGTGTTGTCTGGGGGAGCAAGCTGAGCAGGCCGAGTCTCTGTGTAGTTGTTAGTCAGGAGCCTTGCTGTAACGTTAATCGATACCGGTTTGGTGGAAGTTTTATGTCAAGCTCGGCCGGCAGTTTCGAATCTCGACTAGCCCGCATTTACTGCGGTAGACAACAGTTGACGCTGAGGTCGTATAATGTGTAACCCGACTGCGGCTCAGGGGTGATTGTTTACGATTCGAGCGGGTAGCTTTTGTTTTCAGGGGCGGAGCCACACAAGACTGGCATCTCCGCATCGGCACTCATTGACCCACATTGGCGGATTCCGAACCTTCCAAGCGCCCCAACCACGGCCCGTGTTGCCGTATCTTCGGGTCCATGTCCAAGGGCTGAATGGAGAACTTGACAGCAAAGCCGCACCCCGCTTGACTCCCCAGCCCAAGTGGACTGGCTTACCGTGAGACTCGTGAGGCATGGTGGGGGGCGGTGGGCATGATAACGTCATAAGTTTCTGTTTTGTAGAAGTTGTTCGAAGTCGGACGTAGTGTTTCCCCACGTTTGGCTGAGACGAGTGCTTTGAATAAAGGTGCTCCTCCAGCCCCTGTGTCTGAACTTCAGGAGTCCATCCCAACACCATACAGACCAGACATAAACCATGGTAGAAGTTAAGAACACCGCGTAAGTGGTCCTATTCCACAACACAGGCCCTTCCGGAATACCCTGGCTCACAATCCCCTCAGAAAGACCTTCAAGCTCAACACGGGGTACTCGATCCCCGCCATCGGCTTGGGAACATGGCAGTCCAAGCCCGGCGAGGTCGAGAAGGCCGTCGAGGCTGCCCTGCGCGCCGGCTACCGGCACATTGACACGGCGTTTGCCTACGGCAACGAGAAGGAGGTCGGCCAGGGCATCCGGGCGTCGGGCGTGCCGCGGGAGGAGATCTTCCTCACCACCAAGCTGGACAACCCGTGGCACAAGCGCGCCCCGGAGGCGCTCCAGAGGTCGCTGGCTAACTTGGGGGTGGACTATCTCGATCTGTACCTGATGCACTGGCCGTCCAGCACCGACCCGGAGGACCTAAGCAAGCACTACCCCGACTGGGACTTTGTGGATACGTGGCGCGAGATGCAGAAATTGATGGACACGGGCAAGATTCGGAGTATCGGAGTCAGCAACTTCGCGATCAAAAATCTTGAGCGGTTGTTGAATGACCCGAGCTGCAAGGTATGTGGACGCCAGGCCGGCGTTGGGTGTTCCGTCCTGGTCGCTGACCACGAGTGCGAACAGATCGTGCCTGCTGTCAACCAGATCGAGCTTCACCCAGGTAACCCGTCGCCCAAACTCGTCACCTACTGCGCGTCCAAGGGCATTCACTGCTCCGGGTACTCGCCCCTGGGCAGCGCCGACTCGCCGCTGTACAAGAACGAGACGATCAAGTCGATTGCGCAGGCCAAGAACCGCAGCGCTCAGCAAGTTCTTCTCATGTGGGGTCTCCAAAAGGGGTGGAGCGTGCTGCCCAAGACGGTCAACCCTGACCGGGTTAAGGCCAACTTTGACCTGGACGGCTGGAGTTTGACGGACGAGGAGGTGGCTAAGATCGACGCGATCCCGGATCGTTTCAAGGTCTGCGGCGACGCGTGGCTGCCGGTCAAGGTGTTCTTTGGAGATGACGAGTGATAGGACTTGAAATTCTGTAGACGTCAGATAGCCCCAAACACGAACATCACCAGTCCAAACAAACTTACAGCGTCCTTTTGTGGTTGCCGTCCCAAAGCCGAATCACGTTGCTCTTGCCAAAGTGTCACAGAGGCGTTACCCGGGATGCTTCTCCTTCTCGACCATCCCACACGTACAAGCGCCGCCTACAACTTCCAACCACCCTCCTCATCCGCCCTCAACACCTCCGCCACAGCCCTCCTCACCCTTTCCGCCAACCCCTCCGCTTCACCTTCATCCAACTCATCCCGCTGGCCCCTCCCAAACATGGTCGCAGTAAACCGCTCACTCCGCTGATCCCTCAGCTCCGGGCGCGGAATCACATGGAAGTGCATGTGGGGCACGACCTGCGCGGCGGCCGCACCATTGTTCTGCACAACGTTCCAGTCGCCCACGCCCGTCGCCTTGACGACCGCCGCGGACAGCACGCGCAGGTACCGCCCCAGCTCGGCCGACTCGGCGGGCGTGACGTCTGTCAGCTTAGGCCGGTGCGGGCGCGGACAGAGCAGGATGTGTCCCAGCGAGAGAGGCATAATGTCGAGGAAGGCGACGAGGTGCGGTGTCGAGAGGACGAGGAAGGTGGATGGTTGCGGGGCGGTGAGGGCTGGGTTGAGGAGCGGGGAGGTTGAGGGCGGTGGGCTCGCCGGGTTGTATGGCGGAAAGACGGAGGAAATGTGGCAGAAGGGACAGTCAGGGTCGGAGGTTTGGGAGGTGGAAGGGGGGTGGGCGCGAGGAAGGCCTGGGTCGAAGTCGGTTGAGGGGAGTGGAGGAAGGGAGGAGTCGTAGGTTCTGGTTGCCATGCTGTGCTATTGTCGTGGTCGGAGATGGACGATGAAGGTGAGCGGAACATACAAAGTAAAAAAGGTACCTAGTGAGAGCCCAGACCCGAAGGCCTTGTTGATGCGTTCAACATTTCAGGCAAGCACTGAGACTGCAGCTGTCAACTGGTGCCCTCCCCCGGATAAATCGCTTGCCTGCCGGAATACTACCGCGGTTTCAAACTTTTTAAAAGGATCGTTTGTTGCAACCCACGTGACGCCATTCTGCCGCTCTTTGCCGCCAAATTCTGCCGCCTCATTCTGCCCCTCGGTAGACATGCAAGCCAGTCCGCATTTATCAGCGGTCCTCGTCTTCGAGTTGAACCAAAGTCGCTCTCCCCAATCACACTCTCGCCAGCATCTATATACCAACACACTCAACTCAACGGCGCTGACACAGACATTTGCAAAACCCGCATCCCAGGAGCCAAACCCCACAAAACGAACCTATTACAATGTCGCGCGAGCAGTACCAGATCCCCACCGGCTCGCCAACCATCGGTGCAGGCTCCGGCACCACCGGCGCAGGCTCCTTCAACGCGTCCGTGGCGCGCGACTACGAGAGCGGCGGCACCATGCACTACCTGTGCGGCGACTGCGCGGTGCGGGTGCCGCTGGAAAAGGGCGCACCGATCCGCTGCCAAAAGTGCGGTGCCCGCGTGCTGTACAAGGAGAGGACGAAGAGGTAGGACTGGGCTGGGGTCCCTTCATAATTTAGGAGGGGTGCTGACTTTTAATTTGCAGGATGGTCCAGTTCGAGGCGCGGTAGTAACACTTGGAGCTGGGTACTGGCGGATTGTTTGGGAATGGGGGCGAGCGATAGAGGCCGTATCTATACTTGCGGCCGCGAATCGGAGAGACCATCAACGGCAAACAGGAACAGGCTATCGCATTTGGTAATGGCGTTTGGGCGGTTTATATGTCAGGGGAAGTGTGTTCCGCAGGGACTGAAGCTAATGCAATGATTTTTGCCTTCTGCTAGTCTACCTAAACGTGGTATCATCCAAACGCCGATAATGCTGATGTCGCTACGGTCTCATGTCTCTGGGACCAAGGCCCAATTTCCGCCCGACTCCTATCCGCGCTGCGAGTGCAGATACTTTACAAAACTCGCATCCTCGGTGGTCGACTCGTCCTGGTGCAACATTGCAGCTTCATACCTCGCCTGGAGTCCCTCCTTGTCCTGCTCGTCGTCTAACTCGTCCTCACTCTCTTCATCCGTGCTGAGAACCTCCATGTCTTCATCCTCTGGTTTGATGTTCCCAACCGCGCTCGTCGAGGCCGTGGTATCCATCGACATACCCTTCATCATCTTCTCCAGTTCCTTTTCCCTCTGTTTCTTCTTGTTCTCTTCCCGCTCAGCGCGGCGCCGGTCCAGTTCCGGTTGGTAATCCCGCTTGAACTCCTCCGCCTTCTCCTTAACTGCCTCAAAGAAGTCGTCGATCCCCGTGCCGTGAAGCGAGCTTACGCTGACGACGCTGAGATGGTTGTAGAACTCTTCCAACATGAGGCTCATGCTGTTGAGTAAGCTGCCCATGTACCCGCTGCCAGACCCCTCGCCTTCCTGGCCGCCAAAAGAATTGTTATTCTCGTCATTGTTCAAGGCCGCCTGGAACGCCTCCCAGTCGGTCATCCACTCCTTGGCGAACGATGCGTCCTTGGCGTCTGTCTTGTTGAACACCACAATCATCGGTAGCCTCGTCTTATAGAGGATGCTGCAGGCGTAAAGCATGTTGCTCATGAAGGTCGATGTGGAGCTGGTGCGCGGCGTGTCGACAACATAGGCGATTATCGTGGGGAACGACGAGGCGAGCGAATCGAGCAAAATGCTTCCGGATGCAGACCATACGAAGACCTCTATCTGTCCGGGGGTGTCGACGAGGATGTGCTTGACCGGCTTGCGTGTCGGGTGCTCCGGGTCTGGTGCTGCGCGCTTTTCGAGAAGGCCAAGGACTTGATCTACCTTTGTGGTGAAGAGGTTGAGCGATGTCATGATGGCGCCGTTGGGTCCGAGGTTGTACTCCTCCATCACCTTCTTGTAGTTGACCGAATCGCGAATGTCGATGTTGCTCGCAAATGGCGAGTGGGTGACAGCTGGATCGAGGTTGATGACATAGGGAGGCTCTTTCTTCCCGTGCAGATGGGCGTTTATTCGCTGCATGAAGGTCGTTTTGCCGGAGCCTGCACATGTCAGCAGCGCCAGACAGTGGACGCGGAAGGTGGTGCGAACCAGCCATGCCGACGCAGACGACGACAACGGGCTTCTCTGTTTGCCCTTCCGGGCTCGTAGCTGCCGCCAAAACCGAGTCCATTATGATTGTCTAGACTTCACGATGACTAGCTTGAACTTGGTCGCGTTGAAATGGGATGGAGCTTCTGGCGGTTGGATGGGGCGCATCCAGAATCGAGATCGAACTTCGATGATGATGGCGGGACCTGGTGGGGCAATTCGTCGAGAATTCCGTCTGGATTCGGCTGTGTCTTGGCTAGTTCCCCACCTTTAAGGCTACACCTTTTCTTCCAATCTCGATGCTACAGTACTTGTCACATTCATCACTCTGGCTGTCGACGAGCCAGTGTATCAAGGACACGGCGGATTAAGAGTCCCAGAATACGACGTCGAGCTGCAGACACCCATATCACAGTGGACAAATGGTCGATTTCTGATTGCTCGCGGGTAGCTACAAAAAAAATTGGCCCACGATCGGTCTCACGTCATCTTCTCGGGTACACAAAGTGGAATGGCTATGGTCCTTGTCCAACTTCGCCTTGGCGACCATAGCGCCGACGTGGTTGGCGTTGGTTCCGAGGAGCAACCAACCTAAGCAAACGCCGAAGCCCTCTCCCGATTTAGCCCTCCAAATCTCGCCCCCGATAAAAGACCTCTGGCTTCCCCAGTCCCTTTGACCCATTTATTTCCGATCCATTGTCAGTTCACTCTCTCGACGTAACAGCCAACAAATCGCAATTCAACGAACCTACTCAACTTTGTCAATTCCCCGCCTGTGCTGATTCAGCCGCGACATCATCTCACCGAAACGCTGGGCGCCGGTCTTCCAGCGCCAGCGACCCGCCATGTTGCGGAAGAGGGACGTCTTCACTGTGATCAACCCCATCCCGGGGTTTATCCCTCGCCAGTTAGCGATCGACATTCTACACTCACATTCCGAGGTCATCACCCTGAACCCGCTCGTCCTCTCACACAAGCCCATCCCGGCTCCGCAAAATGCCGAGACGGACGAGTACTACTCCACCTGGTATGAGATCACGGAGCGCATCCAGTTCGTCCCCGGCATAGGGAAGATGGGCGCTTCGGTCATCAAGTTCAACGGATGTTTCCATGACATGCCGTGGGGCTTGCAGACTCACATCTACGCGCCCATGAACGTTGATCTACGACACAAGTACCGCATTGCCGGCAACCAGCCCGGCGTTGAGCCCCCCGAGGTCCCGGAGATTGGTTTGGCCTCGCTTGGCGTGCCAGCTGATGGGCTTTACCTAAGACAGGATATTGAGATCAAGTGCAACATTACTGTGCTCAGTTTTGTCAAGTCGCAGATGAAGAAGGCTGGTGGTGAGATGGTCAAGAGGATGATCAAGAAGGCGGAGCTCCTTGACGCCGGAATCCTTCAGGCAATGATTGAGGACGGAAAGCTCAAGACCATCAACCCAGCCGACCGAAGCCTTCCGTATAGATCACCATTGCCGTCTCCCACGAGCCTCCGTTACTCTCCATCGGTCAGCGGTTCCCCTCCAGTGGGTTCACCACCTACACCGTATCAGGTCCCGCGGGTGGAGTCGACGTATGCGGGATACCAATACAAACGACCTAGCACGTCTGGATCCTACGGTAGTGTCCGTCATCAGGCCCAACCCGGCGCATATGGTCTTGGGGTACACGATATCCCCCAGGAACTTCCAACCGAGGTGTCAAGTCCGCCAGCCCAAGCACCCGTGGAGATGCCAGGCGACTTCGTCCATGCTTCTCCCAACCTGCAGCCAGAGAGGCAGTCACCTCAGCAAGCACCGCCGGGCTCACCGCGCCAGATCCATCGGGAATCACTCATCGACCGGGGACAACGCGTCAGCGTCAGCCCAAACCTGTCAGCCGGCGGATAGTGGGCGAACACAGGGCTTGCGTCCTGTCTCCATGAACCCCAGCCTGGGATCGCTGGTTCTGCAGGCGGATGGTAAAGGTTCTGCCGCACCGCTGGCACCGCTGGCACACATCAACAGACGAGGGAAGATTACCAGGCGGAGGCGCAGGTGCAGCGGCACGCACATCCGCCTCAATTCGCCCCCTACAACCCGGCCGACTATGCTAAGCCGCAGCCCGGTCAAACCCCAGTATGGTCATGGACAGTCAGGGCAACAGTATAATTACTCGCGTTGAGGAACTTGGAGGATTTCCGCACAGATTGTCGAACACTGCGCGATGGCTTATACCCAGGGGTTATGGATTTAGCAGATTGTTGGGCGTTGGGTGTTTGAAAACGTCAGCCTGAGGGCAACTTAATGCATCTAGCATCAGCAATGCAATGCTTCCACCTATTTTCGCAAGTGCCTGAGCACTAGCATTCTCAACAGCGACAATCAAAGGGGAAGTCCGCGGGGGAGATCTGATGACTTGTAGGCAGCCATTCCTCCTTGATGGAACCTGTCTCTGATCTAAGCCTAAGGAGACACGATCCCAGGCGCAGTGCCTCAACTTATCATCCATCGTTCCGGCAGTTGTCCACCCGGGATTATGGGCCGGGTTGCACGACCATGTAACCCAACAGTTGTGGCCGTGGCAGCGGCGGCGGAAACAGCACGCATGTAAGCAGGTAGCGATACAAGGAGAATACTGAGCTTTACACGCAGAGTTGACCATTGGCCTGGAACTGCAACAACAACTGAGACTCATGCTGCCCCTTTGAGTCAAAACGTGCTTTGTTTCTCGACAAAGGCTCTTTGACAACGACCGTCTACGTGCCGGAATTGGTCCTTTGACGAGAAACCGGCGAGGAGTCAAGCTCGGAACCCAGCTCGCACCATCTGGGCATCTTACTTGGGGACAGAAACGCAACCCAAAGGGCCGTATTCTTGGTCCCTCAAAATACCTAAACAAGGCTCCTTAGGTGACCTGAGTTTTCGGGCAACGTGACAGGCTAATTGATGCATAGAAGCATTGAAAACTTATCCCATTTCAGAAACTCGAGCATTCCCGAATTCACCTTCATCAGCTCGTAAGACATGACGGAAGGGTGAATTACCGTCGTGCTCAGCCACATCTCTTGAATCTGATGCTCCGAGCGCTCCCCATCATCGCCTTCCGCAATGAACACTCGTTTATTGCGGAGTGGTAAACCAGGGCGAGTGATGTAGACATTCCGTATTCTGTGGGCATGTGCTCCACTAGTCGGCATTTGTTTGATGGTGCATCACGGGGCGCCTGCAAGAGTTGACAGTCGGTGGGGAAGAAGGGCGTCAACCGATCTTCAGGCGGCTAGCCGACGGACTTGAGGTCGGAGATGGTAAGACCATGGTATTTTCTGAGGGAGTTCTCTTGAGAGGGTGCAAAGGAGCATTTCACCCGCCAAGGAGCTCTGTTGAAGAGCGAGCCGATCTCAGCGTGAGGGTCAAGGTTCCAGGTTATCAGTGGGGGAGGCCGGGGGGAGTGGCGCGCAACATGCGCTGCGGGGACCAGACCCAGTTCTTTTTCAACAAAACTTCAGCATCATGATGTAGATTTCTGTACTCAGCAAATCGCGGTCCGGTCTTGACAGGCTTACATTCCCAGCTTGGAAGAACATGAAGAGTCGATGGTTGTCCTCCCTGTACTCCATGTCGAGTAACCGAAGCCTGGCACTGACGTCAGCGATAGACGCCCTTCTGAGCACACTGGCAGCAAGATGAGGCTTTCTAATCCGCGCCCTATTGCCAAGTCAATTCGTCTGTATTATCGCTCTCCCAAGTTGGAGGGTTGGGGGCTGCATCTTTGAGCATATAAGAACATCTTGCGGCGAGTCTATCATGCTGTTAGTTGAAAGTTGCATCTAACACTCCACTAAGGTAGGTAGTCAAGCCCAACGGAACAGGAAATTTTAGTGATTTCTGTCAAGATATGGCCAATATCCAACCTTTCAAGATCGAAATCCCAGACACGGCCCTGGAGAAGCTGAGGACCAAGCTATCTCTTACCGACTTCCCTGACGAGGTCTCGTTCAGCGACGACCGGAAGTACGGCGCACCGTTGAGGGACATCAAGCGGCTCCTAGCATACTGGAAAGACGGGTACGACTGGCGAAAGCATGAAGCGAAACTGAACGAGCTCCCGCACTTCACCACTACGGTGGAAGTGGATGGCTTTGGACAGCTCGGCATCCACTTCCTCCATCAGAAGAGCAGCCGGTCTGATGCCATTCCGATGCTTTTCTGCCATGGCTGTTAGCTGTCCTCCCACTATGCGGATAGTCCTATACTGACCCCTGAACTTGGAACCAGGGCCGGGCGGCTTCTGGGAGGCCATCAAGATGCTCCCTATGCTCGCTGAACCAACGGACGCATCACAGCCGGCGTTCCACGTTGTCGTTCCCTCTTTGCCCAACTTCGGCTTCTCAGAGGGCGTTACGAAGCCCGACTTTGGCCTCCAGCAGTACGCTGAGACAGTCCATAAGCTGATGTTGCAGCTCGACTACCGCAAATATGGTATGTGCGCGTAACTCGCTCCTTGACAGGCTCTCACCTGCTCACCAAAACCCCTTATTTCCCCCCCACAGTATCCCAAGGCGGCGACTGGGGACTGGCAATCACGCGCCTCCTGGCCCTCTACTACCCGCAACGCCTCCTAGCCAGCCACATCAACTTTGTCCGCGCGCACCCACCCACCCTGACCCGACACCCTTCCCTCTACCTGCAGTCCCTCCTTCGCCCCGCGTACACGGCAGCCGAGCGCGCCGGCTTCGCCCGCTCGCGCTGGTTCTGGCAGGAAGGCGGCGGGTACAACGTGCTACAGGGCACGCGGCCGCATACGGTGAGCTTCGCGCTCGCCGACTCGCCCGCAGGCCTGCTGGCGTGGATCTACGAGAAGCTGCGCGAGTGGACCGACGAGTATCCCTGGACCGACGATGAGGTGCTGACGTGGGTGAGCCTGTACGCCTTCTCACGTGCCGGGCCAGCGGCCAGCGCGCGCATCTATTACGAGGCGTATCATGGCAGTAAGGCGGCACAGGAGAGGACGAGAAGGTGGATTGGCGGGGTCAAGTTGGGGTTTAGCATCTTCCCGAGGGATATTGAGGTGCCGCCGGCGTTGTGGGGGAGGACGCTGGGGCCGGTGGTGTTTGAGAGGGTGCATGAAGACGGGGGGCATTTTGCGGCGTGGGAGAAACCTGAGGCGTTGGTGGGGGATTTGAGGGAGATGTTTGGCAAGGACGGAAAGGCGAAGGGTGTGTTGGAGGAGCTGAGACGAATGAAGGAAACTATGGGGAGGAGTTGATGGGAGGATGGAGATGCACAAGGTGCTGAGCCTCCCGTTCGATTTCCTGCAGGTGTCTAGATTTCTCGTCACCTGCCAGAGTCGAGGATCAAACAATGCATCACCTCTTTCTTTTCTTATATTTTTTCTTAGAAAGAAAGCCAAAGAAAACGAACGCAAGAAAGTCTCTTAGAGAGCTTATCAAAAAAAGAAAAATCCAAAAGCTCCCCGAGCTGCGGTCTCTCCCCAGTCGTCAGCAGGAAGGGAGGTTGTCGGCTACGAAAACCCCCGGGGCGCCCCCGAGTGGTTTTACTCCGGTTCGGGCATCGCCCTCCCTAAAGGTCAGGCACTGCCCTGCAGCCCCCAACCATTGAACCAGTGGCTCTTGAGAGGGCTTTGAAAGTTATGATGTGAAAGATTGTTTATAAACCGGTGCTGCAGGTTTGTGCTGGAAGTAATCTGTATACGTTCAGATGAAAGTGTTTGTGCACTGGCTTGAGATTCTTGCATCTGCAGTTCGACGTTAATCAGCGGGGGGCATAGGTGGGGATTCCAGGCCCACATAACGTTAGCCCCTGGAAGCCTTTGTGGGGCCGGCTATTTTAGCGGCTCGCGAACGTTTCAACGGCGACACGTCAGGTACGTCACTGGCAAGCGCTCCATTTCAACTGATTCGAGCTCTTCACCAGATCGCCGGGATGGACAGCCTCGACGATTTTGAGAGAGCGTTGGCTGCTGCAAGGGCTGAGCGCCAACAAACTGCACAGGAGAAGGAGGAGCGTCGCGAACGAAAACATCGACACCATCGACATCATCGTGAACGGTCTTCGGATCGCGACAGGACCGGCGACAAGCACAGACACCGGGATCGAGACCGAGAGACGGATGAGCAAAGGGACCGCAATGGCGAAAGGGACCAGCATAGCCATAGTCGATTTCGAGACAATGACTCGGACGAGAACAGGCACCGCCACAAGCGCTCGCGCCATTCGCGAGACGAAGGAGACGAGGAGTCCAGGGATCGGCACAGGCATCGACGCAGGTCGAGGGAACGCTCAAAGGACCGTGAAAACGACAGGCGCTATAGGCGCCCGAGAAAGGATACCAAAGATCTGAAGCTGTCGGATCCGAAACAGGATCTCCCGCTTCCCGACGAAGAGAAAACGCCTGACAACGCCACACCTCTTGTCCGAGACTCGTGGATGACTGCGCCCTCGGCTCTAGATGTCGACTACATTCACAGAGATGTTAAGAGGAAGAGGCCGTCGCCGGTCCGACAAGAACCGCAAAAGGTGATGCACAAACGAGAGCTTAACACGAGACTTGGCGAGGTGCAGGATCCCGACGAGGTCAAAGAGCCGGCTGCAATAGGTGTGAATTACAAATTCGGCGACGAGGGCTCCCAGTGGAGGATGACGAAGCTCAAGGCGGTCTACACCATTGCAGAACAGACGGGCAGTTCCATTGATGACGTCGCCCAAGAGCGCTTCGGCAGCCTGCGGGAGTTTGATGATGCCAGAGAGGAGAGGATGGAGATGGACAGGCTTGCCGTGTACGGCGAAGGATACATCGGCAAAGAGAAGCCTACTGGGGAGCTGTACGCCGAACGGATGTCCAGGACCCGGCCGGAACCAGCGCGCTCACCGTCTCCCCAGCTCAAGCAGGGTCTAGTAATCGAAGACATGATTCAGCCCGCTCCTCCAATGGACCAATCCACCCTCAACCGCATGCGCGCCCAGCTCATGAAGGCGAAGCTCCGCAACGCCCCCGACGCCGCGAAGCTAGAAGCCGAATACAATGCCGCCATGGCGGCCTTCAGCACCGGCGCAGCATCCTCCAACGCCGTGGTTCTTGACGCCTCGCACAACCGCATGCTCGCCGGCTCCCGCGGCGAAGTCAAAGCCGTCACCACCAAGCGCGGTGTCGAGCGTGGTCAAGTCGAAGCCAACGAAGACATGACCGTTGAGGACATGATCCGCGAAGAACGTCGGACGCGCGGCCAACCAGGCGGCGAAGGTCTCCGCCTCGCCGAGCGCATCGCCAAAGACGCCCGCTTCGACGACGACCTCGAGTACCTCGACGAGAACGCAGCCAAGCTAGCCACGCGCGTCCACAAGACCGACACGGCCCTCAAAAACATCGCCGTGACCGAGTACAAGAAACTCAACCGCATCCTCGACACCTGCCCGCTCTGCTACCACGAAGACCGCGCCCCGCCGCAAAACCTCCCCATCGCCCCCGTCCTCGCCCTCGCAACACGCACCTACCTCACCCTGCCCCCGGCCCCAGAACTAACCGGTGCCGAAGGCGGCGCCGTCATCGTGCCCCTGTCGCACCGCACCAACCTCCTCGAATGCGATGACGACGAGTGGGAAGAAATCCGCAACTTCATGAAGAGCCTGACACGGCTCTACCACGACCAGGGGCGCGAGGTCCTCTTCTACGAGAACGCGGCGAGCCCGCACCGGCGGCTGCACGCCGCCATGGTGGCGGTGCCGATCCCCTACGACCTGGGCGATACCGCGCCGGCCTTCTTCCGCGAGGCCATGGTCTCGGCCGACGAGGAGTGGGCGCAGCATCGCAAGGTGATTGACACGAGCAAGAAGGCGAGGGAGGGACTGGGCAAGCTGGCGTTTCGTCGGACCCTGGCCAAGGAGATGCCGTATTTTCATGTGTGGTTTGATCTGGATGGCGGGCTGGGGCATGTCGTGGAGGATGCGGATCGGTGGCCTAAGGGGGATTTGTTCGCCAGGGAGATTGTTGGGGGGATGCTTGATACCGAGCCGGATGTGATTAAGCGGCAGGGGAGGTGGACGCGGAATGATGAGCGGGTCGAGGGGTTCAAAAAGAGGTGGCGCAAGTTTGACTGGACGAGGGTATTGACCGAAGGCGGATAGTCTTGTTATGGTGAAGGTGAGGATTCATCAAGGCTATCAGATAGCCCTTCAATGCACATCAACATGTATAATTTTGGCATAAATGCACCCATACACTTCGGAACGTCCATCAAACGTGACAAGAAGCCTAGAGACGCCCCCACACATCCTAACTCCTTGAGCCATACTCCAATATGCACTTTTCAAGTCATCTTCTCAGTTGCCGCAAGCCATTTGTTGTTTAGCCCTCCTCAGCGTCCATGTTATCCCGGGTCGACCCAGGCATCCCCCTCTTCCGCCCCTTGCCGCCTTTCAGCACCGACCCCTTCTTGCCGCGGTCGTCCAGTAGCTGCTTCATCTCGTTCTTGGCGTGCCGTTGCGCCTCCTCAACGCGTGGCTTGAACACCATGACCTCGTCCTTCTCCAGCGCATATTCCTTAAGCTTCGTGCCCAGCGCTGCTTCGATACGCAACCAAATCTCAAGATCGCTTACAGGGAGTCAGCACACGCAGCCAACCCAACTAAAAGTGGTGGGAAACCTACTACTGCGTCACGATACTGATCGCATGACCCGACTTGCCGGCACGGGCGGTGCGGCCGACACGGTGCACGTACGTCTTGGAGTCCTGGGGCAGGTCGAAGTTGAGGACGCAGTCGACGTTGGGGATATCGAGACCACGGGCGGCGACGTCGGTAGCCACCAGGATGTTACGGGAACCGGCGCGGAACTTGTTCAGTGCGCCTAGACGGGCAGACTGGGACAGACCGCCGTGCAGCGGGATGGCGCCCATGCCGAGGGTGCGGAGTAGGATGGCGATCCGCTGGGTCTCGAGGACCGTACGCGTGAAAATGATGATTGTCTGGCCCGCGAATTCGTTGCATAGGTAGATCAGGTAGGTGTCCTTGTGCATGTGCGGAATGAAGATGTAATTCTGAACCAGTGTCGAGACGGTCTGATACTTGCTTGACGAGATGCTGACCTTCAGCGGGTCGCGCAGACTGGCGCGCTGCAAGCTCTCGACTTTGTTGGACATGGTGGCTGAGAAGAGGAAGGTTCGCCGTTCTCTGGGAAGGAACTTGAGGATTTTCTCGAGGATGGGGCCAAAATCCATGTCAAGGAGGCTAAAGGACTGTTAGCGGCAGCATTAGGGGGTGTCTGGATAACTTACCGATCCGCCTCGTCCATGACAAGATACCGTAGATTGCGCCTAGACATCGGTGGTCAGTATCTCGTCATGAGCTCTGTCAAACTTTATCCTTATTAACGAAGGCTTACAAGCTAAAACCTTTGGTCTTTTCCAAGTGGTCCAACAGACGACCTGGCGTCGCAACCACCACGTGAGGTTTCTTGCCGAGGGCAATAGCCTGCTGTACCATATCCAAGCCGCCAAGAATCAGAGCACACCTGAGAGAAATTAGGGAGCCGAGCGCCTCAAAGGCCTGCGCGATCTGCGCTGCAAGTTCTCTGGTCGGCGCCAGCACCAGGGCGAACAGTGGCTGGGGCTTGTCGAGAAGGGCCTGAAGGATTGGTAGGGCAAAGGAGGCAGTTTTACCGCTACCCGTCTCCGCGATACCGATAATATCGCGGTCCTGCAAGGCAAGGGGAATTGCTTGCTCTTGAATAGGAGTTGGCCTCTTGTATCCTAGCCGGTCACAGGCGTCGCAAAGGGGGTCGACGATTCCCTGGCAAGTTGTTAGCTACAGCGTCCAAGTATCACATGAGAGCCTCATACCAAGTCTCTGAATGACTTTGGGGCCGAATCTCCGTTTCCTTGGGCCGGGCCATTGTCGATAGTGACAGACTCGTCCTCGGAGGTAGTGGCTGTTGACGGTTCGCTTGGTTTTGATGTGGAGTGGCTTTTGGTTTTGGCCTTGGGGATCTCTACTGAAGACCCTTTTGCTGTCCCAGATCCGTGGGAGATCTTTCTTCGTTTGCTCAACATGATGGGTACTCCTATGCCTCGATATGACCGCGTGTTCAACCTTTCGCACTTTTCGCAGTTTCCAACTTTGAGACCTCAATCACGGTGCCGGTGCTGAATCTCGATGTCTTCCCCAAAATTCCAGGCTTATCGCGGTGGGGCATGCACGATAGCAAGGCTCCACCGAAATTTTTGCCGGGCGCCATTGTCCCGTGGACGTCAATTGGCTTCGGAGCTTCATCCAGAGCAACCGAAACACCATCAGCTCTTCACTTCGACAGACAACACCATGGCCAAAAGACGCTCAAAAAAGCGAACCCACGTGGGTGCGAATAACCCTGTTACTCCGGCAGCGGTCAATGGCCACGCCAACTCAAAAGACCCGAAGAGCATGGTGATCCGGATCGGCGCTGGCGAAGTTGGAGCCAGTGTCAGTCAGTTGGCCACCGATGTTCGACGTGTCATGGAACCCGGGACAGCCTCGCGCCTCAAGGAACGGAAAGCGAACAGGCTACGAGATTACGTTACCATGTGCGGCCCCCTGGGAGTTACCCATCTTCTCCTCTTCTCGAGATCTGAGTCCGGAAACGTCAATTTGCGCCTGGCCATTGCACCGCGGGGTCCTACGTTCCACTTCCGGGTTGAAAAGTACTCCCTGACCAAAGACGTAAAGAGGGCGCAGAGGCATCCTAAAGGTGGCGGTAAGGAGTACATCACGCCTCCATTGGTAGGACTCTAGCCCAGGTCTGCCTGAATGTTCTGCTGACAACCCCCACAGCTCGTCATGAACAACTTCAGTAGTCCCTCGGCCGACGCTAACTCCAAGGTGCCCAAACACCTCGAGTCCCTCACCACAACCGCGTTCCAGTCCCTCTTTCCCCCAATCAACCCCCAAACGACACCACTGAAATCGATCAGGAGGGTCTTGCTCCTAAACCGCGAACAGTCGGACGACGGTACGTTTATCATCAACTTTCGCCACTATGCCATCACGACGAAGGCAGTCGGGCTTTCGAAGCCATTAAGAAGGCTTAACGCCGCCGAGAAGATGCTCAAGTCCAAGAAGGGCAAGAAGGGAGGGCTCCCCAACCTCGGCAAACTCAAGGATATATCGGAGTTCATGATCGGTGGCGAAGATGGCGAGGGCTACATGACGGACGGAACGAGCGGCAGCGAACCGGATACCGATGCCGAGGTCGAAGTCCTCGAGACTGCCACGAAGAAAGTCCACAGCGGCAAGTCCCGGGCAGCGGAACACGACAGCGACGAGGAGGAGGCGGGCGCCCACGACAACGTGGAGCGGCGCGCTGTGAAGCTGGTCGAGCTGGGCCCGCGAATGCGGCTGCGCATGACCAAGGTTGAGGAGGGCATCTGCGCGGGCAAGGTTCTGTGGCACGAGTATGTTCAGAAGACCAAGGAGGAGATTCGGGAGCTGGAGAAGAGGTGGGAGCAGCGCAAAAAGGAAAAGGAAGCGCGCAAGAAGCAGCAGAAAGAGAATGTCGAGAAGAAGCGCAAGGCAAAGGCGAGCAACAAGAAGGCTGGCGAGGACATGGAGGATAAGAACGATGACGAGATGGACGTCGACGAATATGACAGCGATCTGTACGAGGATGAAGGGTTCGACAGTGAGGGATTGGAGGGCGATGCGGAAGAGCAGGTCAATGCCCGGATGGAGGAGGGCGGCGAGTGGGAGGATGAGGAGGAAGAGATTGCCGAGGGCAGGAGTTCTAAAAAGAAATCTCTGAGGAGGTAGTCCATAATAGCCTGCTTTCTGCTCGGCGGGTCTATCCACTACATACACTTGGACAGCCAATATGTTCCAGTCAGCTTCTCAAGACTCAGGCGACTTGGCTCATTCAGGACACAAACAAGGAAAAGAGTTTGGGCAGCAAAGCTCACCTCACCGGCTAAGCCTCTCCGCCGGTCGAAGAGAGGTAGCCCGTTACGAAACCCTCGGGAGGGTTTCCAGATTGCTTCGTGGGAGCCGCATGGGCGGCGGGGGTTTGCGCTCATTTTTGCCCCGGGGCAGCAGGGACTCGAACTGGTAACCTCTCATGCAGAGCACTGATAGTTCACTAGGAGCTGCAGGCCCGGGCGACCGCCTCGGTTGACTGTTAGGCCATTGGGGGCGGTCGTTGCATTGCAGCAAACCAGACCTTCTATATCAACGCTCGGCCGGCATACCGTCACCTCCTGAGAACTGACGGCACACAAGACTGCGAACTCGGACCATACCTGCAAACCGCCAATACATACCACGCTGCTCATCAACGGCATCATTGTTTGAACACAAAACAGAAACAGCCAGCTTGCCACACAAGGCAGCCAAAGTGGACTGAGCCGAGATGACGAGATCCACCTCCAGAGTCCACAGTCACATGCAAATGACCCCCATTCCTGACCATGCCAATCCGTCAAAAGCGACGGAAAAAGTCCACCAATGCCGTCCCGACGCCGAATCCAAGAATCTCCAGAACGCCAGGATATCATCAATCAGAAAACCCGCGCCAAACACACCCCAAGCTGCCGTACCAAACTCCCCAGTCCCATCACATACTGTGGTATTCACCCCTTCCTCTGTGCCTCATAAGCAGCAACCGCCCTCTCCAGCTCCTCCAGGCTGCCCCGGTCGCCATACGCATCCGCCATGAGTGCCTCGCGCCGCCGCCTCTCGGTGTCGGTGTCGGCTTGCTGCTGAGCGGCTAGCTCGTGGGCCTCACGGTAGGAGGAGGCGGCGTAGCATGCTGTGACGACCACGGCGAGGGGTGGGATCCTTTTTTACAGCTCGCCGTATTAGTATCGGCTGGCCCGTGAGATGGGCGGAGGGAGCGGAGGGTAATACAAGGCGTACCATTTCAGGCCCTTGCCTTTACTGCGTGACGCATTGTGTAGGTAGGGGAGGAATGGCGGGTGGACGCGGGCTGAGGTCGTCAGGGGGCGGGTGCTGGGTTGACGGTTCTTCATTCTTGGTGATTGGTGGTGGGGTGGTGGTCTGAGGGGGCTTTCGAAGGAGATTGTACGATTGTGGTTCCCCAGCTTGTAGGGAAGCCGCGGGATCAAAATACCAATTCGAAGACGGCGGCGGGGAGAACCGAACTCGCCCTGGTTTTGATGCGATACAGTAACCGGTATGAACGAGAGGTTGCTTTAAGGAAAGTGTCCCCCAGAGAAAGTGGTCCTGGATGGGAAGTCGTGGGTGTCTGAGACAAGAAACTGCAGCTGACTCCGCGGGTCAGCCCAAGATGGGTTGCTCGATTGTTTAAAGCATGCAGCACAGGCCGATGGTTCGGCAAGTGGTGTGACAAACGGCCCACCATGATCCGTTTGAGCGACTCGAGCCATTGAGACATGGATGATTTAACCGAGGAAGGAAAGTGTGGGGTAGCGGTGGGCCATCTTTTCCCCGGACAGTTCCCCGGATTTGAATGGCTCCCTGTTCGAAATATTGCAACATGTGAAGTTGTCACCCAAGTATGTCGCTTGGTTGGTGATGGGCGCTACAGCCTTCGACAACTAGCGGCTTATGGAGATAGGTAGTTTCAGAGGGATAGATATAGAGAAACTCTGTCTGCTGACGTTTTTTTCAGTTATGTTCTCCAATTCGCGGTCGCCCAAATCCAGTTTAGGTGTGCAGTCTCGGATCGGGCATATCGGATCGGATCTCGGACATCTCGGCGCAAACCACGCAGCATCGCCGCTGTTGGGCGCCGCTCCGAGTCCATTAGGAAAGGTCGGGTTGCACGATTTTAGAGCATATTGCAGTCCCCCGTGAGGTGTCTCAGACCACGAAGCGACGGTTCGGCAAATGCGAGCTTGAGCATTGTGATCCAGGTTGTCAATAAAGCAGATTTGTGCAACGCGGTGGAGAATCTAGCCATCAGTGGAAAACGAGTCCGATCCTCAAGACTCAAAGTACCTTGTCAATCTCGTGGCCCGTTGGAATCATGGATCCCAGCGACGACTCAAACGGAAGGGGACCTCGCCGAGCGACTTGAGAGGCTTGAGCGTGCAAAGAACAGACAGCATCGGGCATGGCAACTGAGAGCAGCATCTCGCTGATGCTGAGCTGAAGCGTCATGAACAACAACTGGTTTGGTTGGGTACATTAGATGCTCACTTTCCGAGGTGTTCACCGGGAGATGCAGGATTCACGGACGCAATATTTCGATAAGCACGGCATCTTTGGCGCGAAGGTGTACTAACCATCTGAACTGGAACACTCAGTGAGAGCCAGATATCCTCTCCTTCCCTTGTCATTTTCCAAACAAAGCTTACGACATACAGAAACGAGCCGTGACACAGAGACTCAAACACTTTCCAAAGAGCAGAATCAGCCTGAGCACGAGGAAAGAACGACAGTACGAAGCGAAGTATGCGACGACCAAAGCGACAGTTCAAAGAAGACCGAAACCGCATGCTCCCTCAAGAAGTAAAACGACCAGTTCCACAGTCCCGAACTTTTTACTCGGCATTAGTGGGACGCGGGACGCGAGTGAAGGTTGGAGTCGTGCGCCCGCTCGGCCCGCCGGTAGGCCTGGGAGGGCGGGAGATAGCGGTGCCAGTTGGTCGGGGAGGAGCCGAGCCGCTGGGCCTCGGGGGAGGAGACTGAGCCGGGCCGCTGGGGGTGGGGCGAGCGGAGCGGGTAGGGCGGACCGGGCGGCCGGTGCCGGTGGGACGCGGAAATGCCACGTCGGCCTGTCCCTCATCCTGGCGCTTGTCATTCGCCGGCGGGCCCCCGGTGGGTCTGGGAGGGAAGCCCGGGGCGGAGCCCGAGGGCCGACCCGTGGGGAAGCCTCCGGTGGGGAAGCTTCCGGTAGGAACGGGTGGAAAGCCTCCAGTCGGGAAACCCCCAGTTGGGACCGGCGGGAAGCCCCCGGTAGGGAAGCCTCCAGTCGGGAAGCCTCCGGTAGGGACGGGTGGGAAGCCTCCGGTTGGGACGGGTGGGAAGCCTCCGGTTGGGAAGCCTCCAGTGGGGACTGGCGGGAAGCCCCCGGTAGGTAAGCCTCCAGTCGGGAAGCCTCCAGTCGGGAAGCCTCCAGTCGGGAAGCCTCCAGTCGGGAAGCCTCCAGTCGGG